ACCACACTCCGCAATGAAATCGCTCAAAGCCTCTGAACCGTAGGCTTGGAGTTCAGGCACAAAAGTTCGCAGCTCATCCAGCGACAGGGGCCGATAGGCAACACAGACGACAGCAAGGATCTGTCGGTAGAGCTCGGAGTAGTCTGAAGTGATGATCTGCTCGAGCATGCGCTTGTACAGGTCGTCGAGGCCAGTATGGATATGATCGAGCTTGGCCAATGTCTCCCATGGTTTGACGACCGGACGAGCCAGCTCTTTGCACACCAGGGCCACCCATAGAAATGTGTCGTTAGCGCCGACGAGAAGCCTTCGTAGAACATCCTCTTTGGTTTGTTCATCGAGCGGCTTGATGCGTGCCAGCTCGTCAGTCTTGTATCGGACAAAGGTCTCCACGGCCTTGGATATGGCGTCCTTGTTCAACTCGAGAGAAACCGCGATCTTGTCAGCAGGACGGAATTGCCCCTCAATGACAGGCCAATTGCGACTCGACACTATCCACTTTGCGCTGAATGATTCCGAGAGTTCAATGATTAAGCCAATGAGCTCTTCTCTCTCCACGTCCTCTCTTTGGTAAGAGCACTCATCCAGGGCATCGACGATCAGGATTGCGTTTTGCAGGCATGGCTTCTGAAGCATACATTCCAAGATGACTTTCAGGCTGAAAAAATCACCGAAGCACTTCTTTCCTTCCATATCATATGCTTCTCGGACACAAGGCATGAGTTCTGGGTGCTTCTTGCAAAAAAGCCACACGAGACCACGGAGCACCGAGATGGCACTTCGAAGGTGGTCTTGGGTTGCCTGGCAGAAAAAGTACGACAAAGGCTGATCGGACTCCTTCTCCAACTCTTCAATGATGCCGCAGAGAAGCATCGTTTTGCCTTTGCCAGGGTCGCCCTTGATCCAAAGTAATCGACGGTCTGGAAGGTCGCGAAACTCACGGAAGTCATCGTGGTCAAGGATCCATCGGTATGAATCCTCGAGGAGGCCACCCTTGGTCTTTTCCAGTCTTTGCTTATGCGTCTTCGGATTGATGATGCACAAGTCCCTGAGGCACTCATTGTCCTGGTCATCGTGGTGCATTTTCAATAGGCCTCGTGTCTGCTCGTTGACAGCTGACTCGACTCCCCCCACAGCCGATGTGACGGCTTGAACATCCAGACGTAGATGCCCCAGCTTGTCGTCAATACAGGCAAGTCGTGATTTGAGAACTTCGGAGTTTTTTTGTTTGATCTTTTCACGAATGGCCTCCTCGGCCTTCTTGATTGAGTCGATCTTTTCCTGCCAGTCATCGATCTTGACCAGGTCCCTGACGAGAACGGCAGCCCAGTGCTTGTTATACAAGCATACGCTTTGCATCTGATACATAAGGAGTTTCTTGTAAAGGCTGACGATGTGCTTTTCGAGCAATTCTTGCAGTTTGATGGTGGATTCGTCGGCACCATCGGCATCGAGAAGGTCTGCCAACTCCCAATACCATTGAACCGTCTCAAGCACGTGCTTGATGCCGTCACGGTTGATACCTGGCTCGGTGACTGGGTTTGTGATGATCTGTTAGAGTTAGCTGGCTTTTCTCATATAGGCAAAATGCCACTCACCTCCATGCATGTTGTGATGCCCACCCATGCGACCGCAGCAGTCGGCTCAGTCTTTGCCGCCAACGCCACAAAGTCCTTGATGTTCTTGATGGGTTGCATTCCTTTTTTGATCTTCTCTTTCACCTTGGCCTCTCTCTCGGTCTTTCCCAACCCTTTGTCGACAAGTTGCTTCATCTGGTCTTGCCTAGTATCCGCATCTTGCTTGATCACGTTGGCGGTGCCCCCCTCCAGTGGAGCAGGATTGTCGTCACCAAGCTGAGCTGAGAGGATCTTCTCGTAGGCTTCAACTAATCTTGGCTCATCTTCTTTCACCTTGTCGTAGGCGCCATTCCAAAGTCGCGTTCGGATTGGAGTCTCCGGAGCCGGAACAGCCGGCGGAGCTTGAGGTTCTACAGTGATTGATGAAGGGGTGCTTACTGACGGCCCGGACTGAGACAGCGCTGGACGAGGCGGCGTCTCCTGGCGCGTCTCACTCGCTGGAGATGGTGATCTGCTGCTGCGTCTGGGTCGCAATGCTTGGAGCCATTTGGGCTTCATGATCGGCACAAGGGTTTCTGTCTTTGCATGGGGAGAGGAGGAATGCCACAGACGACTCTAGCTAAAGAAAGTGATGCGGGGTTTTCAACCGACAGGTCCTCGATACGGTTGCACAAGAATCAGGCTGTGAGACCATCGCCTCAAGCAGCCACAATCTTGGCTACCCAATAAGAGGACTAGTGGTGGATCTAAAAGCTTTCTTTCTAAGATATGATTTGAGACGACGTTAATCAGCAGTTTTAATGTGCAACCTATTAGGTCTTCAACCTCGCTCGGCCCATCGCCTGCGTGTTTCGAGTGTGCCTGGTGTGCGCACGTTACAGGGAGGCCTCAATCTGACTGCATGGGGTAGAGTAGGATGCCGGACAGTTGCCGAGCCTGATAATTGAGAACGTTGCCTGGAAAGTGATCTCCTAGATGGCGCCTCGTGAGACCAAGGTCCCAATCATGGCTGGAAACTGAAGCCGTTTGGTCGCTGATAAGATAAAGAGGAACGGGAAGGAGATCCATTTAAGCTTGAAGCATAACCGCATTAAGGTTCCCGTGAACACGTGCGCGCCGTTATAGCAAACTCTACTCTCACTTCAAAAAGAACGTTGCCTTTGGTCGTGATCATTGTGTAGACATTTCATCACAAGTAACTTACGGGTATCCATGGTTGGTCGTAGTCGCAAGACCCATCGTAACCTAGCGACGCACAAAAAAGAACTTGATCACGCTGGGGATCGAACCCAGAATCTTCTGATTCGTAGTCAGACGCCTTGCCATTGGGCCACGCGACCGATGCGTCGAGGGTGGAATATTTGCATTCAGGAAGTGTCACTGCGGACTCCAGACGCACTCTCGAGCGGTTCGACATGTCCATTTGACTGTCGGGAGATGGGATTTGAAGGCAAGCCACACCCACAAAGCTCCGAGTACCTATGTTTGGAATACATTGCGCTGTTGTTCAACTAGCTGAGTATGTCTAGACACTGTAGACGTCCCTCTTGGCTTCACTAACCTCACCACTCCAATGCTCCCTTGTCTTTACTACAAGCCACCCCAGAACAAAACCCCATATCCACCTCAGTCACACTCTTATCACCACTCAAGACCTGCTGGGCAGGCCGAATCTCCTTCTTGGCCGCTTCCTCAAGTCTATGGTGCTGGTTTAAGAACTTCCTCACTTGGCTTTGGAAGTAAAGAGGACCCTGCTCCATCTTGGGATGCATCTCTCCGTTGATGAACACGCCAGCGTTGAGGTTCTTTTGAGCGTTGTTGCATAGCCACTTATCTTCGCTCAGAATCCTCTTGAACATCTCGTCGATTTTCGTGAAGTCTTCGTCACTGGCGTTCTTGTGTCGATATACTTCGTATTCCATCGAACAGTGATTAGCCGACGTTGGAACACATCTCATCATGTAGAAGAAGTGCGGTCTACACTGATTAGCGGCATCACTAGAATAGACACTCAATACTTACGATACAGTCATACACGCGTTCGGGAAGTAATAGTTGCTGACGATTTTCAGGCCTTCCTCTTCCTGTTTCGCCGTGGTATTGGCAAAATGCTCAATGTTTCCACCTTTGGGGTCGACCTTGTAGGCTGAGAGATCAGCAACTGACCCAGCATCAGGATGCGCTGTCTTGCAATGGTAGCATTCGTTGTAATTGTCGGCCAAAGTCTTCCAGTTGTAGTCACCACTCATCTCCCAGGTATGGTCAAAGTGATAGTCCTCAAAGTTGAAGGATTCATGCCGCGACATCTGGTCAATCTTGTGAAAATCCTGAGACCAGGCTTCGGGTTTCTTGGAGGCGTCCAGGTTAACCCAGATGAATCCCTTCGCATCCTCATAGACATGAATGGGAAAGAGACCATTATTAGTCTTGTCGAATCCCTTCATGTCGAGATATCCGGGTGCCTTGGCGAGCTGACCGTTCAAGCCATACGACCAGCCGTGATATTTGCACGAGAGGACACTTGATTGGCCTTGTTCCTTGGTTACAATGGGAAACGCCCTGTGTCGACAAATGTTGTGGAATCCGTTGATCTTGCCATCCTTGTTCTTGACGAGAAAGAACTGGAAGCCAGCCTCTTCATATCGGATCCACGATCCGCTTTCCGGGAACCGGAGCTTATGCGTCACCAAAATCCATTTCTTGGAGAAGATGGCTCGTCTCTCAAGTTCATAGATCTCTTGTGAGCTATACCAAGAGGCCGGTAATGCTCGCGTCGTGGTCGTGAAAGAGTTTCGCCCGGCCGCACTCTTCTGGGCAGAGACGGCTTTCTTGAGAAGCTTGACTACCAAGGCCAAGACGGCGGCAAAAGCAGCGAAAGCCGAAAGGCTGCTGCTATCGAAAGAAAGGGACGTGGTGGGAGTCATGGTCGAAGGTGGCAGCAATGGGAGATGGTGGTGTCCTATTGTCGATGGGTAGTAGATTTACCTGCAACCAAAACCTTGAACAACGGGGTCCTTTTATGTCCCATATCTGTCTCGATAGCCCAAGGAACTTGTACCAATTGCAGCTATGCGACTCGTGGAGGTATCATGATCCCGGTCATGTGAGCGGAAACTCAGTCTCGAAGGATATGGCATCTATCAGAGGTGAGGTTTGCACGGGATGGCCGGGTGGAATCCGTGAGAAATCCCGAGGGGTAACCTGAACTTTGTGGTAGTATCCATCAGTTCTCCGCGGTGATAATAACAAAGCGAAGGAGGTCACAAAGGGGGCGTCAGTTGACTCTACCACATGTCTTGCCCTGACATGGAACAGCGTGACAGGTCAAGAACATCTTCTTTATTCCAAAAATTCAAGCGAAGTTTTAGGATGAAATTCGATATGTTTGCTGTCTGTACTATCGTGGACATCAATACGTGTAGCTCACAGATTACTCATGTCCCACCAGTCCAAGTCAGTAATAGGGTTCGTGCTCATACGCATCATCTGCTCCCAAGGCCCCCACAGTAGATCAAGACTGTTCCTATCATATCCCATCTCCTCAATAGACCCGGAAGGGGCCACATGCCTTTGCTCTTGCAACGACTCTCTTGTGCGGGACTCCGCAGTGGGACAATCCGATCTTGACGGTAGCCATTCTGGAGGCGAAGCATAGTGTGCTGTGGACTCCCTCATATCGGTTGGAGAAGAGTGTATCTCGGACTCATTTGTTGCTCTGTATTCATCATCATTGAACCCTGTCTCGCAGAGGTCTTTGTCGTTTGATGCTTCACCGGGGTAAGCTGGGAACTGTGGAGCGGCGATATCCATGATCATCCACATCAATGACTTTTTCGCTGCAACCGGAGCTGCTTCCGCTTCCTTTCCGTTCGACGCACTCACAAGATCAATGAAGTGCTCCAGGGCGCGCGACTATTGTAAAAGGTCAGCCAAAGACATGCTTCAACGCCCGAGCAGGAACACCAACCATCGTCGCACAAAGCGGCCAATGCGCAGCCATCTGAACAATAAGTCCCTGACAAATCTCCAAGTTGCTTGTCGCCGAGTTCTTCAAGGCATCATCATTGCTGCGCGTCCAGTACAGATGTAGCGTTCCAGCAATGGCTGCCGCCTGGGCGAAGAACGGGTCTGCCAGTTCGAGGCCTTTCTCGTTGGCAACCCTTATCAATCGGGAGATCCACGTGCAATGGCGGAGTGCTTTCTCAAAAGATCCCCTCCAGAAAGTGTTTGACCCCAATCTCTGTTTGGAAGACTCGGGCGAGTACAGAAACGGGTGATTTAGAACGCAGTGAATGGCGTGGTAAGTAACTTGCAGCCTGAGCCATGGCAGCCAGTCCGCTCGCCTCTCTCGAATCTCTTGGGGAGAACGTTCCGGGAAGTTTACCATGTTGTAGCTCAGCGAGACAGGAAATGACGTCTCAAATTCCAGAATATCTGAGCAGAGTACCGCGTAGTCCGAGGTCGGTTGCCAGGGAGCAGTGATGGCATCTTCGAAGCACCGCGATATGTAGAGTCTAACCGCTCCCCATAGACTGCTAATTCGCGTAGAGTGAGACCAAATATGGGGTAGGGTTTGTTCTCCCCCAGGTTGGGATTGTTGAGGGAACGGGGAACAGGTCACGGACGCCTTCCATGTTTGAATAGTCGAGTAGTTAGGGTTTTGGGCGTCCGCGGAAGAGGTGGGAGAGAGGACTGGCAGTCCGTAACATGCATCTATAAGATTGATACTCCAAAATAATTTGGAGTGCTCCTCGGTGGTTGAGGAGTTGTTCTGACCTTGGTGGCCAAGGGTCAAGTACTGTAAAATGTTCTTTGCCAGCGTAGTGTTGAGGCCAGCCAGGGGGACGTCGCCAGCTGTTCGATGTTAGCAGGCATCATTTGTTTGAGGCGTGCTACCTGCAAATTAGATTGAAAAAGGCTAGCAAACAGAGTGCTTGAACACTCTGCAAGTCGACAATCCCTTCAGCGACCTTGAGCATGATCAATCTTCGGGAAGTGTTCCCGTAAAAGACTGGACTCCTCAAGTCGGTGTCGGAGAGTCCGGCGTCACCATAGGTCACGCTCAACGCCAGGATGACACAGATGAGTTCCACGCTGGAGCCTGGTGTTGGTGGGGACTCGGTGTCGAACAACCAGAGTGGCTGGCGATGTATCCGTGTGAAGTGGATCTCGATTGCTCTTGTGATGGTCTCTCTTGATAACCTGACTCACGGATATTAGTGGGTGTCTGTCTAATAGGATGGAAGGGAACTCACAGCGACGTGGGGGATGCGTAGATTGACGATGGTGAAGAGGCCAATGTCGTTGACTCTACACCGGGGGCTGAACAGGGGGTAACATGTTGTGTCCCCAGGGGCCTATAATTGGTTGTTAGAGTATAGTCCATGCATCCACTCCCGTTTTACCCAATATTCCATGCCTGCCTTGACGTACTCTACCCTGCTGATGATCCTATCGAGCTTCTCTTCCAGCTGGGTAAGACGGTTCGCCTAATGCCGTCAACGAGAGAACAGTCCATAGCAATAGGATCAACTGTACCACTCTAGTCTCAACTCCCGCTACAGCCTGCCCACTGTAACCTCCATCGGCGTAACAGCAGGTTTGACCAAGTCGGGTGCAGGCCGAACATCTTGGCTTCTGGCCTGGACAGCGTACCTTCTTTCGCCTGCAATTGTCGCAAGCTTGGGAGACGCGTCTGTAGTTCCGTGCCCTACGTGTGTTCATGGTGTTCTCTGCTTGAACCGGGTCAATTCGAAGTCGAGAGAGTGAGACCATATTCTGAAGGTTGAGGGGGATGAACGGAGATTCCGGTCATGTGACCGGAAAGAATCCGTCTCGGTCCCGATCGGACATGCCAACGCCGGTGGATTGACGCACAGTGAACCACTCACTGGCCAGGGAATACGATTGTCGCCCTATGTCTTTCCCCTGGACGATGAGAGCAAGTCGTGAATACCTTCATCAGGTAGAGTTGCAACTCCATAGCTCAAGGTTGTCCGGCAGGGTCTGAACAGGAATAAGGCTATCCTAGCTGGGGATCTTCGGAGGCATCAAAAGGATGGCCCGAGGAGATTAAGCAGGATGCATCAAATAGGTTACCAACAACTCTACTCCGCACCATCTCGGGGTCGGCTAAAGCCACATCGAAGAATGTCACGAGGGACCGGCGTTGAGACGGGATGCCCGCCCGGGCCGAAGTGGGGACGGAGCGGGGACGGAGTGCTCAAAGCCGTAAGCCCGTATCAGAGAGTCAATGGCAGGTGATGGTATGGGATTATCAATGATCGATCTGGGTTTAAAAAAGTGATAACGCAAGACCAGTCTCGAGGTGAGATGAGGGCATTACGGGGAATAAAACAATTGGCTCGGTGCCGTCATCAGCACAGGGAAGCATAGACTCAGCTCATCAAGAAAACTGGTCAACTGGAGCGACAGGCATCAGTGAATGACACTTCGTCGTAAACGCAGGGCCCTTCATGGCCTCAACGCCCCTTGTTGTCATTGTATCCATATTCATGCTTAATCATGGCATCGATAATCTGATTTCCCTCTGCGATGCTGTCCGGGTCCACTACCGGGCGCTTGTTAGCGATGCTTGAAGGGGAACTTGTTTGCTGAACTCACTTCCAAGGCCCTAGCTGTACTGAAAAGCGGGGCGGTCTCCTCCCCAGCTATCCTTGATGACTCTGGAACGGGAGGGGGGTTCGCCGCCAGAGCTGGCTGTGCCTGAGCTCGTGGTGGTGGAGTTGTTGGTGCTTTGACTATTCGTCGACTGATTGGCTTGTTGGGAAGGCATCGTGGCGGAGGTAGCAGGTTGGTGGCAAAAGAGAATCAGGTATTGCCCTCGTGTAACCAAATGGACGTTGAAGGGGCACGGTTTTGTCAATCAACAAGGATCGAGGGACCAGGAAGAGCGGTGAGTTCCGACGTTTTTCCGGTTTCGATGATTCGCTCTTGTCGTTCACCACCACACTTCAGGTGAACTTAGGCTTGAACTGGGCTGGTGATAGTGGCATGTCTCCCACGCATATTAAACAGCGCATGTTACTGTTCACTTGGGAGAATCATTGCAGATATTAGAGAAACATACTATAAAAACCTAGGATTTTAATTATATAGGGTCTAATTTGTTCACAAACTGTAAAATTGTGGGAGTTTAAAAAAACAAACCCTCTGTGGGTAGATTACCCTATAGCCGCGTGTCTTTATATTTGGCCAGTTTTAGCATTGGCTATCTTGCTTTGGCCATCAGATTTGCCAAGGGAATTACTGCAAAGAAGGTAAGAAGAACGGCGCCTTTTTCGGTTGCCTACCTAGGCGAGATCCAATTGCACACTTAGAGGCGGCCAGCAAGGTACGACAGAAATTCTCGCCCACCAGTCATGTAGTTTCTCCCAAGTAAGATACCAGATAGAAACGAGAGCCATAGGGTGTCTTCTCCGCCTAATATATTTTTTTAGTACCCTCTTGAGGCGGACGGCATAGCATGATACTGCTGGTCTTGATCGTGGCTCTGCCCATCAACTCCAGAATACTGAGGTATGAAACTATCGGGCATGTTCTGCTCATAGCCCTGCTGTGCGTACGCAAGCACTGGCCTAGGTCGAGGACCTTCAAACACCAGGCGGGGAAGGGGATAATATCCGAGCGTCTGTACGATCGGGTATCTGGTCGCAACGGCTGGGGCAAAAGAAGCGGGATACGATGGATAGGGCGTGCCGTATGGTGCGTAGCTTCGGCGGCAACAGTGGGACGATGTTGAGGAAATGTGGAGGTGTACTGCTGAGTTGTGAAGTAGGTTGAACGAGTTGCACGGTGTGCGAAATAACGATCAGATTGGGGGATAAGACGGAGTTGATAACCCCGGTGCACATCTAGTGGCGTCTCTTCGACGAGACTGTCATTGTTTCCACGGCTGTAAAAAGCCATGAGTGCTGTAGCGGCGTTCTGTTCAACCCCGAACTCTTCGTTGGACTTGTTGATCTCGTTCTCGGCGAATAGTGCAGGCTCGTCGTAGGCTGTCTGAACTTGATCGTCGTCGTTATCGCCCTCAATGTCATCTTCATCTTCGCTTTCCTCGATGACTATTTGATGATGTGAGTTAGCTTTCCACAATTACTCATGTCCCAATCACGAACCGACATACCACCTCTGTGTCGACGATGTCGTCTCTTGGTTCAGCAGGAACTCGAAGGCGCACCCATGAACGACAACGGAGAAAAGATTTCAGACTGAGGGAGTTGGAACTCCAGTTGGAGGACCACTGCTCCTCATGGTCTGGGGAGAGACTCAGAGAAAAGTCCTTCTCGAGGTTGGCAGCGCGAAGGGCTGTGCTGGCTTCGCGCGGGCGTATCGCTGGATCTGCCGAGCACGGCAGCGAATGAAGCCAGAAGGCATTCTGTTGGTAGCGGTGAAGGGGGAGTTGCAATCATATCAGGAGACACTTGGGCGGGTTTATAGATGACGTACTATAAGGATGGGAACAAGATTGCTGGACTCGCATTTTATTATCGTCTTGCTCACAGTCATCATCCATTGTGTCGAGCTCTTTCACGAATTCCAACCCACAACCGTGTGTGAGAGGCAGAGCCCACAAAATTCGCGGCAATGCGCGCAATCACTCATCTATCCGTCTTCGCCATGCAGCTCTCCCTACCCACCTATTGGGTCTCTACTACGGGAGGCGACACGGGCGCGCGATATCAAACGGGAAGTTGAGTGAGACGAGAAAAGGCGGTCAGCGTCTGTTAGTCTTGGAGTTTTCGCCCAGATTCAACTAAAGACCATTTAGACAGTAAATTTTCAGGTTATAGAAGACGTTGCTGATGTCAATTGGCCGGGACGACGACCTAACTGACTGCCGGATATGCCTGTCAAGGTATGGGGATATCACGACGGTCTGTAGACGGGCAAGGCTCTAGACTTTCGAAACCTGAGAGAGATGCTAGCCAGCTAATTAGAGTCTCCTCTAATTGTATATAGCTACAAGAAGCAATTCTTACCGAATGAAAATGAGGGCATGTGCTGTTATTCGCGAAGGTGTGTCCTGTCCTGGTGTCAAGGATGCCATTGTTACACAGGATCAGGCTGTGTCTTGATGACGTGTCGCACTGTCCGTTCACTCTCATTGGTATTAATAAAGGCAAGAATGTCGCCTGCGCAAGAGACTCTAAGGGGGATTATATCGGGAGGTTGAAACAGCCATGGTAGATATAGTTCATAATGCAATGCCCAAGGAATCCAGACACATAGATAACAAGCTCAGGCTAAAGAATGCCACGACCACGAGCGGCTTATCATTGGTTTTTTTTATGCCCGATACTTTACCGAATAGCCAGTATTGTGCCGTGCCTACAGTAGGTGTAGAGTAAACAATGAAACAATGACCCGATAGATCTTGGTGTAGATGCCTTGGACGATGTCTGGGTCGCAGGCGGCTGGGGCGCTGTGACTTGGGCGTGGTGCATGAATACATTAGCGAGAGAGGCCCTGTCAGTGCCACAGTGTTCCGCATTAGTTGGCCCAATATCGAGTTCCGGCAAATTCGTAAGTTATTATTTAGGCCGCTGAGAAAATTGTAAAATAATTCCATTTCGTGTTGCTATTAAGAGATAAAAGTCACCCACCAAGCCATAAATGGTGGACGCGCAAGCTCTGTATGTCGCATCCTTTCACAACAATTGCCTTGCCTGTTTTACAATTTATCTCTGTGGTGCTTTGGCCTGACCATCGTGCCCTGGGAGGACAAGACTGATATTCGGTGGGAAGCTATTGACAAACTCGATGTGCGAAGTGGTGAGACGACGCTGGCATGCGTCGAGAGCTTTGTTTTTTGTCATGTCATTGTGGCTGATGACTTCTTTGGAATCGCGGGGCAGTCTCACAGTGAGCAGCGGACGAAAAAGCAACAGGTGAATACAGCGCTCGACCATCTTGGCTGATGCTTGGCACATAGGAAGTGTGTGCTGCTATTTACCCTTAGTTACTGCTGATCCAATGCCATCTTTATTCTGCATGGTAGATTACTACGGGCAGCCCGGTGGCCCCCCTGCTTGGGGTGTTTATGAGAGCGGAATGCCTATGCAGCCTCGTCACAGATTTAGCCGTGACGTACGAGAGGCTGATGGCGCAACGGGCCAATAGCATACGAGTCCAGGGCATTCAATAATACATAAATATGCAGTTATCTAGGCTTCCTTTTCAAAACCAGGCTGCGAGAAGTTGTCCCAATTTGAGGCTTTTTTTGTGCACATTCTGCAGTGTGATCATCGCGAACAATTGATCGATGATGATGCTCGGCTCAAGCACCCCCCTACCGACAGCGGTGGTGCTGCTCCTTGCACAGGGAGTGGTAGCCGCAGAGGGCTCAGCCGAGTTCACCTTGAACCTCTTTACCGATATAGCGCCGTGGGTCTATCAGTTCGTCCCCTGGATATGTCCTGACATGTCATTGCAGAATACTAGCACTGTTTGGAGAACAGTTTGCACAGCAGTACCTCAGTCAAAGCTTCACCTGGCTCGATCACTTGATCTTCGCTTGCGTTCCCCTAGGAATCATCACAGCGCTCGCGGGCGCTATTCGCACACGTGGCCCTAGACTCGCCCGATCATTTATTGGTCGAGCCCGAGAGAACCTGGCGACTGTCGAGATTGGGCTCATGTCATCAGTCTCCCATGAGGTCTGCGAAATGTTCAACGGAAGTGGTATCGTGAGAACATTGGGACGATCTACGCTGATGCAAATCATCATATTTCCGGATGTGTATGATGCCGTCCAGACAGGTGCATCTGAGGATCCGTCGTGCGGTATCCATACGCTCCAGACAGCGCTTCGGTCTGGCGATAGAGCGGGATTTGCTATGGTTCGGTCGAGTGAGTTCGCTTTTGCCAACATCGGAACTGTCACTGCGAGCTGACAGGAATATTCTCCAGAGTATCAAGGGAAAGCCTATCAACGACTTCAAAGACTCTGGGACCCAGAAAACATCACAAACAAAGACCCACACGGTCAGCTAGAAGAGCCATTCGACTTCAAATGCCCACCAAATCTTCAGCTGAACGTCTCAACCGGCCAGTCCTCCCGCTCAAGGAAGACAGCTGAGCTGTTTGTAGCCTCCATTACTGGGATCGCTCTTCAGCTCTCATTATTTGCCATCGCCGCCGCTGTGGCTTACCATGATCGCACTAGCAAGGTGGTCGGGTCTAAGAACCACCCGTACGGATTTCCTTGTTACACTGCTGGATCTGTCCTGCTCTGCGTTGGCATGGCTATCTGTTCTGCCGCCGTCGAAAGTAGTACTGATGAGTTTGTATGGACCCCTTCCGCAAAAGGAGAAGAAGAATCAAAGCCCGGAGAGAACTCGCAACAAACCCATGACCCGTTTATCGTTTGGATTCAACAATCTCAAAGTGTGGGTGACCAGACATTCGACTCTTACGCCATCCTTGGAGGATCAAAACCATACGTCCTGACATCAACCCGCAGCAAGGACTTGTGGACTGTGGAGAGTTCAAGGATGCCCTCCCGCACGGGCTCTGCCGATTCTCAAGACGGCAAAAGGCGCTGGTGGGAGACTATTACACTCTTGGGCGTGCTCCTTGGTTCTATGGGATTTATTGTTCAATTCATCGGCCTAAGAGGACTCCCATGGCCTGTTGCCGTGTCGCAGCTTCTTGCCATTTTAGTCATGGCCCTTGTCAGGGCTGTGATCCGGCGTGGGGTTGGAATCATTCCTTTAGCTTGTCAAGCGTTACCAAGTTACGAGCTTGACTTTGTTGCGACCAGGATCGTGTTCTACCCCGGCTTTCGCGAATTTAACGACGGCGATCCAGCCAATGAACACTTAAAAAACGACAAAATCAGAGAGGTGTGCCGGTGGAGGGTCATAACAGCAAGTGAGGAGCGAAGACTGACGCCACATACAAACTCCAAGGCTGAACGACTGCAAGACGACACAGGATCAAGGCAAGAATCGCGCACACTAGGGCCTCAGGCCGGCTCCAGCCAACAACTTGTTAACGTTCGCGAGAGACTAGGAGACTTGTGCAAATGGAAAAGCAGCGTATCTCAGATGGCAGTTGCTTTGGCCCAGTCAGTGGAGCATTTCATGAACATCTTCTTTGAGAAGCTTGTCTCGGAGGAGAAAGAGTTTGACAAGATCATATGGGTCATCGAGACCAGTGACCTTTCGGGTGATGGAAACGACGCTATAGAGGACACGACTGTTCTCATTGAGAACAAGAATGGGAAGTGGATCGCTGAGCTTGGAAAGATTGAGGCGATAATGTCGCTTTGGATGGCCAGCATGCAGGCGGAACATCTTGACCTCAAGGAAAAACGCGATACGGCTGACAACCGCTTGATCCCACAGCTTGGGGATTGGAGACGAGCCAGCAGCACCAAGGTCAAGTTTGGTAGGATCGTTGGTGACTTTGGAAAAGGACACAGTACACTGAAGCGTGATATCTCGTGGTGGGTTGGCGACCATATTGTCTCGGAATGCCAAGCAAAGCATGAGGCCTCTCACCAAGGTGGAATGGACGACTCGGGCCTCTTGATTGGGTTCGATACACCCGCACAAGGTCAGATGTTGTGAACAAGAGGTATGACTATGTAGTCCGTTGTCGCTGACATACAAGTTTCTCTAGGGAATCTGCAGTCTCGTGGTTTGTCTCATCAAAGAATGATTCACTCGTCGAGTGCGTCTTTACCATCCATCATGGCACAACATCTCTTCACGAGTTTCACCTGGGTAATCTCGGAACGGATGCCAAAGAACTCGCTACACCAAGGAGAAAGCAATGCCCAAGATTTCGTCAAGGTTAATTCAGACACAACCTTTGATCCGGATAACTTGCTTTCCACGTGGGACAAGCCCCGTCTAAGCCATTCCAAGCTTTCAAGCATGGCAAAGGAGCTAGAATCCGCAGGGCTTGGGACATCAAACGACATTCTCTTATGTGTGATCCCAGCACTAAGTTGTAGGGATTTGCTCCCCAATGAGGTGATACTTGGGCTCATGCCCTCGATTTCCCAGGGCATTCGACAATATGGCTGGCAGCAAATGGCCTGGCTATACAACCAATTATTGACGGTGTGTAGCGGCCTCGATGGTGAGCATTTTGCGACGGCAGTCCTGGTGGACACCATCGAGTTCATAATTCTATGCTCGGAAAACCACGAGTTGATCGACAAACTTGGGGGACTTCCAGGCTACATTGCCGAGAAATTCCCAGAAACTCTGACGCAATTGGCACCGTGCTACAGGCTGCAGAACCGGCAACGTCAGCTCTACGAGCTTTTCAGGCGCTGTGGGCTCGGTGATATTCTCCCGAAAGCCATGTTACCAGATCAGAACATCATTGAAGAGCAGGAACTTTTTGATACTCAAAGATCTCGTAGGTTCACATGACTAGGCATGCTCTATGAGGCGGTCCGTTTGACTGACCAACTCCAGAGAACGAATCGATGGAACCCGATATCTTCGGATGGACATCATTGCACTATGTTGCGTCCGTCCCCGCTCAAGAGCGCACCAGGCTTACAGGAAAGTCATACAGGGCTATTTGGAAAGACAAGGTGTATTTGTGCCTGGACAAGTCTCAACGGAGTGCCTTTCACGTTGCGGCTTCTTCTGGTTACCGGGACTTTCTCGCCGCATGCTTCAACAGTAATGAGACAGATGCCCGCAGAAATGCCATGCGCACAGGTGGACTGGATGGCAAGACACCGCTGCATCTCGCCGTGGAGGGCCAGCACCTTCGTTGTGTTAGGCTGTTTCTCAGGCGCGAGGCACCCTGCGTAGCCGATATCTGGGGACGAACCCCTGTCCATACCGCAGCCCGTAAACGGAACTACGAGATTGGGAAGGAGCTCTTAGCCCGGTTTCCGGACCCTCTTCAAGTTGACGAACTTAGAAATACCCCGCTGACCTACCTTCTGAGAGATGAGAACGACCTGATAACAGACCAAAGCCGCAGAGGCTTTGCCAAGCAGCTTATGGAAACGTGGAAGATGGCCAAAGATGACGATGGGAGCGGAAGCTCTCTCCTTCACTACGCGGCCGCTTTCTCTGATGAACATGAAGTTGAGAGCCTGGTAGAAGAATTAGGAAACGTCGACATTACAAACACACGAGGCCAGAAACCACTGCATCTGGCTACCTTCGAGGGGAGGACGGCGGTGGCAAAAAAACTCATCAGTTTGGGGGCACAGGCCGGAAGACTCGATGACAGAGGCTGGAATGCATTGCATTACGCAGCGGACTGCCGAGGCGCCGAGCCTGATATCGTATCCTTGATCTTGAATACTCAAAGGGACACGATTAACACTACCACCAAGAAGTCGCTCAAAACGCCCTTGCACATGGCCGCCGCGGCAGGCAATGCTTCGGCTGCCATGATTCTAGCATCTGAAGGAGCGGAGCTCAACGCTCGGGATAAGGACGGGGATACACCACTGCAATCGGCGTTAAAGAAAGACCAGAAGGAGGTGATTGACGAATTGCTGCACTGTTACGGAGCCCTCGACTATTTGGAAGAATCCAGATTAGATGGCCTTGATCATGTTGGCCTGGCTATCAGACGTTGCAACACGGAATGTCTTGGGACTGTCCTTCTACATGCAACAACCACCATTTCGATGCGAATACATGGTCTGAAGGCCATGATCACTGGCCGCGACTGGAAAGTTGACGATGCGGGGTTGTTTGGCCTTGTCTTGGGGAGCATCCCGGAGCGGCACCTATCGATCCTAGACCTCTACACACTCATCCATCTGTTCCCCACGACCACCACCAGTGATGCCCTTGATCAAGCATGGGCATCTAGACTCCATAATCTGGAGGCGCTTAAAGAGGATCCACAGGCCCTGCACGTTCTGGCCCAGAATGGGGACATAAGTACGATCAGACAACTTCTCGAGGCCGATGCAGATGCTTCCCGCCTGGATGAGGATAACTGGATGCCCTCGGATGTTGCGGACAGATGCGGTCAAATCCCGACCGGGGACGTGCTAAGAAAACACCTGGCTCGAAACAACGTTGATCTTCACAATAGGCCTCCGTATCGTGTCCCGGAGAGCATCCACGATATATACAGACACCCCGACATCAGAATAAAAAACGACAGTGACGACCTGGAATGCTCGCACTGTAAGAACTCCCAGTGGATCGGTGTGTACTAAACTAAGTGTTTGATAGCTATTTCAACTACTCTCACGAACCCGGGGCTTCCATCCGCCATGTTCCGCACCCAAGAATGCATACCGCCAAATGTTGCGCACTATTACTTTGAGGTTAGGACCTGGGGTCAGAGCAAAATCTGGTACGTATTCATGATACAAGTCTGCTGCGGCTCTGATAGGTTTCCAAATGCGCCTGGTTTAGCGGTTAACAACATCACATAGTAAATTCTACATCGGTTTCTGCAGCACTGACATGCCTCGGGGCAGACTCCCAGGTCATTACCCTGGCTCGTGGTCTTACGAGATCTCCAAAGCAATCCTGACTACATGGGCCCTCGGAGAGAAGCACCCGAGCAGCCAGACAATTGAGTCTGACGGACAATATTTCAACGTGGGATGTGGATTGAACATGTTGACAGGTGAAGGCTTTGTCACCCTGAATGGGAAACGTCTTAGTTCAGGTAAACACTTTGTCTTCCTATCAGTCGTCCAAGCTAATTTGGTCTTAGGAACTGTGTTTGGCGAGCACAAGTTCTCAAAGGGCAAAATTTACCCTTGCGTGGCCTTTTCCACCGACAGGCCCAGAGGCTTAATGGGGGCTCGTGTTATCCTCTCCTCCTCTCAAGACAGCACGTTTCTTTATACGGGCCCGTACTTCTGATCTCCCTTGGCGATTTCTCTTTTCTAGATTAGGCTTCAAGGGAACCGCTGGGGGATGCCTTTTCCTTCCGCCCGTTTGTACTGTGGACTATAAATCTATTTCCTCGTGCTCGCAAACTTGTATTTTCTTTGACTAATCGTGTGGAGTAACTACCCACGTCCTGCCGTATTCTTGACAACACTGGCCGCTGAGCTCACTCTTCAGTGAAAGGTTACATCACGGGCATAAGACGACCTAGGCGGGCCGTGAATTATTCTGCCTTGCTGCCTGCGACTAGCGCGCCCCGCTCCATAACAATTCACAGCTTTTGCTGGGACGATGACGTTGCGTGGATATATCGCCGCTTACTTGACGGCTGGAATAAATGATAACAAGTGCCTTCCCTTGAAGGGAGCTCTAGGACTTGGCATCTCAAATATGTCAACCCTGACTTCACGTTTGGCCTTTGCCTCGGCCGTCCCCGAAACCGAGGGCGCTAACACCGAGGACACCTACCTCAGCCTCGACAGTCGACAGATCCGACTTCTCACTCTTGAACCTGGGAAATACGGTGACGAGATCGTGGGTCATCTCGAAATAGTTGACCTCAAGGATGAGCCTATCTTTGAAGCTCTGTCCTACTGTTGGGGAAACAGGACTGATGTTTGCGAGATCACTGTTGATGAGCACAAGGTTTACGTTACGAGGAACTTGTACAGGGCTCTTCAGCGACTGAGATATGAGACTGTTCCCCGTCAAGTCTGGGCTGACGCCATCTGCATTAACCAAGAAGATGATGTCGAAAAGGCTCACCAGGTCAACTTAATGAGGGACATCTTTACGAGAGCTTCCGGTACCACGCTCTTTGTCGGCGATTACCAAGACGATGCAACACCTTCTACACCATTCAGCATAGAGGTCGAACCAGAAAGCCAGGCCGGAGTCGAGAACGCGGTTGCACTTATCCGCAAGCTGGCAGATGACCATCACATCTTCTACCTCGACTTCAACACCGATGCCAGCTATCTACCAGACAAGTCATTTCAGGTGTGGTACAAAGCCACCGAATGCATACGCTCTTTTGTCACCCAGCCCTGGTGGTCCCGCATGTGGACCGTCCAAGAGGCCGTCCTTCCAGCCGACCCAGCCGTGCAATACGGAGCCATCAAGTTGAGTTGGATGGTCCTCAGTCAGGCCGTGGAGAACATGTTTGGGCACTTTCAGAGAAGATGCTGCAATATGAAGGTCCGAAATGATTTGGCTGAGGAACCGCCCATCGTCACCTTTTACAACAAGGTCTCGGCTGTTGATCGACGAAGAGAAGATCCACTGCCGCTGAACATGCTCTTGGGCAGATTCCGTGGTCGTAAAGCGACTGACCCCAGAGATATGATCTATGGAGTCCTCGGACTTGCGCATGACGAGGCTGCCACAGCTGGGATCGAAGCGGACTACACCATTGAGACGGTGCAGTTGTATGCCCGGATAGCTCGCAAGTTGATACAGCTACACAGCGATCTCCGGCCGTTTATGCAAGTCTATCACTTCCAGGGAGACCGTCTTCCTGGACTTCCTTCATGGGTTCCAGATTATTCGCTCGGTGGTGATTGGGAGTACTACTCGGTCGCGCTATTGTACGTTCAGGACTTTTGGAAGCCCGTCGACTTGACACCCTTTCAGCCTCCCAATGGGGACAACCCTTTGGAGTTAGAAGTGTCTGGAATTCTCTTTGATGAAATCGTTGCTGTTGGTGACGCAGTAACACCTTGTCCGAGGAAGCAGATTATGGAGGTGTTCGACAAGTGGATTGACCTGGTTCGATCTCTCAGATACTGGACCTCTCGATATCCCAACGAAGAGGGCACATATGAGGACAACATGTGGATGATACTCTGCCGTGGTCTGATTTGGCAAAGCTCCCATGACTACCGGATGGCAACCCACCAAGACAGACAGCTTGTGGAGGTCGAAATTCCGACAATTCCAAATGGAAGGCCGGTAAACATTGACCTGCAACTGTTGTACTATCAGCGGTTCTTTATCACACGCAAAGGCTACATGGGCTTGGCGTCTCCCGATATTGAAGTCGGAGACATAGTTCATGTCTTGGTTGGTGGCAATACGCCTTTCGTTATGAGAAGAGCTGGACAGGATCTTGACGCACGGGGCAACTGCTTTTCTCTCGTTTCGGCAGCCTTTGTCCATGGGATCATGCAGGGTGGCCTATTGCCCAAAGATGACGAGCTGGAATCATTCACGCTTGTTTAGCACTTTTCTCCATACACACTCTGTCGAATAGCATCTGAGCACTGGAACTCGAGCGGTATAAAATACACGAGAAATACTGCAGTAAGTGCCTGAGGGAGGTTTGGTCATGCCCTTGACAGCCAGTTCTAGAAAGAGAGACAATCGTATCTGAATTCTGGCACATATGGACAACCCATCTAAGTTATTCAGCCCCCTTGTCTTGCCCTCAAAGTTCCCACTGTTTCATCAAAGTGTTGTCCTCAATTTCCTTGGCAAAGTTGACCAGGTGTGTCGAGTGACACCAAGGCTTGATCTCTTCCTCCTTCCGAATCGTGCCAGAGAAGAAAGTGCACCACTTCAATCTAGGATGCGCTTCATTGATTTCAGCGCGGGTAGACTCATGAAGCATCTTACCGAAATCCTTGACATGAGGATGATATCCCGTGTTGTCGTATGTTGTCGCGAGCTGGATAAGCTGCCCAAAGTATGTAATGGTTCCGTCGACCCCCATGTCCTCATGGCGGATGATGGCTTCAGAGGTTGCTTCGGCCTGATCTTTGGTGGCTCCTATGTCCTTGAGGATATGGAGGGCTTTGATGCCGCCGTAGATGTCAAAGGACATGCGAGTCGCAGTGAGATTCTCTTCGGCGGTACCAATGTCATGTAAGAGGCACGTCAAGGCCCAGCTGGAGGGGTTCACGACAGAGTATCGCTCAGGAAACTGCTGCTTTGTGATGGCCATGCCTGTAATCTACGTCAGCTGAGTATATGGGGTTATAAGTGTTTGGTCTGTACCAATGTAGTAAACTCGCATCGAGTGGTTGAACGTCTCGGGGTGAAGCCGTGCCTTGACGTAGTCGACCGTCTTTGCAACAATCGGATCGTCAGATGGGAACCTGATGTCATTGATGGACAAGGGACCAGGCTCATTGATGTAAGGCTTGTCGCCGAAAATAGCTCCCGCATCAGCAGGGGTACTGGTCCAGCCGTTGGCACCAACTTCGTCTTGAGACATTGTGAGTATGACCCGGAATTACCGACTTCCGCTGATATACCAAAGAAGAGAATTGATTTGAGACCAAGAGGAGTTTGAGATGTACTTGTGGCAGAGGAAAAGATCAGTCATAAGTCCACGTGGTAGCCGACATATCAGGTATTACTGACGTAACACACCATCGACATTGATAACATCGAGAGGGGATTTCTATCAAATGCCCATCTTAATGGCTATTTACCGAACTCAGCCGGCCGCCGGGGAATGGCCGCCGGCTTGATGTGTCATCGCCAAGTTCAAGAATAACCCTTCTCCAATCGTTGAGGGCGCAGAATGTCGCCTCTTGCCAGTAATAAACTTAGTGAAGATTTTTCATGGAGATAAACTTTGACGCGGCATGTAAAGCTTGCGCCTTATTCTGCGCCCTAGTGTCAAGAGCGTGTAAGTACGTGGAAACGAGGAGATTCCGCAAGCCATAACCGAGGATAGAAGACGAGCCCGAAATCAACAACAGAGCTCGATAAGCGACTATGAAATATCGTTCTAATGGATTGATACTGGCTGTTGAAAGCACAGACAAGCAGATGGGCTGAATAGCAGAGGTGTGACCGACTTGAGTTGTCGATGAGTTTTATCTGGTGTGCATGCCAATAAACCAAGTCAAGAAGAGCATCAAATACTCCATTAACGTACAAGCTTACTTCAAACTAGTATTCTCTCCTTCATGATAATTAGCATGCGGGAGAGCAGGGAGATACAACGAAGCATTTAACACTAACCTTGGTGGTAACACATGTTAAGAAGTTAACTGGCATGAGATTTTTGCTCACGACTTGGGACAGACGAAGCTGACATTGATCCAGGTATATCGAAAGGCATCAATGCTGTTGAGCAAACTCTATAGCTGCTGTAGTAATCGGTGCCATCTGCGACTTGCTCTGTCGACCCGCCAGGGCGGCCGGAGAAGAAAGATTGCTTTAGCCGCTTGGAAGATCCCAGGGCCAGTTAGAGTACCAATACATTCAATGTGATGAGTTGCGTGATCTTGTGGTGCGCTCACCGAGATGTTACTCTGCTCACTTTTGATGTAACCTTCACGGTGACCCGAGCTTGATCAGGTGGCCAAGCCGGTCGAAAGGAAAAGCAGCTGAATCGAGAACTGTGTCCAATAGCCCTCCTTAAAAATAAGGTTTACATCTCATGTTGAAGAGCATTACCTTGAAGTGGAAAACTCTACGGAGGATGAACAGAGTGGCCCAAGAAGGAAACTGCCAAGTTCATGATGAGATGTCTTGACCTGCGATGGATAATGCATGAAGATCAGGAGAGCTTTCAGCCTAAATGTTTCCCCACACTTGAGGAGTTACATCAGATTAAAGTGGCATTGAAAAAGGTAACTTGAACTGCCGGCTCCATGACACGGCTGTTGGCCACGGCTAGATGGGTTGAAGCGGATGTCACTCTGCCCTGCAGATTCGATGCTTGCATTTAGCCTGAGCTTGCTTTGGACCACTGCTACCTCCTAAAAGACATCGGTCAATCCAATTGAAGAGCTGCGACGTGTGCCTGTAACCACCCTCCTGAAGCCTTGCATGATCCGCTCGAAAGCCGCCACCTTTCACGTATGCCGACCGCTTCCTTAATGACCTCGAAATTCCTATTGCGTGATAGTAAGGATTCTCAGCGCAAGAAAAGAAATCTTAGGCCTTGAAAAATCTTGGCTCACAAACCCGAGATCCTCCGATAGGGGTGTTTCATGACGCGCTTTGTCTCCATCTGATCTTTAACATGTTTCTCCGATTACAACTGAAAATTTCTATTTCAGATGTATATACATGATCAATGCTAGGAACATGTATCAACTTGATAGATCAGGATTCCAGGGAGGTTATTCCCGCCTCCTTGTTGGTCACTCATATTTCACCGCCAAACATCTCCAGAGCCTCAAGTTACCCCACGAATGAGCTTCGAACAAGCATTTAAACATGCTACAGCACCCACAAGAAGCTCCTGAAGAATTTCTCCCAGTGGATACATTTACCAATCCCGTTTCACGATGAATGGCTTAGATGCAACCTAACAAGCGCCCGTGAATCCTCCCGTGTGGAGAAGCCCGTTTCATACAAATAAAGCCAAGATCTCGCCTCGGCGCCAGCGAATCTACGGAAAATCGGGTCATGTTCCCGTTTCCTGGGGCCACGGGATCTGTTCGAAACGTGGGCATATGACTTGCGGCTCGGAAAATTCACCCGTAGTCCGCGAAGACATGCATCTCATTGGTTGCGTGGAGTATAGCCTGAAGGTGATCGACCACGCCACCGCTGTACATGAAACCTTCCATTGCCTCGGAATAAGACGTGCTCCTATAGGATGGTCTTGGTAGGTGACATTAATCAAGCCCTTGTCGAGACCTGGTGGCTCTGTTGGGTAATTCGGATCTTCACTCTCCTTGCCAAGTCCCCAAACTTGGCTCCACGTTTAGAGTTTTACGTATACTCCGTTACAAATGCGGTTAGTGGTATTATAGTCGAGGCCTTGGCTATAGAGGCTCAGTTATGCATATCGAGGTTCCTTGTATAGTAGGGGGCTTCACATTCTTCAAGCACAGATATAAGAAGGGTTTCTGTCCCTAGCTTTATCATTCCTCAGCTCAAAGCAATCAACAGCAACTCGACTCAGCCCAAGATCATTCACAATGCATCACGCCAGCCTTTCTCTCGGTCTTCTCACTGGCCTCCTCGCCGGAGCTGCCAACGCCCACGGCCACGTCAAGTCCATCATCGTCGCAGGCGGCCAGACCTACACTGGTGGTCTTCCCTGGAACGCTCCTGCTGATGCTGTTGGATGGTCTGCTGGTAACCAAGATAACGGCTTTGTGGAACCCAATGCCTTTGGAACTGCCGATATCATCTGCCACAAGAACGGCAAGCCTGCTTCCAACGCTGCCACTGTCGCCGCTGGGGATACCCTCACATTGGTGTGGGACACTTGGCCAGAATCTCACAAGGGTCCTGTGATTGAGTATCTTGCTCCCGTCTCTGGAGACTTCACAAGCATCAACAAGGCCAGCCTCTCGTGGACCAAGATCTCTCAGAAGGGCCTTATCTCCGGCTCTAGCCCCGGAACCTGGGCTGCTGACCAGCTTATTTCCAACGGCTTCTCTTGGACCGTCACGATCCCCAAGAACCTCAAGCCCGGCAACTATGTTCTCCGCCATGAGATCATCGCCCTTCACTCCGCCGGTCAGGCCAACGGAGCTCAGGCCTACCCCCAGTGCATCAACCTCAAGGTCACTGGCAGCGGTACTGGTTCCCTCCAAGGCTCGGGCGCTTTCACCACCTTCTACACCCCTCAGGACCCTGGCATCCTGTTCAACCTCTACCAGTCCTTCAGCAGCTACCCTATCCCCGGACCCGCTGTCCAGACCCCTTAAGCAGGATCAACTCTGGTGTAGTACGACACCTCTTTTCAAGTTGAATGCGCTGGAATCGTGGACTTGAAGGAGCTGCTTGAGATCAGCTGGTCTTTTCTTCTTCTCTTGTCACTAGTTGAATCATTTTGAAGGCATGGTAGTGGCCAAGAGCTGTGCCTGTCAGTAAATACTTTGTACTCTCAGAATGTCGATGCGAGCAGGATGGATATGCAATTTAGTTGCAGCCTACGGCATAACGGGCATTGTCGCCTCGCAACGCTATGTATATAAGAATGAACAACGTTAAACCCGCCTGACAATGTACGCCGTGATTCAACTCAAATCCCTAAGATCGGACCATGAAACGTCTAGCAGCAGGGATGTACTGTCCCTCTCGTAATGTGTTCTTTATTATAGTTGCAGCCCGGCCCTTGATGGGCTCACTGTGCTAGAAGATCGCTGTCCCTCTCGGACGACACCCCGTTTTTGGCAGTTGATGAAAGGATTCGCTGTAAGACCTTATGACTGACGGCACCATATTTAGAGATCCCACCCCGGCTTTGCACTTAAATAAGGGTTAAAGGGCCACTGATGGGTAGTCAGTTTGGATGTCTAGTGGTATTCTATTAACTTCAAGAACAACGGCGTCTTTTTTTAACCACGCGACACTCGACTGCCCTATGTCTAAGATTCGTCCAATAAACGAGCGGACTTTAGTGAAAACTCGGCTAAACAAGGTGTTCTCAATACTAGCAAGCCTTTTAGTAAGTCATCCATGTTCATTGGAACTCCTCTCAACAAAGGATGGATGTCCGCCGAAGACTTTTTCTAGCTGAGTCATCTGTGTAACTATAAGCACTCAAAGCGGTGCGAATCGACTGGACCTAGAGTGAAGGAGTAACGCTTCTTACAGGCGACATAGGAAGTTTGTTACTGTCATCATCGATGAGAGCTCTGAAGGAGACCATTGGCCCCAACAACAAAAAACACAGATATCAATATTTACCTGCGTGACGGAATGAAAACCCAGCAGAAAAAGCCGCGATCTCGAAGCGTGCATTGATATCTTTTGTAGAGAAACTAAGCAGTTGTTTGGGAGAGAAAAAGGCCAGTCTCAAAATCAGACTTAGGAGCTAAGAGCCTCAATATCTCGTCATATGCTGTCTAGCCTGAGGAGAATCACCCTACACCAACCAGCCACCAGCTACCCTAACTAGTATCATCCGCAAAGAGATCATACCAGAAGTTCTACATCTAATGGCAGAAAGAGAATGGCCTGATACCAAGGCGTGCCCTCTTGCAGTAGAGTGAACACAATTGGAAGACCGTTGCCTGGCCTGACAAATCCCGTTAGCGTTCTCGATAATTCCAATCCGCTATTTACAAGTACAGCACCAAAGAAGCGGAAATATTTTGTAGTCGTTGAACCTCATCCTCATCATCATTATGTAGACTATCAATTACATGTGTTACCTCCCAAACCTCTTCTTTATCCGTGAAACCGCTGGCGTCAAATACATTCCCTTTAGTCTATCCCGCAGGTGATGATTAAATCCATAAGTCAACGCGTTTGCCAGCCCGATGTATTGCGTTGAAATCTGCAGAGCCGCGATAGTCGTCTTGCTGGTTGAGTGTCCCGAAGCCTCCATGATGCGATTGATAAGCCCCGGCATCCACAAAAGAACGTACATGAAGGGATACGCGTTGAGAAGCATCATCCTCTTGATTTCGACTTCGACTTCGTGAGTGTCTCGTCGTATGGGGAACTCGCTTGCGTTGGTCTGCAGCGTGGCTCCTTGGCCATGTCTCCCAACCGGAGATGCGTCGTCATACCTGACGTGGGCTGGAGTTGGTAGTCCCAATTCCTTTCTGGTCGCAGATGACATGTGACGCGTCGACCTTCTCCGTGGCCTGGTGGAGCTAGACCCTGACTCCTCTGCGGCCTCCAAGTCCAGGCCGGCCAGTTCTTCTTTGTTGCTGCTCCGTATCTCGTCATCATTAATCTCTCGTCGCGAATTTGCCGTGTTCGATCCGTCGCCAAAGGTACTAAGCTCGACCTCTTCATCCTTCATGACTTGGAACCCTCCCTTCCTCCCAGCTTTTGACCAAAATGAGCCCATCGTTCCGGTAGAAGGTGTGTCGTAAGATGATGACCCTTGGTCAACTATCTTCGATCCTAAGTGTCGTCGTAGATACGCCCAGATGTAGATGTAGATGGCAATAGTAGAGAGGATGACTAGGAATCGCCAACCATGGCCCATGCCATAACGAAGATCAGGTCGGCCAGCAGAGATCCAGCACCAATTGCCGCCGACAGGCACCATCTCGCCAAGTGCTGTCGGAGTGAGGCTGGTAATGAGTGGAATAGTCCAGACAGCAAGACAGGTCAGGATCCATCCTTTCGTCGAGACGCTTGGCATGTACACGAAGCGTGTTACCGTGAGAAGGGTAACAAGGGCGATGGCGAGGATTGAAAAGTCGGCTGCCTGCACCGAGAACTGTCCCACCATGCCGTTAACGGCACATGGTGTGCCGGGCTGCAGTTCACCTGTCTTGAGAAAGATGATGCCCGACACGGAATTGTTCAAGGTGTTGATGAACTCTGGTACTATGTGAGCGATGGATCTCCAAGGGCGACGCGAATTGCGGTCAGGGATGAAAGCGCACCTGCTACCACCAAGTTCAACACGAGAACATGCCGAAAGCTCCGCAAATGCCGACGGTATATAACGAACGAAATCAGAACAAAAGTCGTCGCTAAGCACGAAAGACCGCTGCCCGCCAAGGTGAGGGAGGAAATCACCCGATCCACGTCCACAGCCATCTTGAACCCATCTGTGTCGTATTTCTGCAGCAGTAACGGTGACAGTGGCAGAATCCCAGAAAAGACAAAAATTCAAGAAGAAGTGTCACCTTTAACAGTGCGTCGGGTCTTCGTCACCCGAGACACCGTCTCAGGGGTTGGACAAGGCAGGGGAGCCTTACCGAGCCCCGGAAGGAATACGGGGTGACCGTTGTCAATTGAAGGGGTCATGGAGATGGGATGAAGGTGAACTCGTGGGGGAGTTGCGAGGTTCAAGGTCAAGAGGCTGTTGCCATTGGTTCTTGGTATCGGGACTGGCGGAGGATGATATGTAATTATTCCGTCTACAATGATTGATAAGTCCATCCTATCAAGCAAGCTATTACAATTCCGAGAGTTTTCTAGAATCGACATCGAAGACACGTAAAATTTAGAGTTTATGCCACCGTTTGAAGTCTCCAACAAGCGAGTTTGAGAAAAGCCACTACCGCAGCCAAGGGCTCCGCATCAAATAACACTTCGGTAATCACAAGCCGGGGTAAGACACGGCACATAACCAATCTCAGATACTCGTCCGAAGCTTCTAGCCAGTCTCGGTCCCGGCGGCAAGGCTGATCCCGGCATTAGTGGCAAATATGGAAATTCTGTCGTGGCCCTACGACGGCTTCTCCGCTGCGTTGGTTGTAGGGCTTGAAATGGGAGGGGGATGTTGGGTAATGATGTTGTTGAGTGTCGACCAAACGGCTGGTAGAATGCGCCTTGTGGGGATCACTTACGGGATGTGGGATGGCTCTCCCAGGGCTGAAGTCCCTGAGAGGACGGAATAATGATGGATTGGGAATCGATTCGTCAGCTTAAGCGGTCTGAAGCTATTTCAGAACAGGAAAAATCCCAGTGGCGAACAGCTACATAACCAACAGCCTTGTCGCTTATCCTATCATTGAAGCCGACAGAATCCTATTGGTCTTCTCGTTTGTTTTGTTGGCTTTACTTAATCTCACCTGGAGTCGCTTGTTCAGATCTGATTGACCTCCGTGGGCAGCTTATTCAAGGCTCGTGGAGAGTGTAGCACGACATATCGACTAACTACATGCAATAGCTACATAGCTATCAATCGTGGATCCTATTTATCGTTAGCACCTCCTATCACATTTCCTAGGCATAGACGTCGTGAGCGTAATCATCCACCAACTTGCACATTGCCGGCGCTCTTGGGGTGTGGTCTCTGGAGACACGTTGTATTATTTCCGTTCAGTTCCTCCGCGGCCCCTGCCCCCTGGCCTCGTGCAGCGTTTTGACTCAATGGTCTCTGGAGAAAAGTCCCCATTGTCGCCTCTACACCGTGGAATTCGGCGTCAAAACTTGGTCAACATTGCATGTATAATTCCCAATAAGGTCGATAATGTGTGGCGGGCATTGTATGTACAGTGAACGTGCAATTTGGCTTGAAGAAAAGAGACTCCAGCGTCAGTGTCGATTTGCCGCCTACCGAGATATCTGAGCCAAGCTTATGGGGGCATTGCTAAGGCTGGTGGCTTTGCAATTGGGCCTTCGCCTCAGCCGACTCGTAACCCCTGTTCAACTGGGCAGTTGGGCGCTGGTGGCTTGTGTCTTGGCATCGTCTAAAGTGGCACTGCCCTCAGCGTCGCAAGCGCAGCAAACCCTTCTGTTGTTGAAGCAGTGAGAAATGAAAAAGCTCACGCCGGATTTCTTGAAGCACCAATGCTAATGTTGACTTGCATATACCCATGTTTCCTTCTCGTCACCTCCCTCTGTGCCTTCCAAGATGCCTCGAGACGTGGACGCCGGCAGAACCAATCACATCTATCAATCAGCCCTGCATGTCGGTTTCAACCACCGGGGATCATCCAATGATATATCGAGATGTAGTCTGAGCCACCACCACCAAGGCCTGCTGGCATACGGGTGTGAGGGTCAGCTGACATGATGGAGGGAGCTGAACAGCCTGGTTTTTAGAATCAGGCTCTGACAACCGCGAACTCTTTTTCTTTCTTCTTCTGTCATCATCACTCTACTCAGAATCTCGAACTTCATCAAAGCGTATCTGCAACACCCAAAAATACCATTCGCGATGGAGGTCGCCGCGGCCACCATCGCGTTTGCGCAGGGCATCGGCATGATTGCCACCGGCATCCGAACGCTCCATTCGATCCGACAAGCTCCCGTAGAGTTCATGGATTTGCTAAATCAGCTATCTACTCTCAACGGACGAGCTGAGCTTCTTCGGCGCTCCCTCGAATCCTTTGCGGCTACCCACTCGGATGTTCCCATCGAGGATATCGACACCATTCGCAATCTCCAAGTACAGTTTGAGGAGATTTCGAACCAGTTAAACGATATAGCCACGAATTTCATTGCTAAGAGCAAAGGGCTAGATTCACAGGGCCGTCATAGAATCCCTCGAATCCTCTGGCAGAGGGAGCTGTCCAATCTGATGAGACTGCGCGAACGAGTGAGGCAGCTGAGCAGCGAGATGACGGATTGTCTAGCTGCTATCAACACTTCTCAGGGGTGGGTTCCAGTCGATATTATACACTTCGTTGGACTCAAAGACTGACGTAAAAGACAGGGTGCGGCAGACTGGTCTCGTTCTCGACATCAGAGCAGTCATGCAACAATCCTTTACGGATGTTGCCTCACAAATTCAACATGGACATACCTTAACAGAACAAAACCACGAGGCCATTCATCACGTTGCGCAGCAGAACGAGACCCAAACTGCGCTCCTCCGCTCGACATTGGCAAACCATCAAGAAGCCGGTGCAACCATCAGCAGGTATGTCTGTTACCATCCTCTCTGTAGCACCTTTTGATGTCGTCTATATGTAGGAGACTGGATGTTTTCGAAACGAGAGTCGAGACGCAGCTCTCACAGGTCTTGGCACGCTTGTCCCCCGACCAGCATTTGAACCACGCCGCTCAAGGCTCTCAGACCAGAGCCCGGTTTGATCACACAGTGGTATCAGTCAGCACAACTCTCCGCCAGACATGTCCACCAAACTGCAGATGCCAGTGTCATCGGACTTCATATGCCCGCACGCCAGAGTGGCTGACCTCAGCCATGGGATCACTCTTTGTACAGTACAAGAGCATTCCGATGCTGGGTATCAAGAAATGTGACATACCTTTGTGTAAATCAGCGTCTCAGTCATCAATTCAGCTTCAGTGGTGTTTCCCCCGCTGGCTGGTAGCCCGGGCGCTCGTGGCCTCGATGTCGTGGAGCTCCATCAACGATGACGGCGCGGCTTTATTTCTCAAGATTCCGCGGTCTATTAGCGGTCTTTACTGGTTGATTACGTCAAGCCATGACTATAGGGCCTTCATGGACAGATTCCGGGATGGCACAATTCGTTCGACTGATATCTTGGTCGAATGGGGCCAAAACTTTTTAACGGTAACACAATGAACAAACCAGTGGGCTCAAAAGACATAGAATAACATAACTAACTCGCCTATCTTAGCTATGCATGAATCAAAAGCGCTGGCAGCTTTTGCAAGTTCTTCTAGATTTGGGGTTTGACCCAAGGATGAAGGATCTGTCGGGCAGGTAGGATTCACCTTGTCAATGAGTGGACTGCAAACTAAGTCAACTTGCAGATGTGCCGTTCATTGGGCGCGGGAATACGAACTAGATGGGACTTCTAGCCGTACACCAGAAGAGGTTCAAGTGATACTGAGGCAGTTGGCAGCCATAGAGCTTGAAGATGCAGCACCGCTAACCATGATACACCAAGCGATCCGAGGGGAGACGACACATTCATTGGACGAATGCATTCAGATGGAGCCGCAGCACATCAATACCCTAGACGATGTTGGGTTCGCCCCTTTGCATTGGGCTGCGTGGAATGAAGATATGGCTGCCTTTCAGTCTCTGATAACAGCACCGGCCAATGTCAACCAGCAAGCCAGTCATAGACGCGAGACCCCACTGCACTTCGCATGCGCAACTCACAACGTGGACATGGTTCGAACACTTCTCGATTCGGGCGCCTCCATCTCGTCGGTTGACATTGACAAATGGACGCCATTGCATTACGCTACCGGCACCATTTGGGGCCGACAACAAGAGATGGACGTGGTCCAAATTCTCTTGGATGCTCATGCCGACCCTAATTGTGAGGCAGGGGATGGATCCACGCCCTTGCACCTTCTGTTTAACAATGAGGATGTCGACTCGGACCACATGACGGCCTTGGCAAGAGCTCTCATCGACGCCGGCGCAGACCTTGAGGCCAAGATCGAAGATGGAAGTACAGTCCTTCTCCATGCTTGCGTTTTTTCATGCCAAAATGTCCTTTCCCTGATTGATCTCGGCGCAAATGTCAAAGCGGTAGACGTCAACGGAGAAAATATGCTCTTCAAATTGCTCAACAATGAAAGAGATCTCGAACCCGGTTTCTTTCACCCAGAATTGCTCGTGGGTGTAAATCCCGACGATCGAAACATATACGATGATACTTCATTAGACTTCCTGGCTGAAAGGGTGCGCGACTCCATCATGTGGCAGCCGCTGACTATTCGCGTCGCCGTTGACATGGTAGACCTGATCCTGGGAACCCGCGAGGTAAACTGGGAGGAAGGACTATTTCTAGATAAGAAGCAAGAGTTAGAAAAAGATGGTTCACACACTCGAATGCGTCGATGGGTGATGCACCAGCGTCGGTTGATGCAGCGAGACAAGTTGTGGGCTGACCATTACTGTGAGGAAGACGACCTCTTGGGGTGGTACGAAGATGAGTATAACGAAAGCAGTCCATCTGACACTGATGACTATGATCATCATGTTTCAGATGGCATCGGCTCAAGGGGTTGGGGAAGCATGAGCGAAAACGACGACGACGACGACGACGACGAAGAAGAAGAGGAGGAGGAAGAAGAAGAGGAAGACGGCGATGATGATGACAACAATGGCAACGATGACAGAGACTGGAGCGACGGGGAGAATAGCATCACTTTTCATGATGCCCATGAGAACTTGGAGTGATCTACTTCAGATAAATAAAGCCTTTTCTACCGAAATCAATCCTACGTCGAACCTATTCACGTCTCTTAAACACCAGCTGGCATTCGTCCTAGTCATCGAATTAGCAAACCTCCGAGAGTGCTCAGGCCGTGAACATACCATGGGAAACAAGGTCGCAAAAACACGAATCTCCTCCGATCGATCCGTCGCATGATGCTCCCACTCAAGCTCCAAAGCCGCCTTTCCAATCATGGCAGCCATGGTCAACGGCACATACTTTCTCGCCAGACAATCATGCGGTCCAGCACCAAACACTAGCCAGTTCTTGGTCTTTTGCTCAGCATCCCCCGTGATCCACCTATCCGGGTTAAATGTCTCAGGGTCCGGATACGCCTTTGCGTCGTGGAGGGCGGGGTAGCATGATGGGACGATCATGGAGCCTTTGGGGACGGTGTAGTTGGGTGTTACGGGGAAGGATCTTGTGGCGAGGTAGGGGATGAAGATTACTGGTGGACGCCAGCGGAGGAGTTCTTTGACGACGGCGTTGGTGTATGTCATTGATTCGAACATGGATAGTTCGAATGGTCGGGTTCTATCGCCACCTCGGATGGCGAGGTTTTCTTCTCGGAGGCGCTCGAGCACGTCGGGTCGTTGAGCGAGGACCTGGAAAAGCCAAGTAGTAGCGCTACTTGATGCATCCTGTGAAGCGAATAAGAACGTAAACATGGTACTGCCAATCTCTTCGTTTGTAAACTCGCGGCTAAGGTTCGTAGGCTTCTCGATTCCAGTCTCTCCAGCGGCGATCCTTTCGTTGTATCTCTTGGACTCCATCATGTGAAGAACCCATTGGTCAACAATGCAAGTCGGCTTGCCACCAGCAGCCATGTTGGCCTTGCATGCTGCTGCGCACTTGGCGAACTCTGCCAAGACGGCTTGAGCAGTGCGTTTCCCTTTCCAACACTTGGTGAAAGGAACGTAGATCGAAAGGGGGACATTGACGAGCTCGAGAGCAGCGGTGACGAGGTAAAAGTCGTCGGCAATCCTTTGAACAGCGTCCTGCGAGATGTAGTCTCCAAAGAATGTTCGACAAGAGAGTGCACAGTTGATCTCCCTGAAGAGACGCATAAACGCTGTAGGCTTGCCTCTATGGGCTTCACTCTCTTCAACGAATTTTCCAAAGTAGTCCTCGTAGACCTTTTCCTGTACTGGCAGGTAGGAGCCAAGTGCCTTGTTGGAAAAGAGGCCGTTCAGACCCCGGCGGTATTCGGTATGAGCCTTACCCATGAGAAAGACCCAAGCATTAGATCCCATGATCTCGGTCGCCATCGGGACGAGGCATGGCTTTGCGTATGTCGGGGACTTGAAGACTTTGTGGGCGATGTCTCGGTCGGAAGCAAGGACAACGAATCTGCACGGCACGGAGTCAGCGTTGGGCAGGTACTGGATTGAGTTCGGACTAACTTGTGGAACACTGATACGCAGCTGAGAGGACCGCTTGCCCATTGGGCAACATAGGCGTCAAACTTGGGGTATAAAGCCTGCACGAAAGGTCCCATAAAGGGGATCTTGAACCTTGGGCCAGCGATGGAGCCTTTTCGGATGAGGTATGCAACTGCAAACGTCAGTATTTTGCCGTCACTGTAGATCCAGGGGGCATACCTTGATCGTAGGTCATCAATAGGAGCAAGATGGTGAAGAAGACCTGCCAGTTGCTGCAATTGGCAAGATAACCCGTCAATACGCCATTGCTCGGGACTGGAGCTGCAGGGAGAGTCCCATTATGCAGCACGTCGCTGCCTTGCATGTCCATGATCATGATGAAGGTTGATCTTGGGGCTCAGAGCTTGATCCATTCAGACAATGAGCCGGCAACAAGACCCTTATGTACTTAATCCCCAGGGCTGCTGACTGATTCAACTCGCTCTGCTTTATCATCCATCCAAGGCGGGCGTCCGTTGAAACGAGCCGAATCCGAATACAAGACAAACCCTCGACTCTAACTGGCCAGATCTCAAGCCAAGTCGATCCCCCGAGAGAATCTCCGTAACACAAGCAGATTCACAATGTCTCCAACAGGGATCTCTATGAACCCGAAGATCCAAAAAGACCTGCCATGGCCATTTACGTACTAGACTCCGAATCAGAGTGTGGAGAACACATTTTCCATCACGCTATGGCCACGATAAAGTTGAACGGGCAATTCCGGGGAATGAGGTAAAGGAGATCTGGAGAATCTCCTGATGCCATCAAGCCCAGCCTTCTCGGTCAGTAACCAAATCCGAGGCTTGGTGTTGGTCCGGTTATAACGGTTATTCTTATTGCCGGCCAACGGTTGCGGAGTCTAGTCCTATTTAGTTCTAGTCTCCGAAACAAGCTTGAATCCGAATACGGGCGTCAACTCTGTTTTTGCGTCAACGCGTTTTTTGCCAAACGATTGAAGGGAGGGAAAGAGAGTGGAATTGTTTGGTATTGTCTCATGTCAACATGTCCTTCCAATGCTGCTGAAATATTACCCCTCGCGGTGTTTCCATCCATAGTATCCTCTTAAAGTGTACAAGTACATCCTCCCAAGTCTGGATCTTGAGAGATGTCGCGGCTAGATAAGCCTGTTCTGTAAACCACTTGCTGTTGATAGGGTCAATTGAAGACACCATTCCCACAGAAAATATCCAGAGTTTTAGTGACTCATCAACATCGCTTCCCACTAGGACTTCGAGATAACTTCGAAATTGTTGCATGATGGTCATGACCAAGCCGATGTGTGAATAATATGTTGTTCCGTGGATCGCGAGCATGTAGAGTGCCAAGGCGTATCGAAGACTTTCCGAGGCGGCCGACTGATGCAAATTTTGCGTGGAGAGTGGTGGTAACAGGAGCAACTTGTGCACCACGAAGCAGGTGAGGTCGTGCAGCTCAGTCCCTGATAAGCTTGATGCTTCTTGTGATATGTTGCGAAGGCGGGTCAAAATGTCGATCACAGTAGGGTCGATATCAAGGTCGTTGATGGCCTCACTTGGCGACTCAAAATCCGGTGATGCCAACAGCCACTGCAACGTCGGGCACACCCCATCCCCAATCCCTAGATCATCTTGAATAGGAAATTGAGGAGTTCCTGTAACAAGCATTGATACCCTACCGACATATCAGCAAGCGTTCGCCTCCGAGTTGGGTGTTCTTACCAAGCAATCATCCTCGCCGTTAGTGGACTTGATCGCCGGACGTGGCTTATCCCGCCTCTTACTCCTACTATGCGTTTAACCCCGTCAATGTGGGTTTTGCTAGCTTCAACATTTCCTTTTCCGTGCTATCCGCAGACGTATAAGTAGGAGGGGCACCTGCCAGGCGAGAGTTCTTACCTCAATCGCAGCCAAGGTGACGACCGAGTTCAACGTGTCATCTTGAAATGCCAGCGAAGAATTCTCAATCTTCTGTCGTATTAGGGATACAGAATCTACCATGAGAAGCTCTGAGATTGGAAATCCCTTGTGCGCCCTCAATTCTTCGTCTAGAGATGCCGTTTGTATTGACACGTGAAACAGTGCTGGGTCCGCAAGTGCGAGAGGCCACCATGATACGATGAATGGGTTCGATATCATGTTGAGGTCCAGTGGGTAATATTGAAACGCAATGTTAGAAAGAACTATCCAGGTCAGCTTTCAGACGCGAAATCGTACGTGGTGGCATACAATGGTGTATCAGGCGTTGAACATGTATGCGGGAGAGTCGGGTAGGCGGATACGAATCAAATGGATCAAAAGACGTGTCTACAGAGTTCACCAGCTTCACTGAGCTATCCTGAACCTTTCTAGACATCTTGGAATCCCTCTGAGCTACGCAAGTAACCTTGCTCGCCTTGTTGATCAAGGTCCTACCATGCCCCGGACCCTCCGGCGCCTGAAGAGTCAAGGGCTCATTGGCGTAAACGCAAGAAACCCTCCTCTTGATGCATCTCGAGCACCTCGGGGTTCGAAGATCGCAGCTGTGCTTTGCCTTTGCGCAGGCGTTGCAGGATCTGCGGAGAGTGGTGCGCATTATTGGGTGTTGTACGTGTGTTCTTGTCAGCGAGAGGAATGAGCTGAGATGCTGGGCATGGACATTTATAACGCTGGTTCTTCGGGTGGGGCCGTGGATTATCTAACCTGATTCAGTTGGGGGTGGGCTACCCTACATTCATGGTATTTTCGGTGTCGCGTGGACATTGACAGTGTCTAAAGCTGGAAGAAAAGATAGGGCAACTAATTAAAGAGATAATAAACAATTGGCCTCCATCTTTGACATTTTGTCTACTATTTGGTATGATTCTTTACTCCCACGCGTTATCGGGTTGATCTCGTTCCATCTTGATCCCTGCAATAAGGTGCTCTATACGTGCGTCGACATCACAGAAGAATGCTTTGATGATGATCACTCGTGTTATTTCTTTTAGCCCTTGAATTAATTAGCTCGTTTCTTTTCTACCTAAAAAGTATAGAAGTGCTGCTACCGTTGACTTCGCAGAGTCAGTACTCAAGTTACCCCACGCTGTTGATTGATTGCAGTGACAGAACGATTATAAGCTGGTAAAAAGAATCAGATAGGTCATGGCAATGAGCGGATTGGCCTTTTCAACGGCATTAGATTACGAAGCATCTCCTTGCCATCGTGCTTTGGACTACCTGTCTATAGCGAGGTAGGTACCCATGTATAGGGTTATGGACTACTTCCCTGGTAAAAGGGGGAAGATTAAAGGAACCTGTCTATATTTCACTTTGAAGTGAAGAAGATATGCATCAAACACTTTAAGCATGACGAGTTATATATATCTGTTAGTGCTGGCGTGTTTTATTGGTTAGCAATGGTTTGAGCGAAGTGTATCATCTGACATTAGGCACTACCACCCGAAAAATGATATGAAGTAGTTGAATAATAACTCAATGTATTGCCTTTCATAATCAATTTGCTGGCTTCGCTGATGATTTGCTCAGTCTCAAGCACAGGTCTCACTTTGACAATGAACTTCAGAAGCAAGCATCGGAAAGAAACGCAAGTACAGCCCGGCAACTGGTAGAAACAGGTTTCTGACCTACATGAACTTCGTTCACCCTGTCTTCGTATGTGCACTTAGGAAATACCTCACTGGTATTATTACCTTAACCTACTTATCACGTTTGTCTTTTGATCAAGAGCTAGTATCTACTCGCTCAAGTATGCTATTGAGGGCTAGACTTTAAATATAACAAGAACATAATATTAACGCCGTAAAGAATCATACCATAATGATAAAATAGTGGCTTCTTCTTTTTTAGTCTTCTCTGTTGCATGCAAGACAAGACATGATGAAGCTGGAGAGTATATCTGACACAGTAGTTGAGAATAGTGACTAATATGATATTCTCATAAAACTCTCTGCCACAAAGGAAAATTGAAAACACTGATGAAGATGCAAAGCTACTAGCCAGGTGTCCTAGGATAAGACAACTAGGGAGGGTTAATACACAAATAACGGCGTGGCGTACTGAACATGCCTAACAACGAGTAAAATGCCAAAGCAGCACATAGAAACACGGTGCTATTGATAAAAAGATGGGATTGAATTGGTATGTTAATCATCTAGTCTGAGTGGAAAGGATCACCAAGTAGATGAAATAAGAACGAAATTTCAGTCAAGATATCAGTAGACAAGGTGTGGTAGTGGGAGGACAGTTTAAGATTCGCATATCTTCTCTATATCCTCAAGGTCCCCCTTCCTTTGAAGAGTCGGCTCGTCAAGATCAGGCCTCCCCCGACCAAGATAGTCAATCCCGCCCATATCCAAGCACCGTTATAACCCTTTGCCTTGCGCAACGCCCCAGCCACAGGTGGTCCAAACAATAGAGCAAAGGACATGACAGAAAACGCCATGCCAAACCTGGTTCCAATCATCCTGGGATCACTTGCCAGCCTGACAAAGATGGTCGGCTGTAGAGCGAAGAAAGACCCCGTGAAGAACCCGTGGACGAGGACCGTGACAAGCAGTCGAGGGAGAGAGGTGGCTGACATGAGGCACAAGCTAGTGATGCCCAGGGCTACGGCAGTAGCGATGATCATGTTCATTGGGCCGATTCTTTGAGCGAGAAGGGCGGGAAAGATGCGCCCAAAGATTGAACTGCTGTTGAGGATTGCGAGCAGATACAAAGCCAGCTTCGGCGATACGATATCCAGGCCCAGGGCGTAGGGCTGGATGTAGACGAACGGCGTGTACATGCCCAAGAATACCGAAAAACAGCCAGCTACGAAGAGTAAATATGGCCAGTCAGTAAAGGCGGTTCTGTCGACAAGTGAACGTCGCTGACGTGGCTCTTTGGCAGCGCCTCTAGGTCGAAGCACGAGATTTGCGAAGCTGAGCATGACGAGCAATAGCAAAGCAACTGCGCGAACAGCCCATGGCAGAGTGGTTCGCGCGTGAATCTCTCGGACCATGATTGGCAACAAGACACTGTAACAAAGTTAGTGGCTATGTAAAGCTCACGAGGTGATGCACTTACCCGCCCAGTCCGCTTCCACACGCAGCAACTCCATTGGCAAGAGGCAGCTTGGTGGTGAACCAGAGCGAGGTGATAGCAACGCTCAAAATTGACAGGCAACCAGCTCCAATGCCAATCATCAAGCCTTGCGTGAGAATGTACTGCCAGTATCGATTGCACAGACTTTGTAGTACTGTACCAACGACAATAAAGAAGGATCCCACGGCAAGAAGATGACGAAAGTAGCCTGCATCGTAGATCGGGCCCATTACGAAGCCTGAAAACACCATGAGAAAGGTCTGGAGTGATCCAATGACCGAGATCTGGAATGGTGTGCGGCTTGAAAGTTCGTCATTTTCGTAAATAGTCTGAAAGGATCCAAAGCTGGCTATGAGACCTGTTCAATGGTCAGTGATCTCCCACCACTTTGAGACGATTGATATGATGCATACCCCATGTGCAGAAATAAAGACAAAATGAACCTGCGACTTGTAGCCAAGCCAGGAGGCCTCCGTCTGGAATGACCGTCGACGTGGACGTATCATTCACCGACGGGGCTTCATCTGACGCCTCTTTAGAAGAAGCCATGGCAAACAAACATCGAACACACAGGCCCAATGTTGAATCTCTACGACAAGACCAATAAAAGAGGGCTAGCACAGACTAATAATCGAACCTCGAACGACACACCAAGTGGGCGCACTCAATGCCGAGGCCCCATTTTACCCAAGTTTTTTCCTTCTCTTATGCGTGGATTACATTATCGCGTCCCACCAAAGGGCCGCGCGCGCTTCCTTTGTCATCACGGACATATTTCCGCTCAGGTAAAGGTCTTGGCAGGGCGTCTAGTGGAAGGAATGAAACCCAATCTCAGGAGATCGGGGCGAATAGGACGACATGGGATATCCCGGAGAATTAAGAAACGGTCAAGGCCAAGGTTCATTGCCGGAACATCACACCACGAAGTTCCACTTGGTCCAAACATGGGCTTCTCTAAAAACTTGTCTGGTGTCATGGACAAGGGCTATGACATTCTTGCAGCTGAAGCCGACCTTCCTGATATGATCGTGGGCCCTAGCTTCGCCGAATTACCTACAAGTGGTGCTATATCCGGCTGTAACACGCAGGTACTACAGTTGCATTAGTCTTCAGGGAATAATTCAAGCCCTGTGAAGCCGAGTGGGATTAAGAAGCCGAATTCCAGAAGCCGAGGTGGGAAGGTGATTGTAAAAAGGGACTTGTGTTTGTCTCCAAGACCAGGAACCGCAATGCTACAATGTGACATCTTATCTTTAACTGACACGTCGTAATCTGTGCCGTGTGACAGCTGAAGCTGAAACTCTGTCACAGTAAAGATGTCCGGCATTACGGCTTACAGCTACTGAATCTGGCAAGTCGAAAAACGTCAACAAACGCAATCAATTTATCACTCTTGTTTTGGTCGTTCATGCAGCTATTCTAGGAAGGTGGGCGTAAACTCAATTTTTAGATTCGGTACAAGATACTAATTTACACAAAGACCCCTGATCTGATAAGATGCAGATCCCCCAATACTAAGACTGAGCTAGGATGTCGTTCAGGTATGACCTCCAGCCATCGTCATCGACGCTTTGGCTCGCGTAACCAATGTACATGTCTGGTCTTACAACCACTACCAATGGCTTGCTTGCATCGACCCAATCCGCTGAGAATACAATCTCACCCTCGGCCAGCTCATGATGTCCATTGGTGACTCCCTGTGGCAGTACCGTACACACAGAAACCTGGTCATTACCAGGTGCATCCTTGAGATGCTGTCCAATGGACAACACCAAGAACTTGCCATACGAAACACTGGAGTACACTCTAGTCTCGTCAGAGCCGGTGGCCAAGACCATGTCAGGGCAGCGATCGCCTGGTCTCCAGATCCCCTGCTCCTCCCCACTGACGAGCGGAGTAGGAAACTCGTTATAGCTGACACCCATGCCTACATCCCCTGTTAGCGGACACCCCGAAAGCCTAATCGAGCCTTGCACACTCACCTGTGATGAAACCAGCATTTCGTTCAATCGTAGACACATACGTCTTGGCCTCACGAACAGTGTCTCGAACTAGTTTAGCTGCGACGCCGATGACTTGCTCGGCTGTAGATCTTCGCTCAATGTCGTAGCTCTGAATGACCTTTTCAAGCGCGCTCTCAGCCAAAAGGGAAGGTTGGACAAGGAGTCTGAGACGCCAGGCTAGAGCGAATGCATCGGCAGCACCCGTGTTGAGACCTTGGCCGCCGTTGACGGAATGGACGTGGGCGGCATCGCCAGCAAGGAAGATGCGACCGTTGCCATCCTTGGAGACAAAGGATCCAGCGATCCTCTCCTTGACTAGAAAGCGTTAGCTGAAGATCGGCACGATGTCACCTAGTGCGCCTACTGGTAAAGGTGCTGAACCATTCAGTCTTTTTGAAGTCGACTCTGTAAGGAGCTAGATGCTCCTTGATCGAAGCTTCAGCGAGAGGCTGAGTGACTTCACCCTTGAGAAGAACGTAGAAGCGGGACATGCCGCGCTCTCGAGGGATCCAAGCCACTCGAGATTGACCGTCGAGCTCAAAAGTGATGATCTCGGGGCAGGTAGGGAAGTCGGTGTCCAGAAAGGTGTCGAGAACAGCCCAGACCATCTCGGGCTTTGTACCAGTGAAGCTGATGCCCAGAGTGTTTCTCACAAAGGATCTGGCACCATCAGCACCAACGGCGTACTTGCTCTGGATCTTGCGACCCGAGCTTGTCGTGACCTCAACAAAGTCATTGGTCTCTGTGATTTCGGTGACGTGCTCGTTATAAGCAACGACACCTTCAAGTCGATTGTTCATAACTTGCTCAACCACAGGCTGGCCTATCATGAGAAAGTTCTTGTGGAGGGCATTCTGGATGCCTACCCACCATTCGTTCTGGCGGGACTTGAAGTCTCCATCCTTAAAGGTAGAGCTTGCTTTACGAAGGTCAGCAGAGGATCTTCACGTCTATGAGTAAAGGCTTACTGTTGCACTTGAGGCCATCTGGAAGGAGCTCATCAAGAATGCCAGCGACTTCATAGTACTGCTGAGTGCGAGCGTTCAATGCATCAGCTCGACCAAGCTCAAGTGTAGACGGCTTTTCGTCTGGACACTCGTCAGTATGTCACTAATGGCATAATTCTCTTCTCACTTACCCAGCACTCGGACCGAAACACCCAGAGGCTTCAGGAGAAGGGCAATGAAGAGGCCGGTAGGACCACCTGATGTTGTTAGCGTAGTCCATAAAAAAGCAAAGAAACTCACCTCCAACAATGGTGATATCAACTTGTTCCATGACTGCGAGAACACAAAGACGAGAATAACGAGAATAACGGATAATACAGAACAAAAACTCTGCTCTCAAAAGTCCAGCCAGACTCGTACAACTTGTATCATATCCAAACATCGGAAATACTCGCCCATCCTCGTCACCCAAAACAAACCCATGAACCCATTTACCCCCCCTGGACCACGCAAGGGGGACTTCCTCGGCAGAGTCCCCACCCACCGGCCGGAGCCGATTCCTCCTGCGGGTCGGGCCTTGTAAGCAGAACCGGCAGTGCCCCCTGGATCTAAGATGGGATGACCGGTGGGATAGCCGAGCGGCGCCGATCCACCGCGCTCCGCCACCGGCTTTTTAGCTCGGGGATGATTTGCATCAAAGCGGCCGTGACGACGCAAAGGCCCTTGTTCCGCATACCTTGTTTCAATTCACTTCTCGCCAAGGAATCAAGCGCCTCAGGGGATTACGCAACGTCCTTCTAGTTCTGGCCTCACTCCGGCGGTACATCAGGTTGAATTTCCAATTTGGTAATGCTTATGCAAAAAAGTTCACGCTGCCGAAGAATTTTCGGTGACGTTTTGAACATCATTAGATCTTTCGATTCTTGAATTGTTCAGGGGTTAGAACAGCCTCGGAATCTCGGAGCAATTCCAGACTTGGATACACCTATCGTTTGTGTATTGTTACCCTCCGTCTTTACAGACAGGGGAGGATAAAATTTTTCCTACAAAGACATTTATTGCCATGTATTTCCCGTCGGATTTGAACTCAAATAGTAGTAGCTTCAACAGCACTTCTTCCTTTCTTCTGTACTTTATTTCTCCATCACTCTTCAAAGTTCTTTTGCAGCGTTCTTCACAATGGCTGTAGCCGATGTCACTTCATATCCCCCCGTTCAGCCAAGCTTCCTCCATGATGTGGCCGTAGACAGCATGAAGCCTCTGGCTTCTGCCGTCGACACCTCGGCTCTCGAGACTTCTTCCAAGATTCTTGACATCATCGGACGATATCGTCTGAACAGGGGAGAAAACATCTATGCCAGTGCTGATCAGTCTGTCCTCAAGTTCATTGCCCTCATCTACACACATGTCAAGGCTCAGCAGGCCGTGCCGCTGTGCCTCCCTGCGTTTCCCTTCAAGTCACCAAACTCGACTTCTAAGGTGCTTGGAAAGCTGCCTGACAAGGCGGAAGAGTTTGCCCTGAGCCATCTGAATGGAATGTGTCAAGCAATTGCCGACATTTATCCTCCTGGCGCAAAGCTGACCATCATCTCGGATGGTCTTGTGTATAACGGTGTGTTGCCTCACTGTTTCACTCTTCATACAAAACATTAACGCTGTTAGACCTTCTTGGTGTTCCTGACAAGGATGTCTGGAACTATGGAGAGACCCTCAGAGCTCTCGCCGCTTCCAAGGGCTTTGCTCACATCTCCTTTGCTCGTCTTCGAGATCTTGTCGACATTGATCTACCGAAGGAGCTTGATGAGATGACATATGTCGCCAATGCTTCCAACTTCCGTCGCGCCCTCCTCAACACCTTCAGCAAGCCTGGTTGGACCTGGGATGAGGTCCGCCAGGCTGAGGATGCATGCATGACATATCGTGGCTACATCAAATTCCTACAGACCGATTTAGAGACTGTATATCCCATCGGAGAGGACCGCACCAAGTCTCGATATAAGAGGGGAACTGAGTACATTGCCAAGCAAATGATGGCTCGAGGAGATGTAAGTATATGGCAGCACACTTGTAACTTGAGAGACTAACACATCCAGGCCTTTGCCAACGCGGTCCGTCAGAAGTATCCTGACCACGTCCGCCTATCCATTCACCCATCCACAGGCGCTGTCAAGTTGTCCATCAGCCTACTCCCCACTGACAGCATCTACACTACACCATGGCACAGCACCCTGGTCCTCAAGCTGGACGGAACGATTGAGACTGGAATGCGATCTCAATTTGAGAACAATGACAACCTAGAGTTGATCTACGAGAACGGTCGTCCAAGCTACTACCGTGAAAAGTCTCCTCTCCTTAGCTGGGCTGAAGAGAAGGGTGGCATCGTAGTTGACCACATCTACCCAGCTGGTCTCACCATTCGCCCTGCCAATGGACCTGGATCCTTGACCATCGACGACATTGACACAAAGAAAGTCCGCGCCCTTTCAGAGATCAATTCTCCCGTGGTTCTTCGCGGATTCGTCAAGAAGCCTGATCGTGAGCGATTCATCAACCTCAGCCACCAATTTGGAACACCGCTGCCATGGAAGTTTGGATTGTTGCTCGAAGTGAAGGATCGAGGACTGGAGACACGAGGTCTCAACAATGTTCTTTCGGCGGAACCTATGCCCATGCATTATGATGGGCTTTTCAAGACGGTCAAGCAGGTTGATGAGAGTGGCAAGGAGGCTTTGGTTTCCACACCACCACAGTATGTTTCTCCCAGTCCACACGCTAATTCACTTACTAACAACGGCCCCAGATTCCAGCTCTTTGAGGGCGCCACGGCATCTCCACGAGACACGGGGTTCACCATCTTTGCCTCATCAACTCTGTTCTTCAAGTTCCTTCCCAAGTGGCTCAAGGTCGACGAACTATCCAAGCTCACGTGGAGCGTGTCGACTTCTTCCTTCGACCAAACCGTCCTGAAGGGTCTGCCCCTAGTCGTCTCACACCCAACTACCGAGAAGCCCTGTCTGCGATACCACGAGCCATGGCCCCAGAGCAAGACTCAATTCGACGCCACAGACGTTATCATTGAAGGCCAAGAACCTGTTGAGAGTGCATCGATCTGCGCTGCTATCGATGCAACCCTCTACGATCGTAGAGTAGCGTACTATCACGCCTGGGACAAGGGAGACATTGTCGTCAGTGACAATGTTCTAATGATGCACACAAGGAGCGATTTCACTGCGGGCATTGATCGGGAGCTTTGGAGAATTCACTTTGATTAGATCACTGGTAGCTGATGTTGGTACCAGGAAAGATCACTGGATCAACAAGGAGTTAGTTCAATAGGCGAATTGTACATGCAAGTTTGTGTTTGAGATTTGAAAAGATATACATATACCCAGTTCGCCTTGAGTGATACCTCCAATGTCCTATGAGAAACTGGTACGTATTTTCGCAAAGATGCCCTTTGGCTTGGGCCTTTTCCTCATTGGCATCGACAGGTACTCTCTTAGGGGTGTAACAGTGATGCCATTGTAGGTTCTGAGGCCCGAGATGTCTCGTTTGTTTGCCCATGCCTCTGAAAGGAACTGTGTATGTTCAGATCTCCGCTCTGGGATCTCGCTCGGGTCACCAGGCATTGTAATGACCATTCCGGCTCCGAGAAGGGCGCACAATGAGTGGTACCACCCGGTTTGTGAGTATATCATATCAACACCGGGCATATGAAAGTGGGAGCCGTTACAGTAGGCTGTCAAGATAACTTGGATGGGCGTAAAGTCTGGATACATCGTATACTAATAATCCGGATCAGCTTCACTCCGTGTAGAGCGCGTTGTTGTCAACTGAGCGTACCTCAACAATCTCGGCTTGGATTGTCCCTCCGGCGATAGCCTTCCTGTCTGCTTTAAGGGTGTTAAGGATACCCTTTTGGTGTAGGTACTTCCGGATAAGTGGATCTATCCTATCCAAGCTTGTGTCGCAATTGATATGAACCAGTATCTGTTTCCATGGGGGTACACCTGATGCTCTTGGCGGCCATATTGAGAAATGGCAGGACGCAATCATAAAGTTCCATCGCCTATAGAAGGAGTCTGTATCCTCTGAGGAGGAAATGGGAAAGAATAGAATAATTTCGATTTGTCTTGGGGGTTCGAAACCGACATGCCGAAATGTAAAGTCGAGTTTTGCGAATTTCTCAGGAGAACAGGTGATGGTGGAATGCCTACAGCGAGTAAATTCTCTCTCATGACGGAAAGAAGAAGGATGCTTGTTGAGGAGTTTGTCAGACACTGGAATTTCGAAACCAGAAATTTCCTGACGTTCAGTGGATGCATTTTCGTCCGCGTTCTGGCCATATGTGTCTTCAGGTCGGTCAAGAGCATCCTCTATCTCTCCGTGACTTTCATTGACAATTGTTGGGAAAGACGTGTTGCTAGTGGCCTCCGAATCCCAATAAGGATTCTGGATTTGACTCGAGGCCCATGATTCGCCCCGCGAACTTTGCTTGGACGAGCTTGACATGGAGTGGTAGGGCCAGGAGTCCTGTTGAAGTAGAGGCGCGACACCTTCTTCTGGGCCCTCATCAAATGACAGTCGTTTGGAACTGTTTGCATCAAGTGCTTGCTCAGTATAAGTTGTCATCTCCTCAAAGAACCTCTGAAGGATAAAGTCGTTTGATGCAGCGGCAGCAGCGTCTGGAGGGAGTCGGGCCTGCAGTCGAGCAATCTCTTCCAGGATCTGAGTTGTGTCCTCTTTTATCGCGGCAGTATCATTGCGAATTTCTGTTGTGTCGGCTTTGATCTCTTTCGTCAGGTGGCTAGACTACACTTAACATGCCGAAACCTTTAGACGCATTCATATACTTACAGGGCCAGCATGTCTAGAGCAATCTCCAGTGCCGTCTTATGGGCCTCTAGACTTGAACGCAGTTTGCTGATGTCACCCTGTCCGTTGATGGCCCAGGCCACTCGGGTCTTGAGCCGATCTTGGCCATACTTTGTGATGCAAGTCTGGATCTCAGACACCACCAAATTGCAATTGCCAAGAATAGCTGTGATATGCTGGTTCAGAGTCTTTGGGAAAGGCTTGCTCGAATCAGACGCGTCTTCTTTAATGAGCTCAAGAATGGTCTGCAAAGACAGCAGCTCACGTGAGACGCTATCAAGGTCGCCACGAGCCTCTCGACACGTCCGAACAAACGAGTGGAGGTTGATAGACAGGCCGCCGATGGCCGTAATCAAACCGGCGCAGCCAGTCGCGATGGATAGAGGGTCCATCGGGGCGTTGGCATTTCGTCGTCGCGTGATTGAAGCGGGGAAGATGAGATCAGGCTGCGTATTTTCAGCTCTTTGCGTGAAGCTGACTTTGGCGTTTGTGAGCGAACCTCATTGGTAGCTTTGATGTGAGGCTGAACGACGGCGTCCAGCAGTGGGGATAGGTCGTGAGATGTGAGATGTGGGAGACAGGATTTCATTGGACAAGAGCCTTATCGATAAGGCTAGACAGCAGCTCGGGGCGGGTTAAAATTGCAGTGAAGGAGCGTCGATGCGTTGGTGACATCTACCACGCGTTGTAACTATCATGAACGGGGTCCAAAATGAACCCGGCTTTGAGTTCTTGGGTTAGATGCCTATTAGACGCGCCAGGCTTAATCTAGCATTACTCCCAATGGCCGACATAAGTATAAGCTATCATAAGTATATATTAGCCTAGAATAACATACATTAATCTCGCTATGAGCTCCTGAATATTCTAGAGTTACTCTTTTAAGCTTAATTAATGACTCCTGGTGCCGCCATGGCTAAAATTGTGAGTCGCCGCGTAGTCCAAGTCATGCCAGAAACCGCACGGATTGTCATCAAATATAGGGTGGCTAATCTGAGCAGACAGCAGCTGTTGCGACACGCGCGTAAAAAGCGCCACCATTTGGAACATGTTGACGGCAATCTTCGGCATCCGTTCCTGTCTCTAGCGCTTAAGCTTACCCCAGCTCCGAGAAACTGCTGACCGGCCCGTCTACCGAAGGTCCGGGGCGGAGGACGGGGTAATCTGCCGGGGATCCACCCGGGCGGAGAGCTTGCGCGTAAGCTTACCGTAATTGAAGCACGCCGAAAACTCACGCCATTTCTCGGCGGTATGAGAGATTAGGAGTCGGATGTGCCGATAGCGATGTTCACTGAGACTATCAGCAGGGTATTGCTCATAAGACAGACTGGTGGAATTGCTGATCAAAGAGCCAAGACTCTTCACCGTAAGACGTTGTTTGGTGGAAGTCATGTGACCGGCCTTGCTCGTAAAACTCCGTGATTATCCGTGGCCGGCCACCGTTTCGCTATCTCCGATTAGAGGCATCACGTCCATTTCGTGTTGATGCCCCAGGTCAGATTGGCTGCTCAACGCGATCAAACAGCACGATTGAATGGAGTTTTCTTGGGATTCATGCCATTCTTGTATGAAATCGCATCACCCATGATGTCTACGCTCTCATCACAAATGCATGGCTTGCCTCTGGGGCGTGTGGACCCCGGGACTGCATCCGCCATCTCCTCGATCCCGGGCATGCATCCGAGATCTTCCCCACACCCCGAGAATGCACCGAGTTGGCCGATGTATACTTGGATCTGCTATATTAGACGGGCAGCTCTGTCTACTGGACATGTGCTGTAGTCAGTCAAACCATGATCCATCAGACCTACAACAGAAGTATGACTCCTCCCATCACACCAAGTTCACCACTAACTCCTCAGTGTCTGCAAACCTAGTCCCCCTCACCATCGTCAAAGGCGCTGGCCACGAGTTCATCCCCCTTCCCCAGGGAGAGAACGCCACCACTGCCGACTTTCACTCGATCCGAACCAAGACGACCGATTCTCCCACCCACCTGACCTCGGGCTTCTACAAGATTGTCGCTGGCAAGGCACGACCTGCTCACTATAACTTTGAGGAGACCAAGTACATCCTGAGCGGTCAGATTGACATTCTGGTATGTCAGAGCTGCCTATGTCTTACCTGACACTCATGCTAACCGTGTCGACAGGACGAGGCCACTGGCATCACCCACCACCTTGTCCCTGGTGACTTTGCCTTTTTCCACGTCGGCTCCAAGGTCCAGGTATGTCTCTAAACACATGATACTCCTCCATGAGTCCGCGACTGACATTTCATGTCCAGTTCTCCACCAAGTCCGAGGGCCTTGCCTTTTACGCCGTCACTCGACCCGTCCGAACTCCCCACCCCAACCTGCAGGGTCGCGAGGAGAGCACCAAGTCCCGCCTGTAAAACAACAAAAGCGTGTCTGTCTTATCAATGAGTAAATAGTAATGACCAACAGTGGATGCATTCCACATTATGCCGAGTGACTAGGTCACGGCAAATATCAACCACCCATTTGTTTCCACTTCTGTTTGTGCTTGATGCCAATGACCATCCTCATTACGGCTTTGTGATCAAAGAATTGGACAAGTGATATTCGGCGAAAATGCTCTACTGCAAAACTTTCGATGACCCCATCTCCAAGTTCATTGCCCTTCGACTTTAGGTGATAGAGTGTACTGCATACTCGCAACTCTTGGGACTTCGATCGGTAAACTCGAAAACCTTCTCGATAGCCTCACTTCACTAGGTGTACTTCGTTCACTTCCCCCAAGACTGCACCACTCTGTCATGCAGCTCAACTGGTGCAAGTGCCATCTCTCGGCGGCCCTGGCTCAACCTCGCATTGTATACTGCATCCACCTTGGGGCGATAGCCCAACGACTGTTCAGTCCTCCTGTCAATCAACCTTGAGGTAAAAGCTAGAAATCCGATGGGCACATTGGCTGTGGCAAGAGCGAGTCTGACAGGCGACAGCAGAAGCGATATGAGAGTATTTCTCCAGGGACTAATTTCTCTAATTGGCGCTAGAAGCAGCAATAATAGCATCTCGGGATAAGAGTAGGCCCAGAGGTTGCTGTCAAACTGTTGATGATGAACACTGCCGAGTTTGAATGTGAGATATTCCGCGAAGTTATAAAGCCCATATGAGGCTTGGTGCAGAAAACCGACAGGCGCTGGTGCTAGTTAGCAGAGTAATTCAGCATGGATTTGGATTACTCACCTTCAGCAACATGAACCACCCGTTTTAGAAGTTCCAAGGCTCCTTGTGAAGTTCCTAGGCCTCGGGATGCCTTGAGGAGAGACACAAATCGGCCACCGAGGAGGGCGACTCCACCAAAGATCCCCGAGATGGGATCTCCGGGGGCTTTAAGATCCGGTAGTTCGACGTATCGTATCAGACCCAAGTCTACCTGCCGGATCAAGCCATCGGTAGCAAGAATGCTTGCCGCTATCGTTGACAATTTCGATCCAGATGGTTTGTGTTTCCAGATCGCCAGATTGTCAGGCAGTAGATCACAATGTCCCTCGGAATATGCCTTTTGAAAAGTGCTCAACGCAGATCTCGCAAACTTGAACTGACCCGGTTCTTCTTTGGACATCTTCTCTGCCATAAACTTGACATTTTGACCAATTTTAGCTGATAATGCCTCCTGAACTCTCGTGGCGACCAGATCAGAGGTGATACCTTCAAGCGGAATCGGCTCTGGACTACACCCGGCTTGGAACACACGGTGAGACCAAAACGGCTGATCTCCAGCAATAGGAATCATGATGATGGGCTTTCCAAGCTTGAGAGCTAGTGAAAATGTTCCGGCTCCCATGTGAATGACGACGGCCGCGACTCTAGGGAAGAGCCAATGATGTGATATCTCGTCGACAATGAAGATGTCATCTCTCTGGAACAGACCAGAGTCAATGCCGCACCATCCTTTTGCAAATATGATGCGCCGTCCAGATTTGGCGATGCCGTCAAAGACAGCTTGAAGAACTTGTTGCGTATTTAGAAACGACATGCTCCCAAAGCCGACGTAGATGGGCTCGTCTCCGCTCTCAAGCCACTTCGTCAGCTCAGCGGGCGGAGTATATGGTTCGGGGTCTGCAAAGACAAAGCCAGCGGTGTCGATCTCATCACCCCAGTCAGCAGGCTTTGCAAGGAGGTGGGGAGACCAAAGGTTGGTGCAAGGCAGCTTGAAGCGGAAGAATTGACTGGTCCACCAAATAGGCGAGAAAGGCTCAAGGCCCATGGTATCAACACGAAGCCGGTTGAGACCTGAGTTGAGCATGAGAAAAAACCTAGATTTCAAACAGTTAGCGAGGGATGTATTTAAGAATACTCGGGTTCTTACGCCAAGTCCTTTAACCACCACGAGAGCACATTCCTGACGACCGAGTCGCTCGTCGCAGAGCTCTCCGCTTGTGAATGTGGCAGGTACTTTGAGTATATCCGAGGATTGTTCGCTTGTAGATGAATAGGAATGCCCATTCTAGCAGCAGCTGAGCTGTGCACAAAAGTCGTCATAGTAGCGATGATGGCATCGGCAACGAACGGCTCCGGCGACGTCCCCTCAGGTATCCCAGCAAGATCATCGATGCAAGCTCCCCAGAATCTCTTTCCCATCTCAGAGAACTCGTCCTGAATCTGAGGCAACAGTTTGCGCATTCCTGCTGCGCCAAGACTTCTGCGGAAGATCATCTCCCGTGGATCAGCTCGTCCCAAAGAGTAGAACTCGATCCCGGCAGCCTGGACAAGGGGGCGATGGCGCTCGTGAGTGACATATCTCACGCGATGGCCGTGATGAAACTGCAAGACTTTGGCGATTTCCAACGTTGGTTCGAGGTCGCCGCGGCTGCCAAAGCCCATGATGACGATGTTGAGTTTGGGTATGTTGGTGAGGGCATCCCCGCCTAAGGGCTCGGGTGTTGTGCTCTCCATCGTTGGCGCACGTCTTGCCTCTAAGGGACACTCTGAGATACGATGAGAACGACCACTGAAATGGAACGCTTTATCGTCTCACGACGATTCAAACTCGGGGCCCGCGGACGAGGTTGAGTCGAAACACGTCTGGGGTTGTTGATGTTTGCGTCAGCACTAGCTCGATTGGGAAGATTCCGCGGACGACAAGTTGCAGTCGCTAAGAGGATCGAGTAAACGAGCCACTTAGAAACTAAGGATTGTATAATAGGAATCCGGAGGAATGGGTCGCTTCTTTGTTAAAACATGGGTCTTGTAAGATTTAGTCGTATATCGCTTGAATAGGCAAGTTAGGCACGGCTTGTTGAACTACCTCTATAGTGCATCTCAAAAGCCTCATTAACGTAGTCGTTGACTGTCTGGTAGTTAGTTGGTTCATATTTAGAGAGCACTTAACATGTCGCACTGATCCATTATCAAGTTGCCTGTATTGAAGTCACAAAAAAGGAAAAGCTAACATTTTGTACAATCCCATCTCAAACCTTGGCCAAAAATGGAGTATGTCTGCACATAAAGTCGAGCTCGCCACTGTCTTCCATCTCCTCATTCCCATACAGCTCATCCAGTAACTCGGGACACTCATCCAAGTCCTCGTCGTACACGAACCAATGGCCCTGCCGAGCCTCACACTTGATCCCTCGCGACTCGAGAAGACGCATGAACCGGCCAGAGGGATAGCGGTCTGTCGGGTTCCCCAGCTCATCCTGCCCGACAACCATTCCGTATAGGTACACTCGCTTCACCCCTTTCAAAGCATCTTCAGGCACCAAGAGCCTCTGGACCATCTTTATTAGTGCTCTGTGTCTTTTTCCATTCTGATCGTCCTCTAGAACCTCGGCTTCGTCTAAGTGGTGCTCCTCGACACCCCACAAGTCAATAGATGGCCGTTGCTCCAAAACCAGCACCTCAACGGTATTGCCGCAAGCCAGAAGAATGTCTCGCCAGTCCGAGAGGCATTTTGCTTGATTAGTTATCGACCAGCTGACCACATGCGTGTCATAGCTTCCTTTGCATGGCTGGCATAGATGCAGATGCTTCAACCGTGGCAGGGTTAACTCTGAGCGGAACTCGAGGTTGGGAGAGCTTGGGAGAAAGTTGACCAAAGGTCGTGGAATGGTGGAGTAGAAGTATTCGTCGTTGTGGTCAATCTCGTAGGCTTCGCGCTCATTTTGACTGCCTTCGCCTTCGCCTATGTCGCGTGAACGCAGCAAATCCTCCTCATCGCTATCCACAAGATCAAATGGACGATCTAGGAGTCCGAGTTCCAGCCACTCAAGCGTGTTTCCCGACTTGAGAAGCCACGCTGAAACAGTGCAAGGGATGTAACCGAACAGCTTGGCAACTTGGAGTGACAGAGGCGGAGCTGTGATTTCGGGGGTGGGTTGCTCGTGTTCTGGTTTTGAGGCGAGGTCACCATGAAGTTCGAGCTTTTCCAGGTTTATAAAGAATGGCAATAGCTGCCAGAACTGGATGATGCCATTTCGAACGGCTTCATTACTGTCGGCGGTGCGAGGTTGCCAGTCTGGTTTAATAACAGCGCAGAGGCTCTTGACGCGACTAGCGAGTCGCTGGAGCTGTTCCGGGTCATCCCTGTGTAGCCGCTGCAGCATGGTGAAGAAAGCCTCTGCTCTATGACTTGCTCTCAAAAAACTTGTCCAGCCATAAATCCATCGATAGTAGGATGCGGGTCTGATAGGAGGCGCCGAGTTTGGTTCGACGGATAATGCGTGGTAGCCAGGCTTATGGAGTTCAACGCTTTCCCAGAGGAGAGGCTCAACATGCTGGCTGAGATACTTGCAAGTGAACGAGAGTTGGGCAAGCTGGTGAGGCTGTAGGTAGGATGTGATGTCGTCTAGAAGCTCACGGGGAAGAGATTCGAGTTTGGACTGTGATTGCATTGCTTGATCAGCTCAGCTTCCATTTCTTATGGGTCATTGTATGGTTGAAACATCTTTGTTCTCCCCTCGTCTCTTTATAGACATGGTGACCCACAGTCGTCTGATGCATGGTACTGGAGGCTGTTGGTTGTGCGCTATTATGCCATGCGGACCAAAAGGGGCGCAGAAAGTCGAAAGAAAAAGAGCGGTCACGGCTTATCCGTGAATTTTTGAGTGTTGCATTTCGTAGTCTTTTGCTCTCTACAATGCATAATTAGTACACAATGTCGTTCTCATTACGGTGTTATGCGGCGTCGATCCGTTTGCGCCTGAGCTTGGTGGATGGTTGTAATTGTGCACATGGGTGCATGGCCTTGAACAAAGATGTGCAGATTTTATTTGCATCGTCAGTGGCTGATTTGTCTATCGCAATCTGTGCGTAGACTTGCATAACATCATGGCCAGTGCCCATTGCATAAATCGAACCCCCAATCACGGTCGCAACCACTTCGCAGCACAATTCCGGGCTCCTTACGCTGCGTATCCCAAGGCAGTGCACGCAATCTATTCCCGACACCCCGTACCCTAAAGGGAGGCGCAGTATCACGATCTCGCAGCCGCCTCACGCGTCTAGACGCGTCGCATTCGAGGTCGACACACAGTGTCCAAGGCTTGGAATACGGTTGAGGGCATGTAGCGCTGTCTATGGCGCACCGTACTTGTGGGTAAAAGGTGCACAAGTCGAGAGTCTTGTGCGACCCCAGTCCACGACCAGTCTGTTTTTGAGGGCATCGCTCGCCTTCTATTGCTCTTTTCGACTGCTTTCTTTTCTGAGTCGGTTATTTTTGACCCCTTTCTAAAAGGACACATCTTCAGTAATTTACCTCAGTTACTCCCTTGAGTGTTTGTTTGCTTCACACTGACCACTATCATCTCGAACTCAACGCCATCGCCAAGAGGCGGCACACTAGCGTCATGTTGTGCAACTACCGTCGCCTGAGCGTGCGTACGACGATACACACGCATCTCGACACACCTGACGGCTTGGACGGAGTGGCCAACAAATATTGCAACGGCCGAGACCTGGGCTCGTGGCAGTGGACTCACCCAAGCGGCTGGTCGAGTCCCATGCGCACACATCGACCAAGCTCCTGCGTCAAGTTAATCACTGCCTGCCCACTGCCGAGGAGCCGACGGATAAATGAAGGTTTTGTTTCAGATTGAGGCGAGGCTCGCAATTCATTTGGCGTGTTCCCGTTTTGTCTTTATCATCGCTACCCGTCCTTCTTCCATTAACTTCATCCACCCACTATCTCAACGCCACAACCGGCTATCGACCGCTGTTTGAGCCGTCAAACCCGTTTTATGTCATCTGTCACCTGTCCGGGGAAGCATCCGACGTCGCGGACGACCGTTTGACGAAGCCAATTAGATGGCTTCCTCCGTCAACTGTCGGCAATGGGACACTGCATTTGGATAAAGAAATATCTGATATTTCGTCAAATGAATCCAACATGTTTTTCAGCAGGGCAGAAGGCACTGTGTTGTCGCTTACCATGGTAGTCATTGCGTCTGATGCCGTTAGCCGATGGCCCTATTGTTCGGGATGCAGCGTTTGAAGTTGTCAACAGATGCACCAGACAAACGCGACAATTGTCCCAATTGCGAACTTCACTCGGCATCTCAGCCTAGCCTCACTCCATTGTCCTTCAATCGCAAAACAACTCTCGCAATCACTCTCAAGGCTGTACAAACGTGGACGAGTCTTTATTCATCCTTATGATTGTCATCTCGGCCCCATCAAACGCAACATTCAAGTTCGAGTTGATCGATTACCGCGCCCGGGCATCTTTTGCGAAAATGAAACTCTCAGCGCCCTCATCACCAACCTGGTATGGGAAGACCGACCACGAGAACTCGAACTCTTTGGACGTGGAACCCGGATATCTCAAGAAGCTCGAAGCGATGGAGCAAGATGCGCCCAGCGACCCTTATGGCTCCATTCCCATTGGAGACCTGATGCGACAGACATGCGGCGACTCACTGCTGCGTACATGCATCGTTAGCATGTCGCTGTATACACCTCTCATCAAGAACGGCTCCGAAGCCGAGTCCGGTCCAGCCAAGGCCATCGTTGCTTCTATCGCAGACACTGCAGCTCACTACGCCTGGGGCCGCATCGTCGATGCTCTCAACAAGAGGGGTAACAAGATGACAGTTGAACAGCTTTCTCGTCGAATCCACGAATGTCCCGATCCAACAGGTCCTGTGCCGGTGCTGCAAAGCTATGGTCTTCCGCGCGCCAGGGTGCTGCTTGGACACGACTGTAAGTACTCAGCCCGGCCCTGAGTAGACACGGACTAACAGACTTCAGGCTACCTTCAAGATATCGAACACGCTTGCGCCGACTCTGGTCTCTGCACGTCCGTCTACGGATACATAGCCGACACAACCAGCGAACCCGGGCCCCAGACCTTCACCATCGAAAACATCACGGTCGAGTCGTACTTTGATCTCGACGATAACAACGATCTGGACAAGACATACGCAGCCGCAGGCAACATCGAACACTTCAAGCTCAAGGATTGGACTCTGCAGTATCGCCGGGAGATTAGAACTCGCATGGAGATTTTGATCAGAGGACACAACGAAAAGATTGCGGCATGGCTTGGGAAGAAGCTCCAGCTTCGTCTTAAGCAAGGAGAGGGCGTGGAGGATTTGGTTCCGGGAGAGGACTTTGGTCAGTACTTTATCGATGTCGACATGGATCTCGACAAGTTTCTTATGGGAGCGATGGATCAAACTCGGGAGTTTTTCACGGCACACATGGGTAGTGGATTCAGCCTATGAAGGAAGGGAATGGGTTGCAACTTGGGAGTTTATGGGACAAATAGTCGGCGCAAAAGCATCAGGCAGGTTTAACTCGGTTTAGAAAGTGGGATAACTACATGGGATAGCCTCCGATCGGAGGTCTACAGGCGAATAGGGCTCTCACCTTCCATTGATGCAACGCGATAAAAGGATGACGATGCCTCCAGGTTGTGTAGGTGATGCCGATTTCCCGTCCGCCGGTCGGGCAAAAGCCGACTATTCCCATATCGAGGTCAAGATGCTGCTATTTGAACCAATCAATGTCCATGTCGATCGTTGCGCCATCCTCTGATGCAACGGCCGGAGGTGTTCGTGATTACGGTGGGGAATGGTGAATACAGTCGCAAGATACACAAGACATATTTAACAGAACCTATCCGTAGCGAGTTTACTGGCGCCAAGAGCGCACTCGGCGAGTATCGATTGGCTGGCTAGGAAACATGGCGCAACCACAGAAGAACATTACTCGGACTTCGTCGAGAGAGGTTCAAGTCGATACACCTAAGTTGCCAGATCGCTACGCAGATGAGAGCTACAAGCTGTTTTCACAGGTCAAGGTCGATCCCCCGACTCCAGAGGAAGCAAAGAGAATCCGGAATAAATGTATCCGCTGGATTCTGCCCTTCTTGTGTGTTGGATATCACCTCATGTATGTGGACAAGCAGACTGTACGTACCCTCTTCCTTGTTTTACCTTCACTAGCTGACTTGACATGTAGCTCGGGAGCTCTGCAATCCTTGGTATTCTTGAAGACGGTCATCTAAACGCCACCCAGTACAATTGGCTATCATCAATCTTCTACCTGGGATATCTATTGGCAGAGTGGCCACAGAATCTAGCCATTCAGAGATTTCCTGTCGCGCGATGGCTGGCGATTAACCTGACCGTTTGGTACGACCATTTCCTTCTCTCCTTGCTGTTTCTAACCGGTATGCAGGGGCTGCATCTTGCTTCTTCATATCCCATGCAACAACTTTGCTTCCTTCTTCGTCGTCCGCTTCTTCCTTGGTGTCGCTGAAGCAAGCATCGTTCCATCGTTCCTCGTCATTTTATCCATGTTCTTTACATACGACGAACAATCAGTCTTGATGCCTATCATGTGGGCTATCGGGAACTCGAGCCCCATCACCTCGGGACTGCTCTCATATGGTGTCCTCTTTATCGATACTGGCAGTTTCGCCCCGTGGAGATGGTTCATGGGTACGTCTCCCAGCCAAGACAGCAATCTTTACTAATGCATTCTTCAGTCATCACTGGCACACTCACTGTCATCTATGGCATCTCCGTGTGGATCTTCTTCCCCGGTAGTCCCATCACGGCCCATTTTCTCACACCCGAGGAACGAGCCCAAGCCATTCTCCGCATCGAGTCAAACCATTCCGGCATCGAACAAAAGCGCTTCAAAAAGTACCAATTCATCGAAGCCATCAAAGACCCCAAGACTTGGCTGTTCTTCCTCCACGCGTGGTCTCAGGAAATGGCCAACGGTCTAACCAATCAATACTCGCTCATCATCAAGTCTTTTGGCTTTACGACTCTTCAGACGACGCTTTTGGGGTGCATCAACGGGGTCACGGCGCTTGTGTCTCTTGGCGCAGCTGCTTGGATCTTGGCAAAGACACACAATTGCCGGGCTTGGGTATCTGCGGTGGCATACATACCTCCCATTATTTCCTGCATCATGCTGCTAACTCTTCCCTGGGGCAACCGCTGGGGTCTACTAACAGCAATCTGGATACGCGCAACTGGCGGCATTCCCTACGCTGTTGTCATGATCTGGGCCGCCAACTGTTCCGCTGGACACACCAAAAAGACTGCAGTCATTGCCTTGTACCACGTTGGATACGGTTTGGGCAACATTCTATCACCGCAGCTATTCCAGCCCCAGTACGCACCCCGTTACCTCGTTACTTGGGGTGTCATCCTCGGCGTGGCATGTATCCTCCCAACTTGCATTGTCCTCTACCTGAGATGGTATCTTGCAAGGGAAAACAAGAGACGAGATGAAATCGACCGCCAAGGTCTGATCAGAGAGGTTGGTGTTATTGAGCATGTTGATGAAAGTGGGGAGACGACCGAGGAGGTTGTGAATACCAGGCAGCTGGACCTGACAGATCGAGAGAACCTTGCCTTGTAAGTGACAGTGAACAATACTGGTCGAACAGTACTAACATGTGAACAGCCGATATGTTCTGTGAAGCTCGGGTCTGACAGTATGTCTTGAACTACTTTGCTGGGATACGCAGTGATGTGTTTCGGCTATAAATAGGCACTACATCTTTAATACCCTCTACGTTCACGATAGACACAACAGACACAACAGACTTGCAGAGAAACGCCTTACACGGCTTCAACTTTGATTAGAGCTAGTTCCAACAGACTGCCGGCCACAGCGCGCCTAGACCCACTGCGCACCTCTCGTCACCAAAGGCCTCGGATTGACCCTCGACATAAGCTGCTCATACGCGGCTTCGTCTCTTATTTTCGTATCGCCCTCAGAAACATCCCCGGGGCTTTTCACCTGAAGGGCAGGCTTCCAACCTGAATGGCCGTGGAACATGTTGATGTTGAGTCTGGCATATTTCAGCCTCCTGTTCGGGCTTGTGATTATCTCGGAGGCGAAGTCTTGATGCTTCCTGTCATTGTAGCGTCGGGACATTGCGTAACCAGAAACACGGTAGTAAGCCTCATCGCAACTCATGTTTTGGATGAGGCTGGAAGAATCGTAATTCTCCGGGGTCTCGCCCATACAAAACTCCCTCAACCCGTTCATGGACTCTGCCCACTGGGAAAGGACATTATGCCATCGCAAATGGTATTCACGGACCCCAAGGCCAGGATCAGGTCCGCTGAAAGTCTCGGTGACGGAATCATCATTGTCTCCATCGTCAAAGGGCTGTCGACGCCAGGACTTGACTATGATGGGGCACTTGTCAAGATACAATTCTTGCAGTCCACCATTCTCCTGACCTAACGAGCTGATCCAGTCAACCTGCCACGCTTGACCAAGGACGTAGTTTCTGAGGGCGAGGACCTTGAGTCTCGGAAGTGGCGGTTCGCCAAGTTGGCGAAAGTCGATTTTGGGGTATAAACCCCAGTATTCGCCATAGACGAGCGAAAGTGTCTGCAGATTTTGGGCGATGGTGGGGAACATCCACGTCTCAGGAAACGTCTGGAGCATCCTAGTTTCCAACAGTGATCGGGATCTATCACGATCAGGACGACCGCCAGAAGTAATCAAGAGTTTGAGGTCGACGAGACTTGGTAGAGACAACATCTTTTTCAACACTCCCGACTCCTCGGCGAAAAGATCTTTATAAGGTGAGAGATTGGAAATGGTGAGCTCCCGGAGTGGCATGACGTGGCCGAGGGGGATTTCCTGGTCATCGATATACTCAAGGGGATGTTCGTCGTTGAAAAATTGATTGAACTGTCCTGTTTCATCAATCTTGACTTGTATCTGGGGTGTCCACATGCCCATGACACAGTGGCATATCGTTTCCATGACTCTGAATCGGAAGAGCCCTGTATGTTCAAAATCGTAAGCCACCGGGGCAAGGTAGGAACCTCCCAATGATTCGTGAAAGCGGACATGAAGTGCAGTGACGTTGGTGAAGTAGTGCAGATAGGGCAGGGCGTTGACAAAACCCCAGGATATCTGCCAAGGACCGTTTGGGTCTCGATTGTCACCGTGATCGCCCCAGGCCTCTACCGTGACCTCTCGTACCAGGCTGCGAAGCCTGGAGTTCTTGGCGATGAGGGTGAATCTCTCGGCCGAATCACCACAGGCTTCAAGGCGTATGCTTCTGTATACCCAGGGTAAACCAATGGCGCTGAGCTTGCTGCACACGAGCCGAAGCCGGAGCAGTCTCGGCTTTGGCAGGTTTTGGCATATCTCGCCCCATACCTCTGGAGGCAAGTCGTTCCAGTCGCAGATTTTGGGAGTTGATGACATGTTGATTGTGTCGTGGTGAAGCTGTTGAGATGTGTGAGGTTGAAATGCCGCTTTTTGTGCTTACGCCCAGACATGCATGGTGCTGCGCCCACTCAGCCACGCCAACGGACCATGACGATTGGCTGCTTAGAGTGACTTGAAACGCGTTAAGCTGATGATGGAACTGATGAGAGTCCCACTACCTTTCCTAAAGTCATCGTCTATAATACAGCGGCATAGCAACCGGGCGGGCGCCAAGACTTGCTGACAGTGATGCTGCACACGACTCAAACGCTTTCAACCTATAAGGCTGAGCTGCCTACCTAAGATATCACTCAACGAACCTGAAGTAAGGCTTGTGGATGGGTTGGTGACTGACTATTCCAATTCTATCGTGGAGGTGTTTGCGCAGGTCGGCAGGCCGAAGGCGTGCCTTGGAGAACTAGCTGACTGAGGAAGTGGACGGCTTGGAGGCAATCGATGTGCTCTACTATGTATGACCATCGCCTTAGATCGTTGACCCTAGCGAGGTTGAGTGACAACCGTCCCATAGAGCTGCCGTCGTGGGGTCCGACATTTCATTAGCCAATCGATATCACCTCTCAGGTAGATGCTGTGCATCTTGCCGTTGAAGGCCGCCTCCTGGCATTTTGCGCGCAGTAGGCGGTTCCTTTCGCTTGGTTGGTGAGGCTTATGTTCGTGGAATGATGAATCGCGACCGGGTACGTGATGTCGGGCAGGCATTTGGACCTATTGAGGTGAAGGCTGGTCAACAAAGAGGCAATCAGCGAAATTCACAAACAAGGTTCTCGATACACGACGGCATCGAAACAACAGAAACCGATAATTCTTGGGCAACATTACTCGCGACCTGAGCTCGCACACAGACAAATCGATGCCCTTGCCAACCTTTCAAATGTTGATAGGCTACCCCAGTAGAGTTATGCATGTTCAGCTTCTGCAAGCACAGCCCCCTCAGCTGCACTTCGCCCACCTGACACGTCCTTTGTCAACTCGATGGATAATTATTGGCTGCCTTGAGATTTCCCCTCGGGCACCAAGATTTTCCGGGCATTCATTGGAAGGTGGCGTTTGGTATTGGTCACACCAAGGTACGAACAAAGAATCATGTTACCATTTGCCATACTCGAGGATAATTTATGATTTATTTCTTTCTCACATCTTCACCGCAACTCGACTGATTCTTCCAGGCTGACATGCCGCTTCAATACCGTGTTGAGCTCGTTTGCGACCGCACGAATATGTGCTGATGACAATGCTGGCCTGATTATTGTGCCTTGGGCGAGCAAACAAATATCCTAGCGCCGCCACCTGATCTCCGAGACCGCAGTTTATCGCTAGCCTGAGTTGCATCAACTTGTGCACATGATATGCACCCATCCGTTTGACGCTCAAAATACTCGATTGATACTGTGCAAACGAAAAAAAGGAGAAACTCTCATTGTCGGCTTGATCAGCCGAGTTCAAATTGTCCTCAAGAGATCTCCGAGTATTGTTGGACATGGCAAACGGAAGCCCAGTCTTTGAGCTACCCCTCGCGCAAACGACCTCACAACTGGAACCTTTTGCCCCTTTATGGTATTTCGACCAGCTGGCACGCACTGGGCAAGCTTTGATGCATTTTTTCTTTGGTTTAAAAACTTTGACTGTGCAAACTCATCCTCTCCTCAAATCTTTCCATCAACACTCCCCTCGTGGACTGATCCAAGTGTCGAGCGAAGCGAAGGGGCTGGAGGAGTGCGACGAAGGAGCACGTATCCACGACCATTCTCCTCCGCGATCCTCCCCGCGCATACATCACTCTGTCATCCTCGAGTCCGCCTAGCGCAGCCTCGCTCCAGCCATGTGTAAACATTGCGCGAATAATGGCCCCCTGGTAAGCCCGTCTCATGCTGCCCTTGTGTGACACCAGACTTGACCAATGTCGCCTGCAGATGATAGTCGGCGAACCCCTCTCTACCTACCTCGAAGCCGACGCCGCCAACAAGTCATGGACCCTCAAGTTCTGTGAGGACCTTGAAGCGAAGCTGATGATTATTCTCTCTCGACGCCTGAGAAGCGACACCATGAAGTACCACGATCCCAACAAAGTTCCCGCCGAGGTGATGGGCGAGATGTTGGTCAAGGACATTGGCTTGAACTTTGACTACAAAGAGGAAATTCGCCCACTTGTCATTCGTAAGTGCTCAGCATGTGTGACACGGCTGAAAATGCTGACTTCACCCAGGTGGCCTATTAGCTCAAGCCAAGGGGACTCTTTCGGATGTGATGGCATGGGACGTTATTTTCAAAGTTGAAAATGGCAAAGATGAGAACCTCTTTCAGTGGAAAGTTGGTTTCATCTTCAACAACATGACGAGTGTCGAAAACGCCAAGAAGTACATCGCGGACAAGCGCCACGAGGAGAATGTCATTTATCAGTACCGACTGAGGGCGGCGATGGCGGCCGGACATCCTACCACCACCACTACCTATCTCCGTCCGACGCAGCACCATGTCGAACCTCTTGTTGCAGCGGCTCCGTCCCAGCCAGGGACTGTGTCACAGCCAGCGACGGCGCCCCAGCCTACGACTACCACTCAGCCGGCACCCGTACCCCAGCCATTGACTGTTGATACTCAGCGAGCCCAGGGCTTTGTGGAAGGTCTAGATAGCATCTCTACCTCTTATTCAAGCCTCAACCTCGGGTCTGCTACCAACCCCATCACCCTGGACACAGACGAAGATGGAGTCTCGTCGCGATACACCCACGCTCACGCACCTCGCGTTTCTTCACCTCTGGCTTGTGTCTCTCCATACACTGCTGCTGACCTAGTCGCACAACGGTCGGCTGTTCCTCGTACACGACCCGAGACTGGCTTCCATCAGCAGATTGCCAACGTCAACGCACCTGGTAACCATCAGCCTGACCCGTCCGTGGCCAAGCCGCCCAAGCGTCGGCCTTCTGCTCGTTCTACCAGGACCGTTCAGCCACCTTCCCGCCGTCGAGGTCGTCGAGCCAATGCCGGCTAAATCAACCCACTATCTCTGATCAGCCCATCACATTTGTGATCCATGGCTGGCCGCCTGTGCTTTCGAGAACAAGCTTTATCGTTTTTTGGCTGGGGTCGAATGATCGACTGGTCTTAACAACAGAGGAAGAGGGCGGGAGATGGTTTAGTACTCTCTCGACTCAGACATGGTCTACAAGTGGATGCATTTGCTTTCGTTCTCATGTCACTTAGCTGTCCTACATAGACCCGAATTATGACCCTAGTATATCCCGTCTTGTCACTGGTTACTGAACTCATGGCATAAGTATCGTGCCTCCCCACCTCCTTAGCTCCCCAATACAATCGATTGCTTCCTTATCTCAGGTGGCAAGGTTTGCGTCTGCTTCGAAGATATTTCCTGCTATAACACACGCTTAACAATCATAAGGTCCAAGATGTCGTGAACATATGTTGAAACCTGCAAACACTATCCATTCTTTGAGCTCCTGGAACTACCGAGGCAAGCGAATTCACTCGAGGCTCACCGCGAGAGGCTCTAGGACACCCGCGACCCGATGAGTCTTAACAATCTTCTTAATTTTATCTAGGGTATACTGAATTGATGGTTGTAAAATAATGACAAAAGAAATAATTACAGCTTGACGTATGTCAGGGTGCCCTTCCGCTCTCACTTAAAGCCCTTGCTCGCAAACTCCTTCTCAGTCCAGTCCCACAACTCTTCAACAGCCTTCTCATCATTCAAAACCGCATCTTTATACTCCTTGAGCTTCTGGTTATAGAAACCACCGCTCCTGACATTCTGTGACTTGGTCGTGCTCGCCCACAGTTGAGCCTTTGCGCCAGCATGAACATCTGTCAGGAAAATAGACCCAATCACACTGATCAAGCCGCCAAGCCAAGGCCGCCTCTTTCTGAAGTCATCAAACAGGCCCGTGTTGACAACTCCTGGGTGAATGGCGACAAACTTGACGGTAGGGTAGAACTTGCTCAGGGCACGGGTGTGATAGTAGTCTGCGAGCTTGGACTGGCCATAGCGAGCCAAGCTGGATATGTTGTTGAGGGGAGTTTTGCACTGAGAAAGAAGGACTCCTTCCTTTGGCGCTTGCTTAAAGAGCTCGGAGCTCAAGTTGACAACTCGAGCATCTCCACCGTGTTGTTCAGCCGTTTTGACGATGGTTGGGAGAAGTAGCTTGGTGAACAGGGCAGGTCCCATGTAATTGGATCCAAACTGGATTTCGTAGCCGTCAGCTGTAAGTCCAGCAGGGGTTGCCATCAAGCCAGCGTTGTTCATCAAGATATCGAGGCGATCAGACTGGCCAAGGAAAGCGGTGGCGCCTTTCTGAATTGACGCAAAGGACGACAGGTCCAACTCTAGAAACTTGATCTGGCCCTTGAAGTTTGGGGCGGCATCCTGAATCTCCTTGATGGCGGCACTGCCACGCTTCTCCGTTCTGGCAGTGACAAAGATTGTTGCGGGATTGTGTTTTGCGAGCTGGAGGGCACTCTCTTTGCCGAGTCCACTGCTGCCGCCGGTAACGATGATGACTTTGCCAGATAGATCTGGGATATCGTTCTTGGGGTCAAACGACATGATGAAGGTGGTGTAAGATGGTTTGAGATGGAGAGTGTTTGAAACAGAAATGATAAAAGTGAATAGTTTAGAGGTTGGATTGGGTATCAAGTAGTCGTAAATAGAGAAGTGGATATCAAGTAGCTTAAGTAGAGAAGAGGGAAGTGTTGATGGAAACCAGAATGTATTAAAGACCATCCTTAAAGTCCCCGATCAAGTCAAACCGAGGCTCAAATATTCAGCTTAAAATTGCCTTATCGAAATATGCTGACCAACCGGGAACTAAAGCTGCGGAGCGTAGAATTAAAGTTTCCGCAGCGTGGTTTGGCTGGTAGCGAAAATTCAACTCCGCCGGCTGAAGGCGCAATTTATTCGCCCGAGTCGTGTTCACTAATCGGAAAATATCAGCCACAAGGGGATTTTACGTCAGTGCAGGCACCCAAAACATTGATGCCATTCTCAAACTTGACTCGAATAAAAAGTAGAATTTTCCATAGTCCGCACATTAAGTATACGCGTTCAGCTGGCCATGTCCCATTTGTAAGCCGAAGGCCAGACTGCTTTGTTAGCATCAATGAAGACTCAAGATGGACTCATCGGGAAGGCTAGAGTGTGTCTCTCGGTTCTATAAAGAAACAGCAGAATAACGTCAATGAGGGTTGTCCATCTCACTCAGACCTCCACCATCGTCGACACATCCTCTTCCAAAACATGTATCCTCTTCGTCCCTTGAGCTTGGCCATGGCCATTTCCATGGCCTCGTCCGTCCTCTCGTTAGACCTTCCCAAGTATACCGGCCTCAAAACCGCCCAGAACGACAGTATTCTCACCGTCACCTTTCATAACCCTTCCTCACCTGTCAATCTTTGGAACGAGGACACTCAAAATGACCTGGAGGATTTGGTCTCTCGACTTCAAAGTGATAATGAAACCAAGGTTGTCATCTTTAACAGTGACGTGCCGAGGTTCTTTGTCGCCCATCTTGATCTCACTCTCCCTGCTCTAGCCAAGCGTAAGTTTCACTACCCATACAAAATCCTGTGAGAATTAGTTCTGACGGAGTGCAGCCGATTTCGTCGAATCGTTTGCCACTTTGATGTACAATGTGTCGAGGTTGCCGCAGGTCACCATTGGCGCTATTGAGGGCCGAGCACGAGGTGCTGGAAATGAATTCCTTGTCGCTCTTGACATGCGATTCGCCACCAAGGTCGACGTTGCTTTTGGCCAGCCCGAGGTCGGCAGTGGCTTGTTTCCCGGTGGAGGAGGCAGTCAATTTCTCACAAATCTGATTGGTAGAGGACGGGCAATGGAGTACATCCTCAGCTCCAAGGACATCACTGCAGTCGACGCCGCCGAGATTGGTTGGATCAACAAGGCCTTTGACACGTCGCGCGAGCTATATGACTACATCGATAAGCTTGCACAGAGACTGGCCTTGTTTCCCCAGTCAGCTCTTGCTGGTGGTAAGAAGACTGTTCACCGAGCATCACCGTCGCTCAAACATGTTGTTGCAGATGCAAAGGATTTCTTCAAGCAGCAGAGCGACCCGTTGGTGCAGGAGATTGGAAAGCGCTCTGCTGCTCTGTCTCAGAACGTGTCTGTTGTGGACCTGGAACTCAACATCCCCGAGGTACTCCCTCTTTTGTATGCCTAAAGATGAAGATGATTGCATGCAGGGGACGAGAAAGCGGTGACTACCTTACTTCAACTTTGTAGTCTATATTAAATGTACTTTTATCTTTCTGGGTGGTCTAGCTAAGCAGATAGTTATCAGTTTGAATCAAAACCGAACCTTTAATAAGATTAGCACCACTGCTGTCAAGGCGCCAATGTGTGCCCAGATCTAGTGACCGAAGAACAAACATCCCGTGGGTCTTTCTGCGTACCAGGGTAGCGGGGGACCGGAGCCAAGAAAACGAGCCGGCCACAACTTAGCAGGGGTCTCGGTAATACAGCTGTGCATTGCACCACGGGTGTTTGGTCTTGAAAAAGTTAGAATTACGGAACTTGACGGCAATGATGGATTAAATATTTATTCGTAAGCGAATGTTAGAAATATTTACAAGCGAGTGAATGGTATGAATGAAAATCGGAATGGTTTCTCTTTGGCATCAACGAAATGAGATGCAAGGCCATCACGGCAAGACATCCCACCTATAAATTGACTTATGCAGTGGCCCCAGAAAGTGTGAAAGAATAGTCCAGGCCCTTTTGCACGTCGCTAGTCAATTTGAAGCCATCATACAAGATAGGATCCGCCGGCGTGTTTGCAACAACCAAGCTAATCTCCTCACCGTCCGAGACTTCGATGGATCCAGATCCAGCTTCCAGAGTCTTGTATCGTACAGATCCGTTACCAGTGTTTCGAACAGCAAAGGTTGCAGTAAACTCGGCCTTCTCCGCAAGCTTGATGTCGACCTGGACTGTGGTGGCGCCTGATGTGGTCAGGGGGATGATGTTGCAGCCCATGTATCGTGGTTGGCGCTCAGGCAGAACCTTGTACGTCTTGTCGTACTGGAGAGCGACGTTTTTGTAGTTGATGCCTCCACGTTGTTGCTGGAATACCTTTTGAGCGGGAGCATGTCCAATATCGACATAAGCCATGCGGGCCCAGTATGAGCCGACGATGCTTCCGACCTTTGTACTCGCCACACGCGCAAGAGTATGGAGAGGCGTCTCGTTACTGTCTTTCTTGTATTGGACCATCAAATCGCGCATCACATCTCTTCCCAGTCCAGGGATATTATCGGGGTTATTGGTGAGATAGGTGAGGAAAGGCCAGGCTTGGTAGTAGTTTCCAGTACCCGAAGAGCCGTCGACGATGACTTGGAACGAATCTCCGATGAGCTTCTTAACTTCGATGATACTTGCAGCAGCCGATCTGCTTACCTTTGCCCGAGCTGGGGCGCAGATATCAGATGCCTGGTAGGTCTCGGAGACCCAGTTCGCAACAGTTTCCCACCAGGCTCCAGTTCTGGATTGATACACCCATGTTCTCTGGTGGTAATGAAGGGCGTGACCGAATTCATGAGCCGTGACACCGGAATCAAGCCATTTGGTGACAACATCGAGATAAGAAAAGCCATGGTTGGTATCGGACCGCTGAACACCCGCTGAGCTTCCAAGATCGCTGACGGAATAGATATTGGTCTTGCACCAGGGACCTTTTTCTCCTTCAACGTAGTTGGACAGACCCGGTGATCGCCATCCCAATATATTGACGAGACAATCGTATTCGCCCTCCAGGAGGTCGAGGGTCTTGTTCAGATTGCCGGTACCATAGACTCGGAAATGGTCCGATTCCTGGTAGGTGCTTCCACCGGGCCCGATCTTTGGGTTCGGGGTGAAGACGGCTGGGGGACCGCCCTGAGTAGAGGTAGGTGGAGTGGATGAAACGGCGCTGGTGATGGCAACCTCAGAGGTTGAGGTAGATTCGGTCGAGACGGTTTGAAGACTTGAAGTGGCCCCAGTTGAGAGCTCGGAAGTCGTGGCTGAGGGCGAAGTACTTTCGGCCGAGGTACTTTCAGCCAGCGAGATTGAAGTCGACTCGGAGGTAGACTCTTCGGAGGTGGTGCGGGTGACTTTACCGGCGGAAGAAGTCGTCGACAATGAGTTGGAAGATATGAGTACGGAAGAATGGGTAGAAATGGCTGGTTCGGTCGAAAGGGATAGAGTAGTAGTGGAAGAAGGAGAACTGGTAGAATCCGTGGAGATGGTAGATTCGGTCGAGAGGGACAAATCAATCGCCGAGGACGTAAGAATGGTAGAATCGGTAGAGATCACTGACTCAGTCGAAAGGGACAGGACAGTGATCGAAGAAGTCGAAACGGTGGAATCTGTAGAAATGGAAGATTCGAGCGAAATGGATGAGGCAGTTGTCGCAGACACCTGCGTCTTGCTCAAAGCATAAGTTGGCACGAAAATATTCGACGAAACGGCGGGACGACACCGGTGTCCTCCATTACCATGTCTTGGTTTGGGAAGGGCAATGGAGGTAGAGAAAAAGAAAAAAGGAAGGACAAGCAGTTGGATAAGATGAACCATGTTGAAAGAGAGGACGGCTTCGAGAAGCCAATGAAAACAATATTGATTCTGAACTATATTCGATCTCGTATCCCGAACAAGCCATCTCTTATACTGTTATAGAGCCTCATCTCCCCATGATCGAAGTTGGAGAACAACGTTGTGTTTCGAGGCTGCAGTTTCGAAACATGGTGCAACTATTGGGCCGGTTGTTTGAAACCACTCCAGTGGATCAGCTGTACGAATGAGAAGCTCATGTTCAACCCGGGATCTTGTGTAGACAGGTGCCATATGTCGATCACCATTACCAGCTGCATTATAACGAAATAAACATCTGGAACTGACCGATAACAATGGCGCCACTTCCACGTCTTTTTCTTCTTAGCTCTCCTAATCTAGCTAGTCCGCTGCTGTCATGAGATTACTAACGGCGCCAAGTGAAATTCGAGGAGTGACATTCTGTCCCGTTCCTGCTATACGCGTATCGGGATGATTCTAACCGCCGAGACCTCTTCAGCACTTGGGGCATCCTTTCTACGAGATATTGCGTGTAAACCATTACCTCTTTGGATGGCTTATTCTTTTGCGGCTGGTACTACTCTTCTGATAGGTAGAGTAGGATCGATACAGTTCTGACAGATGCCGGGATAAGCCCTAGAGAGCGGGTCGTGTTCCGTCTTCAGCCAACTCAGATGCTTGGCATGACTTCGTCCAGCGTTCATAATGTTACATCCTTGCCGATTTTTGATCTGCTTGGAATTCCTTGTTGATGATGAAGCATCCGATGGCCATCGGACATGGTTTATGACGCAATTCCCACCATGTCCTCGGTACCGCGGAGTTTGACAAAGGCAACAGTGCTTGCGTCAACCTGAACAACTTCTAACCCCTTGACCACCCCATTGGACCATCGGGAATATTAATACATCATATCCCCAGCCAGAGCATTTATCATCAAGAGACAAAGCGGTTATCACGGATCCACGGCAATGGGCCGGATTGATAACTAATCATTCATGACTCGGCCGAGAGGCGGGCGGACCCAAATTGCGCCGAGGCCATGGCGTTAAAATTGCATTCGGTCTAATGCCATGCCGTAGGCGGCTCCGTGACGTGATTGGCACTACCGAGGCAAAATCTTGCACTTATAAGTTTTTCAGGGGCAGCAATTCGTAGCATCAAGGCACCATTCAAACAACTCCAAACCTACGATACACACCATGACGTCCCACATAGAGAAACCAATCACGCTGAAAAGCGGCTTGACGCTGCCTAACAGGCTCGCCAAGGCCGCCATGGCGGAGAACCTAGCTGATGGAGACCTCTTGCCAACAGATCAAGTCTATACTGCATACAAGACCTGGGCCAATGGCGGTTGGGGCATGCTCATCACAGGTAATTAGCGAGCGATCGATGAATCTATTGGCTGCTAACCGCTGTACCTAGGAAATGTGCAGGTTGATCCTCGTCATCTGGGTCAAGCAGGAGATATTGCCAACAACGACTCCATCGACAGGAGCCGGCTTGTAGACAGTTGGAAGAAGTGGGCATCTGTCTCTAGAAGCGGCGGAACTCCGACTGTGGTCCAGATCAGTCACCCCGGTCGGCAATCACCACTCGGCGCCGGTACTCGAGGTTTCTTTGACAAGACGCTCGCTCCTAGCGCTGTCCCTCTACGCCTCGGCAAAGGCATATTCGCAGGGGTGATCTCCAGACTACTATTTGGAACGCCAAGAGCCATGACGGTTACAGAGATCTTGGACGTTCAGGATCGCTTCGTCAAGACAGCCGTCCTGGTCGCTGATGCTGGGTTTGACGGGATAGAGCTTCACGGAGCACACGGATACCTTCTCTCGCAATTTCTCAGTCCCAAGACTAACCAGCGAACTGATGAGTATGGAGGATCGGCTGGGGCTAGGGCAAAGATTGTGGTCGACATTATCAAGGCCATCCGCAAAGCCGTGCCACCAAGCTTCACGGTTGGCATCAAGTTCAACTCGGTCGATCACCAGTCTTCACAAGCCCTGGAGGAGTGCCTTGAACAGCTTCGATTAATTACCGACGCCGGAATCGATTTCCTCGAAATCAGCGGGGGAACTTATGAGGAGCCAATTGTATGTTCCTCCTTCCAGTCAGTCGTTCCATTACTGACAAGCTCCACAGGGTATTATCGACCCTGATAAAATCCCAGCCGCCAAGAGAGAAAGTACCAAGGCGAGGGAAGCCTTCTTCCTAGACTTTGCGAAAGCCATCAGAGGCCAATTCCCCGGCCTACCGTTGCTCGTCACGGGCGGCTTCCGCAGCCGAAAGGTAATTGAAGACGCCTTGGCAAGCGGTTCGCTCGACATGGTCGGCATAGCTCGGCCAGGAGTTCTAGATCCCTCTGCTCCGACAAATACCCTCCTAGACAAGAGCAAGAAGGATGAGGAGGCGCGAGCCATTGCGATTTCTATTCCCACGCCTTGGCTGTTGAAAAAGATTGGCAACTATGTCATTGGAGCTGGCTATGAAACGGTGAGTTCCAAGATCCTTTAGTGTGATGAGGTATTAACATTCAACTCCAGGCCTGGTATGTAAAGAAGATCAAGACTCTGGGCGCAGCGTAACATGTCGAAAGCGGGAGCGTAATGTGTAGAGGGCTGAGTCATATCATTGGTGCGCTTGTTATTTACTTAGAAAGCGAGTCGGCTGCTTGTTGTTTTTCATGATAGATAGATATAGATGCATGTTCGAGACTCATCCACAGCCTGAAAAGCCTCTGATAGTCCACAGCCATTTTCGGGAAGGATGCAATGCTTGTGCGTCAGATCAAGTTGCGTTCTGCTAGTGGGGCTTGACCTGACCAGGCTTGGCTGATCAGTTGGCACCGAGTCTTCGGACGAACAAGTCGAACAAGAGCAGCGGAAGGCATGAAGCGAAGATGCTAATCACGGTGACAAAGGTGCATCTTCATACCTAGACCACACGTCCACGTGAACAAAAGTATCCATCACGTCCAATCCTTGGCTCAGATAGTCTCAATACGCCATCACAATGCACATGAATACGATGTCAGCGTTCCAGGATCTGCAGAGCGGCCGCCAAAGCGGGTAGATCATGACGGCCAGTTGCTTAGGCCATGATGACTGAAACTTCGTGGATCTTGTGATCCAGAAATGAGCCATTCGTCCTGTTCAACAACCAAGGCCATCTTCGCCCTAATCATTTCAACTGGGATACCCCAAGATCAAATACAAGATGAAGTCATCCCCACCGTGCCTCGAATTTGAGGCTCTTCTTCTGCGCTGGCCTTGAGGATTACGACACTCCGCCTAATCCATGTAAGCATCCCTTATCCCCGCAGGACCTAATAATAGACCCTACCTCGCAATAAGACCCCATTGATCGACATGAAAAACACGGCAACGAATAAACCTCCTCGTCCGCTCCCGCATCCGCCGGGGAAGCTGCAATCCAACGCTTTTGATGCAGGGCAAAAGGGGTCTCCTGGGCAGTGCAGATCATCCTCCCCACACTACGCAATACACATACGTATATGGCCCAGTAATTGACCATTTCAAACGGCCCATGGATCTGAATTACGTATGATTCAACGTGTAAAAAATGTTTTCTCTGTAGGTATCCGGTGACGTCTCTTAGGTGTTACACTGCTATGCACCAAACTGGCCGACTTGCCGCTCGATCACCATAGGATAAGAGGGACCTCGCAAAATTCGATAAATCAGTCGATTGGGCCATGGGATTTTCTAGAATCTTAAGATCTCCGATTTGGTAGGATCGGAACATCGGTGGCAATGCAGCCGACGTTCCCACTGCATGTCCACGAGGATCGGTACATGCTGATCTATTCTTGGATCTGCAATTGAGGCCAGGGGGTCTGTTGCAGTGCACAGTGACGTAGTATAGAAAAGTCCCTTTGGGCGGTTATGAACAGTTACAAACCCGATTCGCAAACAAAACGCAAACATAGGGAACTCACAGGTGACTTCAAGCTTCCACAAACTTGGCCTCTAAACCTATCGTCGTGAATATTTCCATTCACCATTCCCGATCGTGCAAAGCTTTGTGTCCACTGAAGCCCCGGCACTTGGCTGTGAAACATTAGAGAGAGGCTGTGTCCATAAATCCTCCACCACGAATAATCTTCCTGCACGTAACGTCGGTGTGGATCATGCGACCCAGCATAAACAATCGTCATGATCCAACCAGTTGTACGGGCATGAAATACGAGACTAAAAATCAGGGGATGCAGCAAGAATGTCTTTGAATAGACAGTCGTGCATCGAGATATCCTAGATGGTGATCAGTGGGTTCGACGTGACCCAGTGCTGACACGAGGTCTCGTATCCAGAAGCTGTGTCTCATTGTTCACCCAGGGAAGTCTTACATTGTGTGAGCTTCGTGATGGAGTAGACGATGACGTAGGGCCCGTTGTAGTTGATGATATGCATCAAAGTCTACACAGCCATCATTCGAATGATATAAAGGCAGAAAAAGTCCCCTTCATCAAATCAACTCACTCAGCAATCACTCACCAGCAGACAAGCCTACAACACAGCTTCACCTTCACATAAACCTTCAACTCTAATCCTATTCAACCACCCACCATCAACATGCATTTCACCACGTTCGTCGCCTCGGTCGCTGCCCTCGCCATGAGCGCATCTGCTGCTCCAGCTTCAGGCCCCTACGACCCCTTTGCCCAAGTCCGTCTTTACCCTCAGTCCGGCTGCGAGCAGCCCAACGTTGGCTACCTGAGCATCCGACGATCCGCCATCAACAAGTGTGGTCAGCTTGATGGCACCTACACCATCAAGTCCTTGAAGATTGAGCAGCTCACCGACAATGCTGAAGGATGCACACGTAAGTAAAGTACTTCCAACTACTCGATTCTATACTGATTCGGTTTCTAGTCTACACCTTCAGCGATGTTTCCTGCAAGGAGGGCCGCCAGGAGGTTTCTACTGGAACCTGCCACACCGGTGCTAAGCAGTATGGCAGCTACCTACTCTCTTGCAAGTAGAGTGCATACAGCCTCTGCTCTGATGATCACGAACCTGTTATATGACTACGACGAGGGCTTCTTAATAATGGCCGCGCAAGAGATTCTGCTCGCCGGCGCCGGTCCTTAACTGTTACATAGACGAGATTTAATCTCACGAGTCACTCTCATTAGATTTCAATTTGTTTATATACATACTTATACAATGCAGATGCTTCCATGAATGATAAAATCTCAGAACAATCGAAGACCCTTATTGTAAAACATAGTACAGAGATTGTCCTCCGTTACAAGTTCTTTTGTGTCTATCCAGGTTTGGTCCATATATCGGCCCGGCTTCAGCCTATCGTGTCCCATTAGTACGTAAACAAACGAGCCAGAAATTGATGTGCCGGTAATCAAACATAAGCTGCGATATTTCCCGGTCAAGCATGGCAGTATCACGCGCAACATCGGTGTCATCATTGTTCCTAGGCATCCGATCCATCTCGACACACACAAGGTCCAAGCAATCGCCGATAGAAGAGGCCCAGAAACCCACCCTGTGTCCCCCATACCCCCTTCACCATCTCGTGCGGCACCAACGTCGCGGATTCGAAGTCGTTAGTTGCAGAGAGTGGTCTTGATTCCGATACGTAAGGGTTACTGTTTGCACCTTTCAAGAGATAACGCTCATACTCGGTCACTCTGGGCTTGTTGACTTTATTTATCTATCTTTTGCCCGTTTACGGTATCTCTTATTCATGTGTGGACTAGGGTGAGAAAGACAAGAACCATGTACACCAATAGTTTCATTCGAGAGCTCGATACCATCCGGTGCAGAGACCCTCTACTCTCCTCACTGCTCAACAGCCTTATCATTAACCACAGCGCCCTCCTCCACACCAGGTTGCTTGACACCAAGCTGAGCAGTGTCCCATCCATGCTCCTGGAGATACTCTCGGAACTTTTGGTCTTCGATGGCGATAGTGTCTTGGCCGACATGCGGGATGCAGATCAAGACAATGGCAGCAGACAAGATACACAAACTTGATGACACCCAGAAGGGATACTGAGCTGACTCTGTGTCGTTGCCACCAGCCTTTTGGATGTATGGAAACACCCAGGTACCAACAAAAGCACCAATCTTTCCAGTCGCAGCCGCAATACCGTAGTATCGACCTCTGACACCAGTCGCCGAGGTCTTGGCAGCCAAGAGACCAATGTTGTTTCCGGGCCCCAACTCTCCGAGAGCCTGAAAGATGCCGAAGACGACACAAAACGCAGCGATGTGGTTGGAAATCTTGGAGTATACTGCAGCCATGATGAATCCGACGATGGCCTGAAGAGTGACGCCGAGGGCAAGGGTGTATCGAGGACCGATCCAGTCACTGACGAAAGCACCGAGTAGAGTACCAGGCAGGTAGAACATGTTGACAACCGTGTTCCAGCCAAAGACTGTTGTTAGTGGCGCGTCCTCACCGTAGATGCCAGAGAGAATCGACGACGAATAGATGCCAAAGGCGTAGGATGAAAACTAGTTTGTCAGTTTGGTGAACGCGACTCAACCACCTTAGAAACTCACGTTGTAGAGGAACCAGACCAGACTGACACATAGAAGTCTGAACCAGTAGTAGCGCAGAACCAGCCAGTAAGGTGTCTGATGTCTCATAGAGTGCTGGGTAAACTCTTCGGGCTCCTTGAGTCCAAGACGCATGACGAAGAGGACGAGAGGGAATACGACACCGATTCCCAAGCTAGTTCGCCATATGGTGCTGAGGTGGCCGTTGTGGCAAGCGGCTGCGACAACATCTAGACTTGTCAGTGCCCTGTTTGAGCAGGTATCCTAAGTACTTACAAGGAACAAAAGCGCCAATGACGAATCCAAAGTCAATCATCGAGTTGGTGAAGAGAATAAACCACCTGTTTCGAGTGCCCTTTTTCATCTGACTACTGGACTCGGCGCACCCGACGCTACCAGCAGGATATTCACCTACAACTGTCAACAAACTGCATCACAGGGTGAAAGGATGACATCATACCTCCGATACCGATACCCACGAAGAATCTCCAGGCAGTAAGCATATTGAACATGCCCACAGGTTCTCCGTGCCAATACGATCCGGCGGCTAGTGCAGTAAAGATGATAAGAATAACGGTGGATACCATCAGAGTATTGGTTCGGGACCAATGATCAGCCAGGAAGCCAAAGATCAATTGACCCACGACAGTACCGGCAAAAGCAATGTCGGCCACATATTTGAAGGCGTTGGAGTTGATGTAGACATCTTTGTACTGGATTTTTAGAGTCGTGTTGACGGAACCAATGACCTGCTGTCGGATTAGAGGGATAAGACATGAGATTGCAGGAGGTTTCCCACGTTGTTGATGTAACCATCAGAAAAGAGACCAGCTCCGCAGGCAAATACAGGGAGGGCCGTCTCTATCCACGGTCTTTGAGGACGTGGCTCGACATCTACATTGTCGCTATGAGGCTCAACAGAGTTCTCGTCGCTCTTCTTTCCGAACCCAAACATTGTGAGGGGCGCCGATGACTGTTAATGCGGTGATAAGCTGAGGTCCTCCAAATGGTGGACAGCAAGATAAAGTTATAGGCTTGCAGAGGTGGCACGACGGTCTCACAAGGCGACACAAAATCACCAAGGAGATTAAAATCACGAGTCTGAACAGCAGACAGGCCCAAATCCTCGGTGTGAAAAGAAGGAATGGGCTCGAGAAAAGCTTCTGAAGAGGGGAAAGGATTGAGGACAACACAAGGGGTCAAATCCGTCAAACCAACAGCGTCTCCACTTGAGGTAGCAGAAGTTCCTCAAGATCGGAGCATGCTTCCAATAGCTGCGTGCGGGAGAGGCTCGATATGATTGGCTTTTGGAGGGGATACGTAATCATCATGGATCTCGGGTTTGGTGTTGATTTGCTGCTGTGGCGCACAGAGGGCTTGATAGCTCGGCTCAAACATCCCGAGCAAGGGGACTCTTCAGTGGACGGTTCAGCTATAGCTGAGATGATCTTCAAGAGATTTTCCTCATTAGCCTCGCCTGTGACCACGGACTCCCCGACGCGACCTTTGTGGCAGGTGGTATTACGCACGGGTGGACTCTAGGGATAATTGGTGGCCGGGTAACACGGCACTAACAACATCTGTAAGAATTGAGACTGTGGATGTGTTAATTACGAGGTCCACACTAACAGACTCTCCAAACATGTGAAGAAGATGTTCATGTCAAAGCTTTTTACCTACCGAAATGCTCATAGCGTAAAGATATAAAGCCGAGGCTATTCGCATTTTTTGTCAATGCGATTTCAACACATGATTGTCGACATTGAATGAGCACGAGAGCAATTACTCAATTCGTCTTGGGCTCTTGTTCGTTGCCTTGGCATGTCTTGGCTGGGTTCAGCTGATTGGACATTGACACGCCGATGCAACGTTACCGGCGAGGTTGATCTACCCTGCACCAACGCGTTGATAGACATTTTCTCGTAAACTGGTCGGTATCATTCCTTGGATTGGGAACATTCGCTTGCCTGAGCCGATAATCACCCTAGATAAGGTTTTTAATATTTATGCGATGATAACCGATTGTTATCAGGTAACTTGACGACAAAGATCCACATTGACTAAGACTTGGACCTGTCCGACAACCCATGATTTCAACTGTCAAACGAACAGCAGAATTACGTACTCAGACACAGAGGTAAGTGCCAGATGCACCAGAATTACCCACAGTGCTTCACTGTCGCTACTTAACAGGCTTAATGCCCCCACGGGGTTTATATATCGCTAACCCCAGGTTTCTGCCCCCAGACATAATCCACGAGAACGTGAAAATGGGTCGATGCGTACTTTGGTCACTCAGACCCTAATCTCTTCACTGCTCCAGCCAAGAATACAGTTAAACACCAGAGGCGTATACGACTAGGAATCTTCATCTGCCCTGGAATCTGTCAATTACCTCAGCTCTGGGGTCCTTGAACTAGGCGCGAAGTGGTATTTATTCGCTTAATCAACGTTTAGAACTTGCAAGAAGTGTGATGATGCCTGCCTTGCGGATCTCTTGGCGCGCAGTTTTTAAGCAGGCAGTGCTGGGCTTGCTCTTCCATCGATTAGCATTGTCAAGCGGCTTGCCCACTCTGGCTCAAATTCATCCACTTCAAAAGTACAGCGAACGAGCCAGATTATTGAGGGTTAAGTACCTCAGCCTGCAATGCGCCAATTATACAGATTTGGGACATTCCCTGTTTGTCTCTTGTTGTGAAGAGATTGAATGCTTGGTTCGTGGCTGGTCATGTGCTAATAGCCGAGTCTGGGCTATCTTGGAATTGAGCATCGACTCAATGAATGACCTTTGAGACACCATCTAGAAAAGGCTTTCCTACGGCATTGGCAGGCATTGATACCTGCTTGCTCTTTCTCTTTTTACCAGATTCCCGCCAACTTCGTCAAAAATCCAGCGGGATTGGCCCAAGAACACAAGTGTAAGGCCAGCGAGAACTTGCATCATGGCACCCTTGAAAGCCACCTCCTTCAAGACATCACCTGGAGAACTGTGGCGAGCAGCATTAAAAATATTGCCGAATTGCTTCATAAACGTATTTGTCACATGGCTGATGACCTGACGGCTAGTATCATACCCAGTTTGGGCTACTGGTACCTTGTACTTTGTCCGGAGTTCTGTCAGCCTCGCGTATGTGTCGTCCTTAAAGACCACGTCCATGTACTTGTAGGCCTCTGATTGCCCATTAGCGGGTACAAAGTAGAGGCGGACTGTTGGATCAAATAGGCTGTCGGCGACTTCCTCGCTGCCTCCGGGGGCGCTCGGTTCGCGTAGCTTCAGTTTTGTTAAGAAGGGATCATCGGTGGCAGCTGAGCTTAGAACCAGTGACATTCCTTGCGGATTATCGAGGGCTTCGAAACGAGGGAAGGGAGCTTTGAGATATAGATCATCCTCATTTTTCCCAAGCTCGAGTGGAAGATCGAACCGATGAAGCGTAATAGCCGTCGAAATAATCTTGCCATCTACTTTTATGGTCTGAAAATCGCTATCACAACCGCATGGGATCACCATATTTCAGTTGGTTTGAGTCTTTGCCACGGGCTTTTGCATTGACTTTGAGGACACGCCGGTAAATTGGGCCTGGTTGGTTTGTAATGAAAGACAACTTGGGAGTTACGATACACGCTCAGGGTCAGAGATATGCCAGGAGTGGACGAAGTTTGGGACTTGATGGTGACGAGGGACTCATGGGTGAGCCGTCGATGAGTCAGTTCTGCTCATGGAACTCGATTTTGCAGCGCTCACGCTGTATACTTCTGGGGACTTCGATCGCCTAGACTATCCTGCCGTCGATGATTGCAGGTGAACGCTGTCCCTTGGAGTCAGGTTTTGCAGCCAAAGGCTTCAAGGCTCGAGGGGTCATGAGTACTGAAGCTTGTGTACTGAGAGCCTGTTAGTAAAGTCCAGCAGAAGCCCATCAAACTTTGCCTCGGCGGTTGAAAGATGGCATGAGCCGTCGTTTTTGTCGTCTGATAACTCTGCGTCATCGCACCCACCTTCATCCTACGTCCCTCCCATCGAGGAGGTGATGGTACAAGCTTCGGTTTCTCATCGTATTTTTTCACACAAAAGTCCGCGCGTAGATGGAGGTTTCTCAGGCTGATGGGCTAAGTAAGTTTGAATGACTCCGGAATCACTGTTCTGGAGATGTCGCCGTCCTCGTTCTTGCTCTCCTGTGCATCTTTTCCAACCTTTACGCACGAGAGCTCTCGAAAGTACTTCAAGAGTGACCAATTGGAGGCTATTGTGAGCAGCCTAGCAAGGATACGAGAGGCTCGCGTAGCAGGTACCCCACCACCACCTGAAGAACTGAACCAATGAGACAAGCTGAGTCGATGAGTGTCGCGGTCTAGCCCATCGATAGTTCGACTTGGCTCGGGGCTGAAATGACGTTTCCGGCAATGTGGATGGTCCATGTCTTGAATCTATCGACGGAGACATCCTTGCCTGCATACGAGCTGGCCAAGATGTCCCCATCGCAAGAGTCTAGATGTTATACCCCGCAGGTGACACGAAATCAAGTCCTCTTTCAAAGGCTGCTTCTTCAGCGTGGTTGCTCTCAACATCGTCGTTATCACCGCCCTCTAACGGTATTGTCGTCACCACGATGGGACTTATCCTTGCACCATACAATGACTCTATGCGCCTTGGCCAGGGTTACAACTCGTTCCTCCACGAACAATGCATATACGACGCGGTCAGGATCAACCGAGATCAGGTTGGTCAAAAACCCACCAGCACCAATGGGTCTACCTCGCAGGATGTCAACTACTCATCGAGGTTTGTTGACAAGATGTCGGATGTTGTCAAGAGCCTCAATGTGAGCGCTAGTTCTTCCATCAAGAATGGAGGCATTATCGGTTCGGGCAATTCTGTCGCTGTGAATGAGACCAAGTTTGCGACAAGCGACCTCAACGCTATTTTTTCGATCAAGGTGGTCAACCAGAAGAAAGAATTACTCGAGATGGCAGAGTTCGAGGCCAAGAAGGGTCTCAACTTGAACAGCGAGTCGTTTCTCAAGACCTACGGGAACTGCTTCATCTCTGGTATGTGAGGCTCTGGAATTCTCTTGATGCAAGACTAATGGATCAAGGGTTCATCGAGGGCGGAGAACTCACTGGTGTTGTGTCAGCCAAAGTAACAGATGTGGAAAATAAGTCTGCAGTCGAAGGAGCGTGAGTAGGCTGCCTGGAAATCCACATAGCCGCTGACACGTGCCAGCATCAAAGGTCAAGTCAACAGCTTCTGCACCCCGTCAGGTCACAAGATGGGTTTTACACTGAGTGATATTCATGCCTTTTCTGAAGATGAATCGGCAACGAGACAGGCTGAGACAACCGTTACGGTCAGTTGGTCTGGAGGAGGCCAGATCAAGCCAGGTAAGCAAGTCCTTTCTCTCTACATTTTATCTCTAATATCCTGATAGGAGAGAAAGAGTGGAATCTTGAGTATCTGTATGCGGCAGCGGCAGCGTTTCCATCAAAGGTGGCGGAGTGTCCCCAGCGAACATGGGCCATTCTAACCCCTTACAACCACACAAAAAACTTCGTGGCGTGGGCCAATGACCAGGGCATCCAGCTGCCTCAGTTTGAGACGGCTCAGGTCTATTCCGAAGACTTGTTAGACATGTACATCGAGTACAAGAGTTGCGTCAAGCAGGTTCAAACTATCCTGCAGAGTCCCGATGCTTACGTCGTCAGGGCAGTTGAAAATGCCGTTGGTACTGGCATAGGAGAGCTTATCAAAGCACGAGCCTCCTTGAAAGCCCAGATGAATGCGATCAACCAGATCATAGACGAGCTGTGAGTTGCGATGGAATTGGATACCAGCTTTTGCTAACATGTTTCCAGTGCTCTTCGTCCTGGAGACATTGACGAGATCAAGAAGCAGCATCCCATCGAAGCACCAGAGCTCTGGGCCGCCCGGCTCCCAGTTCGAAAAGATCAAGCCAGTGAGACTTGAATAGGGGAACACTTTCGAGTGGGGAATCCAGAGAGAAGGATGGTATCTTGACTTGCCGGCGCTCCCTAGTTGCGGCTTGGTGGGCTTTTACATTGCAAGTGATAGCAGATCGGTCTATTGGCCGGGACTTGTATGGCGAAAGAACCCTGCCTTGCGCTGAAGGTGTTTGGGATGGGACTAGATGAGATATTGATGATTTGTTCGTTGGGATATCTGGTTACATGGCTTTTTTGTAGGCCATTAGTGACCCTGGCGTCGTCCATTATCTTTTTATCTTTTCTGGAGGCCAAGCTGAGTGCCGCGGATGCTGAATTAAACACAATTGTTTCCTTGGAGTTGGCATCCACAATTCCTTGGCCAGATACGTAATAAAACATTCAGCATGTCTCGTCGCTCGTTGCAGCGGGAGTTGTTCCGACGATGTCAGGGAGTCAGAATCACGAGTCATATCTCTATGGATGATTGCATAAAACTAGAGCAGTCCCAATCGGCCACAGTCCCGAGGAGCTCTGGGAAAAATTAAAGCCAAAGAGCCGTGTTGTGTCGCCAAATAGAACTGGGAAGCACCTTCATCCTCATGAGTAACCCTCCAGGTTCTGGCCATTGCCGACGATCTTCGGGCTCAGTTGACCCATCGAGGGCCGGGCTGCAACTATAATGAAGAACAGATTTTCAACACATCATAACATCATGACCCGGTTAACACAGTGGCCTTTCCTTTTTTTTAAACCTCCTGCAACAGCAGAAGAGTCATACCCAGCCATATCGTCATAAAAGGTCCAGCCTCTCATGGGTATTTTAAGACCATTGCCGGCAAGTCAGATTTTGAAACCATCTAGCGGTTTCGAAGTACGCCCTGACGCAATCGAAAAACCGAATAACATACTCTACATTCCGCCGTGGTTGGATCCTTCACCCCACAGAGTTTGGCCTGAAGACGATGGGCGAAACTAAGGACCTGAAGCAGCTGCGACTAGATTAGCATGCCGTGTCACTCTTCAACCAGATTCCCTCGTCTATCCAACATATGTCTTGAAATAGACGGCTCAAGTTGAAGACGATCGCTGAGACGCATACGCGCCGCCCCCAAAACGAGGGAGGCCTTTCGACTAAGAGATCGACTTAGCAGGTTCAGTTCATTCACATCTTGTCTTCTGCTGACGGAAACCAGGACAGAACACTCCATCCGTCTGAATTTCCATGCGATTAGCCAAAGACAGCGACCACATCTGTTGCCCCTAAGAGCAATACTGCCTCAATAGTCGCCCCGCTGAACGTGACCACTGTTCAGATAGTAGATATTGATAATGACCCAGTGACTGACGCTTACGACGCTCTGATCAACTACCAACTTGAAGACAAGCAATGAGCCCAAGATTCGGAAGAAGGTAGGATGACTGTTGAGAAGGAGGGTGCTGAGCCGTCTGACATTGACGAGGAAGCAATTGTTGCGGAAGTCACGGGCGGCAATAAAAGCTACATACCGCCAACCTGGATTGAAGAACAGTTTGGGCAACAAAATGGGTTTCTCTAGTTCCAATCACAGCAGCAGAGGCAGCAGATGCGAGAGTATTATCAGCCCCAAGGAGGGTACGGGCAGTCACAGTATCAGTCGCACCAGCAGTATTGGGTTTTGATACTGCCGTGTGTCTTCAAGTGTGTCCTTTGCTTATGTGGCTGACAGCGATGTCATCGAAAAACTAGACTAGAATCAGTCGCACCAGGGCTTTAACCAAAACTTCAACCAGAACTACAGCTATCAACCAATCATTATCTGCAAACCAGAACTACAGTTGTCCTCTAACTTGGGACTATGGACTAAGCCAGAACTACTAGCCGGGGTGCGATAATGGCCTCGGTGGCATACATGACCCGTTAAGACTGGGCGGTCGGTGAAGCATCTGAGCTAGAACCAAGGTAGATGTGAATAGATTGCAAGAACAAGTCGGTATTTTCCTGTCAAGTGTCCTCCGAGTGATGCTTTGCTTGTAATCACCCTGTTGAACGTTGACGTCCATGGTTCGAAAGGCATCTTCGGTGATTTTTTGTCTTTTCTCAATCCGGCTTGACCCCAGTTTCATGCCAGACTATGGAACTGGAGGGCTAATTATGCGTACTGATAAGGGTGAGCGCTTCAATGAGGGATATTGGCAGTCGCATCGCTTTTGGATGCTAGTCTGACATCTCTGTTCTAAAGGGGGAAGACAAGCATTGTTGGCATGGCTGCAAGGGATAGAACTCATGACTCGCTCGACCATCAAGGTGAATCTATCTCTTCACCGACGATTCCACCATTTCAATAGCGGCACCCACGCCATTCTTGTGGATAACGACCAAGGCAGCCAAGTGAACCGTGTTTTCGGCCCTTTTTCGCATCGAGTGAGAAATGGCTTCACCAACAGGCCCACAGGCGATGTGGACAGAGAAGGTCTCGAGCGTCGGAGATGATCCACAACGGGAGCTAATGCTAGACCCGGAAGCCAAGCCCATGGGGTAGATGTGGGTGGAATCTTGGCTTTGGGCATCGAGATGGGGTTCGTTGAGGTGAGTGTTTGTCAAGGCTTTGTTGCGGATCCGTTCATGTTTGAGGGGGTTGGGGGTGTTGAAATGGTCACAGGCAGGATCAGACACATTAGATTGTAGATTGAACTCGTTTATATCTTCAAACGCTATCATTATTTATGACCGATGCATCATCGCTCCTAATCATCGCTACTTTATAATGCGGTAAATCGCTCAAGCCATATCATCCTCCTTTCGCTTCTCGTGCTCCTCAACAATAGCACCACTCTTCTCCTTGTCAATGATCTCCTCAAGAGTGGGCTCCGCCTTGGGGGCCATGATACCCATGCCATTTCGAACCCAGTGAACAGTGACGTAACCAAGGACGTAGACAAAGCCAACCATGGGGACAAGGTAGCTAATGCGAGTTCCCTTGGCGTCGGCAATGGCACCCTGGATGGGAGGGAAGATGGCACCACCTGAAACACCCATGACGAGAACACCTGCAGCGCGTCGAGTGTGGCGACCGAGGTTCTTGGTACCCATGGCGAAGATGGTAGGGTACATGGGAGCTTCGAAGAAGAAGATGGCGATCAGGACTCCAACGCTAGCAGCACCCTTGCCAGCGCTGACGTAGGCAGTGAGGGCAATAGCGAAGACAGAGTAGATGACCATGATAAAGTCGGAGCGGAAGAAGACAGCCAGACCCGTGGCAACGAATCGACCGACAGTAAAGGTGATGAGAGCGTAGCTGAGCATGGTGCTGGCCTTGCTGGTGGTGAAGCCACCGTTCTCATGAGCGTAGTTGATGAAGAATGTGGCAATGGTGACCTGGGCACCGACGTAGCACATCTGAGCACCAAAGGCGAACCACATGTTGTACTGCTTCCAGAAAGATCCCTGAGCAGCCTGTCCATGAGCCTCATCCTCAATGACAGCCTCAGAGACTTCGGGGAGCTTGGCAAACAGGAAGAGCACGGCGACAGCAGCGCCAGCGCAGGCCACAGCGAGGTAGACAAACTGCACATTCTTGAGACTGTTCTGGTTCTCGCCCTGGAAGAAGTACTTGGAGGCGATGAGGGGACCGATGAAAGAGGCGACTCCGTTCCAAGACTGGCAGAATTGGAGTCGAGCTGAAGCAGATTCAGGCTTGCCAATGACGACGGCGTACGAGTTGGCTGCTGTCTCTAGCGTGGCGAGACCGCAGGCGATGACCAGGGTGCAAGCGCAAAAGCCGCCAAACACGGCACGGCCGTTGCTGTTGGAGTCGGCAGATTTGGCGACGGGCCAGAAGAGAATGGCACCAAGAGAGTACAGAGCCAAGCCCATCAGAATAGTCAACTTGTAACCCTTTCGCTTGAGGACTTCGGCGGCGACAGGTGAGAAGAGGAGGTAACCACCGCCAAAGTACATGACCTGAAGGCCAGTAGACTCAAGACGAGTGATTTTGAGGACCTCTTGGAAATGCTTGTTGAGGACATCGAGAAGACCGTAGGAGAAACCCCACAGGAAGAAGAGGGAGATGATGAGCGACAGGGGAAAGATGAGGGCTCGACCCGTGAGGTAGCCACCTGCCAACTGAGGGGCAGCAGTAGGAATAGCACCGGCCATTGTAGATGATTGAGATGGAAGTGAGGATGATGAGATGATTCAAGCAAGAATTGTCCTTGATCATTGCCATCTTTATATCTCTTGTCGTGGCGGATCCTGTCGCCCCGATAACCTAACCTCCACTTCCCCAACAAGACCCCATCCCCAGGCTCATCCCTTGATGTGGAGGAGGAGACCAACGCGGAGCAAGGTCCCCTCCTCCGCTTCCCCAAGGTCGAATGCGAAAAAAAAAATTCTCGCGGTGTCACCGTCCCCCGCTAGGTAAATCGAGACCGTCCTCGAAGCCGTCCGGGGAAGAACCATAAAACAAGCTACAACGGGCCGTTACCCAGTAAGAGTCGTCCCCCGCCACACCAGCCTGGTAACGCCGAAGAAACCTTGCCTCAAGGGGACAAGCAGGGGAGCGCCGTTGTGGGGAGTTGGAGACAAGTCGGTCCGACACGACGCCCGTCGGTTTTTGGTAGGAGGCGGCATTTAAGGGCGATCCCCCGTGGAGGATAGTACTGTTGGGCTATTGTATGTGCCGGGGCTTTAGGTATTCGGCCCTTTGTTCATGGGTTCCGGCGCCATGTACCGGTGTCGGAGTGGGCGTGATGATGAAATAGGAGTTGAGGGGAGCTTGGCAGAGGTTGGAGATGGATGATTGTAAAGAGCAGCATGATCCGATCACCGGTCCATTCACCTTTTTTGTTGGCTTCATCGTACCGGTTTGCTTGGGGTAGCTTTTGTTCCAGATTTGGGTGGCATACGATTGGTTGGTCTAGATCCTTGTGGTGTTTTACCTCCCCGCAGGCCACGCAGCCAAGGGGAGAATAAGGCCGAGTATATGACTCGACATTCTTGCTTGTGCCATGTGTGTCTTGGGTTAGCTATGTTTGCGTCTCCGTCTTTCAAGGCAAGGGTAGATCATCACGTTGTCTCCAACCTCGAGACTCACTGAAATGACATCGACCACGTGGTGTGCCTCGTGCAAACGTGCGAACACAGAGGGGCTGTCTGAGTTGGAGGTGTTGTGAGCGAAATAAGACTTCCCCCCAATGATACCTACCGCATGGCAGGAACACTGTCGATCTCTGAAGGATGATCCCTCGTTTCTTCAATCACATCTCAATCCTTGACTCGAACCCATGTCCATTATGTAATTTAAGCATATTTTCCCTCACGCGGGTTTTAAGGCATCCATTGCAACATCTTGGCATGCATGAAAGTTTATTGCTGATGGTCGCATCTGACGAGTGTTCGTTGGTGGACAGAGATGAAGATCTCCCGGCTCAAAGGAAAGACGCGGTAACCAACTATACCAGACTGGTCATTCTAGGCTGGTCAGAGTCTCATTAAATTCCCCTCCACTCACCTTTTCATCACCCCGACTGACTGTGCGTGTATTTGTGTTTTGCCAGCGTGGATAAATCCTTTGATGCTATCTAGTATAGGGTGAGTGATGGACTACTGATGCATCCAAGAAGCATCTTGGGGGTACCACGTGATACACAAGATCACGTGAGGATATCGAGGCTGAAAACACCACATCTTGTGGTTCAGTTATCCCATCATGGGTTGGGCTTCAACTATATCAATAATACAACAAACAACACATCCTCACTCTTACAATCGATACAACAACCTCATTGGCCTACCCCTCTGGTTCCTGTACCAAGTACGCACTCGTGAGCGTGCTGACCTCAAAATACGTGATCAGCCACAACAAAGAACACAGTCACGAGCACTCAGCACCATGTCGAAAGGAAGGCATCGCACACAAAAGAATGTTCAATTTGAAGACCAAAATACAATACAAATCACTGGTTCCACCTAATAGTGTTGACAAAATCATAACGCCGACTCCCCCCGTTCTGCGTAGCCATTCTTCAAGCCGTCCCTGTCAACCACAGCCAACGCTCGGCAGTTACGGATGTTTACTGAGGCTGGCTGTTCTGAAACTCGTCAATCTTCTCTGCCGACTTGGCCACCCTCTCAGCCAGCCCATCAGAGAGTTCCAGAGCCTCCCTGTCATCCAACATCTCGAGAAGGCGCTTCTTCCAAAACGCCAACCTCGCAGAACTCAGAGGTTTGATACCCAAGCAAAGAGACCCTCCCCGCAAAGATCTAGCCGATGACTCATTGCACTCCTCTTCAGACGCCTGGCGCTCGAAAATAAGCTCCCCGTAGAATAGAATCCACTCTGTCGCAATCCACAATCGGCTATTGAGGATTGGCCCCTTGTCAAGCTTCTCTTCCAGTCCATCTCTAAGCTGCCAGATTGGGAAGTTGAGCCAAGGTACAAAAGTTTCGGTCTTGAAACGAGCAGCGAAGGAGTTGAGATTCTCCCAGCGAGACACATCTTCGGGCGTCCAGCCGTCACGCCAAGTGGGATCTGTGAATGTTAGCTTCATGGCACTTGTAAATATAGAGACCGAAAACTTACCAAACCAAAAGTCCCGCATGTAGATGCCCAACGCGAGCAAGTTTTTCCAATTCTAGAGATGTGTTAGTGTGCTATGATAACGAACTGAACAGTGTACCAACCTCGTCAAGTAGCTCATCGTCTCCATCAGACTCTTGCCCATCATATTCGTCAGACTCTTGCTCATCGTCTCCGTCAGACTCTTGCTCATCATATTCGTCAGACTCTTGCTCATCATATTCGTCAGACTCTTGCTCATCATATTCGTCAGACTCTTGTTCATCATCCATGTCAGTTTGTTGCAGATTCTGCATCGCCTGAACAAAGGTGTCCTGCCACGGGTGATCCGGCGGAAGACGATGGGCTACAGACACCACTATCGAACAGAGATTTGGAACGATCTCCCAACTCTGACCCGTAGCACTGTACGTGGCACCCAGTCTTCGAATGTCATCAGCCAGCGCGGCGGCCTTTGTTGGTACATCACCTGACCTGCCAAGACCGACTTTGATGACGTCAACGAGACGCTTTATAGAATCATCATCTTCTGAGTAGATGAGGCCGTCAAGATTGATGTGATCGCTCATTTTTTTCAAGTGTAGAAAACGGGTGCAGAGTGGATGTTGATGGTGTAAGTGGAGTGTTTTTGATGCAGGTGGGTTGACATGAAAGAAGCAAGTTGAAAGCCTTGGTTTTATAATGCGGGCTGACCTCTCACTAGGCCATCAGTCACGACAAAGGGCTCAAACTAGCTGAGTCCTGAACAGGGACACAAATGAACAACAGACAGTAAAGGAGGGTCTCACCGCAACCTAGTTGGTTCGGGTTGAGCGCGTGACGGAGCCCCGTGATGCCCCAACTAAGACGAGACAAAGAAGCAACGGCCACGTCAGTGACGCACCTGTTTCTTGGGTTGTGATGAAGTAGTGTTCGAACAAAGGAATACGTTGTGGCTTGCGGTCACCGTCTTTCAGTTCTTTGTTATAGTTGAAGCCCATCCCTCAATAGAATAACTGGGTTAGAACACCACGTGTCACCTAACCATGCAAAAACCCCCACAAATATGCGAAAGTGACATTTTAGCAATCAATATGTGCTGGCATCTCGGGTCGGTCTTGATGGAAAGAGAGGGGATATAAGAAGGCCAGCAACGGAGGCTGCTCCCCTGAAGGCCATCTTTACATCCACTTTCTCTCCTTGTTCTTCGAATAGAAATGAACTCCAACAGGAGACAGTGCTCTGTTTGTTCTGGTTCGAGATTCATCTCTCCTCGGATCCCTTGTTCTGACTGTTCAGCGACTGGAACGGTATGGATAATGGGAGCTTGCGCTTGCGCTAGATCTGGGACATACCCCGGTATGGCCTGTGGAAGCTGCTATAGCTTGGGAAGACCTCTTACCCCACTTGGTTGCTGGACCTGCAGGGGCAACGGAAGCTACATCAGCACCGCGACCGCGCCGTGCCCAAAGTGTTCTCAGAGAGTGCTCAGCCGTGTTCCAACCGATTCATCCTACGTATGCACATCCTCGCAGTTGGTCTCCCAGTCACTCACATCGCCCATCTATAGGTCACGTTTGGAGGGATGCCAAATATCGACGAAGGGCCAGATATTAACGTTAGGATATCAACATGGATGTACGCTCGAGATGTGAGGGCCCAGGTAGCCAACGCTCCAGCACCCGTCGGACGTGGCCAAAAGGGTTACCCCAGCTATTTTGGCAACATTGAGTTACTTTCGTTGCAGGTGCCCGCGCCTTGGGATCACATTCCTCTTGTACCAGGCCAGGCGATGACGCACACGATGAACAAAGACTCGGGAAGATGGCGAGCGATCTACAACAGCAACCACCCTCAGAATATTGTTGTGGTCTATCACGATCCTAAGGCAGGAAAAACAAACGGCGGGTCTGACAAATTTAGCTTTGGCGACTACCATCCCTCAGGGGGACTCAGAGGCGGGCGCGGATGAATGGAACATGGAAGATGACAACTCCAAGGTGGGAGATGACAGCGAGGATCCAAACAGCACAGAGGATGTGCCCATGTCGCGCTTTTGAGTCGAGAAGCAGCATCAAGTCTTGTGCATGGGAAGGGAACAAGGCTCTGGAGTTGGGTGATTGAGGTCTGCAGGATAAACGTGTGGTTTTTGTGGGAATAGATTGAAAACAAGGTTGACATTTGACTGAGAGTTATTAATTGTTGGATAGACGGTTCTGAAGATCACTCATTAGCATAGACATGGATTTCACAATTAGACGAGCCAACCCATTGCGATACATCGAGCAATCTTTTCTATTTTATGCAAACAATTGAACTCCTAAGAAAGCAAGAATCCCTCCCACTGCATTTCATATCAGTCGTCGTCAATTTTGTCCAACTCCTCCAACACGTCGCCCAAATCCGGCACATAAGTAAAATTTGTACCCAATCCCTCAATCCCCTCAAATGCCATGGCTGCCATGTTCTGCCACACCTGCGGAGGATACTCCTCATACTCCACGGTATCAAAGGTATCCATGTGCGCCCTCCAGTTCTCATCCGACAGGCTCACGCCCTTACCAAGCTCCTTCCACGAGGTAAACACTATGGCGTTGGCTAGCGGGTCTGACGGTCTCCGAACAACACTGATCTTGAAGTTGGTGGAGCATTTGGCGCACGTCCAGAGTTCATCACAGTGCCACTCAGCGAATGGGCTTATGACATCGACAGTCCAAGTCCAACATCCAATGGGGGCCTCCCAGACACAACTGCTCATATCCCAACCGTCGAGAACTGGGAGAGTCGTGGTATCTTTGCTCAAAACGTGGTTGTAAATCTTCACGTCAGGGCTCTCTTCCTCTGGGTTGAAGATGTAGGGCCAGATCATGTCCCAGCTGACATGCCCGCATACTCCGGTCAACCACCAATTCTCATAGAGAAGGTCGTTGAGGTTTGCCACGTTTTGCGAGAGATCAGGGCCAGGTTGGAGAAGCAGGACATTCTCTGTCTTGAGAATGAGTTGACCCTCACCGAAGCGTCCCTCACAGAAGCGTGCCGATGTCCTGCTTGAGATCTTGGCCCCTTTAGTCTTGTACACGTTTCGATCAGCCAGACAATTGACAATGTAGTTGCCGTTCTTGAGTCTGAAAGATCGACAAACCGCAGCGACAATGTCGAAATAAACGTGGTAAGGGAGGAACGGGGAGTCGAGATAGCCCTGCTGGATGACTTCCGAGTTGCCATCGAGGATGCATTCCCTTTGGCCTTCAGCGTCGTTCCACCAACGATCGCCTCTCGGGGGGTGAAACTTGGCGCACACGTGGCAAAGAATGTCGAAGGGCATGAACCCTTCCCGGTCTAGGCGAGTGAGAAACTGGATTTTATCTTCTGGATGAAGAAAGTCCAATTTTCCGGTGCAGCAGTATGCTCGTCGGTCTGTGTAAGCGAAGGAGGCTTTGTCGGCGGGGTCGAGAAGATCGGCAATATCCATCAGTAGCTCGTTTGGGAGGATGTTGAAGGGGTTGCGGGGCTTGGGAACAACGCGCAGATCTTTCTTGCCAGACTTGGAAACATGGCTTTCTATAGTTCTGGCTGGTCGTATAGCCCAAATGAGAAGACGGGCAGCGTATACTGTCAGGGGGATCATATCAATCATGATGAAAGTGTAGTTGATGAATGACGCTTGTGCTTGAGTGGTAATTGATATGGTGTAAGTAAATCCTCGGTTGATCGTCTTGAGTCTACCAGTCTAGAGCAATCGAAGCAAGGGAGCATTATATAGATCAAAAGATTCATTGAGGTTTCACTAGAAACTCAGAACATCATTGGGGTTGATGCATCAAACAACTGTAAGTGGGTAAGTTGTACAGAGTTTCGATGTGCAGCTGAACTGTGTAATCTCATATGAGGTCTGGTATTAACTTTGCGTTCAGATGAGATGTTAGACTTTGAATCCGCATGTCTCCTATCAATGATACTCGCTGTGTTGCTGAATTGCTTGCGGTGTACGCGGATTGACAGGTATTCAAGCAATATAACAACACATAATCACTTGATTAGAAGGATAAGCCTACGCATGTTTAACTGATATAAACTTTGCACATGCGCATAATTTTTTCACCTTGCTCTTGTTCAAGTTGGGATGCCTAAATCTATCTCTGATGCAAAGTACCACGTCTGCCTGCATCAACATCCACTCACTGACTACGACGTGACTCAAATCAAATATTCAAGAGTAAACATTGCAGGACTCAGCCATACGGGGCTTGGAGAAGAGTTGAATCAGACCTTCAAATAAGAGCGTGACACAACCGAGATTCGCAAAGTCAACATGTCCATTCCTGCAACTATAAAGTCAATATTGGCGCATCCTCCCGAGCCCTCTTTATCGCCCTCACAGCCATGGTAGTGATGACACCCCGACTCCCAAGCTTGACAGCCTCCTTGCCATACTTCCACAGCCACTGCTTCTCCCAGCCTCCATCAAGTAACTGCGTTTCAAGCAACGTCTTGATATCTCTCTTGTTCATAATCCCAAGAGCCTGCGCAGCCAGAGATCGTAGAGCAGCACCAAAAAGGTTCCTATCGCACCCGACACGATCCTGAATCTGTGAGCTGAGCAGGCGTCGCATCTCATTCAGAGCCTCGTCGTCCGGACGCTTCCCACAGACGTCGCTGAGGAGGAAGAGAAACCAATCCGGGTTCTCGTAGTAGCGCGTTCCCAAAAGGTAGGCCTCAGTTTTCAGTAGACGGCAAAGGTACTGGTAGACGTTGGGGAGCTTATCGATCTGGCCGCTGAGATAAAAGTAACGAAAGACGTTGGCGCAGATGCCGTGGCAGAACCGAGGGCGACAGGTTTGAAGCCAGCACTGCGTCACGTTAGAAGTGAGCTTTCTTCGCCAGGTGCTACTAACGTATGGCAGGCCGTCCGGGTTGAGATGGGATAGAATCTCGTTTACAGCAAATGACTCCTCCTCGGCTGAAACGTCGCCAAGGACATGCATGGCCAACGACGTCGTGTCTGCATCATTTGGATAAACGGTATCAAAGAACACGGGTTCTCCAATAAAAGTAGTTCCAAGTTGGACCAGCCTTTTCCAGTGTCACTAGACCTCTGCAATATGTCAGTCATAGCATAATCTTGGATGTGATTTGCCAAAGCTCACCTGTCCCCAGTATGCTCTAGTATGATGAGCTGAGAATAATTGTCGGGCTGTGTCTCTCCTTTGTTTGTCTCACAAAAGAGATTCTTGGCGTTGCGCCTGAGAAACTCTAACCCACGAGCAACAGGGTCGCCAAGGAGGTTATTCAGAGTAGCCACCACAGAACTCGTGTCAGTCAGATGAACACCTCGGAAGCCCAGAGACTGTGCCGCCACGACATTTTCGATTCGGTCATCCACAAATATGCACGCCTCAGAGGGTATCATGCAGTCCTCCAAGAACCTTTCGTAGCAGGCTATGTCAGGTTTTCGGAAACCTGTCAAGCCAGAAGCGTAAAAGTCGTCAAAGATACCCCATTCTTCGATCAAGGGCTTGAGATCTTGAAAATCTTCCGTAGGGACGTTGGAGAGCCCAAACACTTTTAGTTCAGAGTTGTTCAGCTTGAGCTTCTTGATCTCTTCAATGAGTTCTTTGTTAGGTCGCAAAGATTCCCTCATGACATCCAGCGCTTCAGCCCAGGAGGTTGGATTGAAGCCAAAGTCCCGGCAGATGGCATCATAGCAAGACTTCTTAGAGGTTTTGCTTCTCTCGTAGTCATGCCAGATAGGTGAGTCTAATGCATTGCTGATTTGACGGGGAGTGAGGGTCTTGACATTGTTGGCTGAGTAGAGCAGCAGCACACCACCTAGGTCCAGAACCAGCGAAGAAAAGCTGCCGAGGGATATGGTTATTGCGCTGGTGTTTGAGAAATAATAATAGAAGAGACAAAGGCAGATGATGACCGACGATTATGGTGGTCTAAATACTCACGGGTTCGTCATAGTGAATACTCATCTACATCGACCACAGTCACTGGTGTTCTTCCCGTACTAAAAAAAAGGAGCGTAACCCAGCTGAGAAAAAGAAACATGATCACTAATACGCGGTACAGTAGCTTAATCACCAGACCAATCCAGCCTCGTCATCCAGCCCTCTGGATGATATCCATGCCTTGGCAGATCCGCGAGAGTGGCTTGCTACTGTCCCGTGTCTCAGTTGAAGGTAAGCTAAGACAAATCCTACAACTCGATTGGATCATGTGATAACCATCTACAGACCAACTAATTCTTCGCGGATATCTCGCCTCTACTCACTGGCTTAGTATACGAGTGTTGCACAATGGCTTGCCGTCACATGGTAAATTGCCACGCAGCCTGGCCTTGATTGCAACGTGTTACTTCGGTCTAACCTTTTTCTCGCTGCACATCCTTCTCGTTCATTTTTTGCTGCCATTCGCGGCCCGATTTACCATGGCATCGATGACGGAGGAGACAATGAGGCTTTCTTGTCGCCTTGAGGAGGGAAAATAAACAAGGGGCGACAAAATATTTCTCGTCCCTGATACATACAACACACTGCATCGATTCATTCCATCTACGTGATTATGTAACATGTATTACGCCTCATTTCTCTGTTCTTCCTCCCTGCCCGTTTTTCCCTGTGAGAGAGCCGCATGCACGATGACGGTTTCTGGCTCTGCCTCGGCTGCCTACTTGTCAACGGCTGTATTCCATCGCATTCGTGCCGTCATGCCTGTAGTCGCTCACGTCCAATAGGAAAAGGGGGTGGAGGTCTTTCTGATGATGCTGCCTGCAGGGATCAAAACTTATTTCCGCCTCAACACCCTGGTACCCAAAACCTTTTTCCGAGCTTGAGTGACAACATCATAACTCACCAAAAACTATTTTCCGTAAAGTTTTCAACTTTTTGGCATGATATAAACCCGGTAGCTTGACTGCGTGCTCATAAGAAGCCTCGTGTCCTTTTTGCCTAGCTTATCAACAACCATTTCATCCTTTTCCTCCGCCAGCTGCAACCATTAAACGCTCCGCCGCAAACAAGATGGATATTCTTCCTATTCTCAACGAGGTCTTTGCCATCAACCCAAATGGGGAAGATAACAAGGCCTTTTTCAACCATGGAATCAACTGGCTCTGGGCTGTGACGGCCATCCACATCGTCACCTTTGTACGTTCACGACGACTCTATCCAAATTTCTCCACTAACATGTTCTTTCAGCTGGCCATCCTGTCCCTTTGCTTCGTCGTACCCGAGAGCAAGCGAGTCTTCCATTACCTCTTTACCGTCGCTGTCCTCGTCGGTGCCGTCAGCTACTACGGTCAAGCCGCAACCACCACCCTCTTCTTTGCCCGATACGCCAACTGGCTCGTTGCCTTTCCTTCTCTCGCCCTCGGCCTTGGCTTGGCCAGTGGTGTCTCTTGGACCACCATCGCGTGCAACATGGCCATCACTTGGCTCTGGATCCTCCCATACTTTGTTGCCTCCTTGACCTTGACCTCCTACAAGTGGGGTTTCTTTGCGTTCGGCACCGTGTCATACTTTATCCTCGCCATGAGCACCCTCAATGAGAGCTACAAGGAGGCAAAGCGTCGAGGAATCGGCCGAGACTACCTAATCTTGGCCGGATGGGTCAATTTCATGTGGTTCATCTACCCCATCGCCTTTGGCATCAGCGACGGTGGCCACAAAGTCAGTAGGACAGTGGGATCCATCATTTTTGGTGTCTTGGACGTTTTGCTCCTGCCCATCTTTGCCTTTGTCTTTACCTGGTTTGCGAACAAATGGGACTGGCGTAAGCTGGAACTCGACTTTAGTGCTTACCGTGGACGTCGTCAGCCAGAGATGGAGACTGCTCTAGTTTGAGGGGGTCCCGGGGCAGGTGCTTAGTCAATAGAAGCTCATGCTCTATGAACTAATGGTACTTGTTCTGGATTTCTTCACGTGATAGCTATCAAGGAGGTGTTGTGCCTGGGGCAGTGTGTTTTCATAGTCCGTGGTGGAATTTTTGCTGGATTCTTGTTGACTATAGCGCTGCTGTAGCTTCCAATGGTACCTTTTATTTCCTTTGTAGCTCAAGTCTAGATTTTTCCTAGTAGATAGGAATTACACTGTTGCTTAACTTGGACAGTAATTTGTCTTTTGAGTTGCATCTTTATCGAGAAGCTCTTGATCATAGGTTCAATGCCTCGTCGCACGGCGCTGCCCATCAAATAACTACTCGCAACCCAGGGCTCCGTCTGGATCATATAGAACCAGCATTCTGGTACCTATACTCCGGTGCTCCAGCCCACTGAGAGTAAGAGTTGCTGCCCGTGAAATGCTTTCCTTTGCCAAGCCATCCTGTGACTGGAGTCCTCTTGCATCCATCCAGCTTCTTTCCTGTGAACCTCTCTTCAAGCCAGGTCATCCACGTCAACCTCGCCGCGGTGATAATCGGAGTATGACCAAGTTCATCCACAACCATATACTCAAGAGCATTGTCTGGGTATAGCCTGCACGTTTCTGTTACAATCTTATCCGTGACTGCCTCTGCTATGAAAGCGTCCTCGGGACCCTGCACCACCAACATGGGCCCTGTGAATGGCTTTTTTCCAACATTTCCAATCTTCTCAAATGCTTGAGCATGGTACGATGAGTTATACCAACCTGGCTTGGCAAGCGCATCTCCCGGCTCGGTGAGGAAGAGTTGTTGAAACACAGAGGCTCCTCCTTGGATTTGAGCCAACAACTTGGTCCTGGCAATGGCCAGTGGCTGAAGCCATTGGTCGAGAGTAAAGCCGGGGAAAATGCTCGACACATGCATCGAGACAATGCTAGCAAATGCTGGGCTTGGCAGCATTTCGGTGATGGGGGCAAAAGAAATGGTTCCAACATAGCCTTTGATGAGATTCTTGAACGCGTTTTTCTTGCCAGAGGCAAGCAGCTCGGCTGCACTCCAAGCTACACCGCCGCCTTGGCTGTGTCCAGCGACAGCAAATTTCCCACTGAGCCGCTCGCCAAATGCCTCTAATGCGGCTTCCATGGCATACAGGGTGTCTTGACCAGCCGCGGGCATAGCAAAGTACTGATGAGGAATTGTACTTCCGTCCCAAGACTTTTCCAGTCCGAGTCCAGCATAGTCTGGTGCAACAACAGCGTAGCCAGCCTGCACGAGATGGTTGGGCATCTTGTCGTCGTATTGTAGAGTACGGAATGAAGATGGCCCTGCGTCGGCAAAGTATCCGGATGTACCGTGGGCCCAGAGCACAGCAGGGGCCTTGTCTTCGGGCTCACCAGCAAATTGACGCGGGGTAAAGGGCCACAGGATGTAAGCACTAGCAGGAATGACAGTGCCGTTGATGTCCTGGGTGGTGTATAGGATCCTGCTGAGAGAGGACCCGGAGGCGATGTTGAAAGGTGCAGGGTCCGTCACTTCCTGAACTTTGAGAACTTGGCCAGGTCGCAGATCGGCTTTCTTTGGGGGAAGAGTGTAAAAGTCATCTTGTCTGGGTCCGCCGTTTGCGAGATTGGATCGATCAAAGTTGATGATGGCATTGATGCTGGACGCTACCGTCTCAGACAGCCCGGCAGCCTTGATCTGGGCAGGAGTCAAGGCGAAGGAAGAGTTGAAGTCTGTTGAGAAAGGGACCGCTGGAGGGATCTGTTGGGCCAGGGAAGCTGTACCCCAGATGGCCTGGGCGAAAAGCAGATTTGTCGAAACCTTCATGTTTTGCTGCTAGATCTTGCTTTGGATGTGGCTGTGATGAATCTTCTGCAGGAATGATTGGATGCTCATACTTATACGACTTCTCGCTCCTATCTTACATGACCATCAGATCTTTCGTCGTATCTCACCTCATCATCCAGAATTGCGAATAACGTTGAACCCCAGTCTCTGTAGGGAGGCACAGGAGCTGACTGCAGCCTCTGCGGACAATGAGCGGGAAATCTATAACGTTATGAGGCTGACAGGTAGAAGGCAGCCCGCTGAGTTCTCGCCGAGTGCGGAAGGATCTCTAGCCGCGGCCGAATGATTGGTTGTCAGCCGGGAGGTTCCACGGAGCCGAGCGGAATTGCGGAGATTTTGTTTAGAAAGCAGAATCCTTCCGGACATGACAAATTATCCAGAGAGTTGTTGATAGTGAGATGAGCTACTGTGGTTATTGAAGCTCAGATTGTGAGGTTGGACTATTAGAAATCGCGTTATTACAAATGCGGGAGTGAGTGGTTTGTTTGGGGACTGAAACAAGTTACTCAACTGACATTGTATGACCTCCTGCGAATAGGGTGAAAGGAGATAGATGATGTAAGCTTTGAATAAGGTATACACTAAATCGAGGGCCTGTATAGACGATCGCAGTGGTGTTATCATTACATGAATCGCTCTATTCTGACTGACCAAGTGTCTGTTCCGAGGTGTCAATGCCTCTGAAACGGCCTTAAGTAATAGGTCACACAAACACCCATAAGATGGGGGATGGTAAACCATGAAAAGGAATTAATAGAAGAGATCTGAACTTCCCTCACTGTTGACTCTCAAGAAAAGAGGGCTTTTCCAGTTTCATATCGCCCATATCTGCGCCGTGAAAACTGCACTTCATGATCAACCTGACTACCCTAGGTGATTGACTAAAGCACAGACGCAAAGCTGGCCATCAACATAACCGCTAAACTCAATCCCTTCTTCCAACCAATCACAGGACAACGTGGCCGAGTGGTTAAGGCGATGCCCTGCTATCCTGCATATCTAGGCATTGTGTTCGCACGCGTAGGTTCGAATCCTGCCGTTGTCGATGTTCTTTTTGACTTTTCTGAGTCTTTTTGAATGATTCTTTTGCTTCTGCGATATGAGATGCACATTTTCTGGTGTTTTGTTCTTGATTTCCTCTTTTGGATCATCTCGATCGGGTGGGGCGAGATCGTGGCGCCTTCCACGTGCTTCCCTAAGTCTTAGACCAGAATCACGTGTCGCGACCCTTCACCCCGGGGTTGTGCATGGTAACCAGCGAGAGGCATTGTAAAGTGCAATGCCTTGTTTCTGTCTTTTTGAACTTCTTTTTCTTGCACGAACTCTCGTTGTTTGTATCCTTCTCGTTGTGTTGTTCTGACATCAATTGGTTTCACGTGTGTGGCTGTTGGGCATGGTCAGCCACACCGCTTGTCGGGTCACGTGTCTCCATTCACCAGCCATCTCAGCCTTTCGGATTGTTGGAACATGTTCCTTTCTTGCTTCAAGATGGCATATCACCCTCTTATACATACGAATATTCAGGTCTCTAGCCCAGCAAATGAGGCTGCGCCATGCAAGTGATTTCGGTTGAGCAGCATCTGTTTGCGCCTCTTTCTGGCTATCTGTACAAGGTTAATGCAAAGCATAGTCTAGTCCTGTGCGAGTTGTATTAAGATCTGCATGCACAAATCAATTACCACCCAACCACCTCAACCTCTGCCAAGCTCACCCCCTTGCAGCTCTAACGCGCTCCGGCTAGTCAATGCTTCCACGCTTGAGGGGCTGTGCAGTTTGAAACCCCAAGTCGATGCCTTCATTTCAGAAAATCCAGCCTCTTTCAACAACCGTTTTTCGTGCCTCAAACCTTGGACCTTCTATACGACACCATCATAGGTGCAAACTTGACCAACAAATCTAGTCATGAACAGATCCAGGGATAAACTCTGCGCCTTTTGTCAACCCTTTGTCAACAAATGCGTCAGAGAGGCACTGGTATCATTTGAACATGAAACCGGGTGTTTTTCTTACCTTGAAACATCAGCCCGCGATGGTTGCCCTCTCTGCGGCGTTATCGTGGCTTGTATAGTTGACGGCAAAACACTGACCCCGTTGCACCTCCGGAGGAAAGATCTATCGCCGATAAAACTGAGTGTTTCTCTTGATTCACTCGACATCTCTGTTGATTCGGCCTCTGGAACGGAATTAGGGGTGGTGTCAGTGAAGACCCTTCGAGATCCCCCTGAAAGCTTTATTGAAGATGATGTATTGGGAGATCCATCTTTGCTACAGAAGGCACTTGAGGACAAAACCACCTCGCCTTTCCGCATATCTACCAACTTCCGCACGATTGACGAAGTCTTTGACGAGCGAAAGTATAAGGGCCGACGGGAGATGTATTGTGTTGAACGTAATGGAGCCGACATGCCCCGGAAGATATGCGACCTTGCCACCGAGGCAGGGCAACAAGAGATGGCTGGACTGGTGACGCAGCGGTTGGAGACATGCTGGGCTCATCACGAGCAGTGTGCTGGGCCGCAAGACCAAAACCTGGTCCTTCCCCTGTTGCCAACTCGTGTCTTGGATGTTGGGACGCCCGAATGCCCCTATCTTCGTCTACACGTTCCGGAAGATGGCGAGAGGAAGGAATACACATGCCTCAGCTATTGCTGGGGAACAGGAGTCCCCCAGTTCGGGACCACGAAAGCGACGTTGGATGATTTGCGAAAGCAAATTCCCTTTCAGCAGCTACCAAAGACAGTCCAAGACGCCATCGTGTTTACAAGACGACTCCGAACCCGGTATCTATGGGTTGATGCGCTGTGTATCATCCAAGACGACACTTCAGACTCCAGTGATTGGCAACGCGAAGTGGCTCGGTTCGGCACCTACTATCAAAATGCCCTCTGCACTTTGTCCGCGACCGGATCCTACGATTCCAGCGAAGGGCTCTTTCTTCCAAGTTGGGATCGAATTTACCCCACATACTTTTGTATGCTGTTGAATCGGGGTTCCCAAGAACCGCTATACTATACCTGGCTTCCATCGGTTCATGATCCTTGTTCGCTCATCTCCAAGACACCACTTTCGATGCGAGGATGGCCAGCTCAGGAAAAGTTACTATCTCCTCGGATTGTTCACTTCACCCGTCGGTACGTCGTCTGGGAGTGCTTTGAGCATATCGCTTCGGAGCGCGATCCAGAAGGAGATGTGACAACAGGGCTCGAGGAAGATGTTGACATACTGCCTGGTTTCTCAAAGTGGTGGATGCCCCACTTAGTAGGAGATCAGCATCCCATGTCTGCTTGGTCTACACTGTGTGATTGGTATATGAAGCAGAAGTTCTCAAGGAGATCAGACAGACTTCCGGCACTGTCTGGAGTGGTACAACGCCTTCAAGAAGATACCAAGAACCAGTTTTACGCTGGCTTGTGGGAAGGTAACATTGTTCTAGGGTTGGACTGGTGGGTTATGGACCCAGAGAGTATGCTCAACACCCAGGCCCTCTTTGCTCCTTCGTGGTCCTGGGTACATGCGACAGGAAAATTACGTCTCGAACATATGTCTTGGGAGAGCATATTCTCGACAGACGCGCATGCTTCAACCACAACTTCGGCCATAGAGCCCCGGATTCTTGCATCAAGGTTCGGGAAACTAGCCATGGAATTGATGGTTCGACAACTTCAGGCACCATAGCCATGTCCGGCATCCTCAGCACGCTGAACTTGGGAGAATTGCGCTATAAACAAGACTCAGGAACGAGCAATAGGTGGATGATGGATGGCGACCTGCCTATGGTGGCAATACATTGGGATCGATTACCTTTGGAGGTAGACCCTCATGACACCTACGTCTGCCTCCGACTGAGTGAATCCAAGGAAAGTTGGAAGGAAAGGCGCGAACAAGAGGTTATCAAGGCCCTGGTATTGGTTCTAGTGTCAAATGATGAAAATGGGACCCCTGAATACCGGAGGGTTGGGCGTGGTACTTTTTGGCAGGATATTTGGGACGGGGGTAAACCTGAGTGGAAGTACATGAAGCTTGTATAGGGGAGCAGTGGTCGTCTTGTATGAAGTGGGGGACAACTGTTGCTGGTTGTTTTGTATTTCGGGCCTGATTTAAAACGGTGAAGGAGCAAAGATGGCTGGATACTGAATTATGAATGGTTTCTTTTCTATTTGCACGCGGTGTTCCGGCGCCTTTGTAATGGAGATATGACGTGAAAATGGCCTGAAACAACTTACAAACGTCTGGCTTCAGTGGTAATACTATGTATTGATCGATGTCTTGGATACGTCCCACTCAACGCCTAGGCTTTTTCATTCTGAAAGACGCTGCTCATCTATATTATAGGTAGCTAACTATCAAATTCCTCCATAAGATGGACAACTGAGAGTTTCAACAGGAAACTCCGTGATTGCGGACTATCTATCCATTGGCTTGGTTATCCCATCACGGCCCGGGCTTCAACTATGACAAAGGACACAGCAGTAATTACGGACAACGCTTCTATCCGCCTCTACCTGGAATCTCCTGATTTATCCAAGCCCCCGAGTCACACTCGATTTGATCCTCATCAACAGGAAACCCACTGCTCGTAGAGTTCTGTATGGTAGAGCCAAAGCACTGTCCAGGCCAGTCATCCCCCGTGACCCTATGCCGCCAGCAGACAGAATTACAAACGTTACTCTCCCGCGAAGCAATCTCGGTCTTGTTGTTCTCGTTGTACGTGGCGCACTTGTCGATACAGTCGTCAAGACTCGTAGCGGGTATGTTGACAACGTTGTTGGGGGAGCCTGCAAAGCCGACGTTGCAACGTTTGCGGAAGAGGTAGTTGGACGAGCCAAGGGCTTCGTAGATTGTGTCGTTGGAGGAGGGACAGTCGCGGTAGAGAGTTTGGGTCGGGCCGATGAGTGTCCTCGTGGAAAGACTGGCCGTTGTCGATGTTGATGTCTTGGTAGGTTCGATAGTGGCTCGGTCGGCTTCTGTAGTAGCTGGGCTACTCGGGGTATCGTTGTTGGACTTGGACTTGTTTGCTTGTGTTCCTCCTATCGCACCTCCTATCACCGCGCCGGTGACGAGAACAATCACAGCAACAATAATCCAGAATCGCTTCGGGGGTAGACCACAGATCCGCTTTGGAGGTGTGGCCTGCTGGGGCGGCTCAACTGGGACCTTGTCTGTTGGGTCCTTTTCAAACTGTGGTACCACTTCTGGATAAGACTGGTCAGGGACAACTTGGAGATCGGAATAGTCGCGCGACATGGTGATTGATGTGCGGTGATGCAATGGATTCAAGGAAAAAAGTTGTTGGCCAACATTCGAAGCTCAGAACTTGGGGATACCCATACTGCACCGAAACATGGGATGGGAATCCCTGCAGGGCTGAATTACTCCCAGGACATTAATAGACTCAGGGTCGTGCCATGTCGCATCCATGCAGTCGGTTCGCCCAGTCTAGCTTAAGGAGGCGGGTAGTCGGCCACTGCCTGATTCGTCTCGCTTCTTGTTGAGTGCGAAGCGACCACTTAAAGGAGGGCTGAGGTTACATTGAACCAAAAAAGCGTGGTGCTAATTAATATTTGATTGGACAGATTAATAAAAATGCCTTACTCCTTGAGACTGACCACCATTCAGGCAACAGACAAGGCGCGTCTGCATCAGTGTCGATTCAGAGGCTGTGGGAGGAGACCGTGTTGTCAGTGGACAGTTAATACAAGACATATGAGAGTTAGGCACAATACGCCAGTAAAATCTTAGAACGGAGGTGCTATAATAATTCTCTTAGATTATATTATCGTGTTTAACTTGGTAGGCTGAGTTGGAAACGACATTTCTTGGTTGAAGTCTTTGATGATGGTGGAATCAACCTGACAAGTGATAACACAGGGCCAAATCAACACTTCTCTAGTTAAAAACACGGACAAAATGTTATAAAAACCGGACATAAATTTGTTCCCTGCAAAACTCTATCTCTTAAACAACCCAAAAGCATTCGGATTGAGTTTCTTCCTCGCCCACATAATGGGCTTGGCCCAACCCGGCACTGAATTAGTCGTATTACAGAACCCATCAATTCTATCGCCAGGGCGAATAAGCTCTCCCGTTGCGAAGTCTTTTGTCCACTTTCTGGCCATCTCATCAAACTTTTCTGCATCGTTCCCCAGCGTGGACACAAGACCATCTGGCATAGGATCCCACCAGTCTGGGGTGTCTAGAAGTGACGCTGCAGAGGCCAACAGCACTTCTAGAGTGAGAGATGGGGACCAGTCAAGGTCCATGCAGATTGTACCTCGGGTGTCGACGTTGGGATGTAGGATCTTGGTCAAGAACCACATTTCTGGGGGTGTAAATGGATATCCCTCCTTGAGGCTGAAGCGGACGTGAAAGATGCCGCCTTCATATGGCGTGTCCTTAGGACCGATAAAGGTTCCGAGATATGCATCCAATCGGTCCTCGACGATTGGTCTTAGTGTGTACCATCGTTCTTTCTCGTTTCCCCAAGAACTGATAGCCTCAAGCTCTATGAGCATACGGCGTTGATCGCTGCGACTTACAGTCGGTGTCGTGGAGTCTAAAGTGGGTGCCAGAGCAGCGCATGCCTTGATGTTGAGAGCCACTAAGTCGTCAAAGTCGAGGCTGCCAGGCGTCTTGGCGCTGCGAGAGTCTGATGATGAGTCCGATGATGATGTGCTTATGGTGGTGATGCCGCCTTTTCCCACTTCCCCAAACATAGAGATACCCTCTGGACTTGACATGTCCATGATTATTTCTGCCGACAGGGTCTCTGAATGTTGAAGAATGATGGCATGGCTTGACGTATGCAGGGTGGGACGTAAGGCTGACTGACCCCTCTCGCCGGGTCGGAAAATCAATCAAGCTGACAGGCTGTTCATGGTGTGGGGGAGAAGCCTGGCAAGTGGCTGCCTAGAATGCATTCACGCAGCCAATAGAGGGTTCCTCTTCATCCTGAAACTTGGTTACTCTTAAGTGTATAGATTTTGATAGAATCCTCTAATCACCACTCATGTAATAGCGCTATGGATTTGGGTTTAAATAGTGTGCATTGTTGAGGGGAGTTGCTTCGACTCGATCGTATATGAGTAGCCATCATCAACTTGATCAAAGCGCTTTTCTAAGGATCGAGTATGTAGATAATGTTGCATTATTTTATCCCAGCCCCGTTATGCTCATCGTTACCACTTACAACCAACAACCACAGAACCAACAGCTCATGCTGTGCCCATCCCTGCAAACCATCACGCGAGACAAGAGACAACAATGCAAGTCGAGTGGATAGCGATTGGCCATCTGGTCTTCTTTATAAGCAAGCAGCAATATTTGAGTAATTTAAACCGCTCAATCGATGCTGAGAACCCCCTCATCTCGTGGTGAAACGAACAAACTCGAAGAACAGTGACGATGGCTACTGTCGACGCGGATCCCGTGATTGCTGCCGATGAAAATGTAATCTCATTGTCATGATGGAATATCTGGAGCTGACATGAACTAGTTCGATGATGGCGATTCGTCCCTCGGTGGTGTATGAGCGCTTACTCCCAAAGAAACGCAATGCTGATGCTAATAGGACGCCGCCACTTCAACCGAGAGCTTAAGAAGCTCTATTCTTGACTATCGGCATGAAAATGGCAGAACATATCATCGCTATAAGGACGGCAGTATGTTAAAATCACTATGTCGATAGCCAGGTCTGATGCAAATGCCCAGAGTATAACCTTCCCAACGACAACGAGGAGAATGAGAGACTTGGTAGGTGTCGTTGCTTGAGCGGCTACTCCAAGAAGTGTGCTTATGCCTTGCAGACCTTCAACACCATCTTTGCCTTCTTACCTTTGACAACAAGCTTGGCCTTTGCCCGCCCAACTTGCCTGACTCGAATGTCAAGCGCGTGCTCGATCTCGGGACAGGTACTGGGATCTGGGCTATTGACTTTGGTGATGAACATCCTGAAGCTGAAGTGAGTAGCATGAATTTGCGCAGGAGTCAGACTAACGGTGCACAGGTCGTTGGAGTTGACCTCTCGCCCAGCCAGCCCAATATGTATGCATGGAAACCAGTGGGCTGGGATGGTATTGCTGACATCCCTCTAGGGTCCCTCCAAATGTGCAATTCCTCATCGATGATATTGACGAGGACTGGACCTACACCAAGCCCTTTGACTACATCCACAGCAGAATGATGAACTTTAGCGTCCAAGACTGGCCAGTTTATCTGCAAAAGATCTACGAGTGAGTTTTCCTCCCCACCTTGCGCCTCTTTATTAATACAAGTAGTAACCTCACTCCTGGGGGCTGGGTCGAGCTCCAAGAAGTGGATGTAATCATGGGCTGCGACGATGGTACCCTTTCCGAAGACGACACTCTCGCCAAATGGTGCAAGCTTCTCGAAGAGGCAGCCGCAAAGCTGGAACGAAAATTCGCCAAGACGCCCTCCTTCAAGGGTTACTTGGCCGATGCGGGATTCACGGAAATCGTCGAGACGCGCTTCAAATGGCCTACCAACCGATGGCCCAAGGACCCCAAGTATAAGGAACTCGGAGCGTGGAACAATGAGAACTCTAACATCCTACTCGAAGGTCTCACTCTGGCGCCTTTCACTAGAGGCCTCAGTTGGAGTGTTGAGGAGGTGGAGTTGTTCCTCGTCAAGCTGCGGAAGGACTTCAACGACCCGAAGATTCATGCGTATTGGCCTATGTAAGCTGGCCATGCTTGCTCTCATGTTTTGATACTGACATTCTAAAAGTTGCTCGGTTTATGCAAGGAAGCCCGAGGCTACTTCGTAATTGGCTCACCCAAGGGTTTTGCGCTGTTGTTGCCCGCAAGATGACGCCACGGCCATCAATGGCTTTGCTACATCATTGTTCGCTCCGGTTATGTACATCCACTTCAGCTAGGTAGCAGGCAGAAGCTTTGAAAAGAAACAGACGATATTTAACATCGTTGATGGCAAGATGTTCAAGCTATGTGACAGAATGAAGACTATAAAACAGGCGCCTCGCAAGCAGACAATGCATGAGCTATCAAAGCTCCGCTAAATATGTACATGAAACCGATGGGCTACTCCTCGCAAACACAACTGTCGCTTCAAGCAACAGTAGCTCCAGTAAGAGTGAAAGAGTAGTCAAGACCCTTCTTAGCCTCAGCGGATAGGTTGAAAGGGTCGAAGAGGATAAGGCTAGGGGTGTTGGCAACAACAAGGCTAACCTCCTCACCAGAGGCAACAGTGACAGTAGCAGAGCCGTCGACCTTGACGTAGCGGGTAGCTCCGTTGCGGAAGAGGGCAAGAGTAGCAGTGTAGGCGCCGTTGGCGGTGATCTGAACCTTGACGCTGGTGCTCGAGGTCTTGAGAGGGATGATGTTGGCGCCCATGTACTGAGGTCGACGGGCAGACTTGACGGTATATTTACCGTTGCCGTTGGAATCGACGTTGGCGTAGTTGAGGGATCGACGTTGGTCAAGGAAGGTCTGGTGGGCAGAGGCGTGACCAATGTCAACATAGGCCATGCGAGCCCAGTAGCTACCCACGATCTGTGCAACAGTGGTGCTGCCAGCCACACGCTGCAGGGTGTGGAGAGGCGTCTCGTTGCTGTTGGCCTTGTACTGGACCATCATTTGGTGAAGGGTATCAGTACCCAGCTTGGCGTACTTGTCAGGGTTGTTGGTCAAGTAAGTGAAGAAGGGCCAGGCCTGGTAATAGTTTCCAGTGTCGACTGAACCGTCAACGATGGGCTGGAAAGAATCGCCGATGGTCTTGTGCAGCTCAATCTCAGTGTTCTCAGTGGCCTGTCCATGGGCCCGACGAGCAGAGGCGCAAAGATCAGAAGTGCGATAAGTGTCGGCGACCCAGTTAGCAAAAGTCTCCCACCAAGCTCCTGTCCGGCCCTGATCGACCCAAGTCTTCTGATGATAGTGCAAAACGTGACCGTACTCGTGGACCGTCACGCCGGATGCAGTGAGGTACGAGTTCTGGACCTCGAGCCAGCCCATACCAGTTGAGAAATCGGAGTGCATGACTCCAGCTGCTCCAGGCAGACTGGCAACCGAGTAAACATTGGTCTTGGTCTTCTTTCCATTGTTGGAAGCGTCGTTGAATGAGAGTCCAGAGGTTCGGAAGCCCAGGGTACCGACGAAGCAGTCATAGGCAGCCTCGAGCATAGAGAGGGCCTTGTCGGCTTGGCCACTGTTGCCATAGACGCGGAAATGGTTCGAGTCCTTGAACTGACTTCCACCGGGTCCGATGTTTGGGTTTGCCTCGTAGCTTGATCCAGATTGTCGCTCCACGAGCATGCCCTCGGGAGCTGCCCAGCCAGTGATGGCCTGAAGGGAAAGGGCGAGAAGAAGTTGCTTAGAAATAGCCATTTTGTTTAAAAAGTAAGTCAAAGAATGTAAAGAGTTGATCTGCAATGTTAAAAGTGTCTTGTTAGTCCGAACAACTCGACTTATATGCCCTACCGGCAGTTTTTAAGCTTCTTCTTCGGGGTCCATCGACCCATGGAAACCCGCATCGTCCATCCCATTCACGTAGGTTCCCTGTCTGCTGATTGGTGTAATGATTCACGCCGTGAAAGCCGTCAAACGTCCATCTAAATCAGGATCAGCGGAACCGGGGCTCCGGGTCTCAGAGGCTAGTCACTTGGCCCAGATAGGAAGGTAGCCCCCGTCGTATTGGGCAGTAGGGCCCCTTAATAGACGGAAGTTTAAGATGGCCATGACACCTTCTTTCGACAGCCCTGGGAATACTACGGTAGTTGGATGAGGCGAGGATAGGCGGGCCAATGGGATATATAGGGGTTTTTTGTTCCCCATGCTGTTTACAAAAAGTCGCGTTGTGGTCGTATTTGATATCATTTGGAGAGATACGATGTAAGTGAGGCGATAACCCAGAAACAAAGGTACCACAACATCCCTAGATAAGATGGCAGGATTGATGAATACGGGTTTACGGACAAATACACTTGCCGAAGAATAGTTCGGCGTCTTTATTCAAGAATTCCGTCACGAGGCCAATATTTAAAACCTTTGCTGACAGGCGAGAAAACGGCCCAGACCATCTTGGCAGCCGTTCGGCGTTTCATATAAATACACCGCGGAGTTTTACGTATTGACAAGGAATAAAACGTGCCCTCGGGAATACGAGAGATTAATAAGGTTTTCTTAATGCGTAAAGACGTCAGAGTTTGACGTTTTTTTGTTGAGACCGTTGGAGATGCTAACCATGTCACGCGAACACGCACAGCCATGATTTCTCACAACGGTTCATGTCCTTGACTTTTTCATGAGAAAGTTGTCGTCATTAATTTCTTTCAGGCAATTTTTTGGGGTCACTTACAGAGATATTTATTTCTCATATTTCCTACTCAACACACCATCGCCAAGATGGGGTCGAATGGGGACAGGTATGCTAAACCTAGAGCATATCCTGTACGATGAGAACCTCAACATGTTCAGGCAGCCTGAAGTTGCTGAAAACTCTCTTTTTGTGAACTTGACACCTTTAACAAGTCTTAAACTTTCAAGAAAGATGCGAGGATAAAAATGACACGGTTTCTCTTTGCATCGTTCATCCCTGTTTTTGTCTCCTTTATTATCACCTTTACGGCACCAATGACAGCAAGCACGAAGAGCGCTACACCCCCAAAGACCTACACAATATGTCATGAACACATGGAACTCCTTGCCTATGGAGCTCCGGTTCATGATTTTCGAATATCTTGCTGCCTGCGGCCCAGGTCACCTGTCAGCCTGTGCCGCAGTCTGTAAAGAATGGCAGGAGTTGATCGAGAGACGAAATTTCTGTCAACTAAAGCTCCGATCAACTTGCGTCGAAGGCTTAACAACAATGGTTACCGACCGGACCCGACCTCTTGTACAACATATCTGGCTTCATGTCGCAATCCCCCCATACACCTGTTTAATTTGCTACCGGCAAGAATCCCGATCAGCCTGGGTGCGCAACAACCGCATGATCAAGGGCGCAGTATTGAAGCTTTTTGCTATACTGCAAACTTGGGACTCGACCGACGGAATCACTCTGGAGCTCAGCACTAATTCACCTAGTGACCCGGAGCACTGGTTCAAGAACTATTGCTTCGGAGACGGGAGTCAAGGGGCAAGGAACTGCGGTCATTCGGATCATGGATGGTCTAATGGAACACGCCTAAGCTTTCCCAGTGCTCGACCATTAGACCGCTTATTCGAAACCATCGACTTGACCTCTCGGCTACGACTGCTCAGGGTGGACATCATCACAAGGCTCGTTATACGGCGACAACTCCGACGACGACTCACGCCTTCGAGTTTGCGGATGTTGCTGGACAAGCTTCCGCGACTGGAGCGCCTGATCTTTGAACCATGGCGTTGGTGGGATCCGGAATTACGACAAGCATACGACGGAGGTGAGGGCGTCTTCAGGTTACATGATGCTCTCATGGCTAACAAGAGCATAGAATACAGACAGATACTTCAAGCTGGTCTCCCGAGTACACTCAAAAGGCTATCAATATTCGAAGACTTTGACGAAATACACATGCAAGCGATACAAAGAAGCATATGGCCACCTTTACGTCTCGGACTAGCCAGAATCGGATTCCCTCAACTTGCTTCAACAGTAGCAAGACAGAGTCTACACCTCACGCATCTCTCGGTATCCTTCCTAATCGAGGCTTTCCACTTCATTCGACCCCACCAACGATTCTGGGAGTGGGAGCATCTGGAATTCGTCTCTTTAACCTCGGAGCTTTTACGACCTGGAAGAGACAACATCATGATATGGACTTTTTTGTTTTTCGCCGCTCTTGTTGCATCAAGGATGCCCCGACTTAAAGAGATGATTCTCTGGAACGGAGGAAAGGGGCATGCGTGTGTGTTCAGGTACCGCCGGGAAAAAGGAGCAGTAACAGTACGAAGTACCTGGGGCTTGATACTTCATCATACTGTTGAAACCATTTGGTCAAAGGTTCTCTTCTGGCACACAGGATCCGCCCTTCACTTCGATGTTCGAACAATCAGTGGCGCTACGATACTCTGTCACGGCGATGCAATCCATGAACTTGGATTGCCTTCTGAAGTTATTGATGCTATATCAGTATCACAGATGCGTCGAGAAGCAAGGATGGTGTAAAAACCGTCTTCTGGCTCAGTTATCCCATCAAAGGCCGGGCTTCAACTGTGGTGGTGTAAAGACATGGGTGAGCATGCTGGAAAGCACATCATGGTTGGCCCAGGCCAGACCCTCGGGTCTATCTTTCTTTTATTTCTCAACTTCCTTAGCAGGCGAAATCTCACCCTCGTCTGCTATTTAACACGATTCCACCACTCATTCCAAAATTTTAAGTTTACACCTGCACTTCGCCGTTATCTCGACACGTGCTCCTTTCCACCTTTACTCGGGCTCTCAATTACAATTCCCATTCGCTATTCACTACAACTAGGTAGATTCTACATACCATCACCTCTCCCTAATATTATAATCATCTTTAGCCGAGTCCTCCTGGACAAAAGCAAAGCCCGATACCATAACTCGAGCGACTTCCCTACTGAATCGTGACTGGCCCTTCTCCTTTCTTATTCGCAATAAACTCATCAATGCAGACACCAATGATCTTGTACGGATCAAGGGCATGTTTCCTCGACAAGAGCAAATTCCCCGACCCTCCAGTATGCACGTACCCATAATTCCTCATCATGTCGGTGACGTCGTGCGTAAACTCCTCCCTCACGAGAGCCCTGCCACTGGGCAAAGGCACTCCATGGCCAACAGGCTCGGTCTCCTTCTTCTTTCTGCAGCTAGCGGCATACAACTTGTGGGCGTGTATATCACCCGAGAAAGCTATCAGGTCAAAGGCCTTGTCGACGTCCCCGACTTGCACCAACCCTAGTCCATCTTGCAGGACTATCCTACCGTCGTCGTCTAATGCCACGGCCGTTCTACCAAGGGAGCTTGCCTCCACCGCAGTTATGGCTTCGAAGATGAGGGCGAATGGGGCGACTATGGTGCATCCACAATTAACAGTGACATGACAGTTGATGCTCGCCGTGCTTCCATTCGCAAGGCGCGAACCGCATTTGGTTATCGAGACCATCCTGTAGTTCATAGACAGATTATGCGCCCGGAAACCGATAATGTTTGGATTCTCCCAGAACGTGCCACTGACAGATCGGTCTTCCCACCCAACGGGTTTCGCCATGGGATCCGTAGTGTCCCACATTGGATGCAGCTTTTGGAGCAACCTCCTTCGATACTCAACGAGATTGTTTCGCCCAGGGTCCATAATAGCTCCCAGTATGGTTGCGCATTGCACCAGAGTCCGGCCTGTCTCGTCTTTGACCACGTCTCTGGGCTGGTCGTAAGTGGGTATGGGCTCCTTGCTAAGGAAACCAGTCTTGAGCTTCTTGCCACAGTTGCAGCCTTTGAAGATGAACTGGAAGTCTCCATTTCCCTGGCTCAGTCGGATCTTCATGAACTTCCGTGGGGTTCCGATGAGACCTGTCACGGCCGGTGCTTTGGTCCTCCCTTCCCTCTTGAGCCTCCCCAGGGTCAGCACCCCCGCGAAGCAGTCGGTCGTCATGATCTGGTTGTCACTCTCCACTACTGGAATCCAGTTCCATCCGCCCTCTCTTGCTTTGCTTGTTACCCCAAGCCTTGTCCATGCCAGCCCGGTCTCAGTAGACAGTCTCTTGAAGAAGTTGAACGAAATGACTTTGATGTCGCTTCCTGATAGTTGCGTTTTCACCTCATCTTCAGTGAATAGTCCGCTGAAGATGCCCAATAGACCCCTGAAGATGTCGGCAGTGTGTCCACACTCTCGTGGCTTGAGGGAGATGGCGGAGAAGATGTTGCTTATCCCCTTGTAGTTCTCTCGCCACCAGTAGGAACCACCGTTGATGATATCGGTTCTTGCGCTGTTGATCCCTGTGACTTGGGTCTGTAGGCTGACGAGGGATAAGATATCCTCTCCAATGACCCTCAGTATAGCGCTGACCGCTGCCGTCTTAAGGAACCGACCGTTCTCTATCCAATCGCGCAACTTGACCGCCTTGTCGGTGCAGTCAATAGCCAGATCCATCCAGGTATGGAGTTGGCCGATGTAAAAGATACTCTCGGGGTTGATCCCCCACATGGTTATGTTCTTGCCGAGAATCATCTCCTGGAAGGTCCAGACCCGGGAGAAGTAAGCGTTGTCAAAGAGTGATATGACACGTTTGATGCATGTTGAGTAGCAGTTTATTACTCCCATGTCGATTGCGGCAGACCTCACTGTTGACTGGCCTATGTCGAAATTCCATTCCGCGTTGGCCCATTGATCCAGGCGATGGATAAGGTTGCCGGTCAGCCCAACGGCCTCAGAGGCGAGCGCCGCACCACGCATGTGATACAGGACGTGGTCGATGAACTTGAGGTCGTCTACAATCTTCTGCGGGATCCATTCCTCGTCCATGTCGAGAAGGAGGTGGCATCTCTCGGCATTCTTGTAGTACTCAAACATCTTGGGTATTTCCGCTGCCTTTTCGTTCTCGTCTGTCTGGTTTATGCACACACAGTCGGCCCATACATACTTGACGTCGGCCGCCATCATCAATCGCTTGATGTCTTCCAGCTTGTCGGGATTTATCTTGACATTCCAGGTGACGCCGCCAAGTTGACAGTTGTATGGCTCCACCTCTGGGCCCCAAGTGTAGGAGAGGATGTCGAAGCTTGTGACATGGTGAACAGCAGGGTCGACGACAAAGAAGTTGCCGTTGTCGTGGCAGAGAAGCCTTAACGGGAGTCCGGATGACATGGTGAAGATTAAGACATGGGCAGTGGTGTTGGCACCTGGAGGACGGGATTCTGTGCGATTGATGGGATTTATTACTCTGCCGACAGGTTCACAATCTCCCGACAGTATCATGACTTAATATGCAGGGAGGGTTGCAACCCAATATGTCGCCAGTGGCTCCTACACATGGCGCACATGGCGTCCGGCTGTTAATTACGGAATGACATTCTAGCCATGGGTTCTGGGCGAGTTTGCTTCAGCCGCAGTTGACATGGGCCAGGAGCGCGCGAAATTGTCGCATCTGATTGGATCAACATTCGTGTCTTCACTTGGCTGCATTTGAGCTGAATGTTAGCTGCATTTATTTGCTTCACATTAACGAGGGTTGGTGATGTGACAAGCCGGGGTCTATACGTCAGGTGCCTGCATTATCACCAGACATTAAATGCACAGGGTCCCTTATTGCATGAGCTGAAGCGACCCTTCCCCAGAGATCAACCAGGCTGTGACATTCATTTGCAGGCTCAGTACGTCGTTTCCCGAGGTTATCATCTGCCGACCCCGCCAAGGCCACACACGCTAGGATGTTTAAATGAAGGGCAGAATTGGGCAAGATGCATTTTCAGTGTTGAGCCAGCAACAGTCTATCTCTATATCAGGGCAACATCTATTTTGAAGCGGCTGGGAGTGGCTTCTTGGCAAATCCTATCCGCGAATTTCCACCATCAAAGACAACAAAGGCAGCCTTCAGCGCAATATCCCCAAAGATGTTGATGCCCGCCGAATCGCTCGACTGAAGACCGCCAAAGCACATACCCGATCCCTGTCCAGCTGCCTGAGCCTTGAGTCCTTCAAATCTGTGTCTATACCTCCTCTTGTTGAGACCCTGGCTTTCAGATGCACTTCCTGGGATGGGGGCAAAGTTCATGAAAGCGCCGGGAATGGTGATGGCTGCCTTGCCGACGCCAAAGGAAAAGTCGGGGAGGTCCGAATCACAAGGGAAGGTGAAGCCACCCGCGGCCTGGTCCAACTGGGCTCCTTTGACTTGGGAGTAGTAAGCCTGGTTGACTTCTCCAGGGAGCAGGAGAAGGGAGGTTCCAGTATCGGCGATGCCAGTCAGAGGTGTTTGAGAGAGCGCATCTTTTCCAACAGAGAAGCCAGTCGAAGTGAATGTCCACAGACCAGAGGAGGAGTCGATATCGGTAAAGGCGATGTCGCCGGTGAAAGCCGACTTGTCGACGAAGCCAAAGTTGTACTTGCCGGGCGCATCCTGCTGTAGGTCTGCAGTGAAGAGTGTATTTCCATGCTGGGCGTTGGTGCCGGCAAAGAATGTCTTTTGCTTCTCGGGCTGGACAGTGTTGATGGAACTGAAGCCCAGACCAACGAGTCCGTCGAGGTCCTGTTGTTGAAGGAAGGATTGGGTAACTTCATCAGCCACCTCAACAGCCTGGTTTTTCACAGCGAGTCCACCGATAGAGACGGTATCCATCACAACGTGGCCAGCAGCAGCACTTCCATCTCCGTATTGGATCTGGAATGATGCACCATCCAACTGCTTTGACGTGTTACTTTCAGCCGCGACGTACTGAGTCTGGCCACCTCCAGCAGCAGCGGCTTGAGGACCATAAACCCAAAGATCCGAAGAACCAGTGTCAAAGTCCATCTGGAAAGTCTTTGGAGGAGACCCGATTTGCACCGGAGTCAACCACTCAGCGTCATTTTGGACGGGCACAGTTACAGCACTGCCAGTATCACTGCGACCGTGGATTCCCTTTGCAGCAGCAGCCAGGTTTTCAGGGAGTGTGATGCCGTACTTTCTGTAGGCTTTGATGAGGGCGCGAGTGCCGTCTCTTTTGAAGTTGGTGTTCTTGACCTGCTGAACTGAACAATGGGCCCCGGAAGAGACAGTAGGGAGGGCAGAAACGAGAGTGAAGGCCCAGAAGCTGGTGAACAAAAGAGAAGACTTCATGGTGACGGATATAAAAATTAAAGGGGGTAAAAGACAATGACAGAAGAAAAGAGTGTTCACAGAACAGGGAATGGAATGGATTGGCCTGCAACCTTGGTGAGTACATCTCTTGGCAGCGAAAGCAGACCATTATTATACATCATGAAAATATCCCTAGAGGATCCTTTGTTCGGCCTTCAACTCGGAGGCCACCAACGAGTGAAACAATAGCTTGACAGAGATATCCGCGTCATCAGGTGGAATACGATCATGCTGCGGAACCCCGAGTTTCATCCCCTTAAACATAGCTCTCCTTGGTAACTGAAGCCTCTTTGCAGTGGATTCTATAGTGAAGCGGTCCATGATTAGTTGACGCCGTCGGAAAACCGGCAGTTTTGAGACTGTTCGTTCGGACAATTTGAGAACCAATGGCAACGTTTCCAAACGCGCTCAAGGGGTTTTGCGAGTTCAGACGAAGAGGCGGGCGGTTAGTACGGCAAATGGAGCCGGGGCGATTGGTGGAAGAGGGCCACTACGGGTATAACGGAATTGTGAGACGAGGCTAGTGGTGGCGCCTAACACACTTGACGAGTTTCAGATGATTTTGTAAGGGGAGAGGTTTCAAGTCGGGGGATCAGGTGACATGATGTTTATATAAAAGTAAAGTACTTGTTTTTCGAGTGAGTGTGGTTGGGTTGTGGGAGGGAGAAGCAACTCCAGAGTGGTGAGCATGAAAGGAGTCCATCGCAATTCAACCATCTAGTGGAGGCATTGCCGCTTTCTTTCACACTAGAATTCATCATGGGTTGAATCCTTTTCTATCGAATGACTGTCATGATAGAGGTCGTGACTGTTGACCTTCTTGAATCTGTCGTTTCTTCCACATCGTGCGAACACAAGGCCCCACCGATCGTCACTCAATGGATTCGATGCACAAAGGCACGCAAAGCCAACTCAAGAGCAGATAGCCTTCGGCATTATGGGGAACTCCGCGACTTAGCCAGATCAAAAAAATATGGTCGGCTGATGAGACAGGCAAAAAAGTAGCCATGCTAGCAATCGTATAATAGGAACAGCCCGATGCGGGGGTCGAACCCGCAACCTTGAGATCGCGTACTCGTACCATGGTAACTTTGTTACCGAGGCATTCTAAGAGTCTCACGCTCTACCGATTGAGCTAACCGGGCGTGGCTCTGATTGGTTGGCGGGTCGTGTCGAAATTGGATGCCATGCAGTTGAGCAGCCGTAGCCACTTTGCTCTGTGAGAGATTGAGAGTAGAGAATATGACCATTCAGATGTTCGTAGGGTAGTTGACTCTGACGTGCTTGTTACTTTCATCATTATAGAGGAGCCTTCAGAGAGAAGTAAAGTACTCTGCCATGGTTAAGGTCCTAGGCCTCCAACTGTCCATCTTCATGCTGGACCAAAACACGCCGTCTTGATAGCCCTTTTCAGTTTCTACCATCCTGTGAGGGCGTGCATATCCTTCAAGCCTGGAACAAGGTCTTCCATTCGTAGGTCGAATTGAATGTCGATCATCTTGCTTGGTGCGCGGATGATGCACCCTCCGCTTCGACTGCGCCACTCGCACACGTCAGCATAGGTAGGCAACAGCCATTGCCACAACATAGTTAGTTGGGAGGGCCTTGAATACATGCAAATACTTGCAAACATTCTATGATATTCAGCCACCGTCTCAAGCAAACATGACTTCGAAACCGCATCTCCAGATCTTTACGCTTGATGCCCCCCAGTCCCATGCCGACCTAAAAGAGTTCACTCTCTTCTCCAAGCTGCCAACCGAACTACGCTTCAAAATCTGGAGGCATTCTTTAGAGCACCCTCGCATACTCAAGGTTCATTTGCGGTACCCCTCCGCATTCGATTTAAAGTTGGGCTATGATGGTCAGACAAGACCACCTTCACACCAAAGTCAAAAGAACTATCGTCCAGTGGTCGAAGGATATCAGACGCTGAGCAAGCTTCTAAGAGTCAACAAAGATGCCAGAGCAGCGGCCTTGTGTTTCTACCGAGTCCATCTACCATGCTGGTTTACAAAAGGAGCTTCCAGGAGTGACGATTTAGTCTCTGGCACCCTCTACTTCAACCCAGAATACGACTTTCTACACGTGAAGCAAGAGAGTATGGACATGATAGAGTTCTTCTATGATTTGAAGTTCAAGTATGATCCACAACACATTGGCATCCGCAACTTGGCCCTGTGTCGCAGGACGCTTGGCAATAATCCAGGCCGCCTCGCTCCTTTGCCAGCTTCAAACACCAACCCCGAAGCCATGAGCGCATTTAAAGACATCATCTCTCAGCTTAGAGAGGTCTTTTTCGTGTATGTTCAAAATATCGCCCGCATGATTCTAGGCCGCGATACTGGCGCCATCGTGCTCCACGAAACTTCCTTCAACCGCTCATTTCCCATCACGGCCATGGGACTCAACTTTGATCGTATAGACCGGGACCCTCGACAGGCTAGGAAGGACTTTAAAAGTCTCTCCATCATGGGTAACCCGCATGAGCTGTACACCTCGTGGTTAGAGGCAATGGAGGGCATGGGCATCAACCCACCAAAGGCCCAATACCGAATACTACTCACTTACCGGCCATATGATCGCATATACAACGAAGAAGACGCCAGAAAATGGATAAAGAAAGAAGACGAAATCTGGAACAACACATACAAATCGACCGGGCCCTTTTCTACTATAGACTGGAAAACTACAGCGGGTTCTTCGCTTCCGAAATTCCGAGACGAAGATCTCGACAAGGCTGTGCGGCCTACGTTTGGCTTCTGGCTTTTCCCGGTAGATGCCTTTGATGATGGCTCTGAGCGCGGATTTCACTCTAATCAGATTTCTGCTTGGGATGTTTCGGAGCATTGGCCGGAGTTGGCGCTCTTGCGACTGCCTACGTCGTGAAGCGACTTCAAACCCCGCAATACGAATGAGAGTTGTCAGCTCTGCACGTATGGATCTATCCAGGAATTATTTGAACAGAGAATCAAGTTTGATGAAGGCACCGCTCTGGCCTATGAGCAGTTGCCTTTGGGAGAAGCACGCAGCGAATCAAACCTACACTCAACGTAGGCCTGGGCAGGGAGAAGACACATGATCGCAGATGGGCAGTGTTTATTCTCAGCAATGAACTTTATAGCTGAATATCCAGGGCCTTCAAGTCTAATGGCAGGCTGATATCAACCATGGCTAGGTCATTCTCCCCCGGTCGGGGTGGGCTATAAATGGAGTCCACGCCTCTTCAAGGCCTCTATGTGATTGACACCGCTCCTTGTATTTCATATTTAATCCATCATTTGTTCCAGCTTATTGGCTGAATTTAGGGTGTACAGATTACACAGATATCGTTGTTGAAGTGGCTGTGCATGGGTCTTGGTGATGACTGTGCGAGTCCTACTACCTCTGACCTCTGGAGGGGGTTAAATTTGCAGTGCAACACATTTCTTGGCGCTTCTCATTGTTCTCATTTGTCCTCATCTGATGGCTCATGTGCATCATCCCTCCGTTTCCTTTTCCACTTCCCCCAGGATTGCAAGGCGATCCTCTGTCCTCCTTGGAAGCTCATCAACGCCCAAAGAGTCATGGCCGTGTAACTCTTGATCCATATACCGTAGCTGGCCAATGAATCCTGGATTCGGGCAAACCGTTGGTCTCGCCGAGACTATGGCTGCCAACGCCGCCTTCAGTGACAGGCCTTGTCGGGTCATCAGATAGCCGGCAATGACTGTGGGAGATCTTGATATTCCGGCAGAGCAATGCACCAATACTTTTCCGCCTGCTCCAGCGACTTGGTCAATGATGTTGCTGGCTGATTCAATTGACTCGGATATCGGCGCAGACGGTGAGTCCACCATTGAGATTCGGTGGTAAGTGACTCCGTCGATCCTTTCTGAGGGTGTTGATCCGATGCAAATGACAGAAGTAATTCCGTTGCTTTGTAGGAAAGACGAAGATGATGCAGCTGAACATGGCCCAAGGAAGAGAAAGGGCGGAAACACCAGTACTGCAGCGGCCTTACTCTGGCCACCTTTCTGTGATTTGGATGCTTTGCGACCTCCCATGCTGTGAGCACCGTGTTTTCGACTCAATACGATGTCTGAGAAGTATAACTTGGAAGAAGTCCAGTTGGTGCTGATAACGGGAATTGGAAGAGGATGCTTGGCTATCAGAAGTATGACAGGCAGCCGCGTTGTGTGACTCTTACGGCTTACCGTCGTGATCCACTCACAGAGACTACCCAATAAGCATAAGGTCAACTCACAAGTCCACGAACTCACGAGTCATGTCAGGGACACACAGCTTCTTTCAAGAATTGACAACGGGGGAATGGATTGAAGTGTGAAGTATGCATGTATGTCATCATTGATTGCACCTAATTACAAAACTTATTCCACATCCCAGTCCTTCACGACAGCGGCTACTCTATATCAAAGCGACGAGACATCCGCTCAGGACGAGCAAATACACCACTTATAGGCCGTGGTCTCGTCAGTTCAAACTCCTGCGGTGGTGCAAGATTCCTTGGCTCCTGACCCAACAGCAACGGCTTCAATCCCTTGTCGAAACTCGCCGTGCAAATAGCTGCTGCTATCGCTGATACAGCACTCAAAAACAGACCCATAGCGGCAAATAGTACCATCTCTTCCTTCATCAATGTCTTGGAACGAAGTCCCTTTCCGAATAGGATCGTCAGCCTGCTGACGAGGTACCCGACAAGGCCGAGGTGCAAAGCCTTGATAATAGGGTTAGCATACGAATAACACCTGAGATGAGGTACTTACTATCACCACAAACATTCCCTTTTTATGCTCGTTAGTTACGCAATAGGCCGCGAGGCCCGCCTGTATGACGGCAATAGGTAGGATTGCCATTGTCAGGCCAAATTCGGGCTCTTGATAATGGACATTGAGAAAGCCGTAGACAACGACAAAGAGAATAACAAAGAGAAGTGAAATCTTGAGAAACACGAGATACGCCTTTCAAATGGTTAGCATACGCTCCCCCGATCCCATGCCTTCTTCACTTACCTGGTATCTCAAGTGCCTGGCCTTCATCTTGACATCAGGACTGACATGTTCATACACCGTCCATGAGAATTCCACATGCAGCCAGCAAGCCAGAGCAACCATAAGAATACTACAGGCTGAGAACAAGACAATACACGCAATCAAAGCTGGTTGCGTGTACTTCCAAAACGGCTCATCATTATCCGCAAAGGGATTCTTGTCCTTGTCGTGACCTTTCAAAATCCTCTCAGTCGCTTCCTTGGCTTGCACATATTGCATTCCCGTCGTGACAGAGAGGCAGATGTTGATGACGCACTGCGCCCATATCTGAATCTTGTTCTTGATGCGGCATGTATCCAATGCCACAGTAGCTTGGAAGAGACATCCCAAGGTCGGTATGACAAATACCATGGGAATGACGTAAGATAAGGGAACTTGATAGACTGCAGGGTTAACCCAGTCTAGATATCTGACGAGAACAGATCTATCGCACACTTCACTTAGCGTCAAGTTGAAAGGCAATAGAGATAGGTAGATACTCACATTTGAAGAAGCGTGACCAGCACAAATTGTGCAACCGCCACACCGAAAAAGGTCCATTCCAGCTTCGTGTCTGCAATTCTCATTCTTGCAACGAAACCTTTTTTTTTTTCAAGGTTCATACACAACACGTTACGAAATACGAGAATTTTCAAAGGGGAGAAGGTGGAAAGGGGGCAAAACTGGAGACTGACACGTCACGTGGGGTGAAGGAGGTACGTGTACATTGCGTACCTACTAACGCAGAGGCTAGTCATGGCAAAATACGAGTTTTTTTGCATCTGTACACCTGGGGAGCATTAATTGGTCTTTTAATTAGGCGGTTTTAGGAAGCGAGGCGTGGGTTTGAAGCGGGATTGCCGGCTTATGCTTGGAATTAAAGCCTTGTCGATCGTAATCACCTGAGCAACGGTTAGCGAAAAGGTCTTGAATGTCAATAAATCTCGAGGTTTTATAAAATGATCTCGAAATTGTCTCCAGTTTGATGAGTGTTTGAGCTGAACATGGAGCATGAACAGAGGTGAAGAGGGCGCGAGACCGGGATTGGTGGTCGTTGAGAAGCTACTGTTTCACATCGCCCATCAAACGTCGTGTCTCCCTCCCCAGACAAAATAACAGGGATAAAACACTAACACTATGTCCTCTAAGTCAAGTATGGTTAGTTTAACCGCCTAACAGAATCAGAAATACTCTCAACTCGTCACCACAATTGAGAACCAGCCTCATCATTCGTCCAATATCTCTCATTGGTATCGCTTCATTAAGCAAAGGAATGTACTCCAGAGTACCACAACCTCATCTCCAACAAGTCCCTCATCCATCATTCATATCCGTGTCCTTCTCCTCCCAAGACCCATCCCATGAAAACCCACATCTCGGATTCCAAAGCAACTTCTCCCCCTCAGCAATCTCTCCCTTAAACGCAGCCCGCAGCTTTTCATACGCAGGAGGCGAATACTTCTCAGGCTCGGGCATGTTGAGAAGCGGCCTCGCCCCCATCGCTACTAGCATGGCGATGAATGACCGCTGCCTCGCCGCTTGGAGGTTGTTGTCAAGACGCGCCCAAGGGCGCCACGATGGTAGGTAGTAGCTGTCGCGACTTATATCGGCTTCTTCGAAAATGTCCTTGAGGAGGGTAGAGCCGCCGTCTTTGAGGGCCTCGGCGTAAGATGGGCCCATTACAGTTTTCCTGTCCAGCCTTGCCCCTTTTTCGATGAGTTTTTGTATGGTTGTTGGATGGCTCTCATCGGTGAACTCATACACGTCGTTGGTGGGAGATTCCTCTGTCACGTCTATCGTGAGGTGCAGTGTCGTCGAGAATACACCTTTGATAAAGTCAAAGAAGAGGTCGTTGATCTCCACTAGTAGGCCTATCTCAAAATTTTCATCTCTGAGGATCAAGTCGAGCAGAGTACCCCATCGTTCCATCAACACGTGGTACTCGTCGTCAGTAAGGGGGTCTTTGCCGTTTCCGGTTCGACGCCTCCCGTACATTCGACGGCGATAAGGCCCTCTATAGTAGCCGGGAATAACCGGCACAATAAAGGTAGAAACAGCATGCTTAGCCCCGCCGTTCTCAATGAGGACCTTGAAAACGGCAAACATCTCGTCGTTGAGGAGACATTTGAGGCCTTTGTGCTTCTCCCACAGCAGGCTGATTAGTGGAAGAATTGGAGAGTCATGGTCGTCTGTCTCTGGTATTGGCTTGTCGAGCTTGGCGCCTTTTTCGAGAAAATACTTGATCCCTTCAGTAGGAGTCACTTTCATAGATCTCGGATCCTGGTTCGGGTCCAGTGACAGCACATATGTGAGGAGCGGGTTTACTGGATGCGGATCATGTTTGGGAAGTCCAAAAGCCGACAGGTGGCATTTGACGCTGAGGTTGATGTTTCCACCCATGTCGAGAAGTGCTTCCATCATGTCTGTCTTTCCAGTTGTTGCCATTGAGCGCGCGGCAGCCAGGATAGGTACAGAATGCCATGGATGCAAATCCGCGTATGCATACCGAGGCAGTTCGAATAGCAAAGTGTCATTGGGAACACCCAAGTTCGCGCCTGGAGGGAGGAGTAATTGTGCCAGAGGAAGAGATCCAGATAGAACAGCCATAGAAAACGGTGACTGGGGGTCGTCGGTTTTTCCAGGTAAGCTCGCGGGATTAGCTCCCAGGTCCATCCATTGTTGACAGATTTCGTGGTCCAAGCCCAGCCTAACACACCTGAGAAGTGCATCGTCAAGGCCCTCTTGGAGGTTGAGTATTTGATCCCCGGCCCTAAGTTCTAACAAAAGTCGTAGCAGCTCCGGGTTTCTAGGCTCAAACAGACGCTTTTTTAAGGCCCTCTCTTGTCGATGATCAACGCCGCTAGGGTTGAGTCGCGCACCCGATTTCAAGAGAAACTCGATGGTATCGTACTGATGTCGTCGCGCAGCGAGGCAGATGGTAGACGATACGATAGGACCAACTTCGACGAGAGTAATGTCGGCACCGTGAGCGAGAGCCTTTTCGATGGCCCATCTCTCCCCATTCTGGCATCCCCATCTCATCAGCCTGCTTGTGGCTGTTGGGAGCCTGAGCAGGTAGGCATCCAAGGACTTGTTGAGAGGTTTGCTGGATTGGTTGAGCCGTGCGACGTCGAGCAAGTTCAGGTCGAGTAATATGGGCTCGAACAGCTCATTTGGGAGACATTCGATGTGGGAAGGCATTGTTGGTTGACGGTGTAAATGATAGATCGAGTAGGATCGTGAGAATGGGTATCAAGATGAAGCCAGATTTGGGTGGCTTCGTTGATGACTCATATGTTGTCTATTGGATTTCGAGGTTGAAGGTCAAGGCAGCAGTAGGCGACTCCTGCATGTCAGCATTGAGGGACCTATCATATGGCTCTCGCCCAGAGAGTGACCCATCGATTTACGCCCTTCAGGTCGCAAAAGTTTGCCTCTTCTTGTCGTCAAGAGTCGTCCTAGCGCAGGCGATGCTCAAGTCCCGAGGTTCTGGACTGGCCTGGGTCACAAATCGAACACAATCCTGAGTTTATGTTGATCACGGTCAACGTGGTCGCGTGAACATCTACCCTAGAGTTTTACTGACAGCGGCACGTGCCAGCATCTTGAGCCTGCCACAGGGGTCCAGCCAATCACCAAACAGATTGAGCCCGGTTAGCTCAATCGGTAGAGCGTGAGACTCTTAGCTTGCGCATCTAAGTGCAACGAGTACGCGATCTCAAGGTTGCGGGTTCGACCCCCGCATCGGGCTTTTCCTATAACTATTCTTTTTTGCTTCTAAATCATCCTTTTTATCAGTCTGCTTCATCAATGAGGAGACTTGATGCATTCGATTTTGCACTAGTGAGGTTTCCTCTCACCGCCCGAAGACGTGGTGGCCAAGGGCATCGGGTACACCGTCCGTTGCGAGACGTCAGATGGCCTTCAGTCAAGAAGGGCACAAGGTCTGAAGATCATCGGGTATAGGCCCGCTGCATCCGTAACACGTGTATAACGGCATCCGATTCGTTCACCCCCATCACGAAGCGAAGAATTATACAACATCAAGTCTCCGATTCACCATCGGCTCTTCTTTTCGCTTAATCTTGACTTGACGCATTCAGGGGTTGACTTGGCTGTGGAGATGCAGTGCAACCCGGATTCTCCTCCGGTTGGACGGGGATGTTTTTGCGGTGAAGTCTGCTCTCTTCCGATTGGTCGCCCTGGTGTCACGTCGGTTAATGGTCGGGCACCCGACACGAGTCTGATCGATCAGCCAATATCAGGTATCGACAATAAATATCAGAAGGAAGTGACACCTTCAAGGTCCATGACCACCATATGCCGTCGCTCATAATGTGGTCTTCAGGGCTATTGTGTCTTATTGTGCAGGCGATTGGGGTCTCTGCTCGCTCAGAGTATCCCTCACCCGAAGTGTTGCCGTCACGTGAGTCCCCTGATTCCAACAATAACAAACCTCCACTCACAGGACCCGCAGCCCCCGGCTCTGGCAAGGGCATCTGGAAGAATGCATACGCGAGCGCTAGAGACTTTGTAGCGTTGCTGACGCTGGAGGAAAAGGTCAACATCACAGGGGGTGTTGACACTGACAATGTCTGCGCCGGCAACACCGGGTCAGTGCCTCGTCTTGGATGGCCGGGAATGTGTTTGCACGATGCGGGGAACGGTGTCAGGGCTACTGATCTTGTGAACTCTTATCCTTCGGCTTTGCATGTTGGTGCTAGCTGGGATAAGAACTTGACATACCAAAGGGGTTATTATATGGGCAAAGAGTTCAAGGCGAAAGGAGGTGAGTTTACCTTGCTACGGTCCGTGACATCTGCTAACGGTTTTTAGTAAACGTCTTGCTTGGCCCTAATGTTGGCCCTCTTGGAAGGACACCTCTGGGAGGTCGCAACTGGGAAGGCTTTTCTGTCGATCCGTATCTCACCGGTCAGTTGAGCGCCGAGTCCATCATCGGTCACCAAGACGCAGGCGTCATTGCAAACGTCAAGGTGCGTGTTATCCAGTTTGACCCTTGGTTCACGCTTATTCTTGCAGCACTTTATCGCCAACGAACAAGAAACCTTCCGACGCCCTTACTTCGGAATCGAGGCAGTTTCTTCCAACATCGACGACAAGACTTTGCACGAGTACTATCTCTGGCCCTTTGTCGACAGTGTCAGAGCTGGTGTTGCCTCGGTCATGTGCTCATACAACCGCATCAACAGCACATACGGATGCGAGAATAGCAAGCTGATGAATGGCATTCTCAAGTCTGAGCTGTCGTTTGATGGCTTTGTGCTTCTTGATTGGAACGCTCGACACAGCCTCTCAAGTGCTAATGCTGGTCTCGACATGGTGATGCCTTTGAGAGGAAACTGGGGGGAGAATCTCACAGAGGCTGTTAAGAATGGCACCATCAGCGAGGAACGCATCACGGATATGGCTACCAGGTTTGTTCAGTGCCCATTTCTTCGGCTCGTCACTAACGTCCATCAGAATCATTGCCGCCTGGTACCTCACCGGCCAGGATCTCCATTTCCCTACCCCTGGTATCGGAATGAAGAACCTCACTCTTCCACACGAACAAGTTGACGCACGTGTTCCTGAGTCGAAGCCGATCCTAATGGAGGGTGCCATCGCCGGCCACGTGCTGGTCAAGAATGAAGACAAGGCTCTCCCTTTCCGCGAGAACCCCAAGATGATCTCTGTTTTTGGATACGATGCTACCGTCCCCGAAACCAAGAACGCGGATATTCTCTTCGAGCTTGGATACACTTCGTCGCCTGAAATGGGCCAGGCTGTCCTTGGTAAGGAGGAGCATTTCGACCAAGCGGCTAGAGGAGGAACCATTATTTCGGGTGGACGTGCCGCTGCCAACTCGCCGCCATACATCAGTGATGTAAGTAGAGTTTACCCAGGATGATTGAGCTGTCTAACATCGAGTAGCCCCTCAGCGCCATTCAGCAGAGAGCCGCCAAGGACGGCGGCTGGGTTAACTGGGATATTTCTTCCTTCGACCCCGATGTGAACGGTGCATCTGACGTCTGCTTGGTCTTTATCAACGCCATGGCCACAGAAGGCTGGGATCGCGACGGTCTTCACGATGACTTTAGCGATGGCTTGATCCTGAATGTGGCATCCAAGTGTGCCAACACCATCGTTATCATCCATGCTGCTGGCATCCGTCTTGTCGACCAATGGATCGAGCATCCCAACATCACGGCGACTATTATTGCTCACCTTCCCGGCCAAGACAGTGGAGAGTCGCTCGTCAAACTCCTCTACGGGGAGGCCAGTTTTTCGGGAAAGCTGCCCTACACCATTGCCAAGAATGAGAGCGACTACACGCCCTATGCTCCTTGTGGTCTGGAGCCAGGTAGCAAGGACCCGCAGTGTGATTTTACTGAGGGTGTCTACCTCGACTATCGCTCGTTCGATGCTCGAGACATTACTCCGCGATTCGAGTTTGGATTTGGCCTTAGCTACACCGAGTTCGAGTATTCTTCTCTCAAGGTCAACATCAGGGATACTGCCTCAACCGAGGATCTGTGGCAGACGATTGCCATAGTCAAGGCTACCATCGCTAACGTCGGCCCAGTCGGTGGCGAGGAAGTGGCTCAGCTCTACGTAGCCATCCCCAATAGTCCTCCCAAACAGCTACGTGGCTTTGAAAAGCTGGCTATCGAGAAGGGATCATCGGCTGAGGTCCAGTTTGAGCTGACTCGACGAGACTTTAGTGTGTGGGATGTGGTGAAGCAGGAGTGGACTCTCCAGACTGGCAATTACACTATTTTTGTGGGTGGGAGCAGTAGAAGTCTCCCTCTTGAGGAGAGTTTCAATCTGTGATAAGTAAAAAGGTCAAGACTAGAGCAATAGATCGTTTGGTTCCAACCTGGCATGCCTTGATATTGAGCTGTGACCACTGCCATCTACGACGGAAGTTCAGCTCTAAAAAAAAAAAAAAAAAAAAAAAAAAGGATGAAGATCAGAAATCATATGCTTGAAAAGCACAAAAGATTGGGTTTTAGGTGTTGCGTTTTTTAGATGGCGCCTGGTCAGAGGTGGATTTAGGTTTGTTTTTAGGAGCGGACTTTTTGAGATTGACCACTTGACCAGGCGCCAGCACTTTGTGTGCTTTTAGGGTGGGAGAGAAAGGGTTAACCTTGATTATAAGAGTCTTGACGGGTCAAGTTGGGAAAATGCAAAAAAGAGAGTGCGCGTCTTTAGGTTTGTTACGGAAGGAAGAATTTGGCTTTGGGGCGGTACAAGGTCTTATGAGTTAACCACTCGGCCAGGTGGAGCACTCTTTTGTTACTTAGGATTTGGAAGAGGAAGGGGTAAACCTGCCTATGACCCTTTGGTCTGTTGTTGATGGCTCTTCCTGCCTGGGTGGTACCTGGAGATGTACTAACGAAGTTGACCACCATCCGGCCAGCTTCGATATTCCACTGTACCTATGAGCCGAGAGAGCGACTGATCTTTTTGCTGTAACAAATTGTCATTTGTTGCACGAGGTAATACATGATTCTTTTTCTCTGCTTACTGCCAAGTATCACCCGCCTCTCGGAATCTCAGCGAGTGATGGAAAGATGACAGCACAGCTTCCCTAACACAACGGCCATGCTCATATGGTTGAGACCAAGCTACCCATTAAATGAGTATTATAGGACAGGTCATGATCCCCGCCAACTCATACTTCGGCGACTGAATGGTGTCTTGACCCTTTCCCTCCCCCTTCGGGGTCGCAAAAAGCTTACCTACACAGGAATCGTCCCCATCTATTTGCTGCAGTTTTGCATGGGAGCCATACCCGTATTTTTTTCGACCTCATTTATTTATAAATATGATCCCTCAGCGGAACTTTAGGCGTATCACCGTATCGGCCTCGGACTCTGAGGGTTGGTAAGACGGCTCAATACGGATAAATAAGGGAGTTGATCTACTCATCGCGGAATGCACCCCAAATTGACTCTACTGCTTATCTTACGTTAGCCACTTTTAACTAAACCGGGCTGGGATGTTCCCTCCACCATTGCTGGCAGACCAATGAGATGATCAAGCCCAGTCGCTGGTGATGCAGCCACTCATCGGGGTTTGATTACTACGTGGCAGATGATGAACAAAGGACCAGCCACATATAAACGAGGTTGACCTCTATCTGTTTCGTCATCTCCACCGCGTTTTGACACATCCAAGATGCTGCAGAACACAATTGACCTGTTCCGCCAAGCGCCGCCAGGCCTGGGTTTGGCTGTTTGCGCCGTCTTCATCGGCTTGTTCCTCATCCTTCTACGACTCGCTCGTCCCAAGCCCATCCCGGGCATCCCGCACAACGTCGAAGCAGCAAACTCCATCTTTGGCGACCTTCCCGAGTTCAGAGCCGCCACAGACCGCAGGGAGTGGTGGGTAACCCAGATCATCAAGCACCAGTCGCCTCTGGTCCAGGTCTTTATCCGTCCTTTTGGTCTGCCGTGGGTGTTTGTGGCCGATCACTGGGAGGCTGTGGACATCGCGACGCGTCGTCTGAAGGAGTTTGACAGAGCTGATGAGACCATCTATGCTTTTGAGGGCGTCGCTCCGAGCCATCACATAACGATGCGCTCTTCGAACCCTCAGTTCAAGAAGAACAAGGAACTTGTTCGAGACTTGATGTCGGTCAATTTTTTGCAAGATGTTAGCAGCAGGTCCCCCGATTCACGACTGTTCTGACTTTTCTAGGTTTCTTCCCCTGAGATTTACGACAAGTTTTCTCTTCTCGTGGATCTCTGGAATAGCAAGGCCCGTTTCTCCAACGGACGACCGTTTGACGTGGGTAAAGATATCCACAATGCCGCCCTTGACATCGTCATGGCTGCTTCGTTTGGTCTCGGCCTCGAACATTCTCAGGTTGCCAAGCAAATCAGAGAGCTTGAGAGTGCATCAAGCCCAGGCGGACAAGATGATGTTTTCGAGTTCAAACACGTGCCCATTGACGATGAAATTGGAGCCTTTACGATATTGGCAGACAGTATCGCCGTTGCTGTTAGGTCGCCCCTGCCAAGGCTAGGTCACTTTCTGTACCGGAATCTTTCCCCGATGATGAGACGAGCTGCAGCAGGTCGGGATAGGCTTAGGAACCGTGAGATTGCAAAGAGTGTTGAGCGGAGGGAGTCTGAACATCCACAGCGATGCGCCTTGGATAATATGCTGGCCCGAGAAGATGTAATTGCTGAGAAGGAGGGTCGGAAGCCAAACTATTACTCTCAAGTTATCCTGAGCGAGGTAAGCTAGGCTCTACAACATTGATATCTGTGCTAATATTGTACAGCTCCTCGGATACCTAGTGGGAGGCCACGACACCACCTCATCTGCTCTACGCTGGTCATGCAAGTACATGACTGAAGACCAGCGTGTGCAATCCCTTCTCCGAAAGGCTCTCTACGAAGCATACCCCGAAGCAGCGGCCGAGAACCGTGTCCCAACAATTGCCGAGATCACCAAGAACCAGCACATCGCTTATCTTGACGCTGTCATTGAGGAGTGTCTTAGACATGCACGTCCTGGTGCCATCACTTTCCGCCAAGCCATGGTTGACACTCAAATTCTTGGCGTTCATATTCCAAAGGGCACGAATGTAGGCTTGATGGCTTGCGGACCGGGTATCCTGACACCAAGAATCGAGGTCGACTATAGTAAACGATCAGCCAATTCCAAAGCGAGCATGGAAAAGATCCCAGCCTTTGACGAGTCCAACATAAGAGAATTCCTCCCCGAGCGCTGGCTCAGAACCCAAAAGACTGACTCTGGAGAAGAAGAGACCGTGTTTGATCCCAACAGCGGACCAGCTCAAGCCTTTGGTCTCGGTCCTCGGAGTTGCTTTGGAAAGAAGTTGGCGTACATGGAGCTGCGGATTTTCTTCACCATGATCTTCTGGGAGTTCAAGATGAACACTGTTAAGCCAGAGTTGAGAGGGCACGATGAGAGTGTTACTCTGACGAGGTCGCCGAAGTATGTCTATGTGAGTTTGGAAAAGACAGGACCTCAGCAGAGTGTTTAGATTAAGTAGGCTTGTTTGTTCTCTCGCTTATGATATGATGTCATCCGTTACACTTGTAGGTCATTGCACATGATCACCTTGAAGTCCATCACACTGTCCAAGTATCAACCCAGGAACCCCAAAGTTTGGCAACAACACTCGTGCCTTTGCGAGTTGCGCTGATAGCCATGGATGATCAGGATGCCCTTGAGTCTTGCAGAGAGCCACTGACAATGACCATATCAAGCGGTATGCTTGTCTTGGATCCTCTCTGAGGGCCTTGGATGCGATTCTTAGAATTTGGGTGAGTGATGAGTCCATCCGTGATTGAGACTCTTGATCTACGTGTAGACACGAGTAGAGGACTTGTAGAGCGTGAAAATCCAAGAAGGCTGAGTAGACTGTCCACATGAGTCGTTTACCTCCAGAGTTAGCGACTTGTCTGGCCAAGAGCAAGATATCAGTGAATTCCTTGATTGTATCAGTCAGCTATCTTTCTTTTTGTGCTTTTAGTTACTGCTTACATCACCAAAGCTCTGGATATGCCGCCAAAGTCTCTGCAGACTGACATTGTCGGGACCTGCTGCTGATCTTGCTAGTCTCAGGAGCTCCAGCTTTGCACCCTGGCACAGGTGGTATAACCGCAGCGGTCGGTAGTTTTCCAAATCATCGAGAATTTCGGTAACCGGGTAGTCTTCTCCCCATATTTTAGGAAGGATGGATCGTCCGCTTAGGAACAAGCGTTCGTGGGAGATGTAGTCTGAGGCTTCTCGGGATGAAAAGTCCATGCAAAGCTGGCCGCCGTGCACGTTTCCGGTAGCAGAATCCGCATCCAGGTATCTGAGGACCCATCAGTCTCGGCTTGTACCTTGGAGACGAAACCCTACAGTGTGTATAGTAGCATCGTTTGTGACAAGCTTGGGAGCCTTTTACCACCCACATATTCGTCGCCATCCAGATACGGCCTCAAGAATGACCGAATGCCTTCCAGATGAACCAGAGACGCTCCGGTACTCTCCGAGTCGTAGGCCTCGTACCGTAAAATGAGGAACCACATGGTAAACAGCGCATTTATATCGTCGTCTCGACCCTCGGAATGGCAAATAAGATGTAGTAGAGATGACAAGTCCTGTAGAGCTAGACTGTAATGCGCTGCGGCCGCGGCCCCAAGGCGATGAGCTGCTTCAAGTGATTTGGCCGAATTATCGCTCTCTTGAGCCTGAAGCACTTGTTGAGCACGTAATTCCATGCTTGCGACGGCAATCATACTCCTCATTACACCGGAATATTGGCTTGCAATGTGCGTGTAGATGTACGAGAAGCAGCTCCATTTCCAAAGTTTTCCATAACACAACACCATCATCGACTCTGGGATGTATAGAAACGCAGCCTCATCGTCGGCGCTGAGCTGTAGGGAGTTGGCAAGAGGAGCATGGTTCGTGGACAGATTCGACCGAGGCTGTCGGTTGCTGTTTTCCGGGCTATGACTCGAGGCATCTTCGTTCGATCGTGATGGTGTCGTGGCATGCTGCATACCGCTGCTCTTGGAGGATGGACTATCACGAGGCGTGGCTGGCTGTGAAGGCGCCAACGGTCGAGGAGAGGTACGGCAGCTCCCAGGACTAGACGCACTATTGGACCCCCGCGACCTCCTCAGGCTCAGAGACTTTCCGGGCTCCAGCCACTCACACTTCATGGGGCTGTTGGCACATCTCTCACAGACGGGCCGTCGCTCGTCGCACTTGACTTTTCGGATCCGACAGGTTACGCAGCCTGTGTCTGCCGTTAGTTTCATAAATTGGATAACGAGGCAACTTTTGCTTACCGTTCTTTGATCGCGCCGTTCGGCGATTCGGTGATGGGACCTCGTTCGGCATTTGATGAGTCGTGGAGTGTAAGAAGGAGGAAATTGGAGATTGTAAATGGACAGCTCGGCAAGGCACAGATAACTTTAAAAGGCTGCAAAGGATGCCTACTGGTCAGCTCGGCAAGATGCGCGGATAAGTATTCGCGGAGCTCAAGCGCGGTGGCGAGTGTCTTGGCTCGGCATTCAAAATTGGGAATAGCTTCAACCGCCCCAAGCCACGGAGCGACAGCCCGAAAGCTCGTGAGTGGCCGCCTCGGCAATTTAGCTTGTCAATAAAGAGTGGAGATGCAACACAGACCGCCTGATTAAAGTTTTTGATTGGGCGGTTCAGCCGACTCGGTGTGTCCCCTGCTGTGAGCTCCACGCGATTCAGGTCGTGAAACCTTGGTTGGTGTTGAGATGCCGCTATGGCCTGATGATGAAGTAGATGCGTTATATAAAAGTATTGCATTGTGAAAGTCACGATGTTAATAATGATGAGATATCGTGCTTTTCCAATCTTCGATCTATTGAGCAGCAACACACCATGATGATCCTTTCAACAGAGCAAATCTACGACACAATTTCCAAGTCGATCGAGACTCATACCGACGACTTGGCTTCAATATGTAAAAAGGTATTTGTCACTGACCCACCGCTACTTACAAGACTAACACCTAGCTCCAGATCCATGAAAATCCAGAGTTCAACTTTGAAGAATTCCAGGCCCATGACAACATCTGCGATCTTTTGCAAAATCTTGACTTCAAAGTAACGAGACATGCATATGGTCTCGAGACATCCTTTGAAGTTGAGTTTGGTCAAGGGGGAAAACTGGTCGTGTTCAATGCTGAATACGACGCTCTTCCTGGTCTTGGCCATGCCTGTGGACACAACTTGATAGCAACAAGCTCCATTGCTGCATTCCTCGCAACAGCTGAAGTTCTTCGTCATGGAAAGCTCAAGGGAAGGGTGCGACTCTTGGGAACTCCAGCTGAAGAAGGAGGCGGAGGCAAGATCCGTCTTATCGAAGCTGGAGCTTATCAAGGCGTTGATGCGTGTCTCATGGCGCACCCCACAGGACGTCTTTCACCTGAGGGAACAAAGAAGGTGGATGGTATCTCGGCGGCCAAGTCGAGTGCGCGGAGGCAGTTGGAGGTGACGTTCAAGGGCCAGAATGCTCACGCGGGAATGAGCCCATGGCATGGGAAGAATGCCCTGGATGCTGTGGTATCGTCTTATGTCAACATTTCCCTTTTGCGACAGCAGTTGCCTCCTTCAGCACGGGTGCATGGTGTCATCAGAGCAGGAGGTGCTGAGCCAAACATCATCCCAGATACTACAAGTCTCGAGTACTATCTGAGGGAGAGCACCGTCGAGAGCATCCAAGATCTATCACGCAAGGTGGAGGCGTGTTTCAAGGCTGGAGCGGTAGGGACTGGCTGCGCGTTGGAGTGCGACTGGCATTCGTAAGTATCTGTTTGAGCTTATTGAATGCACATTTGCTGACTTTGGTGCAGAGACAAAGACTACATGGAGCTCTGCCCCAACACGGCCATCTCTGCAGAGTTTACGAGACACATGAAGGCATTTGGCAGAGAATACCTGGATGATTCAGGGAAACCGCCAATGGGAGCTTCCACAGACATGGGTAAGTCGAGATGAACTTCACCGAGTCTCAGTTCACTGACACTTCCAGGCAACGTCACCTACCTGGTACCAGGCATCCATCCCATGTTTTCGATAGGGACTGAGGACCCTCTAATCCAGCCTCACACACCAGAGTTTGCTGCTGCAGCTGGCACAAAGGAGGCATTAAATAGCGCTCTAGACTGCGGCAAAGGTCTAGCCGCAACAGCTTGCGAAGTACTTCTGGGGCCGGAGCTGTCAGTAAAAGCTTGGGATGAGTTTCGTCGGGACGTGGAGCCGATCATAGACAGATTGTAGCATGTGAAACTGCATATTAGAGTAATGTACATAATTGCCAAGACATTGGATATCCCTCATAATGGTTGCATTAGGCCGGCTTGCATTAAGCTGGCATTCTTTCCTTGATCGATGTGTCGTCTCGCTTGACTCGTTTTGGCAAAACTTGTAATCTTGGCAGTCATATTCGGATCCGGGTTCCGGCGTGTCAACAACAACTGACTTCCTCACTCGTTATCTCGCCCGCCGCTATTACTTTCCCACATGGGCAACTCTGGTAATCCAGATGCCCTCATCTCCACTTGAGATTACGTCGTTATCTCCAAGAATGTAATCAAAACCCAATTACCCCACGTTCGAGATATCAATCCATCATCTCGGATCCGGGGAACGGGAAGCATATCAGCCACCCACTCCCACTCGATGATTCAGGTTCCAGGGCACGACTCGGACGGTGGCTTTTCGTTGCCGACATGGCCAATAGGCATCGCCCTTCGAATCGAGTTAGCGCACCCGTTGCTCGGACGCTCTAGAGCAAACCATCATTTGCCGATGTAGCCAATCATGTTGGACTCGTTACTGCTCCGCGGAAGCTAACGACGCGGCACGTTATCACGGGAGGCAAAGTTTGACGTCCAGAATTGACGACGACGCCGGTGAACGAGATAATACCCCTTGTTATAGATTGCGGGGGAGGAGAACGGCTGGGCCGCTCTATGGAGCTATTGATAAAGTAACAGGCCATTGTCACGCTCGGTCTCCATTCAGCAGATACAGCTTCTCCTACTTAACCAAGCGAGTCTCTGTCTTCCAGAGTGGCAATCTCAGCAGACACTTCAACATCACTACTGACACGAATAATTATCACTTTTCAAACTGAGAATGGATCAAGACAAGACAGACAAGACCATGTATCACCCCGAGGAGTCAACTCCCAAGGTCGGCGAGATGCTCAGCCTTCAGGGTTCTCTTGAGGTTGCAGAGGAGGGGACGGGAAACCGCCAAGGGAAGCATCTTTTGAGGAGAATTGACTTATGGTAAGTCCTGAGTATCGTGAATTTTGAGGTTCGCATATTGACGAGAGCCATTAGCCTGATGCCACTGCTCCTCGTTTCGTATACACTTCAGTTCCTAGACAAGCAATCGCTGAACTTTTCTTCCATCATGGGAATTATCGATGACCTGGTGAGTAAAGTTACCATGTCAAGTTTTCCAACTTGAGTCAGCTAACAACATTAGGACTTGGTCGGATCAAGATACAGCTGGAGCAGCAGCGTCTTTTACTTTGGTTACCTGGCTTTCAGCTACCCGGCTTCATTCTTGATGGTTCGCTTGCCACTGGGTAAATATTTGGCCGGTACAAGGTTAGTCGGTTCAAACTATAATACAATGAACAAAAAGCTCACCTGATGCCTAGCTTTGTCTGGGCTGTCGTCTTGATCTGCCACGCCGCAGTACAGGACTTCAAGGGCCTTGTCATTGCTCGCTTCTTTCTCGGTGCCGCAGAAGCATCCATATCGCCTGGATTCTCTTTGATCACCGGAATGTGGTACAAGAGAGAGGAGCAGCCCCTCAGACACGGCATCTGGTTCCTTGGTAATGCCATTGCTACCATGTTTGGAGGGCTGTTGGCGTACGGAATCGCTCATATCGGTGGCAGCCTTGACGCATGGAGGGTATGGAAGACTCCCAGTTCTCTATTGTTTCACATCTAATACTCAACGTGCAGTGGCTCTTCATTATCTTTGGTCTCATCACCCTCGTCTGGGCAGTCGTCCTTCTCATCTTCCTCCCGGACACGCCCGACAAAGCACGCTTCCTCAATGAACAACAGCGAGTCCAAGCCGTCGATCGAATCCGCAGCAACCAAACCGGCATGAAGGACAACCATTTCAAGTGGGACCAAGTCCGCGAGGTTGTCCAGGATCCCAACGTGTTGCTGCTGATGGTCTATCAGCTGACCTTTAGCATTCCAAACGGTGCCCACACCACGGTGAGTAGAGCAGTCCAAGGTGTGAAGTAAATATCTCTGACGCCTTAATAGTTCAGCAGTCTGGTCATGGCTGGCTTTGGGTTCACTCGATTTCAGGTCTATCTGTTGAATATGCCCATGGGTGCTATCCTTGCCTTCTTTGCCATTAGTTCGAGTTACCTTTGTAGTCGCTTCGATGGCTATAGAACCATCGCTGGAGCAGCTCTTAGTCTCATCAGGTTAGTACAGACCCTGTCTTGCTCACAAATACCTCGAGCTAACCTGGACTTAGTTTGACGGGCTCAATCTTGGTTCGATTCGGTCCTAACCAAGGAAGTCGACTCCTCGGCCTGTGGCTCTTCGTAGCCTTTGCTGCCGGCTTCCCCATCTCCCTCTCGCTGATTGCTTCCAACGTCGCGGGCTTTACCAAGAAGAGTGTTGCATCAGCCATGATGTTTTTCTGCTACGCCGCTGGTAACATTATTGGGCCTTTCCTCTTCTTCCCACGTGAAGCCCCAGAGTACGCTGTGAGTTACAATCCATTCCCGATGCAGGAGTACGCATCACTAACTCCATCTCAGAGTGGCTTCCTTGCTACAACTATTTGCTTTGGCATCTCAACATTGACGATGTTGGTGCTGCGTTTCACGCTGATCGCGGAGAATAAACGCCGAGACAAGCTTCAGCAGACGACCATCACTCTGCCTCCGGACCAACTTGAGATTTCTGACAAGACGGACCGTCGCAACCTCAACTTCCGATATGTTTATTAGTGTTCGGATACGTACTTAGCATCTGAAATCTTGCAATCTACTTAAGCAAAGTCAATATATTGCATTCTACCAAAATCTAGCGGGCATCGAGAGGAAAGGCCACGGCCATCTACTGGCTTGTACCTTGTGTTGTGCGGTGTAGTCACTTACGGCCGGTCCAGACCTATCACTTTAAGCTAGGTAGTGACGGGGGATTGAGGAGATCGCAACTAATTTTCCTTTCTTAAGCGAGTCTTCTCTCGCATCGCCCTCTCACAAGTCCGATGACTTGACCCTCTGTGCCGAAACCCACATGCCGTGGTCCGAAAGCTCACCAAACTTCAACGGCAGCTTCTCCAGCTCTTCGCCTAGTGGATGAGCCCCGAACGTCGACTGCGTCGCGGCTTGATCAAGTGACGCATTCCTTGTCGTACACAGTATCCTCGAAAACGGCACTTAGATAGTTTCGCATAGACCGCGATTTGTATCGTGGATGTGCAGGGTTGGGTCACCAAGCAGAGAGATGGAGACGTTCCTCACGATATCCACGATGCCTTGTCGGAAGCCGAGTTTCGGATACTCCACCGCTTAAAATACGTTTTTGCGCGCCAACCAAAGAGGAGTAGCTCAGCATCGTTGTCGTCACCTGTCCTTGGCCCCGGACTGGCATCCAGATTTGCCCCCAGAAGTGCAGCCCCACAAGATCGACCAACGCTTGATATACCCAGAAGTTATCTCTTTGTATGTTGCTGACAGTGACTGTTTGCAGAGAACATTGGCCATGGGACGCGTTCCAGGAACTCTTCTTCGAGGACTTGGATGCTGCGGATGTTGTTGACAAAGGTAAAGTTGAGCGTGTACGCGACACGATGTGGTTGACACTCGAAATGCTCCAAGTCAATGACGTGCTCACCCCGTTGCTCCATCCGGCTTGCCATGGCTAGAAAGTCGCGATTATTAAAGAGAACTCCGATATAGACAGAGGCCGAGTTTCGGCAGGCGTCCGTGGTGTTAACGTATCGACCTCCCTCCGAGTTAGGGCCGTCGGTTTTCTCGTCTGAATACTGGTCCTTTGGCACCGTGGTGGGCCGAGCATAATTCCCAAGATGCCGAGAATGCTGCGTACTGTTCCAATCGATGGTTCAGGGCCAGGAAAGTGGTAGCATATGGGGAAGTGTGGCTAAACGACACCCTCGCGACTGTTGGTTGCTACGTCGCAGGGCATGTGACCAGTACATCGACGGATAATCAGACGTCAACAGCAATGAGTGGCATAGAGGTCAGTCAGACTGATGCCAAAGCTACCACCATAACTGAGAACTTCAATGGTGTTAGACGAGGCCAAAGTGTTGAATTATGGGTAGTCGCTGTAGCAGGACTCGTTGTGGTAGCAGTGAACTCGTTGCAGTGGTGATAATACAGAATTTTTAAGAGGCGCTATTAAATGAATAACTTTTTGTTTCAATTCATGGCTAATAATTGACGATAACTTTCACCAATTACCCAACGTAATGGACATGACATGACAAGAGTACGAGACGCAACCGTAGCACCAGTCTAAAGTGAGAACAAATCTCTAGCTTTTCACGCCGACAAGACCTAATTTGAACCGTCAGTGTTCTCCTTCGAAGATTGACGAGCAAATAATATGAAGGGGTGTCTCAGATTGATAGTCGGAATGTGTCTGAATCATGACAGGAGTTCATAGCCATGGAAGTAATTGATTCGATTTCATCATTGACAGGGAAAGTGAAAGAGACCATACCAGACTTACAGTAAAATCATAAGCATACCCATTGATACTGTGTGTTAGCGGCTGGCCTTTCGACTGGCGAGACCAGAGGCAGGCGTCTGAGGTCAGATATGTCCGGAAGAGGAAGAGGAAGAAAGAAAAAGTTGCGCAATTCAGGTTTTATTTCACTGCAGAATCATTTCTCCATTCTTTTCTCTGCAGCCCTAGTCGCGTGACTGGCTGAAGGGCAATGATCCTTGACCAAGGAGTGGTGTTGGCAATGCAACGCACGATATGCAGGTCAGCAAGTGATCTGAGCGTTGCTACCTGAGCTTGGTCGGGCATGATCTGACAACTAAGAGGTGTGACGGACCGGGCGTTTTTATGTTTGATGAGAAATCAGAAGCAACGTGGATAGTGGCACTCTTCAAGTGCCAAAGATTTGAACCATCATCCCGGAAAGGCTTCTCGTGCCAGCGAGAACGGTAGTGATAGCATTACAGCCTGACTCTGAGCACGCCACAACAAGCTTCCCTACAAGTTGATCCTCAGCGACAGCGTGTTGTCAAAAGTGACAGTTCCCCAGAACGGTTCCATACCAGCATTGCCCACGTTGACATAAGTGCTCTCACTAAACACGCCCTGCTTCGAAAGAGCCAAGAGCCAGTCCTTGATGTCTCCCGTGAAAGATCCCCCATCCAAGTTGCCGAATTGGTCATTCTCGGGGGCCAGCAGAGAAGAAACAGTAATGCCAGTGTCAGTGTTGAGGCCCTGGTACAGCTTCCAGCCATTCTTTCCATAGAGGTTGTTGATGGTCGCAACGGGGCCCTTGTCGAAGCCGATTGGTACTTGTCCACCCTCGTACTTGACCCAGAGCATGAGTTCTTGCGCTGCACTCGATGTCTCATCGCCCTTGGTGTCAGAAGTCATGAAATCATACACGACGTTGCCTAGTGCAGGAAATTAGCTGATGCCTCACATGTCCTGATCTTAGAAGTCAGAAGTACCTTTGTAGGCAGTAGAGTTTGAAACAGTCCACTCATACGTAGTCGGGATACTTCCAATGTCGCTGAGTCTTGTCTGGAGGCCCTGAGTGAGGCCAACGAAGGAATACCCCTTCACCAGATCCGGGTTTGTCGAAGCGCTGATGTCCCAGATGCTACTCCAGTGGATCTGCTGAGCATCTCCAGATCCCGAAATGTCATAGTATCCGGTACAGCAAGAACCGTCAATGGATTGATAGTTGTAGTTCATGGAAAACACGATCCACGGACTGCCAGAGATAACCTCGAATTCGTTTGGGGTACCACAGAAAGTTGACGTCGGTTGGCCACTGGCGCGGCGAAGGGGGCCCGTCGTCAACGCATTTACTGCGAGGGCAGGGGCAGCGAGGTAAAACGCAAACTTCATCATAAATAATCGTGTCGCTAGTCAAGAAATAGAACACTTCAGCTCCATAGCGAAAGCCACGGTCGGCGAGAGGCCATTGTTTTATGGCGATCAGCAACGAATGTGATTACTTCTCCTATATCCACAGAGAATTTAATAAAGGATCGGCCTTGTTGTTTCAGCATGGTGAACCAATTGTTTATTCCATCAACTCGAAACTTGACCCAAACTCCAAACAGCCATACGATTGATGGAACGAAAAGGACGCGCTGAGCAGGGACCACTTGCAAGGGTGTAATATGACCAAATTACGCAAGCTGCCGACTATGCTATTTAGTTTAAACGCGATTCTATTAAATGCAGACCGTTTTCCTTTTTCATGCAGCAGCGAATTGCCTGCACAGAAGAATCGAACAAGCAAGCATTGTGAGACGATTCTGTCAACTTCATACTTCCAACCGTTCATAGCACTGAAAGCGACCAGTTGATCATCAGCTTCTCCAGATGTGGGTGAAAGCAGTCATCATTGGTAAAGGAAAATAGCTTTTTATTTGTAGGCATGTCTCGTCCAGTCGCAACCGCTCGGACTCCTACTGTCCCGCTGGTATCAAGAAAGGTACAAACTTTGGGATGAGATCATCATCGTTCAGCAGCTCATCGTCTCTCTCAGCAATGGTTGGAAATGGTGCCGAAAGCTTCCGGGGATCGTCTTCACTCAGCTCGTCATCTTTGGTTCCCGACTTCTCATCCAGCTCCCTTGCATTTTCTCCAGACTCGGCCAGCTCCTCAGCTGATCTTCTTGCCTGCAGCTTCTCAATCCATTCTTTGTCCTCGGGTCGGATCTCTAAGAGAACGAATGGTGGGTTGAGGTTCTGGAAGTTCCCCTTGAACTTTTCGAGATATGATTTTGCCGTCTCTTCGGTCTCAAGTCGCACCGAGGACGCAGAGCCAGTGTCTTCACGGTCGGCTTTGAGCACGACAGTCATTGGGCCTGACACATTGCGGATCGCCTCGTCGATGTGATCCACCGGGCCACCGTGCTGGAGGAGAAGACGGACAGACTCCATAGACTTGAGGATCACGGCGATCCATAGCGCCGTCGGTCCTGTCGCGTATCTTCCATTCCCCGCGTGAACATCGGCGCCGTGGCTTTCAAGGAGAAACTTGACCATTTCGGGCTTATCGTTGGCTGCAGCCAAGTACAGGGGCTTCATACCTGGCGGCATGCGGTGCTTGTTGGGGTCAGCGCCATAGCGTTCTATCATCAGCCGAACGCTGTCAATAGACCCCGCCCCTGCAGCTTGACCAAGTAGATGCTGAAGGTTGAGGGTTTGGCCTTTGGGAAGCTTGTCAAGGGACATTGTCTCGTGTTCAGTGATGCCAAAGCTGTTGATGAACTCGAACTTGTCGGGGCTGTTGTTTTCCATGGCCCCGTACGCTCCGTAAACAAACGGCTTGTGGAGGTCTTCGGAAATGTCAAAGGGGAGAATCTCTCCATCAAGGTCGGTTGGATACTGGTAGCCGAGGAGTAGCTTAAGAGCCTCGACAGAGCCAGCCATTGCTGCTTCTGGGATGGCCTCCACAATCGCTTCCCGTTGTTCCTTTGATAACAATTCGCCCTTTGTCCTGACATCTCGTGCCTCTAACGGATAAGCGCCATGCTCAAGTAGAAGTTTGAGCGTGTCAAAACCATTGGGTGCCTTTGCAGCCGCTTTGATGGCCAGTGGAGTGACCCACTCTTCCGGCTCTTCATCAGTAGTGCTCTTCCTCTTCTTTGTCGAGCTGTGGATGGGATGTTCCAGAAGCAGTTTCACACTTTCGATTGCAGCGTTATCAGCTGCAAACTCAAGTGCGTTTCCGTTCCCACACTCAGAGTTTGCCCTTGCGGTTGGGTCGGCTCCCTTGCCGAGGAGGTATCTGACCACCTCTGGATGTTTCGCGCCCAAGATGAGTGGGGTGCGTCCAGACTTGTCGCGGACATCCACATCAGTCTTTCCTTGTTCCAAGAGGATATCAAGACATCCTACATGGCCGCAGAGGGCTGCAACATGAACTGGGGTCGTCGAAGGGTCATCCTTATCCGGGATGGACCCATTTTCTCTCGCGTCTTGATCGGCCTGAGCCTCCTCCTCCGATTGGGGTCCCTCTGGGATATCTGGGTGTACCTTCAAGCCCGTGGCCACGAAGCGTCGAACCAAGGCCTCGTCACCGCGCTTTGCGGCGTCATATAGCATATTCCGCCTATGAACTTGCTTCGGGTAGTTCTCAAGCACCTCTTCAAGCTTGGCCACCCGCTCATCCGGGTCGGCGATGAGCCATAGCTTTGCCTGTTGGAGAGGATTACGGCCTAGCTGGTCATAGTACTCATAGTCGTCTAGCCACAAGTAGTGACCCGATGGGAAGAGGGAGAGAGCCATTCCAGACTCCGGCTCCGGAATATCGGGCTTAGGAGGTGGCAGTATCTTGACCATGGTGTTTGATGCAAAAGAATGCGATATAATTTGTTGTTGATGCAGATTGATTCGAAAGCCGAAGACATGGTAAGAAATAATCTTGGGATATTCCTTGATCCATCTTCATCATGACGTAATGGATGTCTCAAATCCTCACGTCAGCCGCCCCCAAGAGACTATTGAGGTGATGCCTAGTTTTGTCGCATCGTTGTGCGTCGACGATCAAAACTTCAAATCTCAGCCCTATGTAACACTAGAATGAATGAGAGATTTACACTTTTAGTAGATGGTGAAAACTGGCCATTCAAATTCAGCTTTGATGACACAGTGGTCACGTCTCCGTGAAACTATCCGAGCTATGTGAACTGCAGCCTGGTGGAAATGGAAATGAAGCGCTCAGACACTCAGCTAGTGATGCGTGGCGCTTGTTGTTCAGAACTTCACGGTGACTTGGTTCCACAAATGGGCGTTGCTGCCTAGTTGAGTGCCTCGACTCTAACAATGCACCACACACTTCCAAAGGTACTTTGGTAAGGACGCTATTGCTAGTACTGTAAGTGTGTAGCCACGTTCTTGGGATCGTGACGATTCCTTGACAAACTCACTAGCCTTATTTCGAGAGTAATTCGAGTGGGGTTAGAATACTATGTGAGGCTGAGATCAATTAACGATGCCTCAATTGCTCTGCCGCCGTAAATGTGATACATATACCGCTGCGGAAGCATCGTTAAGCCGGTGCGGTAAAATTGAAAGGTGCCTCTCAACAGGTACTGCATGCAAACTGGGTTATATCATTTGTCACGTGTGATTTCTTCTGGTTCTTTTATCAGTGCATACCACCAGAACTTAACATATATTTCCTCTAACGCGAAGTTGCTCCATAGCTAGGGTCAGTAATCCACGGATTTACCATAGGCTAGTATAAGAAACCTTGGCTCATATTGAGTTAGAGGCAGAGTTTGCTGAACAACTCTGAGCTGCAGGGTAATTTCTCTGCTTATAGATACCTAGAAAAGGGGCCAAGACCTCGCGAGAGCCTCACCCTAATCGTCTTTGAAAGAGGGTTAAAAGGGAAAGGTGAGCCTCCGGAGCCCTTTCCTCAAGATAGTCTTAATTGCTATCAATTGATTTTTCGGTATTAGGACTCGTCATTATGTGATGACTCGCAGACGGAGCGTGAAGTTGCATTCAAAACGACGAAGCTAGCGTTTTCTTCAACCTGTGCACGGGTATGTTCTGTTCGTCTAGGAAAATATCACATTGTAGCATGATGGATATATTTCTCATGCCATAAATAATATTGGGGACAATCCCTCTCACGTAACATTATTATTGTTTCAGCAATCTTCGAGCTTAGTTAATCCATTGAGAGCCAGGCTATAACTATAATAAAGAATAGATCTTTAATATATTATAATATTTTAATATAATATTAATATAATAGCCTTTTTAAACTTCTATAATAATAAAAGAATTATATTTAGCTATATTATTATAAAAGGTCTAGCCTCTTACAGGTATTTTAACTATTCTAACCTCCGTATAAGAAATAAGAGAAGTAATAGAAGAATATGGGAAGGAAGATGTTAGTTAGAGCTTGAATATAATATCTCGGCGAATTACTAAACTTTCGTTGGCACACATTATCTTTGAACACAATGGTTACAGTCTCAGCAACAGCTCTGTTTTCTCAGACGCTTGGTGGGAAGGTCCCAGGAATCTTAATCAGCGCTGTGATTATGATTTTAGACTCTAAGAAATTATAATCACAGTCGTAATGATGTGAAGTTAACGTTGAAGTCATCATATTGCGTCCAAGGGTGGTTTTCTAAGCTTGTTAATACCTTAGTCTCCTATGAGAGCGGTATTCACATTGAAACCCCAAGGAGACAGCTGATGTATACCAGTATCGTTGCAATGAACCAGAGCTAACTGGATAGTTAGGAACACGGCGGACCTCAAGTTTCATTTTGAAAGCCATTGTTCAGTCCAGCCGACGGGGGAGTGATTAACCACTATCAGCGTGCTGTTGGAATTTGTTGATAGATAAACGGTTTGGACAGGGACAATAGTCTCTACTGTTAGATCCATAGGTCATATGAAGTAGCAATATCCAAGAACCACTTAAGGTTGAGAACGATCCTCCTTTCTCTTTCTCACAGTAGATTTCGGGGCCGACCCAATCATGCCATTCGGTCTGGGAGCGGAACCGTCAACTTGAACCGTTGGTTCCGCAACATGAAGTCCAAAATGCGGCTCCGGAGCTGAATGCAGTGTATAACATTCACGCATCGAATAGACTTTGAGAGACGGAATGCTTTCTCTACGTTGGAATTGACAACATTTCGCTTCCGTTCAGAATTCACTTGCGGATCCGATGATGCAATCGGATGCGGATCCGGCGTGGGGCCGGACCGGCTCCGTTTGGAATGCCGACGCGGACCCGGGGCGGACGTGATTCGGCATCACGACCGATGCGGCTCCGTCAGGATAAGGTTGTGATAAGGAAGAAACTCTATTCACTTTGTCACCTGCTTGTTGACAGAGTTGCGGAAGCGATGCAAGTCCCAGATAGGTTGAACAGAACCTCCGAATTCTATAATGGTGAAGTGCGTTCAAGCCGCTCTGGATCCCGATCGTGATCCGCCGCGTCCGCATCAACATGTGCTTTCGGAATACCTTCCTGTTTGAGAGCGGAGCCACGTTCTGGTTGACCGCTGTTCCATCGGCCAGCAAGGACCAGTATACCTTCAAAGAATCGGGTCCATGGTCTTCTTGGATCTGAATGGCCTGATCTGCTTTGAGCGCTGCTGCTGGCTACAAAGACCTTTTCCGAAATGAACTGTTCTAAGATGGTGCACGTGAACATAGACTTCCAGTCAGGAACATAGGCTCAGAGGCTATCAGGCGAGGATTCACGCTTGTCCAGCACGATATGATCACCAGTTCACACCTCACTACATCCATCCAGTTTCATCACTGCGCATCATGATTGAACAGCTTCGGTCGTTGACGCTATTTGCAGAAACACGATTCCACAGCGGAAACGCACTGCAATGCATCTTTGCGCGTCCGCCGCGGAGGCGCTCACAGGAATGTTTTACATCCCAACCTCGACTTCGCTGCCGCAATAATCGGGGTCGCTATACCGGCGGAATAAACATGCGGAATCTTCTCAGAACCGTATACGGCTCCGTAGAGTAAAAGTTTCTACTCGGTTCCGTTTACCTATGCCGCCGGATCAGGCCACTGCGCGGAACCTCAAGGCCGTGCTGTGTGCGGTTCAACAGGTGTTCCGGCGGAAGCGGCTGCGGACCCGATTCCCAAGTGGTGTGATCGAGAGCATAGTTGTCACTTTTACTCACATTTGTCAACATGTAGAATATGACCTATCGCTAAGCTGGGGATATTGTTCAATAACGGAAGCGCAACGCTTCCGCAATCACATGGCTGTTGTCCTTCGGCAGGGGAAGCCCGCCTAGGCTTGTCTCTACTGTAGTAACTGGCCTTATTCCCCTTTCTTCAGATAGTCTGGATTATATGCCAAGTTACAGTACATACTATACAGAGGTCACAACCTTTAGTAGTAACTAGGTGTAGATTGGGGTAGAAATTTCCGCCTTACTACCTACTGTGTGGCATATTCAGCTCCGGGGCATCTCCTCAATTACCTACACTTGAGTGATGCTCACCATTCCTATTGTTTCATGTAGGCTAAAAACATACCGGATCACGAATGTCCTCTTTCGTCGGAGGGATGAGATTCGGGGTTCTTGATAACATGGACAGGTGAGTTCAACGATCAAAAGCAGCAAAAGATTCGCAAAATCATGCCACATAAAGTCCACTCAGCCTCCCTTCTCAACTGCCGACCGAAGCCCGATTCCCGTATGGAGCCGGCATTCGACTGCCTTATCGTTCCTGACTGGGGACCCTTCGCTAGGCATTTCTTCAGAGCCTCTCCAACAATGGGTCCTTCGCCAAATGTTCCTTTATCCTTGCAATTATCTTTAACGGAGCCGCAAAATCACACCAGAACCCCTCTTTGGTCTTGCACATGATGCTCACCCGGTCTATTGCCGATCAGCTTCGGTATTTCGGAGAGATGGGGCCAACTTACATCGTGTGGGCGATTTGGCGAGCTTACTTTGACCAAGTACAAGCATATCCCAGGCATGCTCCCTTTTCACTTGCGGCTCTTTCTCCGCTGCGGAAAATTCGATGCCTTTCCATGCGCCGCACCAGTTTGAGACGCTGTACAGCTTTTCGAATGGCTCGCAAATAAGCATGACCTGTCTCCGCTTGGACACATCTCGCAACGCCGCCAACCCGACTTCGATCTCAGACCGCTCCAGAGCCTTATTGATAGCTTGACGATTACTAAGAGCTATCTCGTGCAACGGGGTAGATGCACTAATCTTGAGATTTGACGTGGCGTAATGCAGGGCGTTGTGGATGAATCGGTCGCCATCATCGTCCCACAGTCCTGGAACACGGCCCCGTACTGGGAACTGTTTAATGGGGAAATTTCAAAAAGGGTAGGTGAGACTTACGGTTGACGGTTTGGGAGAGGTTCAGAGAATACTCCGATCGATCATGTCGAGTCATCTGGGTACCACTTAGAAAGAGGTGTCATGTCTCCAAGACGGACAGCTTACCTTGGTAAAGATGGCAGTAAGGATATCCCCATTACTAATATCTGGCACCGATTCATTCTTCTCTGCCAAAACCTTGGACGTTCTCTTTCGTAATCTCTCTACCAGTTGGGCGGGAACAAAAGCGATGTGAGATTCTTCCTCCCTAGCTTTCACGAGGTCAAGGACAATACCAGCCATTACTGCAGTCTGGTCTCTTTTCCCTCTGGCACGCATCATACCCTTTCTGGACTCTTTATCGATGTAATCAAAAATTGGGTGTCCCGGTGGGAGCACATCATCGCGATAGCCCAGCATGTCAGGCGGCGCTTCTCTCCGAGCGACTTTAAGCCAGGCTTTCACGATACTGGCCACTCCAAATTGATCGGCCAATACATGCGGACAGCTCATGGCCACGACTGAGGCATCACTAAAGATGGTTAAATGAACGTATAGGAGGGGTGCATCGGGCGGCTCGTTCTTTCGCTCAAAGGGCCAGTCTGCTGGTCGAAAGAGCTTGTCGATGACATCCATGGATGGCAAGAAAGAGATATTCTGGCTAGGCGAGAGGAAAGAAGATAGCTCCTCGACTTTGCGAATAGATTCAGCATTGGCTGTTGAAGACCAGTTGAAGAGCACGTAGTTCTCATCAAACGAGGACGGAACATGATACTCTAGGAGCTTCGTTGAGGGAGATGAGACGAGTCGCGCCCCAAGCTTCCGCCAATGATTCCTGATGAGTTTATCCAGCGCATCTCTGAGAACTTCATTGTCAAGCTTATTTGGCACAATAAAAAATGTCCGGGAGCGAAGCCTGTCGACAGGATTTGGCTGGTCTGTTAGATGAACCGGTATCACCTCCATCGTCGGAATAATGCGAACAAGTCTTGCGAGGATAATTGGCAGACGTATATGGGGCGGTTTGGACCATTTTCAAGTCAGATTAGGCATGATTTGGTGACACGCAAGCCAAGTCTGCCTTGGTCTACTGGGACCTGTGCTGATCTGACAGGACTCCGGGGTGTGTCATTTCGATTTGATATTCCTGGTCAAGTCTCGTCATTATTTGTGGATAATATCAGAAACGCTAAAATCTGACACTGTTGCGCAGTCTTCAACACCGAAGTCCTTGTTTCCTCACAATCGTTTGACCATCGGAGTACATGCTTACGCCATTGTTCTTCTCTTCTCCTGTCGCCATTTGCTATCCGGGGTTGGAAGAGGTATCATGGCACTATTGTCGTCGCGGTTTGATCCTAAGATCGACTTTGAAGAGAGTAGTCTTGCTTAAGGCCGCTGTCAGGAACACTTCGAAGAATAGGTGAATGCGAATACTTACCGATGGCATTCACTTCCACTCGTGAGTGTATGAAGCCTTGAGCTGGGTAGATGTGGTCTTAGGAGCATCATCGAGTGCATTGATTTTATCGTATGGGTAAGTCGTCGTGGATGAAGTGGTTTTGGGGGCTTCTGAACTATTCTCCTGCTCACTCGCGGCCAGCGCTTCGGGGGTTATCCGCAGAGAGGTTCAGCTTTCAGGAGCTTTTCTCAAATCAACGGGTGAGCATGTAATTGGTTGCCGAATGTGTTATGTCGTAACCAGTCCATACGATGGAGCAGGATCAGGCTGACCTAGTCGTTCTCAGCGTCATCTGGGCCACAGAGAGGAAATCTCACCCAGCGACCCTTCTGTCGAATCTGCTAGTCCTCGCCATACAGCTTTTCTTTCGTCAGATTCTGTGCGAACTGATCCACGACTACGTCCTTCCTCCTTCGAGTTTTGGTGGCAAGCTTGACCTATTCCTAAGTTATCGCTTTCTCATGGTTTTCAAGAAGCTCCTTTTACTCTTCCGTTTTATCTAGAGATTTTTTGAGTCTAAATCTCTCCATTAATACCCTTACTCCTTGAATTTAGCGCTTCACCTGGATCGCCCTTTCTGATTTCATGCTGGAGGCTGGGTGGAATGAAGCAGTCTTCGGGGTAGAACTCCAACGGCTCGCCCATGCGTAAGGAGCTAGGGGATTGATTTTTTGGCTAGCATGATTCCTACAATGCTCTTTTCGTTCAAGGAAGAAACTTGCGGAAGAGACTTACGGTATATCTATAGGTAGACCGATGAAACGCGAAGTCGTGAGCTGGTTCAAACGGTCGTCAGAAGACCAGCCTATGAAAGGTAATGCTGGGAGAGCCCGCGTCCTTCCACACTCCCAGCAGACATATGGCAGCATCTAAGGCAGGCTATTTTCAGATGATACCTAACAAACATTTAGTTAGAGTAGCCAGGCTTAGCTAAAACGTCTGAAGCGCGACGGAGATCTTCACTAGTAAGGATTTCCTCGCGTCGATAATTTTCCAGTGAATTGTTGACTTCTTTGTCTCAGGTTGTCGCCAGTGAGAATAAAAGCGGCCGCCAACAGCTTTTTGAGGATACCCAGTGCATGTCTTGATCTCGATCCGCTATGTATCAAATCCGGCTGCAGGGGAGTCAAGCAAGGCTGGGCTATTACTCCCTGAGACACTTACGTGATGCGAACCTGGGAAGATCGCTGATCAATGACTCATGCTGCTTTTCCATTGGCCTCAGCTGAAACCGCGGGACGCGAGCTGAACTTAGCATAACGCCACATACGATTACATCTACGGCTAAGGAATGTGCCAGCGGGCAGCCGAGTGAATCCTGGGAAGAGGTGCAGGCGATGATGCACTGTGCGAAGAATGGTTTTTTTTCTGTCTGTTGTGGATGCCCAAAGCATTTCTCTCTCGTTATCAAGTTTATCAACCCAATGTAGGCAGGACAGTAAATGGCCAGCTTATCAACAGCGACAAGTTCAAGGGAGTCAACATCACCTCCTTGGTTCACGTCAAGATGATAAACCACCCTGCTCATGAGCTTTTTCGACCCTGGGTTTAATGCCGACATGCTTCAATAATTATGTTTTCTATCATTGTAGGTAGCTAATAACTTCTTTTAGAAGCGTGACCAAGTTCTCAGGGTAGTAACACATAGCATCATCAACAAGAATTATACAGAATTGCAAGCAGTTTTCCCTGTTGGCTCCCATTCCAACGAAGTCTATGATGTAAATTCATGCCGCCATACTCGCTGGGATCCAATTACTGACGAGGCAAAAACACCCCCAAGTCTGAATTTGAAGATAGCGAAGAACTAAAATCTGCCATCTGGGATCTGAGTGACCTCACACTGGGAACTTGCAATATTCTAGATTTTATTGTTCAATGTAGACCAATTATTTGTCTGTTTTCTCCAAGGCTAACGCGACCTAATCACGACCTTTCCCATGCTCACAAAGAATTATCGATGGGAAGAAAACTTTGTGAGGTGTCGAATCTTGACTCGGCTCCTTGCTGTAAGAGCCTTCCCGTCATTGCCCAAGAGAATTCTATGGCCAACCACGCTCAGTCGTCACTTTACAAACCATTCAAGAAAATGATGCCTAGTTCAGTCTCAACTCTAAGAATCCCGTCATTCTAGGCAAGATGGATGAAGCTCCCAAGTTGCTGCAGTGGCTGTAAAACTGCATGGACAGATCAGACTGCCGGGCTCCATTCTCAACCCTGGCAAGCTCTCTCAGCCGTCACAGGACTAAGTCAAGACGGAGGTCCCAAGTGAGGCAGCCGTTTGGGTCAAGGGAGATCTTGTCAGTGGCCTCGAGGTCTACTACTCCAACGGCTCAGAGCTTGTACATGGCAAATGCGAGGGGGGTGCTTGTAAGAGCTTTCACATCATTGTCGGCAACTTTTAATCTATCTACCACCTAGTTCTCATATCTGGAGAGGCACCAAAATCCAAGGTGAGAATGACTGGTCTACAGTTGACTCTGAAAAGCTGCCACATTGAGGAGTTTGCTGCACTTAGCCATTCTGTTACCACTCTTCAAAACCCCTACTACTGTCGCTCTCTCTCTCTCGGTTACTAGACCTTCCGCAGTTCCTAGAGATTTATAACTTCCTATAGAGGATACTTCCTAGCACTTGGAGGTGTTGAGGGCGGTAATGGTCCAAACACCCACGAGCAGCCAACAGCAGCAAGCGCCTAGCCTTCACTTTCAACTCGTAGTCCTGTTGGTTCGAATTACGAGATGTTGATGGGTCGGCCTCTTCCTGAGGAGGCACCAAAAGAAATCAGTCAAATTTTACCTAGACCCGAGATGCTACTTGGCCAAACATCACAAAATACCTCGGCCACACAACGATCCTGTACGGCTTTTATACGCATTAGGCCAATGGGCAGGCCAAGAGGAGCGATGGACAGAGGTCAAGCTTGCCTTAGTCAAGCGGTGGAATAGGGATAAGTTTGTAGACTCTGTTGGCGTGCGCAGCACTCTAAGAGAAGCAGAGAAGGAGTGAAAGGCTAAGACCTGCGACACGGTAAGATGGCCATCCTGTATCAACCAGATGCTGGCACTTGGTTGGGTACTGGTGCTACCACTTTAAGGATCATTCAGGGTTTGCTCATCTGGATGCAATGTGGTATGGGATAGAGTAGGCTACTGCTCCGAAAGGAAAGTGGAAAAGGCAGTGACTTTTCTTCTCGCGGGCCAAAGGATCTATTGAGCACATCGACAATGACAACAGTTTTGCAAATAATTACCGCATGGGTAACAAGCAGTTTCTTGGCTTAATACTTGTAAAATAGCCCCTCTTTAACTCATCTCCGTAAATACTTGCTGAGCGATTATTTAATCATCGTGTCCCAAGGCGATGTACCTCTTCTATGACTCCTCTCTTTCGATCTAAGTTTCTTCACACACCGAGACACTCAATCAGAAGCACAAGAGTGTTTCCTTGTGTCCGCGTCAGCACGGATGAACATCACATCAGGTTGTATCAACAGCACACCATGCAAAAACTACCCTGTCACGCCTGCCCAATAGCCCCAGCATGGTGCGTCGATAGCGCGACGGGGCATGCAGTCCTCCAGCCTCGGCAGACAACGGCGCAGCTGATCGCCACCTGTGGGCGCACCAGCTCGGCTAGGCCGCTCGTCTTGGCGTCGGTCGAGACTCAGCCAGCCACGGGCTTGGACAACATTTGCATGGTCGCCGACTTGATCTACTCTGCCTCTCTCTCTGCTCGGAGCTCCCCGCATGAGAAGGTCCAGATTAGCGCTGTAGGCGATCCAGCTCTCTAGTTAGGAAGTGCTATGATAAACGTCCGTCTCGTAACTTGGGCTTCTGGTGAAGCAGGGAGACTTTTCTAAGCAAGCCAGAGTTTTCTTTAAACCAATGCGCCATTATCTCATTTTGGAATTTGACATTTTCAACGCAGATAACATGGACACCGAAAAGAAGAAATGGGTGGTGGAAGCCATGACCAATGAAATGCTCAACTCAAACGATAAGCGTGAAGCCATGACCCCCCAGCTTTTGCAAAGAGCACCGTCCCTAATAACAAGCGATGGGGGGCAATCGTGTACCCATGCTTACAACTAACCCCGTAAACCCCGGATCCTGAGAGAGACACGCAACACGTTCCACTGGCTGTTGACCTGAATAAAAGCATGGTGGGTAAAGCCCTTCTCGAGAGTTCCGGGCCTAGGGATAAAGAAAGATTGCCTCTCGCCAGTTTTGTGTTCCGTGAAGCCTTCTCAAAACATGTTGCTGATCCAACTTGTTGAGAGGTGCCCCACTCCTCCCACTAGATACGCGTTTGCAAGCGTCAACAACCAAGCCGACAGCCGAGCTGAAGCCACAAGAGTCCTAATTTGCCACCTCCTCTTCAACAGACAAAAACATGGTGGCATCAGTGCTCTCCATTCTACTCTCAGTTGAAAGCATCATTCAGGCCTCCAAAGAAACCAAGTCAGCAAAACTCCACGAACTGTGGACAAGTCAGTGTAAACAAAAACATCGCGCTAGTGCCCGAGGGATTCTCCGTCACTCTCACGCTCTCCTTGGCCTTGCCAACACCGTCATTCAGAAGCATTTATTCGCCCTATCCAGGTGGTTGGTGGAGTACAGGTCTCCTAAGGATCAGACTCTCACATGTAGGCTTCTCGGGACCTTCAATACTCCCGAGTACAAGCACGAGTTGCCCTGGACCAACACATTGTTCATCAATGGTGCCCAGGTTTTGCTAGCTGATCTTCCCATGACACTACCATCCGTAAGCAAAATTTGTTTAAAAGACATAATATGTATTAGTATTAGGGCATTGTATACAATTCGAGTGCGCCATTAAAGCTATCGATGATGTTTTATGGAAACCTTGTTAATCTATCAGCTATCAAAACAAGACCGGCGCGCTTCGCTACAAAGATAAAGATATAGTCCGACACTTCTTCTGAAAGAAGAATACAATTCTCTGTATCGAAGGGTCTTTCTAAAGTCTGCCAATAGTTGTAGGTCTTGTTCCGAGGCTTGAAACAAGAAGTAGGGTGTGTCAACAGTCAAATTGCTGTGGTTGAGGTGAAGTCATTAAGCCCATTGAGAATTTAATTGAGATACTATGATCCCCGTTCTAAGTAGCATAAAGTGATAGAATAATAATAGATAACTTGGAGTACAGCAACATATACAAGGTCTTGTAGTGACCCGGCATGCCTCCAGAGGAAGCAGAAAGATCGCGAGTCAATTGCATCTCTATGACCAAATCAATTTTTCGCCGCCGCGAAAGGCAAATATCCAGACGACGCTCGTCGACGAGGTTACTAACCTGAATTTCAAACTAGACATCTGAGACGTTTTTCGTTTCGATCACGACGACGCGTATTCAATCCAGTTTGAGACTTGTAGAAAGGGGATAAGGGGCCGTGGACTAAAGCGCCCATGTCGCTATATCATATTGCGATATTGAAAAGCAATCTTCTCTTCCTAGGGGGGCATGTCATTTATATTGATCGGGATATTAATAGTCGGAGGCCTGAGGATATCCTTTTCTTTCGAGATTTTATCACGCATTAGCGATATCATGTGGAAGCTGATGGAAGGGTAATGAAAGGCAACTCGGCCTGGTATTTAGCGACAGACGACCTCACAGGGCGCGGCAAGTGAAAGGGTAATCAGAGAATGGTATCGGAGCACGTTTAAGTAATCCAAAGTTGATAGAAATGAACAAGACGAAGGGTATCTAATTCAAAGGGAATCCCAGCATTATATTTCAAGCAGGTGGTGTTGGAACGGGTGTCATTGGCGATGTCCGGCTGTCTCGTCGAGCAGTGAATTGCCGACAAATGGACTCATTCATGTGTTTCTCCCGGCCTGAATAATCAGCTGGATTTGTCAACTCCCGAGGTAACTTGACAATATTAATAAATTGAAATATTAACCTTTGATTAAACTCTATGACCCTGTTAGAGTAAACTCTCAGTAACCGAGCTAGACCGTGTTCTGTAATGCTGCGCCCCGCGGTCCGTTGTTCCGAATTAGAGTGTACAGGTTAGCAAAAAAAGATGAAATCAGTTACATTTCTACCGGTCGCGCGCAGCTTGTGAGACAAGACTCACCTTGGCAGGTCCTCCAAGATATTCTCTTCTCTTTGGGCGGCTCGCATTCATTCCCGTTGGTGGCGCCTTCTTGCTGAAATTAAAGGGTAGCCAACCATCCTCGCGAATGCCCTCATAGGGTAGGATACGACCCAACGCCACCTGTTTTGAAGTAGGATTGGCTCGCTCGCAAGCGAACGAGCAGGTTTTTGAATCCTTTTTCGGTCTTATCCAGCGCGACCAATTAATAGAGGCATGTTTTCGGGCGGCCGCTTTTGTATGCGCGGTCGGCATGGATGCACTTTGGTTGTCATGGATGCTTTGGCCTGCAGATTTGGTGCTGATTTAAGCATGCGTGTCTGACAAAAGTATTTGTGATGGAACGGTAAAACACACACCATCGCGTCATGTACTGTATGCAACTTCCAGTGAGGCCTTCGACCATGGAGCCGTGCTTGGTCGAAAAGAAAACTCTGTCGATCCCTCAAAGATCTGTCCGATCGGCGCTAACTTGACACTTTTGGTGACCCCCTCTGGGCCAAGATCTTCGCAATTCCCAAAGTGAGACAGACAAGACATTTGAAAAGGCCGATTACTGAGCGTGTTGAGCTTACGTGTGAAACCCATGCTTCGCTCGCAAGGGTCATCTAGACCCCTGAACCATTCGATTTCGCTACCGCTACGTATTAAGCTCGGACTCATCTGGTGACAGCAACACACACCTTGGCCATCGCACCTTGATTCTTGGTATAACTTGATTCGTGGACGCCGTGCGCCGGCAGTCTTGGCATACCTTGTGAGTGTGGCACTCCCGGACAAGCTCTCCTATGAGATGAGCACGCCTGGTGTGATTACAAGGGTGAAAAAAAAAAAAGAAGGCGTAAAAAAAAAAATAACGCTTTTCAGCTCCACCGTTTATCCTGGCATGTTTCAGCGGACCCCCCCTTGCTTAGCCCATGCCATGTCGCAACAAGGAGCACCAATGGGGGGGAGTGATTATGCAGAGTAACAGCCAGCGTAACAGTGAGCATTGGGATCATCGCGGGTGTTGAAGTTTGTAATGTTTCAGTGAATGATGCTTTTAGTAACAGTCATATGGGAGTAAAATAGTGACACCCCTTGGTCCGGAAAAGGGGCCACGTGTTTTGTATGGAATCACCCTTGTCGGGCGGCGTTATTGGCACATGATGATGGCCACCTGCAAACGCGTACCAACCCCGCTGGGGCGCTATAAGCGATTGGCCATAGGAGGCAATGTGCGAGATAGTGGTGTGCCCGTCGGCCAATCACGCTTTGCACCAGTCTATCGGGCCTCGGGCTGAGTGGTATAAGGAGACCGTGTCTACCGCAAATGAGTTGAGTCATGTTTTTCTTTTCTCATTTTTGCTCTCTCGAGAGTCTAGCTTGTCATCTCAAGCATCAGTCCAAGCAGTAACCTGCTCAGAAAGGCGTCGCTCGTTGTCGCTGTTTATCGCCGCCAAGATGCCCCCTAAAAGAAGATTCGCGTCGCGTTCCAGCAATCTCGTTCCGGAGAGGCCGTCCAAAAAGCTCCGCCTCTCATCTCCGCCAGTGTCTCCCGCCTCATCAAAGATTTCCCCGAGGAATCTAAAGTTGAAGCGATCGCGAGTTTCGCCAAGCCTGTCGGTGAAATCTGAACAGTCGCAAACAGAGAAAATAGAGGATACCATTATTTGCGCCCCGATTGAGGTGAGTATGCAAATGTGGATCTGATTGAATTTGCCTGACATTATAAATAAGTGGGTGTCGATTATTGAAGACGAAAGTGAGCTGGACGTGGAGGAAGAGGAGCTGACGCAGCGATCAATACCTTTCGACGATGTTTTTCAGAATGAATCAGTCAAGCGCATCATTACTCAGTTCCCGAAAGGCCACGGATCCTGGTATATCCTCCGATGCGAGGAGCATGACGTTGACTTCAAGAGTCACCCACTACGAGCTGCTTCGGCGCATTTGAGGAGCCGACAGCACGGCCGGCTGCAAAACACGACCGGACCAGCCGTCATCGAACATTTCGGCACAAAGGTTTTGGACTGCAACGAAAAACTGGCGCAGAAGAACAATGCAGCCGCCTTGAAGTTTAAACCGGCCATTAAGCAAGAGGTAACCCAACACGTGGATGAGTTTGTACCAGCGCAGTTTGCACCAAGAGAGTCGGTGCCAAGGGATCCGACACCAGAGGCAGTGCCAGAAGAGGCAGCACCGGAAGAGTCGGTACCAAAACAGCCAATCCCGGAAGAGCCGGTATTAGAAGCCGTACCGGAAGTAGTGCCGGAAACAATATCGGAAGCAGTGCCGGAAGTATCAGTACCAGAAGAGTCAGCACCAGATGAATCAACACAACAAGAATCGACACGAGAAGAGTCAACACAAGATGAGCCAGCGCCAGAAGAGACCACCCCGCGCCACAAGAAGCGAAAACTCTCATCAACACCGTGCCATGTGGAAGACGAGGCATCACCCACAAAGGACGAACCGATGGAGGAATCGAGCCATGATCCGATAATAAGCCCAACGCCAGGCATCGTGTATCTGGCCTACCGAGAATCAACAAAATCTTGGATTCCCGCCCTGGTTTTGCCCCGGAATAACCTTCACAAGGTCGGCGTATCAACGACACTCGAATCCCTCGGCCTGGTAGAAAACGTACCCAAGTGCTATGTCTACGATCCGGGGACGAAATGCCTGGAATGGAAGGCGCAGTATGAAGATGGTGGCTCTCTTGTCGCTCAACGGCAATTCCCAGTGGTTTATTTCGATGCGACGGCTTTCCCGAGTAAGGATGCTGCGGGATGGGTGGGAGCTGGTGATTTGCAGGAACTGGATCTTTCTGATGCTTCTGCGAGTCTCGAACCGCATTTCTCAATGGCTCGAGATTTCGTTGCGAAGCGTCAGGGTACGACTGCAGAGTGCAAGAACCTGAGTCCTCTTGCAATTCCAAACAGTAAGTGAAAAACCAGGTTCTGATTTTCAAACAGCTAACAATCTTCAGCAGAAGTTAATCCCAAGACGCAATCATCGACACAAGCAACATCGACAAAGATTGAAAGCCCCGTATTGATGATTTCTGACAACTTGCCTCCGAAGGCACCGGTCGTGGTATCTGTTATCCCAGAGAAGGAGGCCACCCCGCCAGTGGAAACCCCGACAACAGTGCCCAGCCGTGAAGCTTCTGTGGAATCTGATTCGAAGCCTTCAGTCACTACTGAGTCTTTCTCAGTCTCAGAGCCCGTTGATCCCAAGCCCGTCGACCGCCCTGAACCTATCAGCAACCCCGAATCAGCTACCGGCCCTGATCCTATCGACAAATTCAGGCCTATCGGCGACTCCGAACCTGTTAAGGACTCTGAGCCGATTAGTGAACCAGTTAACGAACCTGAGCTGATCAGCGAAGAACCTGTCAGCAGCTCTGAGCTTATCAGAAAACCGGAGTTTATCAACGACAGCGAGGTAGCCAACCCGGAACGTATTAGCAATCCTGAGCCTATTACTGTCATCGAAGACACCACCAGTCCTGTGTTCATCAATGAACCCCAGCCGATTGTCAATTCGGAGCCTATCAACAACTTCCAGCATATCAGCCACCCAGAGGTCGTCAGCAAGCCCGTATCCATCAACACTGTTCCTGCCAACACTTTCGAGCCTACCAGCGCTTTCAAGCCTGTTAACAGCCCTGAGCCCACGAACATTTCCCATCGAGAGGTATTCATTGAAAACCAACCCAGCAGGCCCAGCGAGTCTCGGAGCTTTTACACCCAAGATGTGGTCATGGAACACCAGTATCCATATTCACCCGCGAGCACCTACGTCGATCCCGTGCCAACACCACCCGCATCAGAAGTCCAGTCTCATCAACACAGCGTTAAACGCGCCCTACTCAACCACATGTCAGCCGATCTTTTTCAACTCAAGGCAAAGTCAACAACTCTCATCTTTCCTAAAGCCGTATTCGACCTAGAGGCAATGCAGTCAACATTGCCACCTATTCAGTCACTTCCTAGCATGCAGGGCTATTCTCAGACTCTCCGACCCATTAGTGATCAGATGGGATCTCCGGCCCCTAGCATTAGCCAGACACAATCGTTTCCATCTCAAAGCGCACCTTCGTCTGCGTACAACTCACCAGCACCACAACATACACCAGTACCGCAGCATGCGCCAGCACCACAGCATGTGCCAGCACCACAACCCACACCTGCGCCCATTCCTCACGCAGCTCCTACTACAACAATCAAAAAGAAGACTGGCCCACGGAAACCAGTTCCTACACACAGGCCTGTTCCTTCTCAAAGACCTGTCCCTGCAGTACCTACACAGAGGGCCTCCGCCACGCCAAAGCCTGCCATCGTGCAGAGAAGCGCCATCACAAAGAAACCTGCCGCTCCAAGGAGGCCCGTCCCAACACAGAGACCTCTCGCTCCACACCGACCTGCCGCCGTCGAAGAAGCTGAGCCTCGATTTGGGGAGACCCTCTATGGCGTTTCCGAGTATATTCTACAGGGCGTGAGGAGATGGCTCAGGACTACTGAGAAGAACCCCAAGATTTCCGAATTTTGTTTTTCTGATGGACTTTATCGATGTCCTTGGTGTCACAAACGGTTTGCGCGAGCTGGAATTTTTACGGATCATTTGTCTTTAAAGCATGATGAGCGGCCTAAGCCGCCGGAGATTAGACCAGATCACAGATGATCTGCGACTACAGGAGTTCAAGGAGTTTAGGGCGGATATAAATATATTTATTGTAATGAAATTTCGCACAAGATCGATTCTCGTTTATTTTCTTGTTGACTTGTTTTGCTCCTTGCTGCGGGTCTTTGGTTTGAACTTGACAGGCCAGCAGAGCGCCTAATTTTGGATTACTTGCAAAACTACAATCTAGTATCACTTGAAATAACCTTTCCTAGCGCAAATCCTTGTTCGAAATAGTAAAGAAACATGGACCAGCTTCAACCCCCAAAGTGCATTTCGGGCCTCGGGTTGGTGTTGACCGAGATCCACATCGCAACAGGTCATGACCCCCGCATAAAGACTGTTGTCCTGGCCACTTCTTTACTTGAAACAATCCTTCTTCATTCACTTTGATAAAAACGCACGATGCTCGAATCTGACCAGCACTGGCCCCTCTGGGGAGAGGGTTCCCTTGAAGGAGCCTTTGAACTCGAAACACCGGGAGGCAAGATCGACAATGCTGTCGTCACCAGTGTCGAGAGACCTTTTCTCTTTGGATATCGCCCTGAAAAGGGTAATGGACGAGGAATTCTTATTCTTGGAGGAGGAGGATACGTTCAGCTCATGGTTGGACGTGAAGGTGTTGCGGTGGCAAAGTGGCTGAACAGTCTCGGATTCTACGCCTTTGTTCTCGTCCACCGATTTCCAAATGCCGATACTGGTGCTCCAGCACCTTTGGATGATGCGAGACGCGCATTGAAGTTGATTAAGGAGAGCGGTCATGCTACTCAAGGACTAGGAATATGCGGCCTCTCCTCTGGCGGTCACCTTGGAGCTGCTCTGTTGGCCGATTACCCACAAGCATGGACTGCTCCCGACCCCGAGATTCCTCAAGCCGATTTTGCAATTCTCGGATACGGACCAATATCTACCAATGCAGTCGGACGCACAATCATCGCCGACAAGCCGCCTCTGCCGCCGGTGGAGAAGCAATCTCTCTACGACATTGTTCAGCCAGACGTACAGATCAAGTCTCCGGCCCCACCGACGTTTATCGTCTACTCCAACAACGACCCAGTCGTCCCTGTTGTCAACGCGTACCGTCTCGCTGAGGGAATCACCAACGGTGGAGGATCTGTGGAGCTTCATATCTTTGCTGATGCTCCTCACGGATTTGCGCTCGACACCCCGAATCTTCCTGTATCTAACTGGCCATCGATGTGTAAGGCGTGGCTTGGGCAGCATGGTTGGATAGAATAAGAAAACGGAATTTATATTTGACATAGAAGGCAGCATTTTTGCCGTAAATTCATGATTCTTCTTCCTTTCCTTTTTCGGCTCGCGGTTACGATTCCGAGAGGCACTCGAGGTACAACCAGATGGGGGCAACCTGCCTTGTAGTTATCCACAACCTTCTCTGGATAGAATGTAACACCATCTAGCATGGAATGAAGCTGTTACTATCTAGTTGAAGTGCGAACGCTTGCACACTGCCTACTAGCTCAACGCTTCCAGGCGTAGACCTAGAGAGGGGCGATCACAACACGATTTAACAAGTCAAGACCGTGACCAAACTTGTCCCAGACGGAACGATCCGACAACGCGTCATCTAGAAAACATGTTCCGGAATGTTGAGCTAGGCAAGTCACCTCCATTTAGGCACAGCTAAATATAATTCTTTTATTATTATAACAAAACGTTCAAAAGAAAGGCTATTATATCAACATTAGGTTATAATATTATAATATATTAAAGATCTATTCTTTATTATAATTATAGCCTGGCCCTCAATGGGTTAATAAGCCCAAAGATCGTCATTTAAGTACCGGGTCCTTCGGCGGTTAACGGAATGCGGGAAAGGGATCCCAAGGTGTACTTGTGGAATACCGGTCCTTGGGCGCCGATGTACTGGAGCAATCGGCATTTGGATCGTCCTTCTATCTGCACGATTATAATATTCTTCTAAACAAGACATAGTAGTAGTGAAAACTTCCATCAGAACTCCGCCCGCTATGCATGTTATTGCCAGAATGTAACAGATATAGTCAATGCTGTCATAGCTGTTGTCTTGAGTATCTCTAAAGGGAGTCCAGTCTCGACGGGCTGGAGTGCCATGAAAGCCAGGCGGAGCGGGTAGACTAAGATTTGCCGCGTCTGGGCATTCCTGGCTGAGATATCGCGTTGTCTAGGAGCTCACATCAGGAAAAGTTTGGTTTCGACGTAGAACACGCATGGCTCACCTCTTCCATGCACAGAAGAGTAAAATCTTTGTGTGCTGTCCACTTGGCGTATTGGCCTGCTTCGAAAGATGTCCAGAAGGCCAGGCCAGCGAAAAAAAGAGAGGCAGCAGTGAAGATGGTTGCCCAAAATTGCCAACTTTTGAGTACTGGAAATCGATCTGCTAGCTGCTTTACTCCAGCCTTTGCCGTAGACAAGGACGTAAGAGTTGTAGGGAAAGCCCGGATAAGATTAATGAATCTTGTTCCGATAGCTGCTGCTCTGCTTCCTAGGCCCACTGCGACCGTTAGCTTTGAAAGTGGATTGACAATTCGTAAAGCGTCTGGGGGCAACAGACTGAGGGAAGGCTGAAGCCTCGCAAGCAGTGCGACCACTATCTTCATCAAGGGCATTTTGACACTTGGTACTTCGTATTTGTCTGGTTACTTGCGAAACAAGCGGTGTAGCAACCTGGAAAAGTAATGTAGTGACGGAGTTGTATTGTGCCACGTGATTAGGGTTTTCACTGCAAACGCTGGTTTATTGTGCCGGCCTGCCTCGTTCGACGAAGTGCCGATTCTCTTTGCGCCTTTCTATTGGCCTAAACCCTAGAAGCCTCCGGGTATCTATCATCATCCCAAACATCATGCTGGCTGGCTAGAGCTTGAAGTCGGGACTAGCCGGAGAGAAACCTCCCAATCTCGCTGGTGACAAAGTTCTTGTCCTCCTCAAGAGCCCATTCTCCACCAGCCAGATGTCCCCAAACACTCTCAATAACCTTTAGTTCCCCAAATCTCAGATGCTTCACTTCCTCCTCACTGTCTTCCGGAGGAAAGTACAAGTCCGTTCGACTTGGCATCAACAGAACCTTAGCTTTGATGCTCGCTAGCGCGGAAGGGAGATCACCCTTGACCGGCCCGTGATCAGAGATGTCGCCGCCTCTCCAAGTGTTGACCAAATGCATCAAGTCGCGAGCGTCCCACTTTCCCATGGCGTTGTCCCAGACCTTGACGAGGTAGTCCTCGACAGTCTCACAGTGAAGTCTCTTCCATTGTTCCTTGCGGAACCAAGCCGAACTTAGAGCCCAAGTCGAGTATACGCGCGCGAAAGCTCTGGTTCCACGGACCGCAGGCTCAGTGTATAGTCCATCGTGCCAGTCAACACTAGATTCAAGTGCCGCAATGGGGCCCTCAAGAAAAGACTTGTTGTGCCAGCTGGTTCTCGCTGAACTGGCGAGGACAACAACGCGCTGCACAAAGTCGGGATAGAGGATGGCAAAGTAGTAGGCCTGAGTGCCGCCCATGGAGAAGCCAATGTAAGCAGCCAGCTTCTCGATACCCAAAGCCATGAGCAACTTGTACTGGAGATGGATGTTGTCCTCGTAAGAAGTTTGCGGGAACCTGGTAGGCTCGGGGGCATTTGAGGGCGACGAGGACTCGCTGCCACCGAGAAGGCCAATGACAATGATATAATAGTCTTTCAGGACAGAATCATCACTTCCGTACAAGAAAGCCAATGTCGTTTCAATTTTGCCGGAAAAGCAGGTCGGGATCAGTATGGCGGGGTTGTTGGGTGAACCATAGGTGCGGTAAGCCAGCGTGAGAGAGTTGTTGGAAGACGGAGGCCCAGCGTCGAGGTTTGGCTGGCCATCAGCAGTAAAGAAGCGCGTTTTAGATGCCATGGTTGTTGAATTTGTAGCTAATGATGGTCAGTTCCTCGTGGTGACCTCAGCACAGGAGGGTTGACGTAATGCGAGAGCAGTCAATTTATAGTACAAGATTGGACATACAATAACGATGTTATTCCCACTCAAAACATCTTCTTACACAATGAAAACAGTCTCAAACTGTGACGCTGACAAACTGGGCTGACATATCTGCTTCAAAACCTCGGCTGACAAACCCGTCAGGTTTACATCTAACGTTGACGATGTGTCAGAGACCCATCAACTACAACATCCCCACCTGGATATGTACAGGTCCAAGAAATTGCAACACCTGGGCTCTCAGCGTAGCCCATACTAGGTCAGCCAACACCTATACTTTCCAAAATCACCCATCAAAAGCTCAACCCCGCTCTGTCGAAACGCTTGACGCAACTCATTGATCCTCTTCAACCCCATGCCGTGTTGACTATCCCAAAGCATGCACTGCCAGTCCTGCTCAACCCCATCAATTGATACATGCTTCAGGTACGGAAATCTCTGGCTTGCCACCCTCGAGAGCTCAAGCATGTCATCAAAAATGATAATTTTTAAGCGTGTGACTTCAAGCTCAGTGATTAAAGCCAAAAGCATCTCGTAAATCTTAACACCAAGAAGACCTATCCACAAAGTATGCTCCCATAGTGTCGTACAGAGCAAGGGCAACCCCTTGACGCGAAACTTTTGCAGTTTCTTCAGCTCTGCAAGACTGCCCAACTGGTCCGTCGGAGAAGTTTGGTGCCCGTAGCTGCTGTCGGTAAAGTCCAGAGATAGAAACCGACATTCCTGGCAAAGCAGGATAGCTTTACCGATTTCCGACGGAGAGGCCTCATCCACCTCCACCTCATAATTTTCACCGTCTGGCTCATAAGTGAAGGCTTCTAGCCTGGAAAATAGACCCAGAAGTGCAGTAACCCCTTCGGCGCTCACCGCACAGCGTTCGAGCCATATCTCTTTGACGCCTTCATGAATTGGTGGTTGGGGTGTCTCCCAGTCAGCATTGCAGTAGACTACAAGGCCCCCGAGGCGCTCCAGAGCTGGAGCTGCGATGAGTACCGACGCAATGACTGTGATGTCTGCGGGTCGCCCTCTATGCCAGCTCTTTACAACCAGTTCCTTCAGGCGCGGAAGTGACCCAGGCTCACAAGAGGGAAATTTGCGGCCTTGATCTAATTCGAGATGTAGAATTTCAAGGTTGGCGCCAAAGGGTAAAATAATGGCGGTGAACGCTGTAATAAAGTCGTATTTGACGTTGACGAACTTGACACGTTTTCCACGAATCGGGGGGTTATGATACTTGTGACACTGTCCAAGATGCCACTAGGTTATCTTCTCTTTGTCATCTTGATACTCTTGTATGCGTAGCAGCATTCGTAAAATGCTTTCGAGATCCCGACATTCCATGTCAAACATAAACAGCTGGTTGATGTACTGGGCGAGGTGTGGACGCTCGGCGAGAGTTCGGAGTAGCAGTTTGGATACTGCTGGCGCGCGTGCACAGGGAAAATGATACAGGTACGGCTGAGCAATGTGTTGTATAGTCGTACACGTCTGTGTCATGGCGGACAGTGCTGCGATCCTGACCCTGGCATTGTCCATGACAAAAGCCTTGGCTCCTTTGAAACACGCCTCGTGCAGTTTCTCAGGGTCAATGGGCTCAATGGACACGACGGGCTCCGTGGGCTCAACGGTTTCGCTGGTGCAATGACGGCAGAGATTCGCACATATGATATGTAGGATTTCCAGAGGAAGGGTTAGAAGATGGGCCATTTTGACGGCGTTGAAAGAGACGGTCTGATGCAAAAGTTTGAGGGTTGAAGGAGCCTTGTTCTGATGAAACTGAAGGCATTGGCCTTGACACGCAACTCCTATTGTGGGGTGGATTTGACGAATCATTCCACGTTGTGCTCAGCCGAGCAGGCCGGTCACGCATTCACGGCCTTGATATTACCTCGATGTACCTAAGTAGAACTGGGATGTACCTAGGTAGGTATAAATAAGATAGTGATTACTTATGGTGCTTGAGAGCATTGGGTTTTGATGCTATTATATGCTGCATTAGAGTGTTCTTTGACCATTTGTACGACGGAGGCGTCGTTGAGAAATAAGAAACAAAAGAAAAAAGGCAGTGATTACCAACACCCACGCACCGGCTTTAGGATCTTGTCATAGAAGAGGCGGCCAAAGCTTTGTATTGTGGACAAGGTATCTGGTTTTTATCGCTGCTTTGATAATGATCGTCAACACAGTCCAGTTGTGCAACCACCTTGACCCGTCGCTGATTAAGGCGAGAAATATCCATGACAATCTTGTACCTAATCCTCCAGGAAACAGATGATACACATTCAACTCTTCGTGGAGCTCCATTTCAAGCAGCCAGCGCATCCATATTGGCTCCCACGGTTGCCGGCCCAGCGTCAATAGTGTCATAATCAGCAGATGTAAAGTAGTACCAGCCAAGGCCACTCTCCTTCATGGTCTTGACGTACTCATTCATCAGCCCTCTATCGGCTTCCCGGCCATCGACAGAAGCGCCTGTAAACCGGTTCAAGATGACCGCAGCTTTTGACTCGTAACCAGCAGGAATGTTGTTGCTCAAAGTCTTTTGGCTTTCGTATGGTGGGCCATCGGCACAGTTGAGGCAGCTCTCAAAGGCGATTACAACGTCGCAAATACTGTAGTACTCGGCCTCGGCCCTGCTACCAAAGTTGCAAATCGTCGTAATGCTGTTGCTGAAAGCATTGCGGGCAAAAGTAACAGCCTCGTTGAGGTAGTCAAAGTCGGCGCTACTCTCGTCAAAGAAGATGCCGTCCACGCCAACGTCGGCAGCGGCGTACGTTCCCCAGTTGCTCCAGGTAGTAATGTTGGCCTTGAGCTCGTCGAGAGGCGCCTGTCCGTAGTTGGTACGAACGTAACCAATAGTCTTGACATTGGAGTAGCTGTTGAGCTTGGATGTGCCGTCAATGTAGTTGACGTCGTCGTTGCCGGGCTTGCCAGAAGCACCGGGACCGTTCAACGGATCAACAACGGCCAACCACGGGATGTTGGAATTTGATGATATGGCATCAACAACAGGATTCCAGTTGATAGCTCCATCACCTGCTTCTTGGGAAGGATAGACGTAAAGAGGGAGTAGAATGCCGGTGGCAGCGGTAGATATTGCCTGGCCTACAAGAAGGCTTATAGTACTTGAGAAGCGCATATTGAGATTGTGAGGGCGATACCAGTGTCCGAATACTTGACCTCCCATTATTTTAGTCCCGACATCTTTATACAATAATCGAATGGCGTCGTACGTTGGTCAACATAAGCGCTAGTGGTGAAACGAAGTGCCTGACCAAGGCAAGGGCCCTTCCACTGAATTACACAGGGATCACGATCCGGAGGATCATCATGTCAATAAATTCCTGACATAGATGGCTTGATTAGGTCGGTCATCATCTCTCTCACCCACATGTTTCCGACGTAACCGATTTAGCGACATGTGTTGACCCTGTCGTGAAGCGGTTCAGGGTCACAATGAAGAGGTTTATAAAGAAAGGAGGAGGTCTCATATGCATGAGTAGAGAGTCTTGAAACAAAAGGCAGCAGTGATGAGATTAAAAAACGAAACCAGGGAGTAAAGCCCGGTGTTGGTGGCGTTGACTTCAGACGACTTTGGATCCCCTGGAATATTGGAAGGATCGCAGGCCTGCTCACTGACGCTCTGGCCATCGCCAGAGGTGTCGGTCTCATCTGACTTGATTGGCCCTTACCTTTGTAATAATCCAACGATTGAGCACAAAAATGGGCATCAAGACAAATCTCCGTCGGGGTTTAGGTAGCTATTCGGCGTTAGAACCCCTTCATCTTCACCTGTCTCAACGAGAGTAGCATCCTCCCAGCCAGAACCCTGACAAACTCGCACGCTCAAAGTCCGCATGTCAGCTTCCCAGGAATAACTGGGGATCTATTTGTACCTGCAGTGTGCATAAATACCAGATGAAACCTCTTCTCCCGCTACCACATCCACATGCTGTCTATCAAACTCGAAAATTACGCATATTCAGGCTTTCGGCCACATACGACATAAAACTTTTGATACCCATGCATCCTCTCATCTGCTAAATCCCTCCTCACATTGATGAGGTCCACCTATCATGGGTTAGTAAGAGCTGACTGGGCCAGGAAGCTGGGGACATACCTCTATCTCTTCCTTTGTACGGTTCTTGAATCGGTGCAAGAGGCCGTAGCTGAGGGCTTGAAGACCCTCCTCGATGTTTGCATGCCATAATTCGCCAAGCCTCTTGAGTCTTCGGTTCCTTGGCCACCCGTTTACTGGGAGTTTGTATACCTTCTCTTCCACGTCGACGAACCCTGCCTCTTCGAACCACTGCTTCAAATTGGCAGCTACCGGCAAGGGACGATCAGCAGCGTAGCTGGCGTCTACTATGTCGTCACACCATCTCTTAAAGGCATTTGCGTTGGTGACAGTCTCGTCGTCACATTCCAAGAGACCCATGAGCTCTTGGCACTCCATCCATCCGCCTGGTCGTAGATGCTCAAAGGCTGGCTTGATGACTTGGTTTCCCATGTCGGACCAACAACCCATGGTCACTCTTGTGTGTATCAAATCAAAGTCTTCCCAGTCCCTACCATTGGGCCACTCGTCGGTTCTAGTGCCGTCAGATTAGCGACTTCCACTGTCAACAGATTGGTACTCACGCGTCATCAACAATAAACTCGACATTAGGTGGGACAAGGTCGCTTTGGATGGGCGACAAGTCGGTGCCGACGATGCGAGCCTCGGGATATTCATCACCCATGTCAATGGCCCAAGAGCCTGAGCCTGTGGCGATGTCGAGGACTTTTTGAGGGGGGTTCTCTTGGGTAAATGGAGACAGGTAAGCCCTTCCATCAAGCAAAATCTTGAGGATGTCGTATTGCGCGTCTAGTCGTTCAACTTCAAGCGCGTCGTTTGGATAATGGTACGCTGCGAGGTTAGCATTTCTCTTGCTCAAGTTTGGACCAGGGAAAAACTTACAGCCGGCACGATAAGCGTGGTAGGTTCGTCCATTTTCCTTGTGAAACTCGTATATGCTTTCTGCTATGGAAGCGGTGTCTCTGTGAAATATGAGTAGCTGGACTGCCTGGAGGACCGCCAGACCTACAATGTGAAGTGTGTTCGAGGGTTTGACTGTGTCAAGTAAGCATAGGTCAAACATCGGTCGGAAAACTCATTCTCAACTCACATCAATCTCAATCTTTGACGCATAGTCAAGATAAGACTCGAAACTGAACTTGTAGTCGGAAAGACTGTCTCTTGGTGTCGTTGAGCTGGATGCATCGTTCGAGTCCATGGTGGGGAATCGTCAGGCCTCAAGGCCCAACCCAAAGCGGAAATGGTGGCTTAAGGGCCTCGGCTAGACCGGAGTAGGGAGAGAGATCAAAAAGGGGTCTGTTGGTGATGTTTACAAGGACAAAGAACGAGTGGAACTGGCGATACCGACAGTCTGGTTCTGGCTCTGGGGACGCACAAAGTTAAGGGAGGTTGCATGAGGTAAATTCTGACACAGGGCGACCCAGACTGTTGGGACGCTGATGGAGAAAGAGGGGTCGTTCGATGTTTGGTTCGTGAACTAAGCAGGGAGACGGGGTTTTTATTGGGTGGTTGATTTGCATTCCATGGGGCAAGCCATGGGCAAGGGCTTTGGGCTGGCGTGTGTGATGAGCCAAGGCGGTCAAGCTCGAGGTGTGTCGGAGGCGTAGAAACTCTATTCATGGATTCTTCTTGGACTCTCTCTCGATGGTTCTAAAGACGGCTCGTGCTCTTATCCCCGAGAATCTTGACCTCGGCCTTGATGCCAAGATGGTCTGTCACCCAAGCCTTTTCAAACCCAAGCGCCACGATTTGGCTGCTTTCATCTTCTCCCTCGATCAACACATCTTCACCAAACCTCTCAAACTTGACCACGTCGGCGCCACCACAGAAGTAGACCTTGTCCATTCTCGAGCATCCAAACTGATTCCTTAGCTTTGTCGCTGCCTGCTGGCCCCAGGTATAGCCCTCCTCGGTATCTTCCTTTCCGCCCAGCTCCAGGAATGCGTCCTTTAGTCCATTGTCTGTGTGCAATGTCCGGTCGAAGGGCTGAATGGCGTTAAAGTCTCCCGCAGCTAGTGCGGCGTGGACCTTGTCCTCGCGCAGGTACTGAGCTACGATCTGCATCTGGGGTGGGCGGAAGGGTGGATTGAAGACCATGGACTCGAGGTGTGTGTTGCAGAGGCGGACCGTCTTGCCTTCGACAGAGACATCCACGAAGAAGGCATCGCGATCCATGCGCGTCTTGGAGTAGTGCACACGGAAGGCAGCCGTGATTGGTAGACGTGAGTCAATCAGCGTGACTGTGCCATAATGATTTGTCGCCCAGTTGGTCGTGTCCAGATCCGTCAAATGGAATCGTTCTCGAATCCATGGCGTGGCGGCGATGGTGGCCAAGTCCGAGGGCGTGCACTCTTGGAGGAAGATGACTGGAGCCAGATTTGTCAGGTTGGAGCCTACCAGGCTGCCGAGGTAGGCCAGCGCTGGCTTCATGCGCGCCTCAGCAAAGGGGAGCATGAAATCGATGTTCCAATTGTAGAGCGCGATCCCGTTGATCCCGCCATTTCCGGTCGTCTCCTCCGACGGGGTCTTTGCGACCCAAGCCGAAGTATCCGAGTCAAAGGCGTAGTAGGATTGTGCATGAGGCTCATCGTCCTTCCATGGCACCTCGCCTTTCCGCAGTGTCGCGCTATCCTTCATAGCTTGTCCAAAAAGAGCTTCCATGCTGTTTTTACCGTAACGAATCGAATTGTATGTGTGCAACAAGGTCGCGAGCACTCGAAAGCCCAATGTTGATGGTGACATTGTGAGAAAGTGGGGATGAGATCCTGCTGAGACGCTGACGACACGTGGATCGTGGGTGGAGTTGATGGAAGTTTATGTACAAGGAAGAGTCGGAGCTTCGGAGTTTCAAATTTCTGCGATGGCCATCCATTGATAGGGCTGACCACCATCTTCAAGACATCATCGCGGCCAGGGAATAATTGTCATGGGTGGTTGGACAGAGACAGCCGTGGGAAAGGTCTGCGACACCATGCTGACAGCCATTGACTCATAGTGAGTCTTTCGCCAAATATCCGATCATGACATGCCCATCGGCATTTACCATTAACGGCATTAGGCACCATTCGACGCTCAGCCCTGGACATTTACGACCGAGTGCGACCAAGGTCTTACAGAATACGGGATACCCTGCTGTTTACTGCCTAGGTCGACGCTAGTCTGTTCCATAATGAAGAGCACACCGGATCGGGAATCATTCTGCGCTCCATGTCAGCGATGAAAGGCCGGAGGTAATCAACCTGTCCACCACAACAAAAAAGACACAAAAGGCGGTCGGCGAGCTTTAATTAGGCATACTCGTGACTTGGGGCACAGAACTAACTAAATCCGTAACGGATAATTGAGGATCTCTGACTTCACTGGGACACCGATGGGACCGTCAAGGACATTGCCACGCCGATCTGAGTAACGTTATAAGCAAAGACCAACAGGGGAAGACGCCAAAAAATTAGTCCACAAGTCCATGACTTTCCAACACATTAACCATGTTAGAATCTCCATCTATAATCCAAATCCAAAGCCCATACTCCATATAGAACTCATACTCCAATTTTCGATGCAGTTTTTGCTGCAATGGGCCGAAACGCCTTCAGAACCATCCTGTTCCTGTCATAAACCGTTCCTAATACGACTTTGGAGAATAAGTATCTCCCCAGCTTTCCAAAAACCCATCCGTCCACCCAATGATGGCGCCCCGTACACCATAAGGCGTAAGCTCACCAATACAGGTGTGATTACTATTGCCAAGTCCCCTACCATGCTTGTATACCAGAACGCTTGGGCTAACATCTCTGGGCAACCGCTGTGACTGAAAAACTCCAACAACGATCAAAACCAGAAGAACAATGTTCCCAGTAAACATGGTGAACCAAGGCCGCTTCATCTTGGCTCCTCTCCATCTCGTTGTTCCACTGACCAGCGTCATGATCGTGCAGTCAAATACTTGAAAGGCCAAGGACAGAGAGATGATGATGATTGATGCTTGGAGCCAGGTATACTGCTCGTAGCCTTTGATGGTGATGCATCCAATTCCTTGACTTAACGACGGCGTGACATCGTAGAGCTTGCAGTCAGACTCGACTGCGACGGCGGTCGCAAAGAAGGTTGAACACCATTGTGCTGTGACGTGGTCGCTATGGAACCCTTTGATGGCCATGGCAAGACCAAAGAGTTGAATGGAAAGGAGGAGGATGCCTAGGACAAAGGACAGCAACGCGAGCCAAGCGCGGCCCACAAGCTCCGAACTCGCTGGTTCGCGGTTGAGTTCCGTCCATGACGGGGGAAGGGGAGTAGGTGTTGCCGTTTTCCCAGACCCTATTTGATTAGTACATGTGCGCCAGAAAGGCTTGTAGTGTGTCATACCTTCAATCCTAACTTCCTCGCTCCCTACCACCGTGCTTGAAGCTGTACTACTTCGGCGTGCACTAAGCGGCAAGAAGTCGGGCAGAGCCCTCACTAGAGGCCAAAACCCAGTGTCTTCGACGATCAGGAAGACGAGCTGCATCATAGCCCCGATATCTAGAACAACAAAGATGGGCATCCACACGAGCACAGCCTCTGGTTCGATGCTGCTCGTGTAGGCCTGAAGCTGGAACCACACTGTGGTGACGGCCAGGATGATGGACAGGGCCTGCACCCTCTCCCAGCGGTGAACCCTGATCAAGGTGATGGGGAAATGGATGAGGAACCAGGCCAACGTATAGGGCCACGGGAGAATAGACCCAGCGTCATCGGGCCTGACGTATGAAGCGTTTTTGGCGCAGTACTCTCCATGAGCCAAAGATGCAGAAAAATCTGCGATGGTCAGGCCCAGCTCTGCAGGGCCGACTGTAGTCGAGTTGCTATTGCAAGTGTCTAGGATCATAATAAAGCAAGTAGAACAATGCCTCGTATGCAGTATGTAGAAGAGAATGCCTTGGAGGATGCAGTTTATCCCGGGGTCGCAGGGGCCTTTTATTCGCATCAGGTTGTGTTCGCCCAGTCTGGGAAAGACCTCTAGCCAAGAATATCGGACGTAGTGTTACCAGCCATCAAACAACCTCGTCTATTGGACACTGTTTATGGGAGATCTAAAGAGGAATGCCGCCATGCGAGGACCTGCGCCATACAGGAAGCCACAACGGTCGTGATAGGTTTTCAACGTGCAAGCTGAAAAGCAGGGCGGCTCTCGGACACTATTGAATGAGGGGTATGCAGTTGCAGCAGCGCCATCCAAGCCGTCTAGACTCTTGTCAGGCAGAAACCACAGCTGTGCGTCTGCAAGGTGCCTGTTTGCTCGCCGTCAATTTGCGGAGGTTAGGCAAGGGAGTGCCAGATGACCGCCAGGAACGCTTACCAATTTGGAATGCATTCTGTTTGAGGCGTAAATAAGGTGGTTGCAGAAAACAGATCCCTCGCTCGATCAAACAAGGCTCTGGAGGCTGTGCTGTCAACATTTGTCACACTTCAAGCACGTCGACACTGTGAAGTCAGCGTAACTGGAGGTAGTTAAAATTCGAATCAAGTAACTACCCTCCAGTTGTTTCCTCAAAGGAGCTCCTCTTACGGCATTTTGTTTGCCCTCGCTCCAGGTGATTACGACGCTCACGCGACCAGGCTCTGCACCGAGCCAACGAAGCAATAGGTTGACGTAACGCCAAGCTAAGTCTGAGACCTAGAACGCAAGCCATGCATGAGAATGTGGCCAATCTATATCAAAACTGTAAAAATGGCTGAGAAATTGCTAGACACATAGTCCTTGTCTCCTGCATAGTTCCAGGTTTGGTGTCTGCTGGTCCGACAAGGCAATTGTGGCTCAGACAAGCCTAAGCGATGCGGGGGAGAAGGTCCGAAAGACGGGGCGGCTCGTCCCTGAGTCCATCTTCAATAATCGCGTAGGTGCTATATCAAAATTGCAAGCATGAGGCAATTCTGTGTTGTTCTTCGGCTTTCTGGAATCAACTATCCCTCGTAGTGACAGGAAAGTCTCCAAGAGAGAAATCCCCTCTCAAAACTACCGATCAGAGAAGTATCGACGGTACCAAACACCCTCTCATTCCCAACTCTCCCTTCACAGCCTGATTTACAGTGAAAACAAGGTTATCAAGTCTGTTGCCACAAAAACACTTCAAACTAGGCTGCTAATGAGTGATGGGTCTCATCTGAGACCTCTGCTTAGAGTGCAATACAGACCATGGCACAGCAAGCCTTGTTGCATCGAGACGAGCTGAGTATGTCGTCTTCAATGATCGAATCCAGTTAATCCGGCCGCATCATCCATCCCAGCGTTGATTGAAGCTATCAACACCAGGCCAGGGGGAAAGCATTTGATTCCTTCGTTAGTTTTCTCAAGATGTAGCAGACAAACAAAAAGTCACTTTAATGGTTCCGTAAACTAGAAAGCTTGTATCTTATCAAGTGCAGGTTCGTTCATATCTATCGTCGTCTGTGTCTCACTGGAGGCTCCGGACTCTCAGGTCCTTTCCCTAACTCAACATCCAGAAATCCTCGACAGAGACCAACTGCCATGTCCTCTACCTCACCGTCACACATGTTGTTGAATTTGTTGCTTGTTTCATACACAATCTCAAAAACCTCGCCTCCATTCTCCTCAGCATCACCAGGCTTGCCGTCCTCGCCAGTCAAGACGCGCACTCTAACGGTGTAGATCTCGATCCCGGTCCAGCTTCTGCAAAGATGGACATTAATGATGCCCTTATTGTCTGGACCGCTGGCGGCAATGACCCATTTCTGCTCCATTTCGGATGGTGAAAAGCCCTTGAGTAGTTTGGTCATGTCTTCGCCGGAGAGACGGGCTTGCCAGGGCATGCTTTTTGGCTTTTCGATGCGCTTCATGTCGTTGATGGTGACTCTCTCATTTGGGTCTTGTGGTGTATCGTCGACCTCGTAACCCAGGTGCTCGATAGAGCTGCGATTTCTAATACGTCTGATGAAGCGCGACATGATGATTGATGTGTGATGCGAGTGATGAGACAAAGAGAAAATGCCAAGTCAGTCTTGAGGTGAAAGCCTGTTTTATCATTTCAGCTGCGTGGCTTAGACTGCCCGTTAGTCATCGCCCAGATGGCTCGCAAAAATGCTGCCAATAGGAAAACCGTCGCTGGGCGTCAGCATGGAATGGGGCTATGGGATGGTAGGGCTGAGCAGGGCTGAGCTCTGGAGGATGCTTTGCTCTTGGCTAGTGAGTGTCAACCAGGTATGCCTTCACTCTCCGAATACAGTTTAGAATCCAGTGTGATTTAGTTATCGAGATTTAGGCTATCGATCTACTTTATATAGACTTAATAGCGCATTCTAGAGCTACGTGGGATGGACTATAGTTGCGGTTACCCATTGTGCTAGATTCCTTCAAAGACCCCAAAGTGACTCAAGTAATTTGATCTCCTCATGCTGTGACTTCAATAGTTCCAATGTCTCTGTTCAGCCTTGATCATTCCACCTGCCCAAATGAATTCTTTATGCCTGGTCTTCAGAAGGGTACTAGCAAATGAGGATGATGAGAGGTTGCGTTCATAATCAGGCAACAAGTGAATCAAAGCCCCAAGAGGATACCGACTCGGCAGTTATCTCGTCTTGATAGCTCCGGACAAGTGCATGGGACACAGGCTTGACAACGCATGAGAGAAATTGCAGCATCAGGATGAGTGTTCTGGACCCAATTTGCAACACCGATCCCCATCCAAGAGCGGGTCACCCGCCAACCATTCGGACAGCTTCCGTAGCTCAGTTGGTTAGAGCGTCGTACTAATACTCCATCAGAGTGTTCTGTAATGCGAAGGCCTCTGGTTCAAGCCCAGGCGGAAGCATGCTTCTATAAGACTCCCTTATATAGGTATCTTGGTTTCATTTTTAGTGGCCTTGACTTATATTTTTGGCTTATACCATATTATGGCCCCGGAAGGAAAGCTCCCCCTTCGTGGGCGAACTTGTTAAACTCGGGTTATCTCTCAGGTTCAGGCCCTGGCGGGAGCAAGTCTCTCTGTACCCTCTCATTTTTTCAATGATATACTTGTCAGACACATGATCAAAAAACATACTGAGAGACACACGGCAACATCAAACCCCAATGTTGCAAAACACCATGTATGCGCCCTCCGATGGTTTCTTTTTGCCGTTGTTGGCTTGTGGTGGTCGTAAAGGTGGTTGGTGATGAAGATCATGGTGTTGAGGCTTTGGGTGGCAGTACCGCTTTTTTGCGCGGAAAAGTTGGAGAGAGAAGGTGCCTTGGGGTCAGAGCTTCCTCAAGAAATACACGCTGCTTCCTTTTTTCCATCGGAAATTTTGGAATTAGCTAGATTTCAGCCGTCTCCCATCTCAGCAACTTTTGGCATCGCAGAGTTTGGAAACACGGGAAACTGAAGCCGGAAGGCCTTTTGCGCCTCTCTGAGGCACCGTAGAATCGGACCTATGCAGCGACTTACATCGCTTGCATTATTGACGGTGTTTCTCTGCGAACTTGCATCGAGGCTTCATCCTTTCAACCTCTCATGGCATCTATACCAAGACAAGAATAAGCTCTGCATACATATCAACGCTAAGTTCAAAATGATTTGCCACAAGGAAAGTCTTTGGCTAGTGGCCAATTTTTGGTGGCCTCAAAGCTAGTGTCTCGCCATCCCCTCGACGACCACAGGGCACGCTAAAGAGTGATAGAGAGCACGCCAGGTAGGTAACAGTAAACAGAAACGAGCGATTCAAAACAATTCCACCGTTTATAGAAAGGAAATAAACGAACCGTCCGGGAAACACCTCAAGCCGCTCCGGGCTTTCTCGCCCAGAGAACCTTTCGTCGATAGTAGCCATGAATGTCCTTGGACCGAAACTCTCTTCGAAGTTGGGCAATGTATACCGTAACTTCTTCTTTGCTCCAGCCTGCCAGGGCCGCAACGTACATCATTGTTCCCTCTGTATCCTGTTCGACAGCGAGTTGCTGGAACCTGGCAATCTCCTTTTGATTTGGGTCATGCGGCCAGGATCCGATGGGAGTCTATACAGAGTCAGAAGCTTGCAGTAATCTAATTTAGTGGTCGAACGCACCTTAAAGTTAGCTTCCTCGATCGCTTCGAACCCAGCCTCCTCCAACGCCTTGCGCTGAATACCATCTTCCAAGACTGTCATGGTACGACCCATCTTCTTACCTCCTTCCACAAAGATCTTACCAAATTGTCCCATGGCAGTCTTTTCGTTCACAGTACCATCGTCGCTCTCAAAGCGAATGGAAGGTTCTTGTGTCTCGATGTATCCGCCAGGCTTCAGAGTCTTGTAAGCCTGCTTGAACAGAGCGGTCCAGTCCATGATGCTTCCGAAAAGCCATCGGATGTGCACGAAATCGTAGGAGTTCTCCCCAAAGGTCCATTCTTGCGTACAGTCATCCATTTGACTGGAAGTTACGTCAGCTACTGAAAACGGCGAGACAGATGCCCAGTCCAGACTCACAACTCAAGATTCGGTGGTACCCAGCTAGGCTGTATGGGCGAGATTTCGGTACCAACTACTTTTGCGTTGGGGTGCGCGTCGGTAAAGTCGCTGCGTGTGGACGGTCACTACGTGAACGCGAGAGGGAAACCCGCGAAGCTTACATTGCCCAGATGCCTTCACAACGCGGCCATGTTAGCCTCAAGGGACTGTTCCTTCAACTTTTTGGATACTGGAGAGACTCACCTGTGCCTGTTCCTATGTCGATGACTTTCTGATACAAAATGAGGCTGTGGATTTGATGGGTCTGGGAATGAACACACCTCAACGTCATCTTTCAAAGGGGCTAGATGAAGTTTGCCATCGTGAGAGAGTGTGAGAACATGATGGCTGGTAAATATTGTTAGGTTTAGCATAAGTGGGAAGGGCCATGCTCACATGATATCCAGTGCGTCATTCTGTCTCTCATCGTTTGATGCCCTGGGTAGACAAGGTGAGATTCTCAGCTGTTACTAAGGACACGGCTGTCATTATTACCAATACTCGGCATTTCCTCGATCGCTGTGGTACGTCCGGCCGTGGATCGTCCGATACTGAAAAATAGACGAAGACAAAGAAGCAGTGCTGCTGGCGTTATCCTCAATAGCCGAATCCGCATCGTCATCTGGGTCCTGGGTCTGCCGGTCATGGGATTAGCTTTCTCGCTAACCGTGTTTCTCCACGCTGATCTGCACAAACCTGTGCTATCTGGGCCCAGTGTTGAGCAGGCAAAACACCAGGGAGAGGTTCATTCTGCGCCCGTGGGACCGCAGCGGCCTCGGGCTCTTTCGTTGCTTGCCGCTCGGTCATCTTGGCAGACAGTTGGCAGTTGACAGTCGCAGAGAAAGAGTCAAGAAGGACAGATTCTGGTCATATCATTATCTGACACGCTCGGTTGGACGCGGGGCTGTAGTATTCCCGGTCAAAGGCCCCCTTGTCCCTTGCCTCTTCCCACGCGGGAACACTCCACGTTATTGCATCTTGGCAGGCAGCCTCTGAACCTGGGTTGGTTGGTTACATGTCACAAACAATGCGCAAACTTTACCCCGCCCGTGGGAAATGCCTCAATTATGAGGCTGGGATGCGACGTGTGACAGTTGGTAATGCCCCGGCGCAAGGGCCAAGAGGATGTTGGTTCCCTTTCCGTGTCTGGGCGAGAAGTTGCTGTTTGTTGGTTCCCATTTAGTCTCAGCCAAGTCGGCAAACATTCCAGTTATCCGAGTCTAGCACAAGGCATCAATATCTGTTAGAGCCTCATATTATTTCACGTCCATAGCTCGCTTCAACGTTACTTCACAAAGTGTGAGTGACACAAAGGCCTGCAACCCCCTATTGACGTAGCTTCCCCCATCTGGCCATGCTGACAGCCCCTAAAACTCGGTTGGGTTGACGAGGTCGGCGATGAACCCTGACCAATTCCGGTAGGAGCTGAGTCCCCGGTAAAATGCAGTATAACACACGTAGCTGCAGAACGAAAACGGAGTTGGTCTAGCCAAGGTAACGCTATTCACTAAATGACATTAAAACTAGGAGAGTTTGCGTTGGCCCGCGGGAGCCGCCGTCCTTTTGTGGCTGAGACACTCGTGTTCCAATCGGATGTGAAAACACCACCGACATATTCTCAACTCACCCATTTCACATCCACATCAAAGTCACAAATGGGGGGTCAAAACAGAAGATGAAAACACTGAGTTGCATGCTCCACTTGCTGGTTTAAGAAACATGATAGTGTAGCTTCATAGCAGTGAGAGGCTGTGTACATGATGATGCATTGAGGCTACAGGGTGGGTGATGCTGTACTCCCTTGAGGCCTCCGCTGATGCTCAAGTATGGCGCATCACCTATCCAAACGACTTCGTTTGGTTGACGGACCATCTGGACTCTCAGATTTGGTTTCTGAGCCCTTCAAGACCTTGAGAATCCCTCGACAATTAGGTCTTCTCTGAGCCTGCTCTTCGACACGTGCATGAGGATGTCGAATCATCTGGAGTATCGCCGTTCCAAGCTTTCCTATTGTTGTGTCAACATCGCTTCGTAAGCTAGAGCATATAACTTACCAGGGTAGTTTGTGGTAATCACTTGCGTCACCCGATCATACTCAGTATGGAAACGCTCCCGATAACTCTCAAACTCTTGTCCTTGACGCCAAGGATTGACGCTGAACTGCCATGGATGCTTCCCGAGGAGCATCCGTAAAGCTACGACACCTATGGCCCAGACATCCGTTGAGTAATCGAATTGCCCCATCTCCCGCTCTGGTGACAGCCACCCCACTGTCCCGGAGCGCCCTGGTGTTGAAAGTGCATAACCTTGAGGCGCATAGATAGCGTCTTCTGTGTCAAGAAGAACAATAGACGCCTTTTCCGAGTCCCAGTGATGAAACCCAATGTTTGGGGGCTTAATGTCCCCGTGAATCCATTTGTTATCGTGAAGAAAGTCAGCTGCCTCCAGCAAGGACACAATCATTGTCTGAGCCATGTCTAGTCTGGGTAGGGGGGTCAGCGTCGCAGTTTCACCCACGGGGCAAAAACTGACTGCACAGGTGCTCTCCACTGAGATAATATTCTGCGTGCAAAAGGCGTCAACGCAAACCACACGTCGGCTGTGTCATTGTTTGCTCTGGGGTCATCCGTAATGACCTCCCGAAGCTGCACAATACTATTGTTCTTCGCCGCGTTTGCGATTCGTGTGAGGACCTCAAGTGTGCTCTGGCGCCTCTCTAGAGTGTTTCTGATTTTTGACACAGACATTCTCTTCAAGGCGACGACCTCTCCAGTCTTGTTGATCGCCACGCTCACACGCCCCTCGCCCCCTAAGCCGACGGTTCCTGCATTGGTGAGAGTCCACTGGCCAACCTGAATGCTGTTTCCAGCTGCTGGAGTAGGAGTTAGACTTAGGTCAAGGGTGATAGAATGGTTATCGATAGACTGCAGTATGTACTGGGCAAGCCTTTCGGTGTACTCTTTTGTGGTGCTGAAGCGTGTGTATGCAACCTCATACTTCAATTGACCTAGTCGGATAAATGAAGAGTGCTTGTTTAAGACGCGGAATTCCCTCGGTTGCAAAGTGTCACCGTCAACTTCTACAAAGCCCTGATCTGACAACTTCCTTAAAAGAATTCTGCCAGTCTCATGGATTTGGAAGAGGGCGTGATGCTGTCGGATGCCCTGCAGGGCTGACTTCTGCAAGCATAATACAAACTCATTGTGCCCCCTGCGTGCTCCTCGTCTTCCAGCTGACCACCCACGAAAAGGGCTCGCTGGTAGACGCCTGAGATCAATGTAGTAACAGCCAGTCCGAATGTATGTGCCAGGATGGTCATCCTCAACGACCACGGCGGCACCGGAATTTTGAATCGGCGAATGATGGCTGAAAGACGAGCTTGGGGATGACGATGAAAGCTGGCCAGTATTCATCTGTTCTATGAGCTTCTCAACTCCTGAATCTCGAACGTGCCCGAGTGGTGACCATATGTAGCCCATCGCATGATTTCTTGCGTTGCTCTCAGAGCTTGCATCGTTATCGTCTTGGCCCTCCTGAGACTTTTCAACGAGCCAGTCCACTACCTCTGAGAAAGCAAGTCTGGCCTCGGCATTGTGAGGTGTGATTGTTATCGTGGCATGGGAGGCTGACGAAAGTGGCCCTGTCGGGTCTTCATTCGTCACCTCGCTACTAGCAGGGCTCGAGGCCATTGAATGAGCTAAAATGTGTGTGACACGGCTGCTCTGGTGGCTGGACAGGCCGTCGAATGATGGGATGGGCCGTGAGACGCCATCGTCGGGTGGGGCTGGCTTAACGGCGCGCTCAGCAAGGATGGATGGCGGGAGGCCGGTCATATTTGTTCCGGTGACGGCCCCAAATTGTTCCATGCCGGCATCACAACACTCTTATGGTCGGCCTCCTGAGGCTGGCTGTTGGAGGCCGGCCTCCCAGAACAATCAATCAATAAGCCGGCGCATCAACATCCTAGTCGCTCAATATCGATGGGAGACAGTCGAAAAAATGCTTGCGATATAACTTTTCTTTGAATCTCTCGCCAAAATATTTGCCCAAGGCGACATGCCGGCGTCTGAATCATGCAACTCTCCAACACCTGAACCGCGCGCTCCACGCCATCCAGCACCATGGCGACTGGTCGAGGCAATTCTTTACGAGCACCGGGCCTGTGATGTATGACTATTCCCTCCCTACGATGTCCTGACGTCTAACATCTTCCCCCAGTTTCTTCCAGACCCTGTCGAGACCGCTGGCTCACACCTCGTTAACGCCCCTTCTACGCCGACATCCAATCAATCACACGACCCCGAGTTCGTCGAAAGGCTGCACAGATGCCTAGAGCTCGCCATCTTTCGACAAGAAATTCGCCGTAGTATGTATGGAACAGCTACGGCCGATGACATCCGACCGGGACACACTCCACCGGGCCTGAGAGAAGCGATGCGCCGGGCTGCCCTCGATGGCCTCTACGATTCCGACAGCAGCACCTCGTCCGAGCGATCATTAACGACCGTATCGGCCAATACTCCGCAGAGCTGTGACATGGTGTCACACGCTGCGTCGAAACAGACTATCGCTCCGAGGCTCGGGATACGGACGGGCCCATTCATTGGAAAACCACTCGGCGTCACCCCGTCCTCTCCTCCCTTGTCAAATCTTGATACCAAGTCGCCACCAGCGGCGAGTGTTTCGACAATCAAGAAGAGGAAACATGCCGAGACAGGCACACAGTCTCCAATGCCGGCAAGAGACGCGACCAACCAAAAGCGACGCCGACGGCTCGATCATACAACGCTGGACATACAATGAGTTTCAATGTCAGAGAGGCAGGCGCTGTTGTCGGTTCACTTTACCAGTAGAGGCAGAGAGTGCTGGGCACAATATCAAAGAACACAGGGTTAGCATAGAGCACGGTGATCGCTGTGTTCATGATTAATCCCTGCGTTCTTTGATACTGTAGCTAGTGCTCGCTGTTTCTATGAAGGGAAGTGCGGCCATCAATGACAGTTTGATAGCCCTTTGGAATGAGACCCAAACTCACATCCGATGTGATGCGGCATGATACAGTATTCAACTTCATTATTGTCTGCAATGATGCCTCCAGGAGGAGCCATCAGCCACAAATGACTGCTTTTGGGGACGTCACTGCGGACAGTAAGGAAACTGAATATCGCGCAACTCTACATGACGTCGGGCTCGGAAAGATGTTGCTTCACGGGTTGTTCAGACGTTGCTGTTTGGTAATGGTGGACAAGCGTTGTGGACAAGGCCATTGAAAGGTAATTTGACCTCATAGCATGCCTAAAGGTAGGCCAAACCTTTAGGCATGCCATGGGGCGAGATTACAAGGTCAGGTGGCCAAACTCCCTTCAGCCAAGGACGTGCAGCCCCTTGAGCCACGATATGCGAACAACAGTCTTGGAATGGTTGGCTACATACAACGTTTATATTAATGCACTGATCAAATCATTAAATGGTTACTATCTTCTATTCACCATTCCAGCAGTGACTCTTCGCGAAGCCTCTTTAGTGTGTGCCCTTCCAGCAGCCACCTCTCGTCTTGAAGCCCCGTGACCTCCAACGTGGGTTGACAAGCAGTCGCACTCGCAGGACCAACGGAACATATTCATTAAGGAACGCCAGGAGCGCGCAAATTTTGTATTTCTTGCTTGTCGTTTAACCTCTCAGTCGATAGGTGTGAATATAATAGGCAGCTCCGGCACGTTCAGGGTGAAGGTATCCCTGGCTCCCTTGTCAAAGGCCTCTCCATCATCCCCAGGAGGGAAGGCCAAACTGTACTCGAGAGCAATACGACTAATAACCATACGGAGTTCCATGAAAGCAAGGTTCTTTCCGGGACAGCTGTACTGACCCCTTGAGAATGGAATCCACGCCACCTTCTCCGGGTTCAAGTTCTCCCAGCGTTCGGGTCTGAACTCGAGAGCATTCTCCCAGTATCGCTCGTCTCGCTGGATTGTGTAAGTGGGAACAGAGACGATGGTGTCACCCGGGATGAAGACCTCATCGATCTGGAGGCCTTGTGGAGGTGTCAAGCGAGAAAGGCCTCCGGGGGCTGACGGTTTCAACCGCAGTGTTTCATGGATGACGTATTCGAGATATGGTATCAACTTGATCTTTTCGTAGGTCCAGTCTTTGACTCCTTCGGGAAACTGAGCTTGGACAGCTGCTTGTAGCTTTCGATAACAGGTTGGGGATTTGGTCAAGAAGAATAGCCTAGGCATGATTAGCAAGGTTCATCAAGAGTTTGGGTAAAAATGAACGCCTACGCATTCGTCAAGGCTACTGCCGTTGTGTCGCTGCAATGATTAGCAACTGCCATGGATAGCGGGCTGTCGGTTGATGGCTTACCTGCCGGCAACAATCATGAGACGAGAGTCTTCCTGAAAAGCTCCCTCTCCAGGAGGGGCAGATCGATCATTTTCGTCTTCAGCCCTGAGAAGCCATGAGATGACATCTCTCGGGTCGTGGTCTTTGAGGATTTCTTTATTCTTGTTCTCGATCTTAGGTGAGGTCAGCTCAAGGTCTAGGAGACTGAATAGTGACATGACTTACAGCACGTTTCGCTTGAAACTCTCGTGCGCACCAGTCTGCAAATCTTGCGTAGCTCCCAGTGGCTCCTGGAATTTTTCCGAGCATAGACATGAGCCAGGGCACTGTTGAAAGCACACCGACAGCAACCATGTTCTCATGCAGGGCTTGTATGGCTGGGTGCTTGTAGCCTGAGTCCAACATGTTGAAGTCCTTGGAGAAGCCTGATAAAGTGAGTATTTAATGTTCCGTAAAGGATTCTGGATAGGACTGGCTTACCAACTTGTCCCATGACGTCGAATCCAAAGAAGGCTGCATATAGGGTCATGTCCATCGGTGTACCTTGTTTCTCTGCAATTTGAGACATCAAAATCTCCACTTTGGATGCGATCTTCTCTTCATATATGGCAAGGGCTAGATTACTTCTTGTCAGTACAGACTCTTGTTTAGGCATTTCATCTCATACCTCTGAAGCCTAGACCTCTCACCCATGCCTTCTTTCGGAGCTTGTGGGCCGTCAAGTCGCGAGTGGTATGAAGCGAGATCTTTCTCACATCGTCCGACACTTGACTGTACCATGTCGACCTCACACATTGGTTTGGTGGTTCGTAGATGATCGAGATGGCACTTTCACGAGTGATGGAGATTTCACGAGGTCCTGCACCGCTCCTGGTCAGCTACTATTCGTGTTGTAGGCTTATGATGTACAAGCATACCAACTCGAACAAAGTCCCCGTAGATCTCGTGCAGTTTCTGGACTTCTTCGTTGGCTTTCAAGGCTTTCGCGGCATTTTTCATAGCATAGAAGCGCGAAAGCTTGGCCGGGAACGGGCCTGGAAAACGGTGAAGCCGGTGAAAGAAAGCCCGATAGATGAGGATACTGCTCGCAAGACCAACATTGAAGGCATTCGAAACCAGTGCTGTTCTCAAAATTGCCCCGATAATGGTGAACTTGCACACTTGGATGTAAGTAAGCAGGAGGGTGGTAATCACGCCCAAATAGGCAAAAACAATGGCCCAGGCTTGGCTGTCGATCTCGAACGGCCTGATTACCAGGTGTGCGACGATCCCCAGCAGAAATGAAACCTCGGCCGTGACCAACGGGGCTGAGTCGAGGGCTGCGCTGAGTACCAAGCCAAGGGTCGCCATCTCGAAACAATTTCCAAAAGAGAAAGAAGAAGAATGAGCGAGAGCTGCACTTTGGAGCTCGAGCTGAAGAATATGGCGTTTATGTATGCTGAATTATTCAATAAAAATGAAACATATTCTGTAGAGCTGACATCAGCGGCTGAAGATGCAGGACGGCTGGCAGCAAATCAACAATCACGGATTGCATTTCTGTTTGCCTCGAATTGGCGGCATTGTGCGCTGCAAGGATGGCCTCACAGGGCTGGCAACCACATGCTAAACATTTCCAAGGTGGTGCCCCGATGGCGCGTGGGGCGTATTGCTTAGCTTCAGGTGGTAATGGGCTATTCATGCCAGTCAGCGGCATGAGCATGGCTGTGTTTTTGTGCTGCCAATGGAGGCGTTATGTCGAGATGTGCGCTTGTCGAATCAACTTCAAGAACACAACACTCTTCCAGAGACATCAGGTGTGGCCCTCACGAACTGACCGTGTTGGTATGGCTCAAGCCCATGCCATGCGCAGCGATGGTTTCTATAATCCAGCCATTCGTAGCATCGCGGTTCTTGGTGGTGTAAGGAGAGAGCTTGCTCGTATCGCAACTTTGCAGTGAAAACTTGGGCAGCAAGCCGTAGGCAGATCAATAACGCAGAAATCCATTGTCAAAAATGGCCTATCGTAGAGGGAACGCTTCTTAGCAAAGCCATAATGTAGATGCTACTGCAAGACAACAAACGCCAAGCAGGGACAAGAAGCTTATCACCAATTCGCATATCTAAACTTTAATTCTAAAACAGAGCTCCATTCGAGCTGCCACGCTTCATCGGACGATCTTGGCTCCTTCGTGTGTGTGTCTTACGCCAAGATCCGTCGCTCCCCGCGGGCGCCGTAGGTACCCTCTGTCGATTGGCCGCTAAACGCCAAGATCCTGCCCAGAAAGAAGGATTGGGATGCATTCGTCATGCCTCTTTCAAGTTTAATGACGAGTGTTTTTTCGGTTTCACCGTCGGATGCCTCAATATTGAAGTATTCTGGAAGCAAATTACGCCGTGTGAGGCAAAGCAATGGGGCGGTGTGTTTTGCGAAATCTGCATAAAGAGCGTTGAGATCTTTCCTGGAGCGAGACCGACATGAACAACATCAACCTTCATCCATATCGTCAATCCCAATTCCAATATGAGGTAAATATCGGAGCTCAATCATATAACACCAGTGCCGTGCTAATAGCCTTCAGTACACAAAAACAAGACAAGACGGTGACGTCCAAGATCACCTCTAAATTAGTCCAAGAGGCTATTCGTGAAAGAGACAGAAACATCAGCCGTCCCGAGGGCCCCATGAAGAAGAAGGATGACCCAGTCGATGACCTCGTCAGATTGGCGGCTGCAAGCATCGGCTTCGTCTCCGAAGCCATCCACTACCGACGACAGAAGAAGGAAGCGAAAAAGAAACAGAATGCGGCCGTCGCCCAACATCAGAATGAAGTTCCCATCGCCGAACAACTGAATGAGGCCATTTGGGAGTTGGACGCTGTCGGCCAAGAAGGGGCACAAGAGGAAGGCCCGCAGTCTCCCAAGGAGCTTGATGCGACTGCAGAACCCAAGGAATCCCACGAGCCTGAAGAGTCCAAGGTGCGCAATAAACTGCAGAAGCCAAAGCCAGAGGAACCAAAGGAACCAAAAGAGCCGAAAGACGTCGCCAAAGCTTTTCTTCAGAGACACCCCTTTGATGGCCAAACAGACCCCAACACGAAACTCGCGTTGCCCGTCATCCTACCTCAGCGACGCCCAAAGGATAGGGGGCGAGGGTTCGTGCGGGCGTATGCACCAGTATTGGCAGACGTTGGCATCGATCAAGAGACATTCCTTGACCTGATCGATTCGTTCAACAAGTCCTTGGAGCCGAACCCATATCTCTATGCCATCAACTTGACTGGTCTTGCCAGCATGGCCGCTCCCGAGCCCTTTACTATGCTTATTGGTGCCAGCATCGACGTCCTCAGTTTTATGACAGTCGAAGCACACAGTCGATTCAAGTCAAACAAGTTCTTAGACCATATCAATGCAGAGTTCTTTGCTCCCCGTGGTCTAGTCTGTCTCATCGTCACCTGGAGCCCCACCACCAATAACGACGAACTTGTATCTGCGGTTGCCTTGGATGGCAGGCCAGCTGAGTCACCACCCTTGACTCAACAGATGAAGGATATAGTGATGCAGAAAGCCTCGGGCAAGGAAAGCCTGGAGAAGTTCAAGCACCAGTTCCAAGACAATATGAAGCCTTCCAAAGGGACTGTTTCTTGGCCTGAACCAGCACCACTTACCTTTCCATCGCTGGATGAAATTTCCGAAGGAAAGGAAAGCGAGGAGAAGAAGAAGAAGAAACTTGACAATGCAGAGAAGTGGCTCGATGAGTACATGGATAGGCGTGGGCAGGCCAAGTGGATCAGGAAGAACCCGGATCACTCGGTGGCCAACATGCTACCGAAACCCGAGTTTCGGTCTCGGTATGCCGACCCGAATCACCCTGCTTCTAGTGGTGATATCGTGGCCTTGTTCACTGGCGGTCGATGGAAATATGGCCGTGCGAAGCCTGCTGAGGCTGAGAGTAGTGCCAGCAAGGCAGACTCGGATCGAGATTCAGATAGCGAGAAGGAAGACAAGAAGAAAGAGGAGAACAAACAGACTGATGAGGCAAGCGACGATGAGGAAAAGGACCAGCGTGCATCAAAAGATGAGGACAAGAAGAAGTCTTCCGGTGGATGGGGACAACTGTTTCAGAGCGTAAGAAGCCCCTGCCACACTCTTTTCGTGATGTGCTAACAAGACTCGCAGAATGTTTTATACCTTGTCATCACTAATCTTCCTCAAAAGGAGGAGCCGGCGGAAATTGACAGTCCCGTGGTCGCAGAACTCCCATCTTGAGATGGAAAGGAGAGGGGTTTTGGTGGGACTGGGAGCCATTATGCCCTCAGCCATTGCCGCCAAGGGGGTCGTAGACGACAGGCTTTCTTTCCTTTGAGCATAATTACTATACCATTGGAGCAATTGCATCTTCCAAATTTCTGTTTGTAGCCGTTACATCCGTTCAATTCGTACTCATCCTTTCAGCTCGATTCAGCCCACGAAACACTTGCCCCTTCTGTCGTAAACGAAACCAGGTGACCAAAAACAATGGTGACGTATCATTATAGAGACGTGCCTCGGCACACTTCTCTCCTCGTCGACCTAAACAAGGGAGACTGCAGCCAGACGCCGAGGTCATGGTTGATTTTGCGGGGTTAGACGCGCCCAGAAGGGCATTGATGATCTTTACCCCACACTTTGGCTTTTTCCGAGATTTCGATGCGGCGCCAGCCGATGGAGGGTTGGTATAAAGGTTGGAAAGGACTCTTGAAGCGTTGGTGGGTGTATTTTGTCTCTCTTTTCATCTTGAAACCTCTTATAAAACCTCTTCCGAGTCGCCGTGTCTCAGGATTTGTGGTTGCCTGTGTTGGCTTAGCTCCCCAACAAAAACCCACTGAAGCCCTTCAACTTCCTCCTCACAAACACCATGACGTTGAGATCACGCTGGGAGGAGCCAATTCCTCACTGCTCTTTGCAGCAATGGATCTTTGGCTCGGCTTCTGGTCCTATGGACGACTCTGAGAAGCCTATTCTCATCGATGCCGATAGACCAGAGACTCACCACCTCAACAAGACCCAGTTTCGTCTCCTCGCAAAGCAGATTGCGCTTGGACTCATCGATGCAGGTCTACGGGAGGGAGACAGAGTGCTCGTGTTCTCTTCCAACAACATATACTTCCCAAGCGTGTTTCTTGGAATCTTGATGAGCGGGGGAATATTCACCGGCGCAAACCCTGGCTTCACTTCGCGAGAGCTCGCGTACCAGCTCAAAGACTCGGGCAGCACCTTTCTGTTTACGGTATCGACTCAAATTGAGACTGCGATCGAAGCTGCAAAGGCCGCTGGTCTCCCTTTGGATAGGATCTTTGCTTTGGACCCTTCGATACTGCCGCCATTGGATCAATCAGCTCCCACCCAGGCCACGCAAGTGAACGGTGTCCGGTCTTGGACCGACCTTCTACTTGGCAACCAAGAACGAGCAAAGACCTGGGAATGGCGGGAGCCAAACAACCCAGAGACAACTGTCTGCTGTCTCAACTACAGCAGTGGCACAACCGGAGTCCCCAAAGGCGTCGAGATCACCCATCGAGCCTATGTGGCCAACGGCACTGGCGTCATTGAGCTCGCAAACAAGGACCCCGAAGAAGTTGAGTTCCGAAAGAGGTCTCGCTTGCTTGCTTTTCTCCCCATATACCACGCCTATGGCCAGACATACTTTGTCTCCATCTACCCTCGCATCGGCGTGCCTGTCTACGTTATGCCAGCTTTCAACTTTGAGAAGATGCTGCAGCACGTACAACGGTTCCGCATTTCGACCCTTATGTGTGTTCCGCCCATTCTTGTCTATCTCTCAAAACATCCGACTGTCAAGAAGTACGACCTCCGCAGTGTCGAACGCGTCAATTCTGGCGCTGCGCCACTTAGCCGCGAGGTGGCTCAGGGAGTTCAAGCCTTGTGGCCGGATGCGAGTGTTATCGTAAGGCAGGGCTGGGGCATGACGGAAGTTACATGCACTTGCATGACATGGGATGCTCGTGTTGAAAGCAAGGTCGAGGCAGTGGGTGAGCTTTCGCCCAACTGTTCAGCGAGGATCATGAAGTCGGATGGAAAGACTATGGTGGAACAGGCAAATGAGCGCGGTGAGCTTTGGGTTACAGGTCCGACTCTGATGAAGGGGTACTGGAAGAACCCTACTGCGACAGCTGATACGATTGCTGTCGACCCAGATGGAACACGATGGCTCAAGACTGGTGACATCGCTTACGTTGAATCTTTTGAGCCAGGAGCAATCTTTCACATTGTCGACAGGATCAAGGAACTCATCAAGGTCAAGGGAAACCAAGTCGCACCAGCCGAGTTGGAGGCTGTCCTCCTCGACCACCACGAGATAGCAGACGCCGCTGTCATTGGCGTTCCAGCTAATGGAGACGAAGTCCCACGAGCATACATCGTCAAGGTCGAGGGCTCCAAGGTCACTGGAGAAGAGATAGTGAAATGGATGGAAGAGAGGGTCGCCAAGCACAAGCGTCTCAAGGGCGGAGTCAGGTTTGTCGAGGCGATTCCAAAGAACCCGGTCAGTAAGCCCCCAGCGTGTCTAGGTGCAGTACTGATCCCTTGTAGTCTGGAAAGATCCTCAGAAGGGCTCTGCGGGATATGGCCAAGGCTGAATTCAGCATTGACCTCTCTCGGTCGAAGCTTTGAGCGTGTTTCAGCATCCAGGCTTGTGCACAGATGGACAACCAGGGCTAAAGGCTACGGAATGACTAGAAGAAACCACGTATATAGATACGAAGATAAATATACATCTCGGCGTTTTACATCGCCTAAGCCCATGTCATGCGTCTAACTTTTCCTCAGACGCCTTCAGGCTGGGTAAGAGTGATGAGCGACTTGTGATACTCTCCCGTAGCCATGGCACGAACAATCACTCTAGGACAAATTTGAAAGGATCTCAAGTTAATATGATCGCTTGGCTATCTAAGGTCGGTTTAGGGGGTCCTTGCTCTTCATGTCGGCATTATGAAAGCCTCGGCGTGAGATACACACATAACTTGGTAGGTAATTATTTGCAGCTAAAAAGTAAATAAGAGTAACATATTACACATCAACAAAGATCAAAACACTCTGATCATCCCCTTCATGCACGTTAAGAAACAGGGCTGATTGTTGCAAGCCCACTTCCTCGCATTCTCACAGCTTCTCGTTGACCTGGATGACAGCCGGGGCAGCAATCGTGGCACCAGGGACCATACCCGGGGCAGTAAAATTGTTCGAGGTAGTCAAAGCTGCGACAGAAAGACCCTTCATGACATTCTCCGTGAATGGAAAGAAGGCGTCGAAGGTGATGCGGCCCTTGTTCCACTTGACGTTGGTGATGGGCTCGCTGATGGGCAGAAGTTGACCACTGAAGTAGGTGAGGTACAAGCCCTTTCCATTGCCTCCAAGGAACTTCTCAGCACCTCCCACAGTGCTAATGTCGGCAGTGAATGTGAGGTACTGGTCCTTAGGCTTCACATCAAGACCCATTGAACCGTCTTTGACGTCGAGCTTTGCAAAGATGGGCAGGTTGATCAGTGAGATGTCGAACGGGCAAGATCCTGGGACAACAAATGTGTTGTAGATATAAGAGAAGGCAAATGCTCCGACAGAAGTAGTCAAGAAAGGCTTCTCGGAAGGAACCCGTCCAAGAAGGGTACGGTAGAAGCACCCCTGCTCACCCTCCTGGCCGATGACGGAGGCGATGGCTCGAACAACGCCGTTATCTCCGTTCTGTGCCAGAGTCTGGCTGACGTCTTGCAGGGTTCCCACGACAAGCATTGTAAAGCTCTCAGCGAGTGCAAATCCGTCTTCGAGATTGGTCATGGGGAAGTGGTATTTGCAGGGCATCGGTGCGGGAACGTTGAAGTGCTTGAGGACGTTTATCGCGTTGATGGCGTGAAGTTCTTCTTGCTGTTAGTCAAAGTTAGCACATGAATTGCAAAGGAATGTGATAAACTTACAGCAACAACAGTCTCCAACACCTTGACAAGCTCAGCCTTGGTGAACCGTCCATGGTGCCTGTAACCTGGCACACCATTGGTGACGTTTTGCAGCAGAGACGAAAAGTACGCCTGCTCAAACTCTTCACCAAAGGCAAGAGCCTGGAAGGCAGTCTTGCTGCTCTTGCCCAGCTTTGGAGGAGGAGGTGCGTTGGACAAAGTGCCGTCGGCTCGTCGGGAGATGCCCTTCAGCTGCTCCATGGTGGGATTGGGATAACCATCATTGGTCCTTGGCTGTGAGGGGTGGGCCAGCGCGAAGCTGCTCAGGAGGGTGGTGATGACACAAGCGGCCTTCATGTTGCTTCACTTGATGGATTCTGTAGATTGTTTGATTGATGATCTTGAGCTTGGTTGAGAGGATGTCAAGAAGATCGTCTTGTTGGCCATGAACATATTTTATATACATTGACTCAACACCAAGCCTCCAAAAATAATGTCCAGATGCAATGCTCCATTAAGGCGCAAGAAACGCGGCACAATGTAGGAAACCGCTGCGATCGACTCTCAACTCCCGTCACGATGTCTAGACTTTGAAGATTGAGAAGATTACACTCGCCTCTGTAAGCAACGTCGTCCCCAAGCCAGCTGCTCAGCCTCCCTACTAAGACCTTCAATCAAACCACCGACCACCAATCGGTAGTCAATAAGGTCCCACTAGGAGAACCAAAGCTTACAAGCTCTGCCCAGAGACGTCACGGTCGTTAGGGATCGGCCGCCGGCCAATAACACGGCTCTAGGAAACTCCAACGTCTCATCTCTTGGCATATGAGCCGATGATCCGCCCCGATGGTCCGGAGGGCTGAGCAGATTCTCGTGCTTGAATATCCAAATCCTATCCACCATGCTCTTTAGTTTAAGGAAGTGATATTTTTGGCACGAACGGTTTCGAAACGGCTGCAGCGCTAGGTGTCGATGCAACTCTGTGATGTTTCTAGCTTGGCTTACTTACAGACGGGTTCTCGTCTCCCGCGCTTTGACCTGGAGTGCGGTGCATTATAAGAGCCGCGTTACCGACTCGGCTTGATTTTTCTCCCGTCGGGCTATTGATGTTGATTGCTAACATGCACATACTTGGGGATGAGCCTCAAAGATCCTGGGCTATCCATGCTCCTCATCACTGGTCATGGCAGGTAAGTTCTACGCCAACTTGATTAACAGTTGATGAACACTGTTGCCGATGAGAAAACAAGAAGAGGCAGTAGATCCAATAACTATTAGCCGGGTGTTATTAGCTATTAAGTTCTACCTGGTGATATGCGTACATGCGGTAATAAAGCAGCAATTTCAACGGATCAGACCCTGTCTGCAGCTCTTCACAGAGTGCATGCTTGATCACGACCACTTGGCAAGGGGGTTCCACGGAAGGCGTATCGTGCCACCCTCTCTGCAATATGCGATCCCAACAGCTCCAGTCTCTGTCCTATAATAGCAGACCAAAGTTCTTGGTTCCCAGTCCCAGAATCCGCCTCGTCCGAGAGTCTCCTTTGAACCTTCCATCTCGCCGTCTTTTTCCAGCTGCTGGATCCTCGGCTGTCTGTAAGATTGTTAGGCTCGTAAAACTTTCCCGACTTTCTGCTTAGCGACTCACGTCAGAGGATTCTCGTACCCCCATACGCATGCAATGATCCGGGATGGGGGAGGTTGACAGAATTCCATACGTTTTCTCGATATGGCCTCGTGCTTGATTTCGATGTTGGCCGTGTTCGTGCTGCAGATCAGTGGGTGTTAGTCCAAGTGCCATTCACATTCAGTCGACGGGCATGACCAACTCAGCTGCGATAAGCTCCATAGGTCGATCGCCGTACGAGTACAAGACGTTGAACATTTTCCGTTCTGCTTCAGGCCATGGATCCCCAAGTTTCTCGGCCAGAGTCTCTCCAGATAGCGTCAGTGTCTGCTGAAGGGTGACGAGACTTTTGACTATCTGCGTGACGTCTCTGTCTGCAAACACGGCGCCGTATATGTGTAGCGGTGGTCCATTTTGAGTTGTGAAGGCGCCCATGCCACCAGTTACTGGAGACTGGACTCCCCCGTGATGATAAGGTTGGGCAGGCGGTATCATACCCGGGGTGCCCGGGGTGCCCGGGGTGCCACCGTAATGACCCAAGTTCTGCCCTGCAGGTGGAGGCTGTCCGTAATACGACGGAGGTCCAGGTGAGGGGGCTGCTTGGGGGCCAGGTACGTATACCGGATACACATGTACTTGCGGCTGTGGTGGTGGTGATGCTTGGTGCTGCTGTTGCTGCTGTTGCTGCTGTTGCTGCTGTTGCTGCTTGTTCCCGAATAACCCGAAGATTTTGGCTCCAATTGCACCCGCACCAGCCATTGCCATTGACTGCGTCATCTTTCCCAGCCCATGTTGTTGGTGCTGTTCATGCTTGTGCCCGTGTCCAAGCAAGTAGCCGCCGCCCATGGCAAGCGCGACTTTTCCCAGGCCGCGATCTCCATCCTGAACTGGTGTATCGGCCGGGGTGTCGTACGAAGGCTGGCTTTGGTGGTCGGGGGTGGGCGAGTACTGTGGTTGATCTGGTGGAGCATTCGGGTACTCCCATTGCGTCACGCCGGTAGCAGTGAAGATGTAGTACCTGAGATTGATTTCAGGAACATGTCCGACGATAAAAGCTCGCTTCTACTTACCATGAATTGTGTTCGGGGCTCCAGTTAGCAATCCAACCAGGGGGCAGGCCAGGCGAGGAGGCCTCAGGACGAGGGTCCGGAGATGCCAGGTTTGGAGTGGACATCTAGACAAAACAGATGTTATGTGCGGCTGAGGGTGATGCCAGGGACGTTGAGATGTACCGGTAGGTTGGAAATTCTGTATACCAGAAGGATCAAGTGTCAGATCAAGGGTAGTCATGTCAAAGGAAGATCAACCTACTATGTAGTCTTGGCGAGAAGCGCTAATCTAGGCACCTGATTTCCTTATTCCATATGCCGTGCCGTGTAGCCGGCGCATGGTCGATTGATTTGACATGGCTTGCTTCAGCAGTTGCTGCTAGTGTGTCTGGTGGCTGCGCGAAGGCTTGAGAAGTTGAAGGCGCCGTTACTTGATTGAAGGAACCATCGAGGCCAGAACACGCTAACAACGCCTCAGGCTGCAACGCAAAGGCAGCAGCTCAATGATCTGTATTTTTGGATGTGGCTGTCTGGCCATGTAACCCCATACAAGGCTTCTTCCAACGATAAGGCACTCCCGCAGTGGCAGATTTATTGCCCAAGCGGCTGCTCATCTCAGGGATGTATGTTGGCCTTTCACGCTCCAGGGCCCTATAAGGCTGTACCTTATTTCAACCATAGATCAGTTTCTTAATTGGTATTAGTAACCCAACTTAACAAAAAAGTGGGATAAAGCATTGAGAGTCGAATTTATATCAAGAGAGAAGCTTTCGGTGCGGTTCAATAGGTTGCACTTCAAGATCAGGATATCTCATCCCGAAGCTGTCGCTCATATTATAAGGGGTCAAGCAATAGATGTAACCACCTTCAAGCGCACTGCACGATAGCTTCCAAGTGTCAAGGCACCGCCGTTCGGCCTTTCCAAGGGGCATGCCGGGCGTCATTCCCAATTTGTGCAACGCCTAGGCCGATCATTGCCATCCTTGTTGGCATCACCACATGGCAAACCAGGGGATTTTCAACGTCCAGACAATGCGACTTCCAGAACCACAAGAGAAGGTCAATAAAAGTTGGGCAATACAAGAAATAATTCATCTCCTCTTAATTGAACGTGTTTCTACCCCATGCTTCAACCCGTTGCCGGCGTGTTTCCTCCTGAGTTGATCGTCCAGTGGCAAGCCCGTGGAGTGTTGATCCCCCTACCAGCGGGTCCCCTAGGCGATCTGGTGAACCCTATTCTTCGTATAGAAATTAAGGACGTCATTATTTGTGGGTTATTGAGACTTGACAGCCGGCCTCGGAAGTTTCATGTTATATTCAGGGTCTTGGAAGTTTGTTTTGTTTCCCTTCTTTTGCCCTAAATTTCACTGCGGAAGTAGTGTCCCTCCTTGATGTGTCTCACCACAGCCATTCTTTCTACTATCGTCTAGTCACGATCTTTCATTCCTTTAGCGTCTTGGTATTTCTCTTCTATTAATTCTTTTCGGAAAAGTCAGCCCTGTTTCAGTGAAGGAGCCGCAGCAATGGGTGTCGCGCCCCAATGGCCGCTCAAGGATGAGGGTCCTATTGACCTCGCTCAAGACGACAAAAGACCATGGTTTCAGCTTGAACCTATGCATGAGCGATCTTCTACAGATCCCTCAAGGCTCAGTCGGCCATGGCAGCCCGGTTTCTGGAAGCGACTCCCCGCCCGTGGTCTCGGGGCATGGATGTTGGCATTGGTCGGAACTGGAGCTGCCGTCTTCATACTCATCTACAGCGATGGAGTCGCAGTTGATCATTGGGACAAGTACATGCAGCCTACTGTCTGGCTAGCTTTGACTTCAGCTTTGACTGGCGCGTTCTTAGCATGCGCATTCGCAGAAGGTGCGGCAATTTCGTACTGGCGAGCTGCTGGAAGGACGGCAACGGTAAGCGACACTATCATGGTTCAAGGATATACGTAGTTGACAGTCATCAGTTGCAACGGTTACATGCCATATATGGTTCCTCTACAGGTCTTATCGATGCAGCGATAAATCTGTTCAGCATGAAATCCAAGACTCTTGGTCTAGGTATGTACTTGACAACATCATATTATCCCATCACATTATTCTCACAATATCAGCTTCGATTCTAATGACATTATCCGTCCTACGCGGTCCTCTCATGCAACGGGCATCCTCAACGGCGAACGAATTTCAAGCGCAGCAGGGTGTCTTTGACTTTCATATTGCTCGAGAACTTCCTGGAAACTATGCCAGCATACAAACTGGCCGTACTCACTCTGTTTCACTTCTCACCAAGAACTTTAGCGACATTGCCCAAGCATACAATAACCGGAATGATATGATTGCTTTCAACACCAACTGCAATAACTGCACAACCTCTGTCCAGGTACCATCAAATCGAAGCTTGGCCTGAAGGTCTTGAGACCATGTCTTTACTAACCAAGCCCAGGGCTTCGGATTTCAGGTGAATTGTACCGAGTCGACACGAAACTTCAATCTCACCGTCGGAATGGATCGAGCAAGCATGCTAAAGGCATTCGATGGAGCATATCTCTTCCAGGTCAACGTGACCGAGTTTAGCGACTACGCAGTCTATCAGATGAAGGATGGCTCATTTCTTCGCTACACGACGCTTTTCAAAGACACCAACCAATGCAATGGGAAGCTCAAGGTCCAGACTTGTGACTTGCATGCTGGGATTTCAACGTTTCCGGTACAGCTGGATGGCGACAAGGTGGAGCTCAGGGGGACGTGGAAGGACGACAAGTTTGTCCAGCGCAAGTATGTATCCCACGTTGAACAATGGATACACTGAATTCCGATGCTGACCTGAGTCTCGTCATAGGTACATGACCCCCGCAGCCACTGTTGCGAGCGGGACTGGAAACATCTTGGGCGGCTTCAGCACCATTGTCGATGCTCTCTACGGCTCCTCTGCGTGGATGTCCTTCACCGGTGCTACGGGTTACGATATCAAATCCGACGGCTTACCCGCGACGCAGTACATGACTATGAACGACACTGTCCCCGGATGTGAAGATACGTGGGAGAACCCCATGGACGACTTGATTGAGCTCACCAGGGACCTTGGTTTCCGGGCAAGCCTACAGTATGCCCAGTTCAACAAGACGGATAAGCAACGCGTTGAGTATAGCAGCGGCACGACGACATTGGTCTATGTGACCGACTATGAAAAGATGTGGATAGCCGTCGGCGCATCTCTTGTCGGCATCTTTGCAGTTCTACCAATCTTCTGGGGCTGGTGGGAGCTGGGACGAGATGTGAGCCTGAACCCGCTGGAGATTGCAAACGCATTTGGAACCTTTGGTCAAGATTCACGCGTCATGGAGCACGTTGATCCGAACCAGAATGTGAATGGTATTGTCAAGGCGGTTGATAATCTTGGGCCGGTGAGATACGGAGCATGGGATGCTGGTGGAGGTGTCGTCAGGCTTGGGTTCGCGGGAGCGGGAGCAGTGAGGAGTCCGTCGAATGGCGAGAGATTCAACTACTAGACATTCTACCTTCTTCATACTAGTATATATCTAATGAATCCCATGAAACGTGAGCAGCTTCTTGTCTTGTTCAGATTACGCCGTAGTGTTGACAGCATCAAGCCCAATGCCATGTTTGCCTAGGGTAAGCCGGCTCACAGCGAGTGTACTTGACATCTTGACAACTCTTATTCACTACTCTGTCTTTTACGGACATGTTGTTTCTGAGCAGTGATATATTTATTAGTAGAGGCGTTGACACTTGCATCGCGAAGTCACTCTTTGGCCAGGCCAGAGGAACGCGTCGGAGGGCAGACAATGCACAACCCATGGGTATTCCACTGAAAGTCCGAATGATTTCGAGCCTATCACTCAACCAGGCCCGTACATCTGTTGAACGCCACTTCAAGACGTTGAGTACCCAACGGCAACTCTCTACTACGTAGCAATCAAGATAAGACTACAAATAGATAGAGTTTGCCTGATCTCTAGGAAAAGAAACCAAGTGGAGAGTGTCAACTCTCCGAACAGAGACATGTGTCAGCCACTCTCCGTCTGCCGAGCCTGAAGCTGCTGTGCCGGAAGTCTCACCAACCAGCCACATGCTTTCTGCCGTCTAGATTTATTTCGGATCGAGGACGAATGATTCAGCCGAGGCAAGGAACCATCGCGGTTTGCTCACATGCCTGCATCTGGGCCTTGACGGGCAATTAAAGACATACAAGGGTCAAAACGACCAACTTGGACTTGTAGAAAACTTGGAAACAAGGCATTTCTGAATCAGAACATGAGCCGCCTGGTTTCGGAAGAAGGCCTCTGCGCTGGGGGCGATTCCACTCCATGGAAGCTCAAAGGTATCATCGCTATCCATTCGGAAGGTCGGCTTGTTTAGCTTGACCATTTCTTACGACACCAGGTAACTGCCTGTCAGTAGGCATGCGGGCAGTGATGGCATCAATCGGAAGATCCTGCGAGGATCATGACAGCTGCCTAGTTAAGGATCGATACCTATCCGTTACGAAAGGCGCATTCGCCTCTTGTTTCCAACCCTCTACCTCTAGTTTCGCCTGCGCCTTGCTAAGGATCCTATGCAAACAAGGCAACAGCCATTCGACACGTCACGGCTTCGATCAAAGCAGGCTTGTTTCAAGAGGCTGCAGAGGCTAGCAATTAGTCGGCGCCTGACGATGCCGATTTTCCGGTGCGATCGCAGCGTCAGCGTCAAAAGAGTTTTTCTTACGTCATCGGAGGAAACGGGGGTTCAAATCTAGGGTAGGTGCTTTGGCGCGAAGGATTCGCAAAGTTGCGAGATGAAAGGGGACGAAATGGATACAGTTCGTATCGTAATCCGTATTTAGGCATCTTTTTCGGATCCTGAGTGATACCCAGCAAATCAGCCCTGTTGATATGAAGTGAGGAAAGGGGATTTTTCATGTTGGTTGCCTGTCTGACGACAGAAAAAGTGGTGTGGTAAAGCGGCACAGTACGACGTCCGATCTGCAGGATGGATTGTTTTGGTGGTCAGCAAGTGATTGTCATGGACTTTCAAGAACAAGTGAATTGTTGCGACCAATGCTGAATTAACAAAGACATGCACTTTTCGGCTCTGACAGCCGAACAAGTCATCTTCAATCAGCAAAA